TGGAAAAACATGTTCTCTCTTGTGGGTGCGGGTCAAAAGCCTCGCAGCCCAGTTTTTGAAAACTTGCAAATGAGACAGATCTTTCTTACTAAGACATAAGCAGCTGTTACAATAGTCCAGTCGTGGGAAAACAAAAGTGTGGACAATCATCTCCAGCTTGTGACCTGAGACCATATGTCTGAGCTTAGAGATAATGTGCAAATGGAAGTTACAGTTATTGATCATGAAAAGTTACTCCATGGTTCCTCAGACTTCTTTTAACTGAGCTGCTTTGGTCGCCAAGGTGCTGGGCAGTAAGAGGCAGCAGCGTCATGTTGTTAGAAGACACACAGAAAGATCTAAAACACAGAGCCGGACATCTTTTCTAACACAGGACTTTGTGGACTGGTGTCAGCGGAACCACCTCCATCAACGCGGGAAGACCAAGGAGGTGGTGGTGGACTCTGCCGCTCCAGCCTCAGTGAACATCAGGGACATGAGAGAATCGTACCTGTGTTCACCTGAACCATAAACTGGACTGGATACACAATGCACACGCCCTCTTCTAGAAGGGCCATTAAGAATAGAGTTGTGCTATATTACTTCACATTCATTTATCTTGTGTCATGCGCTCCTCATTCCTTCTGTTTTGTAACTTGTGATGTAACACTGACATTTCTCCACTGTGGGACGAATAAAGGATCTCTTCATCTCAAAGGTGTATAGGAGGATTTTCTACATCCGGGTGGATCATCAAGACTATTGGTCTCAATTGTCAATCATTCTGCTGATCTGTGCTCGTCAAATAAGACCAGAGAGTTTTGTTCAAAAAGTGGAGAGGGCGGTTCTTTCCTAAAATTTGGGAAATTCCTCTTATATACCTTTAATCTTAATCTTAATCATGCTTCTAAATTCATGAAGATTTGAAGTGGTTAGCCATGCTTCTAAGTTCCTGAAGATTTGCCAATGAGACGAGCCATTTAGTCTTATTTCCAAGTGTAGTCTCTCTCTGCAAAAAGATAAGATAAGAATTCCTTTATTCGTCCCACAGTGGGGATATTTCGATGTTGCATCGCACATATAGGACAGTAGTAAGAGCACACAGGGAGCACACACAATATATACACTATATACAAATGAGTAGTAGCTATGTTTCTTAGCTAACATAACTAGCTGTAGATGCTGAAAATGCTTCAATACCAGTCAAAATATATATATATGTAGTAGTGCAGTTATATACTGTACAGTTAAATAGTGCAGGATAAAAAGTATATAAGTAAAGTGACATGAGGTAAAGTGACATTGTTCTGTGACATTCTGAAGTTGCAGTATTGCACATGATTTAAGAATTTACTTAGTTACAGATGAATGAAATTTACAGGCTCAGCAGTTCTTATTGTACAGTCTGACAGCAGCAGGAAGGAAAGACCTATGGAACCTCTCCTTCATACAGCGAGGGTGAATTGGTCTGTCACTGAAGCTGCTCTCCAGAGCAGAGAGAGTGTCCTGCAGGGGGTGACAGTCATGGTCCAGCATAGATGTTAGTTTGCTCAGGACCCTCCTGTCCCCCACCTGCTGCACTGCGTCCAGGGAACAGCCCAGGACTGAGCTGGACTTCCTGATGACCTTGTCCAGCTTCTTCCTGTCCCTCTCTGTGATACTGCTGCTCCAGCAGACCACACCGTACAAGATGGCTGATGCCAACACAGAGTCCTCAGCAGGTAGAGTCAGCTCTGGCCCTTCTTGAAGAGGGCGTCTGTGTTATGAGTCCAGTCCAGTTTGTGGTTCAGATGAACACCCAGGTACCTGTAAGAGTCCACTCTCTCAATGTCCCTTCCCTGGATGTTCACTGGGGCTGGAGCAGCAGAGTGACGTCTGCGGAAATCCACCACCATCTCCTTGGTCTTCCCTGCGTTGATGAGGAGGTGGTTCCGCTGACACCAGTCCACAAAGTCCTGTATAACTCCTCTGTACTCTGACATATTATATTACAAAAATAAGACTTTTGTAATTGTTTTATCTTGTTTTAACCATATACTGAAGAGAAATTTGCTCTAACTCAAGTATTTTTACCCTATTATTCACTTATTTTATTCACTTTCTCCAGATATGCAGCAGTTGTGTGCTCTGGTGGAGGAGGGAGTGTGAGTCCTCTGTGGAGTCAGAGAAAGCTGAACACGTAACCATGAACTTTCCGGAAAGATGGAAACCAGCGCAGCGTTAGAGCCGGGAAGTGAGAAGCCCGGGATAATGGACGCACAGAGGAAAGTGTGAGAGTGGAGTCTGAGGGAGACCCTGAAACCACGTTGACGTTTATACAGACCAGTTTGGAATGTTGTACGTGAAGTACGTGAAGCGCGTCTGCAGTCATCGTGTGAATCACTGGGCTCTGTCTTCATCTGCTGCACTTTTTCATTGCATCCAAAGAATCAAAGAATCTATTCATCATTTTCTTCTAAACAGGACTAGACCCAGATCTTGAGATTGTCCTGTCCAGTGCTATAGAAGCTACAATCTTTTGCTGTAGTTCAACTCAAATCCACTCAATCTAATTTTGGGTCACAATTTAAATTAGCATTCACTAATTAACAGCAAATTAAGTGCTAATGTGTGTATGATTTATTGTTAATTAGCTCTTAATTGATATTTATTAAGCACTTATTCAGTCCTTATTCTACATGGCCTTCTTCAACATCTAACTCACTACTCACTGACACTTTCCAATAGGTTAGGCTACGGCCAAGGACTAGGACTAGGACTAGGACTAGGACTAGGGCCAGGGCTAGGGTTAGGATACAGTAATTAGCACTTAATATAAAGTGTTTCCTATTTTTGTATAGCACTAAATCACAACAGCAGTTATCTCGAAGTAGACCTTCACTGTTTGTCAATTCAGTGTCAATTCACCAACACAGATCAGAGAATTAAACAGTTCAAACACAGGAAATGCAGTGATAACAATCACATGCAGCCATCGTTCCATGAGGGGCGGATGGCCAATGTCCATAAAAATTAATTAATGCCCATAGATATTACAGTACATATGATGGGTGAGAAACCTTCCTTTGCTTTGACTAATCCCTGTATGACTGAGAGCTTACACAAACAAAGCCCATAGATATTGTTAATTTTCGAGTGTCCTGGATCTGTCCTTAGACGCTCCTGCTTCAGAAAAACTCTAAAAACCCAGTGGGGGAAAAGTAAGAAACCTTGCAGAAACCTAAAAAGATTATTTTCTATTGGTCATTGATATTCCCTAAAGCTAAAACATATCAGACTCATGCCGCGTGTGGGATTCTCACAATGTACTTGGAGAGTTTTATAAATACTGTGTGGGTCTCAGTCCTCTTTCGTATTTAAATCATTTTATATTAGCATTTTCTTATTTCCACACACACAGATTTTGAGGACAGTAAATTCTAAGTCTAAATGTCTCCAATCCTGACTTCTAACTCGTTCTCTAGACCTATCACTTCTCAGTCTTCTTTCTGATTGGAGACTAGTAACATAACAGTATCAGGCACAGTGTTTTTGTGACTAAAGATCAGGGTAAAAAACTTTGATCAACAATACAGCAATGGATGTGAACATGCAGTGTTGGGTAATTAGTAACTGCAACCCGATTACAAGTAGCGTTACTAAGTAGTGTAAAGAATTACTTGACAATACTTGAAGTATTACAGATGACTATGGTTAAGTTACTTTTGGAACTATCTTACACAAGTAAACAAGCAAAATCCCACCGCAGGTTTTTGGTTTGTCTATACCAGTAAAGTAGCAGATGTTTTATATTATTTATTACATGTGGAGTGTGACCAGCTGCAGCTCAGATTGAGAGGATAGGAACCAAAGTGGTGTCACGTGAGCGCAGGCGTTGAGGGCCCCGCTCCTGCGTCACAGTTTATGTTGAAGTCCTTTTGTTTACAATCACAGAGTTATTGATGGCACAATGCACTTTACAGCCACACGAGAGCAAGGCCTGCTGCACTTCACTGCCGTTCCTCTTTACATAAGTGTAAAATAAAATAATCTAGTGCTCTGAATACAGTGCTCTGATTGGACCATGTAACTTGGAGATATTCAGTATTGTGTATAAATGCATTTCTCAGTTCTCCCCAACACATCTGTCCCAATGTTTGGAGACTGTAGTACTGTGAGTATTAAAACATATGTAACAACCTGTCTCTAACTCATTCCTCACTCTCAAAACATTTTGCTTCTATCACTCTGGATTCAGATACAGGCCATAATGCTCTGTCACAGAAAAAAGAAAAGCAGAGGATCATCATCATTCAGAAAATCAGCTCTTAATACAAACCATCAAACAGTGACGCGAAGGGCTCTGTTACAAGTATTCAAAGAAAACACAATAAGATGAAGACAGTCTTTTACAGGACTCTATTTGTTGGGTCAAACACGTATGACTAAAACATGAAGTTAGTGTTATAGAAATATTTTAGTGAAGCAATCTGAATTAACACCAAATAGTTATGAGTGTAAGTTATTAACTAACAGTGAACTCTGGATTCAGATACAGGCCATAATGCTCTGTTGGCAGCAGGTCAGTGATAGATGGAGACGTGCTGCATCATGTCTTTGACCTGGGTCATAGAACAATATGTTCAGTTCAAAAGCAGATTGTTACATATATCAGAGTTGTATCAGCGTTAGGACGCGTAAAGAGAGGCCTTGAGCAACACATATCAATGTTGACTTAATTTATGTAATATCTAGAGTAGATATGTGTTTGTTTACTCTGGTCTATTTAATGTACAGTTATTTCCTCAATCGGGCCAGTCGATTTCGGACGGCTGCAGGTGGTATTGGTATCGGTTCTGTTATTCATTGTAATTGTGCACATTTACTAATGAATAAACTCACACTTTGTTTGGAATTACAGCTCTGGGTTGTTTACATTATTTTACTCTTGGTATGTGCAGAATTTCCACAACATTAGGTACCCCAGCTTTACGTAACACAAATATGTGTTGGTTACATGATTCTTTGGCTGGACAAACCCTATGGCTCCCACAGGTCACTGCTCCAAGTTCGTCGAAAGACAAAATGTAAGATAATGACGAGAGTGTGCTGCCCTCTGCTGGACGCGCTCCAAATGCGCAGCCCCGAGTCTCAAATTTCAACTATTTAATTGGCAATTTAAATTGTAGAAAATTCAAATTAATTAAAAATAAAATGAAATAGAAATTATGGACAATTTTGGATAAAACATATGACTTTTTCTATAGACCTGGAGCAAACCTTTTTATAGCAACATTTTATATCAAGAAGCTTTTTTTCTTGAATCCATTCCCGGTCTAACTAGTTCCTCGCTCTCAAAACATCACTGGTTTTATCACTGGTTCTATCACTGACACATTCGTGTATTTGTGGCCTCTTACGCATCTTTAAATCAGCGTTTATGTTATTTTTTTAGAAGACTTTTGGGACAATCAAAATGTGATTAGTTTAGGCCCATGGGGAAAAAGTAGGTACCCCAGCTATAAGTCAGGACAATGTGTTGGCCGAATTAATTCCTACAGCGTGGACAAGCTGGACACAGAGGAAAACACCTTCCATCATCTCAAACCTCTCCGCTCCTGCTCAGGGGGGCTCCGGGGCTCTATGGGGGCTGCACTTCTCGGATGTCCTTTCCCGGCTCCTCCTCGCTCCTCATCCCCGCGGATGTGATGTAAACACGGGCCTCAGCTCTGCACACAGCCCCGTGTCCTGTACAGCGATCTGCCCGGGCTCCCTGCTTCACCCCAGGGCGTGTGGAGGAGCTCAGGACGCACCGCTATGAACCACCGCTGATCGCCGACTCCGCGCGCCCACCCAAGCCCGACACAACGCACCCTGAGGCGGACACAGACGCACAGAGGCACCCGCTGCTGCTGCTGGAGCTCAGGGTGAAGATAAGGTACAAAGTCGAGCTAAAGTTGTTTAAAAGTCTAATTGAAGTTCATAAACAAGTTTTTCAGGTGTTGTTATGTGGTATTTGACTTTGTGTGCGTGGAGCAGAGGTGGTTTTGGTTCAGGCCTAAACTTTTCCAAAAGCGAGCGCAGTCTGGAGAAGATTAGTCTGGTCTTGTCCCGGGCCGCTGTTATTTATGACATTCTCCATGGGATTCTTACTAAAAGCGAACATATGTGAACAAGACCAACGCTGGAAGCCTTCTTTACTGGCTCTGGACCGCTACATTTCAATACCTCAAACTGTCGACGATGAAGCACTCCATAACGCTCCACCATGTAACTATTATCAGGAAAGTGCTCATTTTGGATGTTTTCACTGCACAGAACCTGATGTCCTCAGCAGGCCACCATCTCCACAGACCTGGCTCGTACGTGTCCTGCAAGAGGGCCTGGCTGTTCCTTTGGCAATAATCAATGTTCTGCAGTGTTTGAATGCAAGTGACGTACAGAAAGATAAAGCTGGGGTACACTAGGTACCCCCGTTTATGTTTTGGATCACCCTCACTCAGCCAATCAGCTCTCAGTCCAAGACGTCAAATAGTGACGCACAAGGCTCTTTCTTACGTGTGGTCTTATGTTGTAAGATGTTATTGCTTCATAATTTTCTTATCGCTTTTTGTAGTAGTTTATACCAGTGTTCTATAACCTTTTTGAGGCGTGGCAGACCTTTTATTATTAAAAACACACATGTCATGACACCACCACTGAAACTGAAACAAAGATGAACATTGCCTTTATTAACTTATCATTTATTGTTATTAAATTAATTCTATTAGGTAGAAAATCAAACAAGCGCAAACAAGTATTTTTTTCTTTTCTTTTTTTTTTTTTACTATTTTGACCGATATTTCATCAACAGCCAGGGCCTGGTTAATACTGTGATGGGAGACAGCTGAGAACACCAGGTGCCACAGCGGCTGCGGCTGTAAAGTGCCAAACTGTCATTGTGTCCTTAGGCAAGACACTTCACCCACATTACTATAGTCTGGTGTGTGTGTGTGTGTGTGTGAATGGTTGGTGGTTGTTTGGAGGGGCTTTCTGTCAGTGTGCCGAAGGCAGCTGTGTCTACAGTAGTAGTTTATCACCACTGTGTATGCAGTGAGAGAATAATGACATGTGAAGCGTCTTTGAGTGTCCAAAAGAGCACTATATAAAAACGGATGCATTGTGTAAAAAAAGGACCATATCGGCCGTTTAGATCATATCATACCATATCTGATTATTTTGGAATCAATTAGGTGCAATGGTTATCACACATTAGTTTAGCTGCACACAGGCCTGCGTGTTTGTTTTGTTATATCCATAGAATGCATAAGTGTCGGTTCAGAGGTGAGAGACCCCGGTGTCACCCAGAGATCGGGTGCGAGTTATTTTTACGTCTGGTTTAGTTTTACACACACAACGAAACACTTTTCTGGAGGGGAATCAGCCCTGCAGTGAGAAGTTCTGATCCAGGCTTGTGCATTTTTACTTTGGCATTGCATGTTTCAGAACTGTAAAGTTGAGATACCGAACTTTGTTTCTCGCTAACTCTTTGATCCATCACTAGTTTTCACATGTATTCTTGGCTTCTGTCACATTTTTAGATCAGCTTTTTCAGACCAACAGACCCACCCTGAGACAGAAAAGTGAAAACCGGACGACTTAAATAGACAAAATGCAATTTCTTTTACCTCTGGGCCGTATTGTGTCCTTAATAAGATCAATAATAATAATAATAATAATAATAATAATAATAATAAAGTCAAATAGTTTTTTTTTACACTTATACAACACATTTTTATCACTACTTTTACAAAACTCTTTTGTTTGGGACAAAAAAAGGATTGTTGATGAAAGGAAATAGCGACCCCATTAGTATCTAATGTCTGTGTGTAGAAAAGAATATAAAGATATAGTGAAGTCATTCAATCACTTAGACATACAACCTCCAATTGTCATGTCATTTTCTTTCCCTTTCTTGGCCATTTCATTAATGGGTCGTGGGGGAATCAAACCCACGATCATTAGGTCCAAAAACCAACGCTCTTCCAACTGAGCCACTGCCTCCAGCCTCCAATTGTAGCATGTTAAATTTGTGTATTCCTAACTTCTTTCTAATATATATAAATATATTCATGGTCGCAACAGAAAATAGACCAAAGATGATTTATTGATTTCAAACCTGCAGAACGCAATTTCACATATCTTTACACCAATACAAGTTGAAAAGGGGGTTGGATGAAGCAGACACTTATTTTTTTCTCAAACCTCTCTCACCCATTCCACAAAACAATACACACAATACAAGGATAAAGTGCAATACAAACAGTAATACACAATACCCGACCATATGGTTCTTATTGTGATATTGTGAATCTCTGAACCAAATGGAAGTGTCTGAGCGTTCCTGAGCGTACTGTGTGTGAAGGATCAGTGTCATTCCTCTGCTCGGCCTCCTCCTCTGTGACACCGCTGCTCTCTCCGTTACATAAGAGTGTGTGGATGTTTCTATAAGTCTGAGTCACAACTATCCACAGCTGTTCTGTGCTGTGAGCAGTAATCCAGGCTCTCTCTTTCTCTCTCTCTCTCTTTCTCTCCTTTCTCCTTGCTCTCTCTCTCCTTACTATCTCTCTTTCCTCACTCTCCACTCTCTCCTCGCTCTCTCCTCTTCTTCCTCCTTCTATCTCTCTCTCTCCTCTCTCTCTCTCCTCTCTCTCTTTCCTCGCTCTCTCTCCCTCTCTCCTCGCTCTCTCTCTCCCTCTCTCGTTTTGCTCTCTCTCCTCTCTCTCTTTCTCTCTCTCTCCTCTCTCTCTCTCCTTTCTCCTCTCCTCTCTCCTCTCTCTCTCTCCTTGCTCTCTCTCTCCTTACTATCTCTCTTTCCTCACTCTCCACTCTCTCCTCGCTCTCTCCTCTTCTTCCTCCTTCTATCTCTCTCTCTCACTCTCTCCTCGCTCTCTCTCTCCCTCTCTCCTTGCTCTCTCTCCTCTCTCTCTCTCTCTCCTCTCTCTCGCTCTCATTGCTCTCTCTCTCACCTTGCTGTCTCCTCTCTCTCCTCTCTCTTTCTCTCTCTCTCCTCGCTCTCTCTCTCTCACCTCTCTTCTCTGTCGCTCTCCTTGCTCTCTCTCTCACCTTGCTCTCTCCTCTCTCTTTCTCTCTCTCTCCTCTCTCTCCCCTCTCTCTTTCTCTCTCTCATCTCTCTCTCTCCTCTCTTTCTCTCTCCTCTCTCTCTCCATCCTCGGGGCTCTGCACACGGGAAATTCTACAGAGACTGAACAATGAAAAGTGGACACAGAAAGAGCTGTTAAAATGATTGTGTGTATTTATGGAATTGCCCCAAACTGTTCTCACTTGATCACAAAGGCTCAGGCGTTCAAGCCACAGAGTACGAAAAGTTTTGTTATTGCCGCACACTGCATTGGTCTGGGCTCGGTTTTTCTTGATTAGTGCTCGTCTTTTAAAGCTCACTCCCGCAGCTTCCTGATTGGTCAAAATAACCTCATTCTCCTCCAGCAAATCTTACTGGTCCTAGTTATGCCAAGGGGGGACTATTTCAATGATGTTATTATAAAAAAATACGTACTGTATACAATAGTACTGTTCCCCATAGTCAGAAATATACACACACACAAAAAAAACAATTTATGTCGCTAGCATCTCCTTTAAGACAATATCTACTAATTAATGCTGTTGCCTCTGGAGACGTTTTATGAATCGATGAGTTGTCAGTAGCTCAGATGTTATGTTTGTGCTTAATGCGACCCAGATAAAACTGAACTGCAGCCATCAGACTGTTTTTTATTTTCTCACTATAAACGAGACATAACATAATTCCTGACTGTTCTTTATGTAATTACTACTCTGTTACAGTTGTAAAATCACTCCGTTGTGTATAGCAGTGTTTCTGCTACTGATTTGACTGCTTTTGGTGAAAATGACGCAGTCTCTGTTCCGTTTTACCAGATACAAGTCAGCATGAATAAGCTGTAAATATGCAAAGTAAAAAGGTGAAAGGTTTGCTCAATTAGCAGAATCCAATAGATAACTCAATTACTAAAATAATCATCAGCTACTGCCTTATAATTGACTTAGACACTGCAACATCTTTTTACACCCTCACATATTACTACAAATTGATCCTGGGGTCTTTTGCAGAGATGTAGTCCGGTTATGATCCTGGATTTGCTGGAGAACCATGCTCCTGTGTCTGCTGCTGCTCTTCACGGCTGCAACCTCTGGACAGATCGACCCAGGTAAACTTTGACAAACATGTGTTATTATCTTTGTTTTTGTGGTTCTTTTGAAAAACAAGTTAGATGTATTACCTTGTCTCACCTTGTAACCCACAACAATCATTTAAACTCAGTGTATTGTGTTGTTCTGGAGACCTGTATGCAGGAGTTGTTGAAATGAATAAACAAAGAATCAGTGAGTTATGTGAATAATACAAAGAAGACATTGGTTCATTGGGTGTTGTCTTTTATTACTTCTAGGTTTTAAAAAAAAAAAAAGTCCATAGATGTTGATAATGTCCATAAATATAGATCTTTTGTCATACTCCTGCAGCCCTATTCCAGACATAAAGCATTCTTCAAGTCTGAACATGTCTGTGTATTGCCAGGTCTGTGCAGGTATGCGCTGGGTTTGGAGGACGGCCGGATCAGAGACGAGGCCCTGAGCGCCTCCAGCCAATGGCACATCACCACCGGCCCCCAGTACGCCAGGTATCACAGCACAGAGCAGATGCAAAAAAGATTTGCCAATGAAAAGATTGTTCTGTGGCCTCTGCATAGACTGTATAACCTGTCTCAGAGGAGGGAAAGTGTGTATCTCCTGAGAGAGAAAGATGTGTTCATTAAACCTGGTGTTAGAACAAATGTAAAAAGTGTTTCTGTGGTTGGTGTAAACATCAGGAAGGAGTTGACTGTAGATTTAAAAGACTACAGAATCAGCAGATTTTCATTATGATGGAGTAAATGTCATGTTTGTACGTATGTAGCCGCTATTTATGTTTAATGGATATTAAAGAGTAGGCGTTTATAAGTTTTAGCTTCTGCCTTTTTCTGACCATATTTTTTAAGTGCTTGAAATGGTCAGAAAAAATTAAAATAAACTGCACTGTAACTGAAACCCTCTGGCAATGAGGCCCAATAGGGAAGTGCTCATAGACAATGTTTTGCTCCAACTGGCTCTGGTTCCTATTGACTTAAATGTAAACTCCTCTAGCTCAGTAGCCGTTTGTGTCACACTCACCATGAGTGGCTTAAAAATATGTGGTTTAGCGTTGATTTTGAAAGTTGAAAGTTTGTTTTTGACCCTTTCATCTTGACACGTTCCTGTCTCCCCAGTGTTGAAAAGCTGACACGGATCAAAACAACACGCAAATTGTTATCACTGTTGACACACAGGACTGCAGTGTTTTCTGTGGGATCAGTGCTGTCTCTATTGTCCAGTGTCAGAGCCAGTGCGATGATCAGATACTACGTATAGGATAAAACTATGACACATGGAGCAAAAAACACGTTATTCTGCTTTGACGAGTTCAAACATGTGTATTATTGTCCTGGCTCGTGCGACTGACCGTCCTTTCTCCAGGTTGAACCGTGAGGAAGGACACGGAGCCTGGTGCCCCCAGCTGGCTTCCGACCCCCAGTACCTGCAGGTCAGTCACTCGTTTTTAAAGAAGACATATTGTGCTGTTTTTAGTTTTTAACAAGAAAACTGTTGTTTCTCAATCACTTGCAAAAATGCTGTAAAGTCCAAAAGTTAGTATCAAGTGCTACGTGTCATTAAGGTGCTTCACAGCTGTTGGGATAAACGTAGTTCCCAAACTTTTTGTCCTGCACCAGGGGCTCAGTTCAAACTGCGCCTTCAGAGAGTGGTCCAAAGAACCAGTGATAGAATAGGAGCAACATGGTGAAAAGCTCAAACACTTGACCTTATGTGTGGATATCACTCTTGCTTCGTCCTGGGTTCAAATTGCAGTCAGAGCAGGTCCTTTGGTGCTGAACAGTGCTCCGGTTTCCTCTGAGTGCTCCGGTTTCCCCTAACACTATGAATGGCAAAATCCTCCAGCTCTGGTCCTGACCGAGCATGAACATCTGAAGATAGGCCCTGGGCACTGCGCTGTGGCGACCACTGCTCCTGACAGAGGCCCTAGTGGCATTGAAGGATGGGCCAGATGCAGAGGACAAATTTCCCTACGAGGACAATAAAATACAACTAACTAACTAACATGTGTTTTAGGAGGACCTGACTCTGTTGTGTGTTTAAGGTGGACCTGACTCTGTTGTGTGTTTAAGGTGGACCTGGGCCGGCTGACGTTCCTCACTGTGGTGGGCACTCAGGGACGCTACATTCACAACTCTGGGAATGAGTTTGCCCGAACATACCGCCTTAACTACAGCCGTGACGGAGTCCTGTGGAAGTCATGGAGAAACCGCCAGGGAAACACGGTATAATTAATAGTTACTTAATGTAACTTAAGTTCTACGAATAGGTGCGTAGTCCCTTAGGACTTCGCTAGTGGGATATCACGTGACCCCCAGGTCACACGCCAGAGAGATCAAAATAATTTGCTCCAATCACCAGCCACCTTCCTCTATAAATGCCCCTGCACAAGGCCGCACCCCCTCTTGAACTCTGCCAAGCCGGGCTGGCCTGATGGGCTCGTAGCTAAGGGACTACGCACCTATTCGTAGAACTTAAGTTACATTAAGTAACTATTAATTCTACGTCATGGTGCTACGTCCCTTAGGACTTCGCTAGTGGGACACAACGCGGAGGCCGTAGGAAAATGTACTCCCAGCAGGCCAGCGAAGGGTGATTGGAGCTCCGCCCGAGTAAGACCCTCACAACGTGAGAGGACTCAGGGCAGAAGAACAAGCGTGTTACGGGGCCACTCCTACCAAGGATACCCCCACGTAACACAAGCCGTAGGTCATCCGTAGTCACAGGACGCCTCTCCCAAGAGCTACTGACGTGGACTACCAGACCGACCACACACACAATGTACCGCACCTGTAGGATGCCTCTCCCAAGAGGAACGGGAATCGCACCAGACACTGAATAGCCTCCACCTCGTGGCGTAGGCCCTCACGGTGGACGGCGCCCTCGCTCCCTGAATAGTCTCCACCACCGCAGGGGGAAGACCCAGATCTACGAGGCTCCGCCTCTCAACCTCCAAACCCAGAGCCTGCGGCCGATTATCGGACGTGAAAACAGGGCTCCTGCCCCCTGGACTAGAGCCCCCGGCTCGTCCGGGAGGGCCCAGGGCTCCATCACCGCCATGCCCCTCAGGAAGGGGAACCACCGGGCATGCGGACTGTCCGGAGCCACCAGAATCACCGATCTCCTCTCCTGTTCGATCCTCCGCAGCAGGACCGGCAGGAGACGCACCGGTGGGAAAGCGTACAACAGGCCGCCTGGCCATGGGTAATGAGCCAGAGCGTCCACGCCTAAAGGCGGCTCGTCCGCGGCCCTTAAGGCGAACCAAGACGGGCACTGTGCGTTCTCTGCACTGGCGAAAAGGTCGACTACTGGACGGCCGAACCTCCGCCAGATCTCCGCAGCTACCCGTGGGGCCAGGCCCCACTCGTCCTGGAGTGGGCCCCCCCTGGACATTCTGTCGGCTCCCACGTTCCGGACCCCCGGGACGTGGCGCGCCCTGAGAGACAGGAGGTGAAGCGCCGCCCACAGCAGCGTCACCGTCGCCATGCAATGGAGAGCGGGGGACCTGGTGCCCCCCTGCCTGTTCAGATAGGAGACCACTGTGGTGTTGTCTGAGCGCACCATCACGTGTCTCCCCTGCAGCTGAGGGGCAAAGTGCAGCAGTACCCTGTGCACTGCCTCCATCTCCAGCAGGTTGATGTGACGGGCTGAGTCCGACCAGCAGCCTCCTACAGAGCTCTGGCCGAGGACCCCGCCCCATCCTTCGAGCGACGCGTCCGTGAACACCTCGACGTGAGACACAGCGCAGGCCAGAGTCACTCCGTCCCGCAATAGACCCGGAGTGAGCCAGAACCTGATGTCCGATGCTGCCACTTGGGGAACCCAGATCAGCCTCCCCCCGTCCCGGGAGGGGTGAAGCCTGAGGCGCGAGAACCACCTCTGAAAATTTCTCATGTGGAGCAGGCCTAGCCGCACCACAGCATGAGCCGCTGCCATCATTCCCAGCAGGGACCTGAGGCGCCGAGCGGGGACTCTGGGGCCTGCCAGAACCTCCCGGGCCAGACGGGTAACACTCATCCGTCTGTCCACGGACAATGCATCACGGAATATCACAGAGTCTAGCTGCAGACCGAGGTAAACCATGCGTTGGGCTGGCTGCAGCTTGCTCTTCTCCCTGTTCACCACAAAGCCCAGACGCTGTATGTGGGACAGGACCCAGTGCGTGTGGCTCACGGCCACTTCCCTGGATGGGGCCAGTATTAACCATCGTCTATATAGTATTAACAGTATTAACCATCGTCTATATAGGTTAATATTCTTACCCCCGCACGTCTGATCGGCTCCAGAGCTGCTTCCACACATTTGGAAAAGGTGCGAGGCGCGAGTGCGTACCCGAAGGGGAGACGGCAGTACTCGTAATTCCTCTCTCCCACTGCGAAGCGCAGAAACCTCCTGTGTTCTGGCACTATGGGCACGTGGAAGTATGCGTCTGTCAGGTTTATGGAGGACATCTAGTCTCCCTCCCTGACACACTCGAGGAGCTGCCTTGTGGACAGCATCCGAAACTGCCGTTTGGAAATGCACTCGTTTAACACGCGCAGATCCAGAATGGGACGCACCCCGCCTGATTTCTTTGGCACTAAGAAGTAAGGGGAGTACAGCCCCCTGGTGGCGTCCTGCGGGTCTACCTCCACTGCTGCGCCTCGACTCAGCAGAGAGGAGACCTCCGCTTGTAGTGCCTCTGTCGATCCCCGTACCTGAGAGCGTACTGCCCGTACGCCTCGGAATGGTGGTGGCTTTCGGAAAAATTGCAGCGCGTAACCTCTGCGCAGAGTTTTCTCCAGCCAAATATCTGTCAGTAGGCCCTGCTCCTTCCAGATGCTGTAGAAATCTGTGAGGGGCGGAACGGGAGTTGGAACACGAGACGTCACGGCCCCGCCCCCTCCTGGTGTTCCTAGCAGGGAGGGGGGGTGGCTGAAAGGGCCGGGGGGGCCCCTGCGTCACACCGTGAGCGCCGAGGGCGGTCACGTGTTCTGCAGGCCCGACGTCATAAGTACGGGACTGTTCACCACACGTGACTCGGCTGCTGTGCCCTCCCCTGGCTCTTGCCTCATGGAGGGGGGGGCGAGCCCCTGGAATGGGAAACCCCGTGTTAGCCTTGTAGCTCTGCTCACCACACGTGACACGGCTGCTGTGCCCCCCCCTGGCTCTTGCCTCATGGAGGGGGGGACGAGCCCCTGGATTGGGAAACCCCGTGTTAGCCTTGTAGCTCAGAGATGCTAACACGCGTTCGGCTGGAGCACACACATTATCACTTACCAGATCCCTCCGCCTGCCCTCTCTCCGGGAGGGCAAAACATGAACCCGTGAATCGGAGCCCGTGGCCCGCGTAGCGCGCTGCACGCCCTTCTCGGGGGGCTGCAGGCCTAGCGGAGCCACGTTATATGCTCGAGAAGTAACACAATCAGAATTCAAATCATTTGACATGTTACATACCCCCAAATGAGACTCAGACAGCGAGTACTGATGAAATGCCGGACGGCTTTTATTGAAAGAATTCTTCCCACCCCGACCTCCTCTGCCATAGGGAGGTCGTCGGTGGGTGTGTTGGTCCCGCGAACCTCCCGTGTGCCTGTCTGGGCCCGGGGGTCTCGTCGCTGGGGAACGATGGACCACGGAGCGTGGATATGGTCCGGGGCGCCTGCCGGGCGAGCGCTCCCTGCCTCTGTCTCGGCTCCGCGCTGGTGGGCGGGCCTCGCGTCTCGCAGCTAGATGCTTGGCTAGGCTAGCAGAGTCCTTAGCTGCGGTGTCCAGCCTCGTCATCAGCGTCTGCATCTCCGGACCGAAGAGTGACGTTTGGGAGATGGGCAGGTCCAGCAGCTGCCTCTTCTCCGCCTCTCTGAGATTCACCGACCCCAGCCAGAGGTGTCTGGCCCCAACTTGCGCTGCTGCCATCGTGCGGCCGCCATCGACAGCTAGCGCTTGGCACATGCGCAAGATCGCCGCTGAAGTGGTCCTCGCCTGGGATAAGGTGTCTCCACTGAGTGCCTGGTCAGAGGAGAGAGACCTATCCAGGGCCCCGGTGATGAAGGCCATGTTGTTAGCCACCGCGACGACCTGAGCCGCATTGGCGTAACATCTGTCGTGCATCGCCAAAGACATCCTGTCCCGCTCGGAGGGAAGGAGAGGTCTGGTGCTGGGCCACACGGATGTGGAGGGGTGCAGGGCCGCCCGAACCGAGTCCTCGATGTCCGGGACCCCGCCGGTCCAGGACCAGTCCTGCACGTTACAGTACATGCCATACCCCAAAGCGGGCCTCTTGGCCGCTAGGGGCTTTGGCCACTCACGTGTCGCGTAATGGACGATCGGGTCCATACGCGGGCACAACGTGGGCTGCGTCCTCCTCCTCCCTCGAGGGGTGGCGTAACCAGAGGTGAAGTCCTCCACGCTCTGGTTCGGTTGCGGTGGCAGGGGGGCATCCATGATGGCCGCCGCCGTGGCGTAGAGCCCAGGCATGTGGTCCAGCGGGAAGCGGTCCGGCTCCGGGTTGGACACCACCTCGTCCAGCGTGAGGAGAGAGCCGACCTCCGACACCTCTCCGTCCTCGCAGTCACCCCACTCCGCGGGCACGGGTGGAAGGTCGAGGGGGGCCCAGTCAATCGCAGACTCCTCGTTCTGAGAGGGGTCCGGACGGGGCGCTGTAGCGGCGAAGAACGCCCGCCTGCGTTCACTCTCCTCCCTGGGGAGAGCGACACACGAGGCGCAGGTAGCGCTCAACGCCGCATGGCCCGAACCCAGGCACAGGAAGCAGCTGGAGTGCTGGTCCTTGCGCTGGAGCTTGACCCGACAAGTCGAGCAACGACGACGTCCGACGCCGGATGGCGAAGGGGAACTCGGACGAGCATCAGAAGACATCTTTCCTCAGGTAATTGAATGTAGATCTCAATCGGCGCCAGAGTGAAAGAGGGGGTGCGGCCTTGTGCAGGGGCATTTATAGAGGAAGGTGGCTGGTGATTGGAGCAAATTATTTTGATCTCTCTGGCGTGTGACCTGGGGGTCACGAGTGATATCCCACTAGCGAAGTCCTAAGGGACGTAGCACCATGACGTAGAACTGAGAAAATTAAGACTGTACCATATAACATTATTTTAAAAAAATTGATGAGAAACTAGACTATTGTTAAACAAATTATAATTGAAAGCAGGGGTACCTAACTTTTAGTTTGTCTCAACAGAAAGTGTCTGTGTGAAAACATAGATGTGCATAATTTAAGTTATTCGACTCTTTGGGTTGAGAGATGATTATCTGAGAAAGGGTGGTCATCTTTTGATTGAAAGATGTTACAAAGGCTAAAAATACATGCGTGTAAAAATGGTTTTGGTTTGAAAGTTAGGTACCCCATATGTAAAAGACCAAACGTACCATCACTAACACCTCAAACAGGACAATTACATTTATAAAGTTGTGATCTGTTTGGTGGAGTGAGGATAGTCCTCTCTTTTTCATTTTCTGTCTGAAAAAGCTGATATAAAGAAGTGACAGAGGGATAGAACCAAACTGTTTTGAGTGTGAGTAACTAGAGAGGGGCCCCTCAGGGCACTGTCCTCTCACCGTTTCTCTTCACCATCTACACCTCAGACTTCACACACGACACACACAGCTGTCACCTGCAGAAGTTCTCTGACGACTCCAGATCGTTCCCCTCAGACACACAGCCCACGATGGCCTGTGTGTCTGAGGGGAACGATCTGGAATATCGGTCGGTTATCACGGACTTTGTCGACTGGTGTGAGCGCAGCCACTTGTGCTTGAACACCAGTAAGACCAAGGAGATGGTACCTGTGCTAACACCAGTAAGACCAAGGAGATGGTCATCAATTTCAGGAGGAAACCACTTTCCCACACGCTGCTGAACATCCAGGGGGAGGACATTGATCTGGTGGACAGCTTCAAGTATCTGGGTGTTCACATTAACAATAAACTGGACTGGTCCCATAACACCAACGCCCTGTACAAGAAGGTCCAAAGCCCCCTCCACCTTCTGAGGAGGCTGAGGTCCTTCGGAGTGAGCAGGCCGGACTTTTTATGACTCTGTGGTAGCTTCTGCCATACACTACGCTGCCGTGTGCTGGGCCCCGGGCAACACAGAGCGGGACAGAAACAGACTGAACAAGCTGGTCAGGAGGGCCAGCTCCACTCTGGGCTGCTCCCTGGAATCTGTGGAGGAGGTGAGGGACAGGAGGGTGCTAGCCAAAGCCACCTCCATATCATGAACAACACCTCCCACCCACTGCACAGGACTGTAGAGGAGCTGAGGAGCTCCTCCAGTGGAAGACTGAGACACCCTCAGTGTAGGAAGGAGCGCTACCACAGGGCCTTTATCCCCACTGCGGTCAAACTGTACAATAAGTCACTTTAAGTCACTGTATAAGACAGAAAAACCTGCACTAATATTGACACTATTTCTAATTGCCACTTTTAAACTGCCACTTTTTTATGTACATAATATATCCTGCATTTAACATGTTTGCACATTTCCTCCCTTTTTTGCACAATCTGAGTGTTTCTATCCATGCCAAATGTGACATGTAAATTTCTCCTCCTTGTGAGATAAATAAAGAATATCTTATCTTATCTTATCTTAGTTAGATGGATTTGTTAAGTTGCAAGTTTGGTAACCCCGATTTAGTTACTTTCATTTTATACATTCAATTCACTGAACTTGCTCCAAGCAGATTTTTCGTTTTAACAGTTGACACAGCAGTAGTTCCAGCATTAGTATGAGTAGTTTAACAACAATAGTAGAAATCATTCTTTGGAGAATTAACTAAAATAAAAAGCCGGAAAAGTAAACAATGTGAGAGGCAGGAACTTTGTGAGTCACTTCCCTCATGTCAGGACAGCCTTGGAGGTCATCGAGAGTCCCTGTATGTGGGTCAAATAAAGGTTTTCTAATCTTCTGTGATGTGAGTGTGTGCAGGTGCTGAAGGGGAACGTAAACGCCTTCACCTCGGTGCTGAATGACCTCCAACCTCCGGTGATCACGCGCTTCGTCAGAGTGCTGCTCACTCCGTCTTACTTCGTCTGCATGAGGCTGGAGCTCTATGGCTGCACCTGGGAAGGTACTACTTTAAAGCTGCTCATGATGGGCAGGACATATGAACACTCTGTAAGCTAATGTACTACTAAACTCATTCCAGATAGAGATCACCATAATTATAGACTAAGAGGAAATGTAGGCACAGAGGAAAATATCCGCCTCATTTGGAACTCGTTCTTAATGAAAGTGTTTCTCAGTTTGTGGAATTTGCCTTTGCAACAGAAATAATTAAAACGTATTCAAATCTGGTTCAATTTAAAAACCTGTTTTAAAAAGTAAAAACATGGAGGAGGAGTGTGATAACCTGAGTATAGAGTGAGTGATGAGAGAGAGGTGTAGAGCCAGAGAGTGTTTGGGCCTGTGTTTTTGTATCCTGTTTATTTTGTTGTTGAATGTGTACCTATGGCCCGGTGCAGTATGCTAGCGAGGAGCTTCCTAACCTGAGCACGTCTGGGTTGTTGTTGACTTATTTTTACGCCAATGTGTCTTTGACAACAATGTCTTCCTCAGGGCAGTGGTCAGGGCAGTACTAATACTTAAAAATCATACTGGGGGTTGGGAAATGGGGTATTTTTCTTGGTGTTGTAGTGTGCTGGTGTTATGCATGTGTCTAAATCTCTCCGGCTCAGATACAGAGACAGTACTGTAGACCAGGGGTGGGCAATTATTTATTATGGAGGGCCAAAGGCCTTTGGGAAGCCACATTGGGATATCGCTCTATTGTGGAGGGCCGAAGCCGTTATCGTGTAGTTCATATTTTATTTAATTTAGCAAAAAGTTAGTTCTAGTTATTACTACAGTTTTTCTCTGTTGCTACAACACAAAACCCAGTACTCTAAACCAAATGGCCAATTGCCTAAACACATTTATTAAAACTTCCCCCCACTTCTCACAACAATAAACACAATTCTCCTGTAGACACTGTTCACAAAACACATGCCCTTTTTCTCAAAACTCTAAACACATTTTTCCTTTGCTAAAACACATTTTTCCTTTGCTAAAACCCTTTTTGCATGTATTTCTGCTCCTATAATCATTGTGATGCTCATGTGATGAAAAATGTCTCCCACTGTCAGCAAAACCTGAACACAATGAACAAACCTGGTGTCATTCAGAAAACACAACCACTCAGAACTGAAAACACCTGTTGCAAATGATGTGACCACACGTTTATAAGTCAGTGCAGTTTGATGAAGGTTCAAAACAAAAATGGATAATCAAGGCAGAAGAAGAGGAGTTCGTGTCAGAGGAGGGAGAGGAGCAGGCCGAGGAGAGAGAGGAGCAGGCCGAGGAGAGAGAGGAGCAGGCCGAGGAGAGAGAGCAGCAGGCCGAGGAGAGAGAGCAGCAGGCCGAGGAGGGAGAGGAGCAGGCCGAGGAGGGAGAGGAGCAGGCCGAGGAGAGAGAGGAGCAGGCCGAGGAGAGAGAGGAGCAGGCCGAGGGGAGAGAGGAGCAGGCCGAGGAGAGAGAGGAGCAGGCCGAGGAGAGAGAGGAGCAGGCCGAGGGGAGAGAGCAGCAGGCCGAGGAGGGAGAGAAGGAGGGCGAGCAAGACAACGCATTTCCATTACAGATGAACTAAGAGCAACAGTCATTGTCCACGGCATGACTATTGTGTCTAATGGATCCTCTATAGAATTTACACTACCCATGTTTCTATTGAGTTTTGATATAACTGCATTTTCTGCGTTATGTAACTATTCCCATGATACGCGCAAATCTATAGTAAAGGCCCAAAACATATTTGAGAATTTAAAAAAATCTGAAAATTGTGTTTTCAATTGTTTTGGTGATGTGGTTAATGATGCTCATAGTGTTCACATTTTTGCAGACCATGAGAGGTATTTTGGTGTGATGGGTTGGTTTTGAAAAGAGACTGTGTTGTTGTGTGTACGTAGCTTTAGAAAAGAGGTTTGTGTTTAGAGTTTTGAGAAAAGGGAGGGCAGTATCGTGAAATGTGTTTAAGCAATAGAGAAAAACTGTAATAACAGTTTGGGTTCATAAATGAGAACAGAATAAATGTTTGACATGCCGTGGTAGCACACACCTTCACTGTGTAATGACTGTTCATGATTCATTGAAATGCAACAGATCGATATGAGGTGAAAGACCTAACTCGAGTGTGTTGTCCTCAGATGGTCTGATGTCGTACTCTGCTCCGCTGGGACACGTCATGACTCCTCCTGGTTTTACCGCCATCACCCTCAATGACTCCAGCTATGACGGCTCCCGCTACAGAGGGCACGTACCACTGCTATGGACATTTATGTTAAGGGTCATTGTTTTGTGGCTTTCTGAAGTCACAGAGAAAGAAAAACACATCATGTCAAAGGGGGGTAAAGAAGGAGAGAGAGGGACAAGGGGGGACAGCGACAAATGGCAACAGGAAGGGGAGAGAGGCATCAGAAGGACACTCACATCAAAGACATGATCACAATCTAAGGGAAGAACACGTGAGATCTACAATCTTTAAAGTCTCTACAAGAACAACACAAACCTAAATTCTCTTGTACTGTATACACGTAAAGTTAAACATTATATCGTTAATGTATTTACTCTTTAAAATACCACCACTTATGAATTATCCATGCCCTCTACACTAGTGACGTCCGGTGAGGTTTGTAACTGGGGAGGCGCTGACTTCAAAAGTCAGACATACAAACGTTGTTCTCCTCGGGCGGCATGGTGGCTGAGTGGATAGCACTCTCGCCTCTCAGCAAGAAGGTCCTGGGTTCGAATCCTGGCCGGACCAGGGCCTTTCTGAGTGGAGTTTGCATGCTCGCCCCGTGTCTGCGTAGGTTTCCTCCGGGTACTCCGGTTTCCCCTACCACTAAAAATATGTACAATAGTTCTGGCATGCGCCTCCTGTTCGGCGACCCCGCTCCCATCTCGGTGTGGAGTGAGAGGACAAGTGCCCAAAAAATAACAATTGTAAACCGCTTTGTGACTCTGGTCTGTGAAAGGCGGCATATAAATAAAGCTTACTTACTTACTTACTAATAAAATAGCAATAATTCACCAATGCAATAATGTCCGCAAACAGCATCTTTTAATAATCCAACAACAAATCCAGCTGTGGACTCTCTGTCCGTATCACATCTTTGAGAAGCACAGGAGGGAGAGACGCGAGGACTGATAGAGATAAAGGTAAAGGTGCACTTTGTTGATCCCCTTAGGGCAATTCATTTTCTGCATTTGACCCATCCTGATGCCAATAAGGCTTACGTCAGGAGCAGTGGTCACCGTAGTACAGCGCCCGGGAACCCATCTCCAGATATTGATACTGGGCTTGGTCAGGACCGGAGCTGGAGGATTTAACCTAGTGAGCATGTTTTTAGTGGTAGGGGAAACCGGAGTACCCGGAGGAAACCTACGCAAGCACAGGGAGAACATGCAAAATCCACTCAGAAAGACCCCGTTCCGACCGGGTTTCGAACCCATGAGGGGCTGAGAGGCAAGAGTCCTATCCACTTAGCCACCCGATAGAGATGTGTCACAGGAGCTCTGCTGTCAGGGGAGGCACTTTTTTGATCTAAAGTCTGTATGGACTGTGGACTGAGTTTTGTCGTGTTAAGACTCTGGTTTCTGTGGTGGCAGGAGGCTGGTGGGAGGCCTAGGTAAGCTGACAGACGGAGCCATTGGTCTGGACGACTTCCTGGTCACGCGGCAGTACCAGGTGTGGCCTGGATACGATTACGTCGGCTGGAAAAACGACTCGCTCTCTCAGGTGGACATCGAGTTCACCTTCGACAGGACCAGAAACTTCACCTACATGAAAGTAAGCTGTGCTGCAGTGATTGCCATACATCCTGCTGGGACAGCGATGGCACAGACGAGGGCATTTCTTTAGAAAAACTACTGTCACGTTCTGAAAAGGAGGAAGGACCCAAAATGCAGGACTGCCAAAAATAAGATTTAATAAACAAAAAATAACAAAATCCAGGATACAGAACTTAAAACTCAAACCAGAACGAAACAGGGACAAAAACACAAAGGACCAATAACAAGGGGAGAGAAGCACAGGGTTTAATGACACACAGGGGCACACAGGTAAAACTCATTAGGGCGGGACAGGAAATTAACAGAACAGACATGAGCAACACTGAAGGACCAATATATCAAAATAAAACCAGGAAAAGTAATCAAAATGTCCACACCATAACAACTAAAGTTCTATTCTATCTGCCGTTGTAAATGGCATTTAATACCTTTGTTCATTCTGGAAACACTTCAATTAAAAATGTACTCAATATAATATCTGTCTTATCAGATGGCTTATGGCTTATCTTATCTTAAGTATTAGGCTTTATGTGTAGCTCATTAACTGTTTGTGTCCCTGTCTCTGCTTCAGGTGCACAGTAACAACATGTTCTCTCGCGGCGTGAAGATCTTCTCGTCGGTTTGGTGTGCGTTCAGGCGGCAGCTAGCGGGGGCGTTTGAGGTGAAGCGGGTGGACTTCCGGACGGTTCTGGACGATCGGAACCCCAGCGCTCGCTACGTCACGGTGCCTCTGGGCCGGGCCGGCAGAGTCATCCACTGCAGCTTCAGCTTCGCCGACACATGGATGATGTTCAGCGAGATCTCCTTCCACTCAGGTGCAAGCGTTAGACTGTGCTCTGTTTTATATTAGACTCATATAAAAGTCTGTGATACCATGTACGCAGAGACTGTGTGGTTCCACTCAGAGAGAGTGCCTTCTCTGAGGACACAGAAATATCAGTGCTGGCCTTGTATAATCTTTAACATTTAAAATAACTGTCAGACACTAATGGTCTGTATATTGTTAACAGTTTTATTCTATTCATTTGTATCTTGTTATTGTGTTGATTATCTGAATTTCTTTTTACTGTGATGTGAACTTTATCAGTTTAATTGTATTACTGTCCTAAAAGATTTTTTTTAATCCAGGGAAACGGATGTAAAAGGGCTGAGTTGCTGATTTGTAATTACAACAATTTAATTCATGTGCACTGTCCCTGTGAAAATAAATACATTAAATAAATGAATACAAATAATACAAAGTGCATAATAAGTATTTGTACATTTGAACCATTTCTAGCTAAACCCCAGCAGGTGGATTGCATCAGTAATCAGTGCTTAGGGACTGTATTCGTAAGGTCCCTTTGGGTATATTCCAGCTCTTACATGGGTTGGGCTTTGGCCTTTATGCAGTTGTTAAAATCTACCTGAAATACTTTTTACTTTGTTTCATGCAGGAAATGAAATGTTGTGCACCAAAGGAAATTGTCCTGTTCTTTCTCCAACAGCTGCACTGTCACTGTTGACACAAACTTACGCACATATGGTCTTTGCGCAAAAATGAGTCCATCATAAATCAAGTACATATTGGATCCATTCAGTCTGGACTAAAAATGTGAATGAATAAGATATAATGATAATACATGATAGATGATGATTTTAATGATGAAATTAAAAGTGCAGTAATATTTAGCTATTTCTGTGCACTGTGCTCATGTGTTGGTTTCTACTGTTGTTTGTCCCTTAGAGGAGGCCGTAGTGATCCCACAGAGTGGAGACAAGTCGACAACATCAGCACCTGTTCATGTGACTGCCACCATGTCCCCTCACTCAGGTACTGAGACCTTTACACAAATCATGATTCTGATGTTGTGTTCCTCAGAAATACAGTTGTGCTTGAAGGTTTACACACCCAGCCAGAGATGCCATTGTTTTGGCCGTATGTGGGCGGCTCAGTGGTGCAGTGGTTAGCACTCATGCTTCATAACAAGAAGGTCCTGGGTTTAGACAGGGCTTTTCTGAGTGGTATGTTCTCTCATGTGCTCCGGTTTTCCCCTACCACTAAAATGTATAATGTTTAATAGTTCAGGGTGAATGAGATTGAGTTTTTGAGTGTGAGGATGGAAAGTTGCCCAAGATTACGATCTGGCATATTTACAGCACTGCTGTTCATTAATAGATACTTTCCCATCAACATCTGGTGCAACATCATTTAATCACGATAGAACATGACAGTTCCCTTTATTTAAAGTCGAAGAAAACCTTTGTGGCTTGTGTGCACCCCAGTGTACTGATTCAGAGCAGTACTCAGTCCTGCTCCTGCCTCTCAGCACAGTGTCTTCTGCAGATGTATTTTACAGTGTATGCACGGCTTTTGACAGCTGCAGGACACTCAAACCTACATCAAACAGGTTTGATATCTCTGCAATCGCACTTCAGCAATTGTGAGTTCAGGTGGTTAGAAAAGTTTATAAAGTGTGTGTTGAGGGGTTATACAGACTTTGGCTGCTACTTTGCACTCATGGTTATTTTTACATCTGTCAAATAAACGTCTTTTCTGTTTTCAAATTATGACATCATGAAGCCACTCTTGGGGGAGATTTTGGAGAGATCCCAAATGTGCAGTTAAGAGCCAGTCTTTTTCCCAAGAATGAACGGCTTTACCATCAGAGAGAGTAAATAGCCTCATCCATAACTACCACAAAAGACTCCAGGCTGTCATAGATGATAAAGGGGAAAGACACAACTTCTGATCGGGCTCTGAAGAGTACTGTCTGTTCTCATTATGAATTGAAAACATATTTATTTTATTATATATTTAAGAGTGCATTATCATTTGTAATCTCTGAAATATGCTCTAGTTTTTCCTCTGGGTCTGAAAATTCTCAACTGTACCTGATATTTGAATTTTTTTTCCCTCTCTTTTAGCTGTGAATGCTTCGTCTAGCCCCGCCCCAGAGGAGGGCAGTTCGGCTGTGCTGATTGGCTGCCTGGTGTCCATCATCCTGCTGCTCGTGGTGGTGATCTTCCTGATTCTGTGGTGTCAGTGCGTCTGCAAAGTTCTGGAGAAGGTCTGTCTCATCTTTACACTTATGACTACAACTACATATTCTGCATAGAAAATTATGTACTTGTTTTTTTATAATTTGCTGCACTGCTAAATGTCTATTGTGTGCACTTGTAAATAGTAGGAATTTTAAAAAATGTCATGAAGACTTTTTGTGTTATGCATGCCCTTACCTTTAACTCTTACAACTTGATTGCAACTTGAGCCAAAGCAAATTCTTAGTTGGTAATTGATTGACTATTCACCTTGTGGAGATGCAAGCCCACGAACATCCACAATGAAGGAAACATTCTGGTCTGTTTTTTGAGTCACACATGGACTGTTTGTGTCCAGGCTCCTCGGAGAATCCTGGAGGAGGAGATGACTGTGCGGCTGTCCTCCTGCAGCGACACCATCGTCCTGCAGACCCCCCCTGTGCCCCCCCGCAATACACAAGGTACAGCTGCAGGTCCATCAGGTTCACCTTACGACAGTCAGGGTTATGTGTTGTACCCAATTTTAATATATGGATAGGGTGTTACTAGCTTGCTAAAAGAGCTCGACCTCAGCTGACAGAGAACCTGCAGCTTTCATAAAGGTCAGATTTTGTGGGATTATAGTGTCCCTTGTCATCCTGAACTTTTTTTCTTGTTAAATCCATTGGTTTTCTTTAAATCCACACAAACTCTGCTCATTTGCCTCGGGCTCTACCTCCACTCTGATCAGCAGCCGCTAATTGGTAAGAATCAATTCGTATTTGGCGCATCATGGGAGGAAGATTTTTTGAAGCTAAGTTCCATGAGTATCCTGAATCGCAGTAGAAGGATTGACAACGTTTCTGTCTTTACTGATGAATTGGTGGCCTTTATTGTATGCTTGCTCTAAGTATGTGGAGGGTTCTAAACCAAGAGCAGTTGTTATTCATTCAGATCCTATTAGTGCTGGTAAAAGTATGTTAAAAGTAAGTTGGCCAATCAGAGTCAAGACAAGGCATTAATCTGTTTAGAATCAGAAGGATTTGGTTTGTGTGGTATCTGCTATCGAAGGGAATAACTGAGGAGATAGGTACGCAAGGCAGGAAGCTGAGAGGAGGGAGGTTATCCTATCAGTTCCTCATTTTAAATCTGGGAAATCTGAGTAAAGGAATTTCCAGTTGTTATGGCGTCATAAACAAATGCATCATTAGGAAATAGGAGAATAGTAGATATCTTGTCAAGAATAAGGTTCAATCATACAGATTCAGATTCATTTATTTGCAATTTGGAGTAAACCCACATTGGAAAGCACTATTTAATACTGGATTAAATAGTGCTCTGTTTAGAATTGGAAAACATCAAAGTGGGTTGTGTTTGTGCGTTCAGGAGCAAGAGACCACTAATCATGTGTCACTCAGTCCTTCCAAGATACAGAGAGATATAAATGTGATGCAGCAGAATTACAGCCAAACCTAGAATGAGTCATGTGTGAGTGAATGGGCTGGGCAGCAGTCGAAGGCGGAGACCTCGGCGACCCAGTCCGCACACCCAACATCTGGCTCTTGGGACGTGGAACGTCACCTCACTGGGGGGGAAGGAGCCCGAGCTTGTGGGGGAGGTCGAGAGGTACCGACTAGAGATAGTCGGCCTCACCTCCACACACAGCTTGGGCTCTGGAACCCAACTCCTTGAGAGGGGTTGGACGCTCCACTTTTCTGGTGTTTCTCGCGGGGAGAGGCGGCGAGCTGGGGTGGCCATACTCATTGCCCCCCATCTCAGCCGCCACGTGTTGGAGTTCTCCCCGGTGAATGAGAGGGTCGCGTCCCTCCGCCTTCGGGTGGGGGACAAGTCTCTCACTGTTGTGACGGCCTACGGGCCTAACAGCAGTGCAGAGTACTCGGCCTTCTTGGAGTCCTTGGGAGGGGTACTGGACGGTGCACCGCCCGGGGACTCCGTCATTCTCCTGGGGGACTTTAACGCCCATGTGGGAAGCGCCAGTGACACTTGGAGAGGGGTGATCGGGAAGAATGGCCCCCCTGATCTGAACCCGAGTGGTGTTCAGTTGTTGGACTTCTGTGCTAGCCACGGTTTGTCCATCACGAACACCATGTTCGAGCACAAGGGTGTCCACCAGTGCACGTGGCACCAGGACACCCTAGGCCGGAGGTCGATGATCGACTTTGTTGTCGTATCATCTGACCTTCGGCCGCGTGTTTCGGACACTCGGGTAAAGAGAGGGGCGGAGCTGTCAACCGATCACCACCTGGTCGTGAGTTGGATCCGCTGGCAGGGGAAGAAGCCGGTCAGACCTGGCAGACCCAAGCGTGTAGTGAGGGTCTGCTGGGAACGTCTCGCTGAGACCCCTGTCAGACGGACTTTCAACTCACACCTCCGGGAGAGCTTCTCCCAGGTCCCGGCGGAGGAGGGGGATATTGAGTCTGAGTGGACCATGTTCTCTTCCTCTATCGCCGATGCGGCGGCTCGTAGCTGTGGTCGCAAGGTCTCTGGTGCTGGTCCCGGCGGCAACCCCCGAACCCGGTGGTGGACACCGGCATTAAGGGATGCTGTCAGGCTGAAGGAGTCCTATCGAGCCATGATGGTTCGGGGGACTCTTGAGGCAGCTGTCCAGTACTGGCAGGCCAAGCGTGCCGCGGCCCGGGCTGTTCCAGAGGCAAAAACCCGAGACTGGGAGGAATTCGGAGAGTCCATGGAGCATGACTATCGGTCGGCCTCGAAGAGATTCTGGCAAACTGTCCGGCGCCTCAGGAGGGGGAAGCAGTTCTTTGCCAACACCGTGTACGGTGCGGGGGGTGAGCTGCTGACCTCGACCGGGGATATTGTCGGACGGTGGAAGGAATACTTTGAGGTTCTCCTCAATCCCCCCGTCACGTCCTCCGCTCCGGAGGCAGAGGCTGAGGATGTTGGGGCGGATACTTCTGTCACCCTGGCAGAGGTCACCAAGGTGGTTGGCAGCCTCCTTGGTGGCAAGGCGCCGGGAGTGGATGAGATCCGTCCTGACTATCTAAAGTCTCTGGATGTTGTAGGACTGTCTTGGCTGACACGTCTCTGCAACATCGCGTGGCGATCGGGGGCGGTGCCAATGGAGTGGCAGACCGGGGTGGTGGTCCCTCTCTACAAGAAGGGGGACCGGAGGGTGTGTTCCAATTATCGTGGGATCACACTCCTCAGCCTCCCTGGTAAGGTTTACTCCAAGGTACTGGAGAGGAGGTTACGGCCGATGGTCGAATCTCGGATTCAGGAGGAGCAGTGTGGTTTTCGTCCCGGCCGTGGAACACTGGACCAGCTCTACACTCTCCATCGGATACTCGAGGGTTCATGGGAGTTCGCCCAACCTGTCCACATGTGCTTTGTGGATTTGGAGAAGGCGTTCGACCGTGTTCCCCGGGGTGTCCTTTGGGGGGTCCTCCGTGAGTACGGGGTCCGGGGTCCTCTGCTGAGGGCCGTCCGGTCCCTGTATGACCGGAGCCAGAGCTGTGTTCGCATTGCCGGCAGTAAGTCAGACCTGTTCCCGGTGCATGTTGGCCTCCGCCAGGGCTGCCCTTTGTCACCGGTTCTGTTCACTGTATTCATGGACAGAATTTCTAGGCGCAGCCAAGGGTCGGAGGGGGTCCGGTTCGGGGACCACAGGATTTCATCTCTGCTGTTTGCAGACGATGTTGTCCTGTTGGCTCCAACGAACCAGGACCTACAACATGCACTGGGACGGTTTGCAGCCGAGTGTGAAGCGGCTGGGATGAGAATCAGCACCTCCAAATCTGAGGCCATGGTGCTCGACCGGAAAAAGGTGCCTTGCCCTCTCCGGGTGGGAGGAGAGGCCCTTCCTCAAGTGGAGGAGTTCAAGTATCTCGGGGTCTTGTTCACGAGTGAGGGAAGAATGGAGCGTGAGATTGACAGGCGGATCGGTGCAGCGTGCGCAGTGATGCGGTCGCTGTATCGGACCGTTGTGGTAAAGAGGGAGCTGAGCCGAAAGGCAAAGCTCTCAATTTACCGGTCAATCTTCGTCCCCTCCCTCACCTATGGTCATGAGCTTTGGGTAATGACCGAAAGAACAAGATCGCGGATACAAGCGGTCGAAATGAGCTTCCTCCGCAGAGTGGCTGGGCGCTCCCTTAGAGATAGGGTGAGGAGCTCAGTCACACGGGAGGAGCTCGGAGTAGAACCGCTGCTACTCCACGTCGAGAGGAACCAGTTGAGGTGGCTCGGGCATCTGTTCCGGATGCCTCCTGGACGCCTCCCTGGGGAGGTGTTCCGGGCATGTCCCACCGGGAGGAGGCCCCGGGGAAGACCCAGGACACGCTGGAGGGACTATGTCTCTCAGCTGGCCTGGGAACGCCTTGGAGTCCCCCCGGACGAGCTGGAGGAGGTGTGTGTGGATAGGGAAGTCTGGGCGTCTCTGCTTAGACTGCTGCCCCCGCGACCCGGCAACGGATGAAGCGGAAGAAAATGGATGGATGGATGGATGAGTGAATGGTTGGTGGTGGTCAGAGAAGCATTGGCCATGGTTACAACAATAGTTTTTTGCCATCTTGAATGGAGTGATTGAAGAATGGTTAAGTGAAATGTAACATGTTGTGTTGCTCTTTGTTGCAGCAGTCATCTGTGACCCTCACTACGAGCGAGTTTTTCTTTTGGACCCTCAATATCAGAATCCAGCTCATCTGAGGAACAAGCTGCCAGAGCTGTCACAGAGCGCAGAGGCCTCAGGTAATACTGCTGCTACTGCTGCTACTACTACTACAACTGCTACTGATACTACAACTATATTACTGCTGCAACTACTATGCTTCTACTACTACTACTACTACTACTATTACTACTGCTGCTGCTACTACAACTATACTACTGCTGAAACTACTATGCTTCTACCACTGCAACTACTATTACTACCGATACTAAACTATAAGCATCTCCGTTCTTCTTGTGATAAACTGCCTTTTTCCTTTTAGCGGTTTCTCATTCACAAACAAACAGACTTACAGCTGCATCAAAAATATTATATTTCCTGGTTCAATAAGTGTTTATGGACAAGCATCTAAATGAGCCCGCCTTCTTTCAAAATCCAGCTCATCAGAGTGCAGAAAACTCAGAACAAGCTGCAGAATCAAGCACACTAATCTAAAGTGTAATGAGTAATTTCTGATAATTAGCTGATGGTTTACAGTCACAATTATTTATTTGAAAATAAAGTCATTGTTCTTCACATATTGGCCTGTTAACTGTTAACTGCAGGATTCCACGTTGTGATGTAACTCTAAACCATAGACTGTAAACCAACAGCTGATGGAGCAAAACAAATCTGTTAGACAACTGTGGGAACAATGTTGAAACGTTGTGAAAAGCTCAGTCAATTTAGCACTTTATTTCTTTTTTTTAAACAAGCTGTATTATCAATTTCTCAGTGTCTGCTTCAGTCTTTGATGCTGTAAGATGCATGCTCTGTTCTCCTCCTTTCCTCTCCTCTCCTCCTCTCCTCACAGTTTTTCTGGGTAACCCTCTGTACGACCTGATCCTCCTCTCTTCCTGTCGCCTCCTCCCTGAGCCCTTCACCTCCTGTCAGCTGACCGGGGGCTGGCTGCGGGGTAAGACTCCTCAGGTGTGCTCACACTTCACCTGCACTTTCACTCCTCTCTGTGTCGGCCTGCACAGTTAGTCACAATTTTGTATTATTTGCCGAATGAATGGATTGATCACATATATAAAAAAAACATGTGAACAAAACAAAGTGATGCCTCTGGAGAACATTTTCATGAATTGTTTCACATTGACTAAAAATATTTTGTAAACACATTCATTTCATTCTTCTGACATTATAGAATTTTCTGGGTGATAAAACCTCTTCTCAGCATGTATAAGTTTATGGAAGGATCAAAAAAGAATCACTAGAATGCAATGATTGATTAGTTGCTACAGACCATATTATCAGATGGAAGAATGAAAAATGATAAACTAGACTAAATACAAGAACTACTGATTGTGGAGGTGGGAAATTTGTTGTGTTAAGGCCTCGTCTCTGTCCTCAGCGTGCGGCGGAGGTTACGCGGAGCCAGACGTGACCCAGTGCACGCCTCATCAGAGCTTCCAGACCTCGGCGCCGCACTACGCTGAGACCGACATCGTGAGGCTGCAGGGGGTCACGGGCTCCAACATGTACGCCGTCCCCGCGCTCACCGTGGACTCGCTCACTCGCAAAGATATCTCCGCCGCCGAGATCCCCCGCCACCGGCTGCTCTTCAGGGAGAAGCTGGGAGAGGGCCAGTTTGGAGAGGTACTGGCTTCTGCTCACGTTATTAAAAAGATGAAAAGATCCTTTATTTTGTCCCAAAGAGGACATTTCAGTGTTGCAGAACAGTAGGAATGAAGAGCACACAATACAAGATAACTCAAGATAAGATAAGAATAAAGTAAAGGGGTTTTATATGGGACCGTGCCACATAAAAGACATATTGTAAGAATTATTTGTGTTCATTTTGAAGGATCTTGAAACTTTTCCTACAAAGATGTTTCTACTAAGGAAGAACTGTGGTTTTTTACCCTGTGTCACCTCTTCCTTACACTGTGTGACCGGGCTGGTGTTCCCACTCCTACTGTTTGCTAGTTTTAGCAGAATGTCAGGACCTGGTTGGTCAGTTCCTAAAGTAAATGTCAGTTACTTTTCAGATTGTGGGGAGAGGGAGATAATGATAATGTAAATAGCACTGGTTAGACACGCCCATGCTCGAGCTTTTGGTTTTCTGATTGGACGAGACAAGTTGAAATCCTTGTTTGTCGGGCAAAATGTTGTGCCATTGGTTTAAAGCAGGGGTTCCCAAAGTTTTTAGCCCGCGACCCCCATCATAAATGCGCTGCTCCCCCGCGACCCCCCACCTCAACAGTCCTTCCCGTCAATGAGCATGTATTTCCTCGATACGGAGTAACGCAGAGACTCGCGCCACTACTGAGCTGCACTGTCCAGCCCAAAAAAGGAGGCTTGCGTATTTTTACTCACGTAGTGACACAGTGATGGGCTTGGTGGGCTCCCTTCTTAGCAGAAGTGGAGCGCATTTCTTGCGGCTCGCCCTCTCTGTTCTCATACCGCGGTAAAGTGGCCCGGCTTTTCGGAGTCAGCAGTAAAGAGGTCCGCACATAAAAAGCGGGCGGCCGCTTTCTGCTGTTACTTTATGCGCTTCATCCCCGCGGCTTCTTTTTCCAAAGTTACTGTAAGTAACAGCATAAAGCAGCCACCCGCTTTTAATGTGCGGACCTCTTTACCACTGACTCCGAAAAGCCGGGCCTCTTTACCACCCTCTTCTACCGCTGCCTTCTCTCCCTCCGCTGCCTTCTCTCTGTCTCTTCGCACCATCAGCCTGACCTCACATGTGACTTTTCTCTCCCTCCGGGTTTTTCTGTTGTGGATATTAACCACGTTTCATTTTAAAGCAGGTATTATTTGTTTGAAGCCTCCAAACACCTTTAGTTTTAGCAAACAACAGCAGGACACGCTTTGTCGCTGCGTGACGTAAGCTACGTAACTTGATTTTGATTGACGCTGTCAATGACTGGACAAAATTACAAACGTAATTTAAATATTTTATATTCTCCTAACACAATTTAACAAGTAGTCCTTTTGAATCAAATCAAATGTTAAATCAATATTTAAGGGCTATTAATTGGCAAAATGTTTTTTTTTTTTTTTTTTTTTTTTTTTTTGGAAATCATCTTGCAACCCCCCCCCCAGGGGTTCCCGCGACCCCCCGGGGGGTCGGGACCCCCACTTTGGGAACCACTGGTTTAAAGGAGCAATATGTAATATTTGCATGTCAAGTCATCATTAAATGACCCGAATATTTCAAAAGGCGTTATTAAATCATACTCTTTTCGAATTCATCTTTAACTGATAACAGTAGTTCAGCCGAGATATTTGATTATCAAAATTAGTTTTACGACCCGTAAAAGTTGTTATTGTTTTGATTTTGATGTCCTACCCTCCACCGTTTCGCCAATCAGGAAGTGTCATGTAAGTCCGTGATCGGGTTGCCAGAACTCCGTGCGGCTCACTAATCTCAGAGGTAAAATAACATGTGGCGCAGAACTAAAAAAGGTCTTGTTATGACTCTCAAATCATTAATGACAAAACAAAGACTAAAACGAGGATTTATATCGGGATGCCTTTGAACAATTGAGACAGCTGATAAAAGTTCACGTGTGATGCAGAATTTGCTAGTTTGACTCCGTTCTTCACAGTTACCATAACTGTGTGAATCGGTGGTATAGTGGTCAAAACTGTGCGCTTACGATGCAGGAACCTGGGTTCGATTCCGGGCTATGTCTTTTTGTATTTATTGCATGTTATCACATTCTATGACAGATTGCTCTAAAAACGGTAAAAGACGAAGGTCAAGACGTTTTTTTGCAGATTATAGCTTGATTGTAAAAATAATCATTTAAGACCACATGTACCCCAATTAAAATAATGTTAGTCTCTTTTTGATGTGGGACTTTTACATGTTTGTCTAAAAAATAGGGAATAAATAAAATTGAAAGGTGATATCCTCTTGAGCAAACCCTGATGTTGATACGCTGAAGAAATACGTTCCAACATCCATTCTTCCCACTCCTATTTTGGACATCAATTTCTTATGTAGTTTGCATAAACTATGTATAATTACATTGCTTTTATTTTGTTTTTGTTTTTTATCTCAAATGTCCAAATAATAGTAATAAAAAAACATGAATAAAAACATTCATTCAGCATTAGCACGGCTGTCATGGCAATGTGAATGGAGACGGACAAACAACTGATAAAATAATTCCCTGTGTTTGCTGCTGGATTTGGTGTGAATCTGGCAACCTGAGTCAGGGAGAGTGGGAGAGGACTACAAAATATTGACTGTGACTGCAGAACCACTTTTGGCCAGATTTTTACATATTGTTCCTTTAATTATTCTCCTTCCTCTCCTTGTCATCCTCTCCTCTGCTTTGATTTTTTTTCTATTAAGGGGAAATATTATTCATAATACCGAGCATACATGTTGGGTCGCCTGGGCTAGATCTACTCCACACACTAGGGTTGAAAGACTGAAATAACGATTATTCTTATTTCAGTTTTCTTGTATTGATAGTTTGTGTGTGTGTGTGTGTGTGTGTGTGTGTGTGCGTCTTTGTGCATGTGTGTGCGTGCGTATGTGTCAGGTGCACCTGTGCGAGGCCGAGGGGCTGGAGGTCCTGGGATCTTCGCGCTCAGACTTGCGTTCTGTTCTGGTGGCAGTGAAACAGCTGCGAGCCGACGCCACCAACCAGGCCCGGTACGTCTGGTTTTGTTGCTTCATACATTCTCTACGCTGCAAAAAGTGCTGAAAAACAAGTCCAAAATTGCTCAAAATGTATCTTTTGAGCATATTCTGCCAAAAGTGCTCCTCTTCCTCTGTTCATGACGTTTCTTGTACTCAGAAACGACTTCCTGAAGGAGATAAAAATCATGTCTCGCCTGAACGACCCGAACATCATCCGTCTGCTGTGTGTGTGCGTGACCTCCGACCCCCTGTGCATGGTCACCGAGTACATGGAGAACGGAGACCTCAACATGTTCCTGTCCCAGCGCGAGATCGAGAGCACGCTAACGCACGCGAACAACATCCCCTCTGTCAGGTCAGCCTGTTGCTACTACTACTGCTGCTACTGCTGTTACTACTGCTACTACTACTACTACTGCTACTGCTACTGCTACTACTGCTTCTGCTACTATACTAATGCTGCTACAACTGCAGTGCAACTGCTACTGTGATATGGGGGGAAAACGTAGTTACAGCAAAAGGAAACAAAGCTGTGATGTTCAATTTATTTACAAAAAATAAAAGGTTAAAAGTCCCATTAAAAAAAGGTGTAGGTTGGAATGGTCCCAGCGTGTCGCTTAGCGGCCCGGGTTCTTCAGCTTCATCTCCTGCAGGGAAGAGCAGAGCAGCGGCAGCGGGGTGGAAGGCAAGCAGCAAAACACGGACATGGCAGCAACAAAAACATGAGCACCGCTACTTTCCCGCACTTACCAGCGAGGCCGAGCTTTTACACTCGGCCGCCGTCTGGATTTGGCCTCGCGGTGCTCAACCCGGTGGATTGCGTCTCCTCTGGTGCCGCGGCCCCTGAAGGCAAAGCACATCCCTACAGACAAGCGCACATACACCCCAACGAGTCCCTGCGCCAAAGGCTACTTCATGAACACCACTACTCAATGCGTCAAGGTACTTACACGCGAAGGTAGAGCGTCCTCTGCCTCCTGCGGTAGTTCAGCTTCGTGGTGTTCTCTATTGACTCGTGGGCGATGGCCTGTGGTCCAGGTCCCAGTCCAGGTTCAGATCCCGGGTCGGGTGAGGTGCGGTGCGGTGCGGTTCCATGCCGTGCCGTGCTCCGGCGTGCCATCCACCCCCCGTGTTCCGCTCTCCCGCCTGCGTCTGCTCCTCCTCGGGTCACTCCATCTCTCTCCGCTCCCAGTCCGCCCTTATCAGTCTCCTGCCCGCTCAGTCGCAGGTGCGCTGATTATTCTTTGAGCGCAGGCATTGGAGGCAGGTCACGTGTGGCTCGGGGCAGCAAGGCATAAAGTTAAAATTAAATAAAACACTGATAAAAACAAAACCATGCAAAAATAAAACCATGCAATAATTAAAACCATGCAATAAAAGCACACACTAAAATACAATAAAACATGCCTTCTTACACTACTACTACTACTACTACTGCTACTGCTATGTACCTGCACATTGTTCTTAATAAACTAAACTCTAAACTCTACTATAGAACTACTACCTCTGTAGATGGAGGTCAATTGTTCATGTGCTAATTCTGTGTACAGTCTGTCGGAGCTGCTGCACATGTCGGTCCAGATTGCCTCTGGGATGAAGTATTTGGCCTCTCTGAACTTTGTGCATCGAGATCTGGCCACGAGGAACTGTCTCCTGGACCGACGCCTCACCATCAAGATCTCCGACTTCGGCATGAGCAGGAATCTGTACAGCAGCGACTACTACAGGATCCAGGGCAGAGCTGTGCTGCCCATTCGCTGGATGGCCTGGGAGAGCATCCTACTGGTATGAGAACTGGACGTCTCAACATGGACTAGAACACGGATGAGAGCAGGTCTAAAACTGGACTGAGCTGAGGTCACTTTCAAAGCACAAAAAATAAGATTAAGATTATTCGTCTCACAGTGGGGAAATGTCAGTGTTGCATCATTAGTTACAGAACAGTACAAATGAGAAGCACACAACACAAGATAAATTCATGATAACACTGTTACTTTTACTAAAATAAAATCTCCAACTTTAGCATACTAAGGAAGTAAGAGATAAATATAATGACAAGAACTTCCTCATTCTCAATACCTATATTTTTCACCTATTCCACATCAAAATAGAGCTGTAGCCATAGACAGTGTTGGGCACGTTACTTTGAAAAAGTAATTAGTTATAGTTACTAGTTACTTCTCCCAAAAAGTAACTGAGTTACTAACGGAGTTACTCCACTATAAAAGTAACTAGTTACCAGTAAAAGTAACTATTGCGTTACTTTTTCGTTTTGTTCTGGAACATAATGTGCACCCGACGTGCGCATTTTTACCTTTAACAGTGCCAATATTTCCATCTAGAAAAGGCTGTTTTGCTGCTGAAGTCCTGTTCACTCTTCATCTCTCACTGTGCTGTAAAGCCCGTCACTGTGAATGTGGAAACACCGGTGACGAGCGGTGAGGCTGGTGAAGCACTGACTTCAGTCCAATCAGATGAACATATACATCATATAAATCAAGTGGACAATTTGTTTGGCTACAGCAAAATATGTTTTATGCCTGCATTGTTTGTTCATACAAAACGCAAAACTATGAGTTATGGGTCTTACCTTATAAATGACCTGCACAGTCCACTTCGGTTCAGACCAGTTCCTTGTTTAAATCCAGTGAATGGTTTGAGCGTAGATATGTAATCCTCCATTTGGAAATGAGTCCAATGAGTTTTAAAAAGTAAAACAAAACGCGTGTGTCCTCCGTAAACTCCTCTGTTTTGCTGCAGCCGACTGCATTCAATTTCTAAAATCAACCGTCTTACACTTCACCTCTCTTTCTTATCATTCCTATAGTAATTGAAAAATTACCCTATGTGCATTTTAGATTATGTAAAAATGTGTTATATGTATGTTAGCCAAACCTGTTGCTGTCCTTAGCAGATAAACCAGGAAGAGCAAGGAGCTTATCGATGGAATTGTATGCAGCCGACTTCTGCGCTCACATGAGCTCCTCTGAGACCTCACAGTGATACAAGCCGTGGTTGAGCGCGATTAAGACCCATATTTGTTTCAAAAACACAATTTATGAGCCATCCTCTCAACTGTAGACATGTAGATTGTAAAGGAAATATGATTTACATCAGCCAATAATTGCTGAGAGGTTTTCTCATCCTCCATTCTCTCATGACAACACGTCCATTGTGCGTCTTGAGTAACGCGCAGTAACGGGATGTCGGAAATGATAACGGCGTTATAGTTACTGTCAAAGTAATTAGTTAGATTACTCGTTACTGAAAAAAGTAACGGCGTTAGTAACGCCGTTACTAGTAACGCTGTTATTCCCATCACTGGCCATAGACCATAGGAGTGCTGCTGGTCTGTCTCTGCTAGGCGCCTGATTGGTCAGTTAGGGGTTCAAAAAGTCATTATCAAAATAATAACTTCAAACTGGTTAAACCCAAAAAAAATTTTGGCCAAAATGAGTATGACGCAACTGGAGTTTACTGTTTAATGTAAGTGACTGGAGCCAAAGAGAGTTGGAGCAAAACTATCAAAAATTAGACTTCATTGAGCTAGCAGGTTAGCATTGTCCGTTTATATACAGTCTGAGGCTGTTTTTTTAATGATCTCACATTTGATCCCTGGTGTCTCACTTTTATGGTTGTGTGTTCTCCTTTCTCACACTCAAAACTCGTCTTAATGATTCTAACAGGTTCAATCCAATTTATTTTTGTATTGACCAGATGCATCAACGTCATCCAGTCACGTGATTGTGAATGAGCTTACGGCGGAAGTATTGGAAACTAGCATTGCTGCTAGAGCAAAACGGACTACAACTCTTATAAACGGAGCTTCCTCTCCTAAATCGAGAAGTGGCTGCTTCAAGCACATGTTCGATTACGGTATAGGTGGAAGTAGGACATCAGGTCAGGGCTCACAAAGAGTGGTATTTGGAGAAGTTAAGGATTGCCTAACTGGATGTTGACCCGTACCTTCTCCCCCCAGTCAATTTTATCGATTAAATAAAATGTCTATTTTTGCCCAAATTCACCCTACATGATCTTTATCATTATCGTTAACAATGCATCCCCTCACACTGGAGCAGATTTATGTGTACATTTTGCTGGTAGCATTAGCAATAGTCCACTTTTCTTTTGCTTTTCTGTTCACAGCCAAACATGATACGTACTGACGGAGAGGAAAATAGTGAAACACGCAATTGACTTAAAAGATAAAAATGTCAATGTTGCAGCGCACATACAGGACAGTAGTAAGAGACACGTTTGACGTGTGTCATTGTCCTCCACATTAATGGAAATAAAATAAATACAAACTTGTGATTGCTTTATCTTGTAAAAAGTGTTATATTAGGGAGTACTTGGATGGGTCCCAGTCCTTTTGGTTGATTGCCGCTGGCCATCGTCGTCTTCTGTCTTCATGACGAGCAGGTATCAGATAAAAAAGCTTATGTCCTTGCCTGTTAGTTTAATCAACCGCACTGCAAAATGTCACAGTTTTGGCTGTAATGCGCTGAAACAGGTTGTTTTGGTCAGGTGTCCGTAGGCTCGCAGTTAGACTTCTGCCGTCTGTCACGGAGACTGGGCGTGGCCGGGACGTCACATGCAAGGGGTCAATAGCATAGCCTAAATTACAATTGTCGTTATCTCTGAGGATTATACAAAACTGTCAGAATAAAACATTTCAAACACAAGAGATAAAAACACGTAAGGGGCGAATGACCAATGTCCATAAATCTTGCTGAATGTCATCAGGATAGGTGACTCAGTATGTTGTTTTGGGTGTGTGTGACATGTGTGTGTTGCGTGTGTCCAGGGGAAGTTCACCACGGCCTCAGACGTGTGGGCGTTCGGAGTGACTCTGTGGGAAATGTTCACGCTGTGTAAGGAGCAGCCGTACTCTCTGCTGTCAGACGAACAGGTCATCGAGAACACTGGAGAGCACTTCAGGAACCAGGGTCGACAGGTAACACACACACTCGCGCACACACACACACTGTTCAATTGTTACAAATCAGCCTTTTTTCTGTCAAACGCCTTAAAAATTCTGAGCTCCTGTAGTTTTGGCCTCTAATGAATCATTAACTCAAATTATAAGTGGGAACAGCCTGCACAGAGAAAGATCTTCAAAGTCTGCCTATATTTCCCATGGTTAATAAAAAGTCCTAATCTGGCTGAAATTAAAAACTGTATTGATAATTGATTATTTGAGTGAATATTCTTTTGATGGATCGATTTGTTGAAGCTGATTTTATTTTATTTATTTGGATTATTGATCACAACAAAGATAAAGCGATACCACCCAGGAACATCTTCATAGAGACTAGATGTAGCATAAATGGTTGTTTTATTAGATGTCTGTGTGTGTGTGTGTGTGTGGGCTTATGTGGGGTGGTGTGCAGATGTATTTTGTTTTTACCTTTTTAAGTAAGTTTTGTTCTGTGAAAATTTATTTTAACCACAAGAAAGCATGTCCTGTCACTCTATAGTAACCATACCTTAGCCTGGTCTGAGCCCGAGCAGCCAGACCCTCTACTTTCTGACTCACGTAAAAGCAGAAAATCAAGTCTGGTGTAATAACTCTATAAATTAGTTGTCATCTTTTTCCAATAATTTTTTAGTGGTGATTAATTGATGAACACGTTACAGTTCTTAAGTAAGTCCAGTGTAATGGTGCGACTCTCGGTCCTCTCTCCGTCCTCTCTCGGTCCTCTCTCCGTCCTCTCTCCGTCCTCTCTCCGTCCACTCTCCGTCCACTCTCCGTCCCACTCTCCATCCACTCTCCGTCCTCTCTCCATCCACTCTCCGTCCTCTCTCGGCCCTCTCTACGTCCACTCTCGGCCCTCTCTACGTCCACTCTCCGTCCACTCTCCGTCCACTCTCCGTCCTCTCTCCGTCCTCTCTCGGCCCTCTCTACGTCGACTCTCGGCCCTCTCTCCGTCCACTCTCCGTCCACTCTCCGTCCACTCTCCGTCCACTCTCTCGGCCCATTCTCCATACACTCTCCGTCCTCTCTCCGTCCTCTCTCCGTCCACTCTCCGTCCTCTCTCGACCCTCTCTACGTCCACTCTCGGCCCTCTCTCCGTCCACTCTCCGTCCACTCTCCGTCCACTCTCGGCCCTCTCTCGGCCCTCTCTCCGTCCACTCTCCGTCCACTCTCCGTCCACTCTCCGCCCTCTCTCCGTCCACTCTCCGCCCTCTCTCCGCCCTCTTTCCGTCCTCTCTCGACCCACTCTCCGTCCACTCTGGTCTGTCTCTGCTCTTGTGCATCTCCTGAGACTGTGGTGTTGTTGCAGATCTTCCTGTATGCTCCTCCGCTGTGTCCGCCGTCTCTCTTCGAGCTCATGATGCGCTGCTGGAGACGAGACATCCAGGACAGACCCACGTTTGAGGGGCTCTACCAGGCTCTTCGGCCACACGTGCAGTGAGGAGTGAGGAGGACGAGGGCGGGAGGGGAGACACACACACAACCAAGCAATGTCACCACTGCATTGGAGAAATACACACATCGCATTCTAGTGAATTTAGGTTATAATTCCATATGTCTGCACTTTGTATGCATTTTGTTTGCTTGACCAAGAGTATTTCACTGGTTTGAATACATGTAGATCGCTGATTAGTTACAAGAATCTAACCTGAAACCACAAATGAACTGTGTTAGAAAATGCTACAAAATGTCTGTCAGTTAGAAAGAGAACGTTGATTTCAATTAGTGAAGAGAGAGACACATTTCAACTTTTGCACTCCTGTCTTGAGTGACCGACATTCAAATCACAAAAATACTGTTATTCTTTTACCAATGAAATACAATTGAAGTTGCTGATTTTGCCCTAATTCAAGCAGGAATGAAGCTGATGTCGTTAGGCTTGAAACTAATGAAAAAGGTTCTCCAAATTGTGAAACATTGTAGTTCAGGGGTCTCCAACCTTTTCACCCAGAGAGCTAGTTTCTCAAGACAAAAATGGAACAGAGGTAGGACTTTGGGCTGTCCTGGGGGAAAAAAAGCATTGATAATTGTGAGAACAAGCTTGAGAATGGGTACTGTCACTATCAACAGTCGTTTAGCATCACATATCTGTCACAAGTGCACACTGTAAGTTTGCATTTACAGTAGTTACGAGCACATTTTAAATGTTCAAATATTCAGTATCAATCAACTCTCCTACACAAGGAAACACAAAGCCCCTCAAGCCATATCAGCATAAATCATACCAATTATAATCTACAAAAACATTTATTTTTTTTAAAACAAGCAAACATTAAGATCACAAGAAATATTAAAACCAGAATAAAATCACACAAGTAATTAAAAACCTTAAGACATTAAAGTCACACAAGGGATTAAAATCATTCATAAATAGCCACAGTGCATTAAAAAATACTAAAGATAGAGAAAAAAAACCTTCAGTTGTGTGCACAGGCAAACAGAATTGTGTTTGAACATTGTCAGAGAAGAAGCCTGTCTCACATTTTTAGGAAGATAAATCTGAAACGCTGCCTCCCCATGTCTAGTCCTGACTCTGGGCAGCAGCAAGAGGCTCCTCAGAGTCACTAATATTCAGTACATTATTTAATTTGTTGCTTTCTGAATCCGTTTGGGGGCTACCTGGGAGGAGATAGTGAGCGACTGGCATCTCCCGGGCTAAAGGTTGTAGACCCCTGTTGTAGTTTATCTAAGCAAATTATATATCCTGGTCAAAAATACACCAGCACTTGGAAAATCAACACATTCAAATATTCCGTTGAGAATCACTCAGACGTCCCACTTCACTCTGGATGCAGTCGATATAAATCATCACAAAGAAACCCAGACAAAACGTGTAATACTCATATCACTGTCTCCCATCCACTCAAACATGGGCCAAACTCTCCTCACGTTTCGACGCTCGGACGTTATTCTTTTGGACTTTTTTTTGGCGCTAAAGGTGCTGCTGTCTGTTCCTGTGGTCTTAAAATATTGTTACTATTTTAACGTTAAGCACTGTTTGTCATTATCAATCCTTGTGTATTATCCACACTGGAGCTAGGGCTAGTGGTTTAGTCATAGAATTTATTTTTCTTAATATTTCTGTTGTGTTTGTGAATGTCTTAAACCTGTGGGTGAAGGGAATCAGGCGAGTTTTTTAATAAATATTCTTGACCAAAGAAAGAGCTAAAGCAATCATTCAATTTGAATAAACTGTAAAATAAATGTGTGTTGTTCCGGTACTTTGTATTGTTCCGGTACTTTGTATTGTTATAGGGGATGATAGATATTAAATCTATGTCCTGCTTTTGGCTCCCTCTGGATGAGCTGCAGGACAAAGTGTCTGGGGAGTGGGAGGTCTGAGAGTCCTGAGAGAAAATAGGTTATAATATCCTGTACAATCAAACAAAGATCTTTTGAGAGTGAGAACTATTTGCAGTCTGTCTGCCTTTTAAAACAAAAGTATTCCCATAAAATAGTTTTGGAAGTTTCTCAGCTCAAAATAAATTATTTGCCATCGCAGGGCTGTGATTTCTGCAAATCATTTTCAAATTAGGCAAAAAAGAAACAAATTCTATCTCTCCCTCTAGTGGTAGCAAAGGCAGTTAGAGGTGAAAAGCATTTTCTATCCTTGTCTCGCTCTTTATCTTCTAAAAGAATTGAACAGATAAGTAAAAAGTCTCATGAAATAATTTTAATGAACAAAAATTATGCATAATATTTGTTCTTAAAAAAAGACATCTTTCAAAGGAACTTGCATTTCCCATCATATTGTTGCAGTTTGGAGCAGAACGAGAGTAAGATTCACATTTGTTCTAAAATGCTGTGTTTTGTTGAATCCGGGAACTTCTCATTTTTCTCCCTGTGCGCCAAGACCGTGTATCGTAAACATTCTTTTAGACGATTATAAGTCAACTCTACATTGTGTTATTCTGAATACTGCACATTGTAAAATAGACCCATGCGACATGCGTCGCTATAATCTCCTTTGAGCTGAGTGCCCTGCAACAGCTGAAGACCATAGAGCAAATGTTACCTTTTCTCTGCTTAAGTGGAAATTTTTCCCATTTTCTTTGCTAAACGAGGATTTAGCTGAAGATAATTCAATATGACTAAATATTACAGAATACGGCTGTTTATTCTCCAAACTTTTTGATAAAATGGATAAATGGAATAATACTTAACTTTGATGACCTTGTTTTATTACATTAGCATCAGTCGCACTAAATATATATATTTAGTGCGATAATATATATATATTTCCCGAAGAAATATATTTGTTTTCGTGACGGGCCGAGGAGGGCTAAAACAAGACTGGACCAAAACAGTTGTAGTTTACACTTTATACTTTATTTACAAGTCTGTGCGATCCACACAAAAGGTTAAAATATAAATAGGCAACAATCAGAAAAGCACAGCGAGCACACAGACCCAAAGCCTGATTATTGTCACAAAGTTACCGCTCATTTGACTAATTTAGTGTGATTTTAAAGACACAAACATTGCACAATAAAAATAACACATACTGATACAGAAGAGAAGAGATACTTGGGGTAATTTGAGAAGTAGAATCAAACGCTCCACATATGAAGGGCCGTTTAATTCAACTCAAAATCCTCAAATTACACCAAATCCTTAAGAGATTTTATACAAAAGAAAGATTAAGGCAATGGTTGGAATAAAAGCTACCGTTTGCAATCATTATTTGGTCCTTGGTTTTAAAAGATGCACTAATTTTTTCTGTTTTGTTTGCCTGTGTTACGTCAATTAAGAAACCATACGTTAGCAACCATTAGTATTAGTCATTTTAACGCAATACATTTGCAGTCTGTTCAAGATGAGGTTGTGGTAAAATGTGCAGATGTGAAATTCCATAACGAGGACCAAAGGAAAGGGCATGTTGGAAGATTTTGCATAAACGTGGGCTTTTTCAGCTAGAAAAGTTAGTGCAGCTTTGAAAGGACAAAACCAGGCATGAAAATAATGTAAACAAAAAACAAACACAAGAAATCATTTTTGAATATTTGGAGAAATTATAGTTTTTGGTAACAACATTGAATCGATTTAGTCGGTTTGAAACTCGTTCTTTCATCTCAAACAATAATCAAAAATGTGCGTGATTTGTGTGTGGTTAAATGTCTGTGTGAATGTGGTGTGAACTTTTTTTTTTTTTTACTGTTCGAAGATTCAATGCATTTGGTCACGAAGAATTCAAGAATGTGCACTTCCAGCTGGAGAAATGGGCCGTATATCTGTGGTGACTGGTTTAATGCTGATATGAGGTGAAATACTCTAAACTACTCGCTTCACAAATGTTTATTTTTCTGATTCTTTGTAAATACGCTCTATAAATTGGTGTCATAAGTCCTATCAAAAGTCATGCCTATGTTTTGAATGAGGCCAATATTGCTTCGCTTTTACAGTCAAATAAGTGGGCCGTGGATCATTTTGTAGTGAGGGCCCGGTAATAATATTATAACCACAAACCAGGCCAAAACCTTGTGTGTAATTAACTAAATATACCTCATAAACAGTCAATGTTTATGGGTGGCTGAACCAGGACTCAAAAATGGCACTTAGATTTTCCCCATAGACGCGTGTAATTCAAAAACGTCAATTTTATATTATTAAAATCTTGTATGTATTTAACCCTTTCTGAGCCAATTGATAGTTTTGTTTGTTATCTAATAATATACTTTGTAAACAGTACAAATGTGTAGAAAACCTTAAGGCTTTGCTTTCCAGTGATACCTAAAGTCTATGGGGAATATTGAGTGCATATTTGAACCAGAAGTGGGCGGGTGCAAGTGAGCTCCCGTGGGCACATCCTCTGCTTTGATTGGTGGTTAGCAGGAGCAGTTCTCCTTGGGGGGCGTGGCTTCTCCGTTGAGTCTCTGCGTATTGGCTGGCTTGTGCTGGACTCCGGACTCGGCTGCGTTCAGGTCCAGACTTCCGTCCTGAATGTTCTGATAGATCCGTTTGGCCGCCTCCAGGAAAGCCTCCTCCACGTTCTCCCCTCTGAGAGAGCAGAGCGGCGTCAAAGACAGGTCTGAACCAGGGCCTCGTTTAGAAAAGAGGACTATACACATGTACTTTGGAGAAAATACAACAACCACCACACATCATGCCCATTTTATACCAGGACATGAGAAGATATTTGACCGAGGGTTTTCTGAGGCCAATGTTGAGGCAGATTTATTTTGTAAGGTTTTATGGTCGTATCTCGTTTACTTTTGACTGGGCTCGAAATCGCAGTAAGTCCGAAGTAGCTATAAAAGTTATTTTGTGCTTTATTATTGTGATTTTTCTTGCTTTTTTCTAGCTGTGAACTCTATTGCAGTAATGTGTTCATGGTTTAACACTGATCCAGACCAGAGCAGATCAATCTTAAATCCACTGGAGAAATGCTGATTTATTTTTTGAAAAATGCTAATAAAGCATTCAGCATTTGAAAAAATGGTCTGAACCAAGCAGACTCTGCAGACATCAACCAGAGGAAGCAGCTCATCCCCAGCGGCTCCACCACCTCTGCTGCTGCTGCACTTTATTACTATTATTAGTGACTTTTAGAACGACGTATTTATTTGTTTGTATGGATGGATTTGTTTCTGCTGCTGGACCCCTGAATGTCTCCCATGGGGGTCAATAAAGTATCTCTCTACCTATAAAAGAAAAACATATTTTCAAAGGTTTTGTTACTTACGTTTTAGCGCTGGCCTCAAGGAACAGCAGACCTGAAAAACAGTTCAGAATCTATATTTGTGCAGCAGAATCTGACCATATTTTTAGAGATGTCTCAACAACACGAGTTTGAAAAGTGCAGGTTGTAGTTTGTACCATTCTCGTCAGCAAACTGCTTTGCCTCTTCGTAAGTCACATCCCTCTGAGCCTCCAGGTCGGCTTTGTTCCCGATCAGGATAATCACCTACAATACCATCATTTTATCATCATTAGGTTAATGGTTTTACTGAAGAAATGGGAAAGCTACGAGTGTGATGACTGCCAAACTAAGTAAAGCGATAGCTCAGGGATTAAAGAGTTCCGTCTAGGTGACGGATTTCCGTCAAATGAAATTGGTCTGGAAAAAAAAAATATATATATATATATAATGATAATAATACACACAATGAAATGATTGATTATAAAAATAATATATAGTAATACATATACGTGTGAATCTGTTATATATATATATATATCGATGTATAATAATAATTTGAATATAATTGTATTTATATGTATATAGAAATAATAAGTAATATAATCACGAGTGGGCCTTGAACGTGCCGTGGCCACATGAGCGCTCCGCAATTAATCAAGGCAATGGGACGTAGCTGAGCTCACGCGCAAATGAAGACGCGATGAAGTTAGCATTGGTAACACGGAGGTGAAAGTTTCTGGAAACTGCACGGAGCTTTTGAAAAGGAGAAGAGGAGGAAAATTGAATCTCGAACGGAGCAATAACAGCAGCAGATCCGCGGACTGGTAAGCTGGGCGCGTAATAGAGGAAAGGTAATTAACGTTTACCAAACGCAATGCTATTTTACTTAACGGAATGTACAAAACGGACTTTGCTGCAACTGGGAATGGGGACAAACATGTCTTGGTGAGCTTTTGATATTGTCTTGTTTGCGATCTTCTTGCAAAACTCAGCGTGATGTAAAAGAGCCAATCAATGAGTCATGGTGCGAAAAGATGAAAGTGGCCGGTGCTTGTGCGTACTTTGCCATAAAAAATTGCATGTATGGGAGTAATGAGAAAAAAGTTATGATTCGCCACCAGCTCAAAACTGCGCACAAGGCAGCTGTTTGTGCACTTTCCCACACTTCACTTTTTCTTAAATATTGACGTGTCCACAAACAAATGTGGACAGAATTGTATCGTCCTTTTGCAATATTTTGACGAGGACAGAGCCAAAGTGTTGACGCTCCATATCGCCTCAAGTAAAGCTACTCTCACTAATATTCTGTCAAAAAGTTTACTCGTTGCTTGATCCACTTATATTTCATATCAAAATACACTGTATATCTTTGAAGAATTCATTTGAGCGGTATTCAATATACAATCTATATACAATAATATATTGTAATTACAAATATAACTTGGTCCTGCATATTACTGTGATTTACATGTGATAAATTTCCATGCAAAAATTTTCAGTCAAATCTTTTTTTTTGCTTTAACCCCTGCGATAGCTACAACAAGCGAAGTATTGATTTTAATCTTAATCAAAAGTAAATGCAGAAAAAATAAATGTAACAAAGTGAATTTAAAGGCTTCAAACAGTAATGAAAGCTAAGCTAAAGCAGAGTCTTCATCTGCACCAGACTGTAGGCTGTTGGACTCACCGTGTTGGGGTTGGTGAGGTTACGAGCGTCTGTTAACCAGCTGCTCAGATGGTTGTATGTACTTCTCCTGAGAAGACACAAGAGGGCAGTGAAGAGACAGAAGTGTCAATAACAGGTTAAAGGATGACTAAACTCCGCCCACATGAACATTTGAAAATCTTTTCTAAAAAGGGCGTTGCCTGGAGGACCAGGGGACAAGAAGGGGCTTAAGTTGGGCGTGGTCTGGGCTGTGATTGATGCTCACTTGTCACTTGTCATTGCTGCTTAAAGCAATAGTTTACACAACAGAAAGTCTCATTCCACCCTTTTTTACACACTAAGATAATTGTAGAGCTACACACCTGAACCTAATCCACAGAATTATCTCAGCAGCAGTGATTGTCAACTCATGTAATTTAATTTTAATCCACTAGATGTCGCCAGAATACTCCAACCTGCAACTGGGGCGTGTGTGAGACTTGAATAGGTTTATAGCACTGGCGCAGACAGACGCACGTCACACACACCAACTGACATCACACAGTATTAGGCCCCGTCCCAATACTCGCACTTCCACCCTCGCGCCCCTCATTTGCGCGTTCCCGATAAAGGGTGCGAGTGCGTAGGGTGTCCCAATTCTCCAGGGAGGTCTTTGGCCCCGCCCCCTTTGCGCCCCTGATCCACACTTCGCCGTAGCCTGCATCTATGCGCACTCTGGCAAAGGATATTGCCCATAATTCTTTGCGGTACACACCAAAACGTCGGGAAAATGCATTTAAATATAAATTTTGAAATATATATGCAGTATGTGTGTAAATAAGTTTTGCTGTTACTTTGAAAGAAGCATAAACGTTTGATAAAGAATTACGGACATTGTGTTTTAACAATTTAATTTTTAAAGCTTTTTAAAGCAAGCGTTTATATAACATTCAATTTAAACTTTACACTTAGTACAATAATCTTAGAATGTATAAAAACTGACCAGATAACAGTTAGTAACCCACATTTAACTTAAAATTATACAGCTATCTCTAATTAAAAACAACTAATATACAGGTATTTTAACGTGTGTGAAGCAATTCATTTTGTTTCCCAAAGGGTCAGACAAAGTTACCTTTAATTTTTATAAAGTTTAGGTCTGAAAATGACCATCTCTTGACGAGTCGATGACGTAACCTGCACTCAGTGTGCACTGTCCCAATTCCGCCTTTTTTGCACACTTGTAACCTGCGCACTCCAACCCTGGTGTGCACTTCGAACAAATGCACACTTCGAAGAGGTGTGTAGGGTGCAGTGTGGGTATTGGGACTGGGCCTTAGAGTCAATGGAGAGGTCAGGACCAAATTCAAATGTAGTACCACCGAAAAGGTAGAGAGGGCGCCACACAGACGGTTTTAGGCTCAAAAGCGAGATTTTATCTAATTTGCACTAAAATGTCAAAAAAATGACCAGGACATGTAGAGAGCACTAAAATAAACATTTATGCAGTAAGAATAGTTAGAATATTATGAATATTTTTTAGAAGAATCTTTGGACTTGTTGTCGGGCAGAAGCATCCTTTTATCATTCGAAATGACACATCAGATTTTTATAATTTGTATAAACTCTCATAACCTACACAACTGACCATAAGAGTTTTGTGAGAAATGACTTAATTCAAGGATTTAGTAATATATATTTAACATTTTGGCAGTGAATCTTTTAGTTCTACTTGAAAAATAAATGGTCGTACTGTAGGTTAGAACTCTATAAACATGATCTTAAACGTGTGGGAATTCAGTATGAGGCAAAAGCTTCATATGAAAGTTTTTTAACTTTCTTTGTAATTATTCAATTATTTGTTCTTTTTATACTGAACAAAGCAGACTTTTTAAACATACAGGAGATCAAAAGGGCATCTCAATGTTGGTCAAAAATATAGCACTTAGATCGAACTATATAATAATTTCACAGCCCTAATTCCTCCCAGAGGCTCCTCAGTCTTCACCTGGTGATGTCGTAGACCATGAGAGCTCCGGCAGCTCCTCTGTAGTAAGACCTGGTGACGGCTCTGAAACGCTCCTGTCCGGCCGTGTCCCAGATCTGCAGCTTCACCTTCTGCCCGTTCACCTCCATGATCCTGGTGCCGAACTCCACGCCGATGGTGTGAGGGCAATCTGCCATGACTGAAACACAAACAAACGGCTCATTGTGAGAGAGGACAGCGCAGTGAAAAGACCACGAGTGAAAGTTCAAATGTATTTCATGCTTCACAGATGTGTGGAATGGACTGGGCCTGTGCTCTGGTGGACTACCAAGAGCCTCAGAACTAATAGGTTATGTTCATGTGACATCACATCACTCCAAAGAGCCTATGGTTTAACATTGCAGTGGAGGGAGGCTTCCTGGTAAAGTGAGAATTATAGTCTTAGTTTAGAGCCAACTTCTTTGAGCCAATCCACATAAAACAAAAACTGACACAAAAGTACACATTTTCTTTATCAGTACATTTCAACTATGGTCTAATTATTTTCTCAAAGTGTGTCTGAAAGTGGCGACCATATTCAAAAATTGATGCATGATGTTGGACAGTAGAACGACCTTTCAGAATGATATAGATGGTTTGTGAATCGAATCACTACGAATAATGATCTGAATTTGCGCATTTGGTTTTTCTACTTTTATTACAAACATTTTCCATAGTCGTATTGGCACCTGCCCCCAACTGAAATAAAATTCTAGAACATGGAGATAACTATCTGTACTTAAAAGACATAAAAGATTCAATGCAGAACGTTCTGAGAGGGGCAGAGGGTGAGATTGTCAGATTTGCATTAAGCATCAAAAACACTACAGGTCTGCTTTTGATGAGGGGACAATGTCGTAACCCTTCTTTATAGCTTTTTATTATGTTTCAATTCTGTGCCTCCCATACGTACATTTCTTCTCTGTGAACTGGTGCAGCAGACAGGACTTTCCCACGCCCATGTCCCCTGCAAAGACACACACTTACATTAGACATTCCTCAGTCAGAATCAGCAACACTCTCACAACTGCACAGTCGCACTTATCATTACAGTTATTACTAGAACATATAGTGATAATAATTACATTTATTGACAAAGTATGTGTCTCTTGTGTGTGGATAGTTTTGTTGTAGTTGATGATATAGACTCAATATAGCAAGTAACCAACATACAAAATCTCATCCAAATGTACTCGAAATATATAGAGGTTTTAAACTGTACATTTCTAAACTTTTCTTTACTATTTTATTTCACACAGTGCCACTTGATTAATAAATGATCTCTGAGCGTTTGTTAGAATGATCGTCATGGCTGAGAGTTGTTCCCAGAATCGTCTCGGAATAATGTGAGATTGGGGCCCTAACTAACCATTAATCTGATGTCAATTAATCACACTTTAGATTTCTCATTTGGTTTAGCATAAATTATCCACAAAGACGAACAACTTCTGATACTTTTTGTGTAGTTTCTGCTCTGTTCACACACACACACACACACACACACACACACACACACACACACGTTAATGAGTCATCAGTCGTGATTGATCCTGAGGGTTTTAGTTCATTACATTAATCATTTGCAGAAAATCTGATGATATTAAGTTATATACATAACATACATGAGAAGCAATACATTAAAGAACAAATATTTGAAGCCCTAGTTCAAGTGTGTGAAAGTAACATGGAAATTAAAAACATTTTTAAGACTTATTGATACTTCCATAGAAGCTTAAAGTTTTAGACACAAATATGATGCAGTTTTATGCTTAATGGAAAAGCTGGAACAACGTTACGGCCGTTACAAGAACCATCTGAGATTGCAAACAGCACGAAGTCCAATCAAAAACTCTCAACAAGCAAACATCAACCCCAAGAAGTCAAACTTTGAAGACAAGACGAGTGAAAGACTATTTCAATGTATTTTTGTTTGGGTCATGGTTAAATGGTCAGTGCAGTTCACTTACCAATGATGATGTATTTAAAGATGTAAGAGTAGTTGTAAGGTGCAGCTGTCATCTTTCCGGCTGTAAAAACAACATTAACACAAATTAAATCACAAGCGATTAAAAAAAAGATAATTTAGAAGTTAAATAATATTGAGCTTGCACGATAGTCTTGCTCAAGATTATTTTTGTACATTTTTCAGTAATCATTTTATGTCAAACCACTTTTGAGCTCAAAACACGGGGATAAAGCCTAATTTGTATCATACTCATCGAAAATGTTGTATATAAATGAAACTATGGCAGATACATAATTGCGTTATTTGCGAATAACTAAATGCTGACATATAAAATGTTATTTCTAAAATGAAGATTGCCTCAGACACGAACAGGCTGTGGTTAAAACAGACTCAAACAAGTGCATCACAATCAGCTGAAACCTGACAAAGCAGCGGAGGCGATCAGTAAATGGGCTTCTGCGCAAAATTGGGGCGTAAATAAAAATGACAGCTACATGGCACAGAAGTTAACACTAGTACGCATGTTTTAAAGCCTAAATATGATGTTTCATACCAAAGACCATCTTTAGATTAACGTTTGGAACATTAGCTTACGCGCTAATCGCTAAGGTTTGTCAACGCCTTAACCAGGATGCTGCGAGAGGTGTCAACTTTCGCCTTTTCACAGATATACGGAGGACTTACAACAATAAAGACATTTCATATAATAAAAACGGTTGTATTTACCGTGTATGTGAGCGTTCCCGCCTCGATAATGGCTGAAAAGGTGGTTTAGTGTGTAAAAGTGCTGGTGTTAGCTGTTAGCCGTTAGCCTGCTCATCAAACAGGAAAGCGCTTCCTCACCGGTACTGAGGCAAACATCGCGAGACTCAACACGCTGTCGGAAATGCACGAGACTTTGGGTGAGACCCATGGGTGAGACATTCTGTTTGATTACATTATGATGATAAAATAAATTTAAAGAGTTTTTAACTGGTTAGGTACGCTTTATTAGACATATTTGTGTACATAATTTATAATTAAGTCAACCCAAAGTGCCAAACCACGCAATGATAATGATCATAATGATCATAAAACAAACAAGTCAAGATGTCACTCTAAAAGGAGAGTGCAGATGAAATCCCTCAGTTGGAAAGCTAAGGACAACTCAAATTGATGTAATATTGCAGGAATTCCAAAACAGACAAACCGAAAACATGGGATAACTTCTAACCATAACCCATAAGATAAGAGTTCATTTATGTGTCCCACAGTGGGGAAACTTCAATGTTGCAGCGCACATACAGGACAGTAGTAAGAGCACACAGGGAGTACACAAAATAAGGCAAGACAAGTTTATTTATATAGCACAATTCATACACAAGGCAACTGAACAAGACAATATGGCATTAACTGTATATAGCATTATCTGTAAATACTTTTGAACCAAGTGCAATTATAGCCCAGAGTTTATTTTATTTGATTTTATTCTTATCTTAATTTTATTGTCTATTATCTTAAATAATATACTTATTTGATGTGTGCAATCTGAGTGCTCTTATTTCCTTCTTTCTCTGCTGTAATGTGCGCAACGATGACACTGAAATTTCTCCACTGGGAGACGAATAAAGGTTCATCCTATCTTATCTTATCTTATCTTAAAATCACAAATAACAGTACATTAAAACAAAGATACAAATATATATAATCCCTCGGTTGTATGCACAGCTAACAGAACTGTTTTTAACCTGGATTTATACATTGTCACAGAAGAAGCCTGTCTCATATTTTCAGGAAGATTGTTCCAGATTTTACCTGCATGAATCTGAAATGCAGCCTCCCCATGTTTAGTCCTGACTCAGATCAGCAGGAGGCCAGTCCTTGTGCTCCTCAGAGTAAGAGTTGGTTCATATGGGACTAACATGTCACTAATGTACTTTGGTGCGAGGCCATGGAGAGACTTGCACACGAGCTGTTTTAAAATCTCCTCAGAGACCTGAGAACTGGACTAATGTGATCATACTTCCTGGTTCTAGTCAGGACTCGAGCGGCTGCATTTTGAATGTACTGCAGCTGTTTTACAGCCTGTTTGGAGAGACCTGTGAGCAGGCCATTGCAGTAGTCTAACCTACTGGAGACAAATGCATGGATAAGAATCTCCAAGTCTGCTTTAGACACTATGTTTTTGATCCTGGCAATGTTTTTTAGATGGTAAAAAGCTGCTGATGTTACTGATTTGATGTGGCTAATAACATTTAAGTCCAGTATTACCCCTAGATTTCTGACCTGATTTGAAGGTTTTAGGGAGAGGGACTTAAGTGACAGATGACACTCTCTCTTTGTTTCTGAGGGCTAAAGAAAATTATGTTTTGGTTTTGTCTATGTTTAGATGAAGGAAGTTGTTTTGCATCCACTCACTGATCTGTTGGATACAGCGAAGGAGTTCTTAGCTATCTGTAAATGCTTCAATATCAAATGATGGGTATAGAAATTAAAAGGCCTTAGTTTTGTGCCTTGTCTTGAAGTGAAATGCCTGTTGTGGTCGATAATCAATTTTGATATAGATTTTAAAGAAGGCAGGAGTAGATTTTTTTTTTCCACCAAGAAAATCAAGATTGTGAAAAAAAAGGCACTGTTCCCTTGTAAATGAGGGTGGACCACACAGCTTCACTTTTCTTTTTAGAGCTCTGCAAGAGCTATACAAATGTATATATAATTCACATTCTGTGTATACAACTAACATGCTATCCATCCACCCAATTCCTTTTGTTTTGTCCACTGCGGGGACATGGGCTATAGCCACCAAAACTTATCAGACACAATATATCTACATTATTATTTTAATATCAGTGAAGTTTGACACTTTTCCAGCTTTAAATTCTGCCTTTAACATCGCACATTTTGAAGCATGGCTCGCTCCTTCCGCACCACTGAATCTGTATTCACATTAAAAACCAAACAGGTCAGATTTGAGTTGTTGGCTTTAATTTCATATTCAAATATTAGTATGGTTGTGCAATAACAGTTTTCACCCAAGTTTTGCCATTACCTGTTATTAAATTCATGGAAACATTACCACAGGCCAGATGGATCAATACATTCTTTTCATGATGTGGACGTGGGGCTTTATTTCAGCTTCATCACATCACAGCATCATCAGAGAGTCAGAGTTTGTGTATCCATCTTTTTACTCTTGTAACTTGTTTGCACCATGAGCCTAAGCAAACTCTTAGGTTCTGACTTCCTGTTACTTACAACCACAATACAAGAATTCTGATCTAAAGATGTGATGGAGGCCTGAAAATACATGTACATGTATATTCAGTATGTGTTTATTGTAAACTGGCCAAACTTTATGAGGAGCTTTGAGTTGCTGATATTATTTATCAATTAAACTTTTAGAATTAAAACGGACGTCATTCCACCAGAAATGAGTCAGACTTAGAACCGTAAAGACTCATGCACTTTAAAGTCTGCTTTTTAATTCAAACTAGTTGAAGTCATTCTTCCAGGCAATGGTCCTTGGTAACATTTTAAATGCTATTCACAATCTTAAAATTAGTATATTTTCTTTTTGGGGTAATGGGGAACGTTACCCCACGTACTCCTAAATAAATAAAGTTATAATAATAATAACAAATGTTGGCGCATGTTTTTGATCTGCCCTTGTAAAGCACTGAATTATGCCCTGTACACATTGTCCTATACAAACACATTTTGATAAATTCATTGAATACTTGCAGGTGAATCTTCCAGCTTTAATCACATTTCAACTGGAAAATAGGACTCACTTGCAAGTATTCATTGAATGGTAATGGTAATATAAGTATATGGTAAGTAGCTATGATGTGATGTAGACAACGTGTGGAGATGAACAGTCCTCTGCTGCACATACATGATCAGAACTCATGAGCACACTTTCAAATGTGTCCTACACAATGATACACCTGTGAAGAGTTTACCACTAGAGGCCGCTAGGTGTATGTTGGCTGAGTAGCGGCAAGTCATGTTTTGTCATCCCCCATGTGAAGACCAGAGGAGACAGGACCTTCTCTGTGATAGGACCAGATGAAGACCAGAGGAGACAGGACATTCTCTGTGATAGGATCAGGTGAAGACCATGAAGACCAGAGGAGACAGGACCTTCTCTGTGATAGGACCAGATGAAGACCAGAGGAGACAGGACCTTCTCTGTGATAGGACTAGATGAAGACCAGAGGAGACAGGACCATCTCTGTGATAGGACTAGATGAAGACCAGAGGAGACAGGACCTTCTCTGTGATAGGACCAGATGAAGACCAGAGGAGACAGGACATTCTCTGTGATAGGATCAGGTGAAGACCATGAAGACCAGAGGAGACAGGACCTTCTCTGTGATAGGACCAGATGAAGACCAGAGGAGACAGGACCTTCTCTGTGATAGGACTAGATGCAGACCAGAGGAGACAGGACCATCTCTGTGATAGGACCAGATGAAGACCAGAGGAGACAGGACATTCTCTGTGATAGGATCAGGTGAAGACCATGAAGACCAGAGGAGACAGGACCTTCTCTGTGATAGGACCAGATGAAGACCAGAGGAGATAGGACCTTCTCTGTGATAGGACTAGATGAAGACCAGAGGAGACAGGACCATCTCTGTGATAGGACTAGATGAAGACCAGAGGAGACAGGACCTTCTCTGTGATAGGACCAGATGAAGACCAGAGGAGACAGGACATTCTCTGTGATAGGATCAGGTGAAGACCATGAAGACCAGAGGAGACAGGACCTTCTCTGTGATAGGACCAGATGAAGACCAGAGGAGACAGGACCTTCTCTGTGATAGGACTAGATGCAGACCAGAGGAGACAGGACCATCTCTGTGATAGGACTAGATGAAGACCAGAGGAGACAGGACCTTCTCTGTGATAGGACCAGATGAAGACCAGAGGAGACAGGACATTCTCTGTGATAGGACCAGATGAAGACCAGAGGAGACAGGACCTTCTCTGTGATAGGACCAGATGAAGACCAGAGGAGACAGGACATTCTCTGTGATAGGACTAGATGAAGACCAGAGGAGACAGGACCATCTCTGTGACAGGACCAGATGAAGACCAGAGGAGACAGGACCTTCTCTGTGATAGGACCAGATGAAGACCAGAGGAGACAGGACCTTCTCTGTGATAGGACCAGATGAAGACCAGAGGAGACAGGACCTTCTCTGTGATAGGACCAGATGAAGACCAGAGGTGACAGGACCTTCTCTGTGATAGGACCAGATGAAGACCAGAGGAGACAGGACCTTCTCTGTGATAGGACCAGATGAAGACCAGAGGAGACAGGACATTCTCTGTGATAGGACCAGATGAAGACCAGAGGAGACAGGACCTTCTCTGTGATAGGACTAGATGAAGACCAGAGGAGACAGGAAATTCTCTGTGATAGGACCAGATGAAGGCCAGAGGAGACAGGACCTTCTCTGTGATAGGACCAGATGAAGACCAGAGGAGACAGGACATTCTCTGTGATAGGATCAGGTGAAGACCAGAGGAGACAGGACCTTCTCTGTGATAGGACCAGGTGAAGACCATGAAGACCAGAGGAGACAGGACCTTCTCTGTGATAGGACCAGATGAAGACCAGAGGAGATAGGACCTTCTCTGTGATAGGACTAGATGAAGACCAGAGGAGACAGGACCATCTCTGTGATAGGACTAGATGAAGACCAGAGGAGACAGGACCTTCTCTGTGATAGGACCAGATGAAGACCAGAGGAGACAGGACATTCTCTGTGATAGGATCAGGTGAAGACCATGAAGACCAGAGGAGACAGGACCTTCTCTGTGATAGGACTAGATGCAGACCAGAGGAGACAGGACCATCTCTGTGATAGGACTAGATGAAGACCAGAGGAGACAGGACCTTCTCTGTGATAGGACTAGATGCAGACCAGAGGAGACAGGACCATCTCTGTGATAGGACTAGATGAAGACCAGAGGAGACAGGACCTTCTCTGTGATAGGACCAGATGAAGACCAGAGGAGACAGGACATTCTCTGTGATAGGACCAGATGAAGACCAGAGGAGACAGGACCTTCTCTGTGATAGGACCAGATGAAGACCAGAGGAGACAGGACATTCTCTGTGATAGGACTAGATGAAGACCAGAGGAGACAGGACCATCTCTGTGACAGGACCAGATGAAGACCAGAGGAGACAGGACCTTCTCTGTGATAGGACCAGATGAAGACCAGAGGAGACAGGACCTTCTCTGTGATAGGACCAGATGAAGACCAGAGGAGACAGGACCTTCTCTGTGATAGGACCAGATGAAGACCAGAGGTGACAGGACCTTCTCTGTGATAGGACCAGATGAAGACCAGAGGAGACAGGACCTTCTCTGTGATAGGACCAGATGAAGACCAGAGGAGACAGGACATTCTCTGTGATAGGACCAGATGAAGACCAGAGGAGACAGGACCTTCTCTGTGATAGGACCAGATGAAGACCAGAGGAGACAGGAAATTCTCTGTGATAGGACTAGATGAAGACCAGAGGAGACAGGAAATTCTCTGTGATAGGACCAGATGAAGACCAGAGGAGACAGGACATTCTCTGTGATAGGATCAGGTGAAGACCAGAGGAGACAGGACCTTCTCTGTGATAGGACCAGATGAAGACCAGAGGAGACAGGACCTTCTCTGTGATAGGACCAGATGAAGACCAGAGGAGACAGGACCTTCTCTGTGATAGGACTAGATGAAGACCAGAGGAGACAGGACCTTCTCTGTGATAGGACCAGATGAAGACCAGAGGAGACAGGACCTTCTCTGTGATAGGACTAGATGAAGACCAGAGGAGACAGGAAATTATCTGTGATAGGACCAGATGAAGGCCAGAGGAGACAGGACCTTCTCTGTGATAGGACCAGATGAAGACCAGAGGAGACAGGACATTCTCTGTGATAGGATCAGGTGAAGACCAGAGGAGACAGGACCTTCTCTGTGATAGGACCAGATGAAGACCAGAGGAGACAGGACATTCTCTGTGATAGGATCAGGTGAAGACCATGAAGACCAGAGGAGACAGGACCTTCTCTGTGATAGGACCAGATGAAGACCAGAGGAGACAGGACCTTCACTGTGATAGGACCAGATGAAGACCAGTGGAGACAGGACATTCTCTGTGATAGGACCAGATGAAGACCAGAGGAGACAGGACATTCTCTGTGATAGGACCAGATGAAGACCAGAGGAGACAGGACATTCTATGTGATAGGACCAGATGAAGACCAGAGGAGACAGGAAATTCTCTGGTATAGGACTAGATGAAGACCAGAGGAGACAGGACATTCTCTGTGATAGGACCAGATGAAGACCAGAGGAGACAGGACCTTCTCTGTGATAGGACCAAATGAAGACCAGAGGAGACAGGACCTTCTCTGTGATAGGACCAGATGAAGACCAGAGGAGACCGGACCTTCTCTGTGATAGGACCAGATGAAGACCAGAGGAGACAGGACATTCTCTGTGATAGGACCAGATGAAGACCAGTGGAGACAGGACATTCTCTGTGATAGGACCAGATGAAGACCAGAGGAGACAGGACATTCTCTGTGATAGGACCAGATGAAGACCAGAGGAGACAGGACATTCGCTGTGATAGGACCAGATGAAGACCAGAGGAGACAGGACATTCTCTGTGATAGGACCAGATGAAGACCAGAGGAGACAGGACCTTCTCTGTGATAGGACCAGATGAAGACCAGAGGAGACAGGACATTCTCTGTGATAGGACCAGATGAAGACCAGAGGAGACAGGACATTCTCTGTGATAGGACCAGATGAAGACCAGAGGAGACAGGACATTCGCTGTGATAGGACCAGATTAAGACCAGAGGAGACAGGACCTTCTCTGTGATAGGACCAGATGAAGACCAGAGGAGACAGGACATTCTCTGTGATAGGACCAGATGAAGACCAGAGGAGACAGGACCTTCTCTGTGATGGGACCAGATGAAGACCAGAGGAGACAGGACCGTCTCCGTGATAGGACCTGATCAAGACCAGAGGAGACAGGACCTTCTCTGTGATAGGACCAGATGAAGACCAGAGGAGACAGGACCGTCTCTGTGATAGGACCAGATGAAGACCAGAGGAGAAAGGACATTCGCTGTGATAGGACCAGATGAAGACCAGAGGAGACAGGACATTCGCTGTGATAGGACCAGATTAAGACCAGAGGAGACAGGACCTTCTCTGTGATAGGACCAGATGAAGACCAGAGGAGACAGGACATTCTCTGTGATAGGACCAGATGAAGACCAGAGGAGACAGGACCTTCTCTGTGATGGGACCAGATGAAGACCAGAGGAGACAGGACCGTCTCTGTGATAGGACCAGATGAAGACCAGAGGAGACAGAGCCTTCTCTGTGATAGGACCAGATGAAGACCAGAGGAGACAGGACCTTCTCTGTGATAGGACCAGATGAAGACCAGAGGAGACAGGACGTTCTCTGTGACAGGACCAGATGAAGACCAGAGGAGACAGGACCTTCTCTGTGACAGGACCAGATGAAGACCAGAGGAGACAGGACCTTCTCTGTGATAGGACCAGATGAAGACCAGAGGAGACAGGACATTCTCTGTGATAGAACCAGATGAAAACCAGAGGAGACAGGACAATCTCTGTGATGGGACCAGATGAAGACCGGAGGAGATCCTGTCTCCTTTTCTGCTTTGCACATCAGAACTGCACAATCACTGGCAAACTTAAAATCCCTGCATAAGACGCTCCCTTTCTGTTTGGTCTTCAACACCCGGTAGCAAGAGACAAGTTTTTCATTTGTATATATACCTATATTGTCTGTATTGTGTTTTTAATGTTGCTGTAGCCTAGGCTGGTTTTAGATGTGCTTCACAAATAAATATTGATTGATATTGATTGATATTGAGAGAGGCGGCTCATGTCAAGTGCATGTGTCATGAATAAGTCTTATAATTATGCATGAAAACAAGAGAAGGCCCTCCCCCAAGTTACAAGCACCACTCACAGTAAGTTTTTAATTGCCACAACAAACAGTTTTGGGCTGTAAAGCAAAACATACAGGTACTAAATAAGTATACTTTTATTTGCTTTTTTGCTTTTTTTCATTCATTGTTAGTTCAGTCTTCATTTGCTTCTGTTTCACAACCATTTATGTTTTTCTTTTACTGTTAAAATCTCTTCAGCTCTGTTTTGGTCCTGCTGCAGTGCTGGTTCAGCCTCAGATTGATGTGGTCTTGTGTCCTGTAATTTTCGAAGCTCCACCCCTCTCCTGCTCCCTCTCTCTCCCGAGACCAGACCAGATCCAGACCAGAGCCAGGACTCAACTGTGACCACTGGAGGCTTTTCCCGCTCCTCTGTGCCATGCTGTGATGAAATCTGACAACATGGACAAACAGAAAGGTATGCCCTCTCTCTTCGAATTCTACTTTACAAGTGGCAAATGTTTACCTATGATACAACACAATAACATCCCAGTAATTTATTATATTTTCTATGCTAATTATTTAAGGCAAGTGGAAGATACCATTTCAAAACCAAGGAGTAGGCTTGATATTGATTCTTACTCATTCCAAATAATTTCAACTGTTTGGAATAAATTGTATTTTGTCCTGGTATGTACATCATAGTGCTAAGTTAAAAATAAAAATGATTGAAATCTCAAGATGCGAAGAGAAGGAGAAGGCCAAACCATAACCTGATGAAACATATGTGCTGTTATAGAAACACATGTTGTTTTTACCAGAATGTACTTTGAACAAACCAAAAGGATTGTTGGGTTATACACTATTCATAAGCGTTTCCCGATACATTGTTGTACATTCTCTTGCTCAGATTGATATTACAGTACGTATTAGTGTTTTGAGATAGTGATTGGCTGTGCCCCTGTGAGGCGCCAAAGCAGATGTATGAGTTCCTGAATCTAGGACACTTTCTACTCAGCACCTGTACTTTTCTCTACATTGTTATTATATATTTTACTCTCATTTATTTCTGTTATGGAGTTTAGTAGTCGTGTGTCTCCTATGAAGATTCAGAGCAACTTTTATCTGTTTTCCATCACATTTATGAAAACTCTGGTGCCTTAAGGGTCCGTTTAGTCATAATTTATAATTGTAGACTTTCTTGCTTCAGTCCAAGTCCTGGTTCAGTCCTGGTTCAATCCTAGCTGAGTCCTGGCTCTATCCTGGTTCAGTCCTGGCTCAGTCCTTGATCCGTCCTGACTGAGTCATAAACAGTGTGTCCTTGGGGAGAGGATGAGAGAAGATGAGTTTCCGATATTTAACATTCTTAGATAAACGTTGGTTCATCCTCCGCCTCAGGACTGATGACCTTAGACTTGACTTCATCAAATGGTCCAGAGCTGGACTTCACAGAATGACACAGTTTGTCCTTTTTTAGTTTGATACAGCTGCATGTTTAAAAATTATATATAATATATTGCTTTTGGAATTATTTCAAATATTTGGAGTTTCAATATTGATTTATTTTTAAAGTTACAAAAAAAAAAAACAACGCATTGGCCGACTGATTTCCTCTCATTCCTAGGATTGTCATCACAACACAGTGCCGACATAGCAGCTTTGAAGGATCCAAGTATGTGATCCTCTGTGCGTCTGAATGATTCCCAGTGTTGTTTTGGTACTTTGAGCTGCTCAGATGCTAAATTCATTCATGTTTTTGCATCGCCAACACAAAGCTCTCTGTCTCCTCAAGTTTCTCTCACAAAAGTCTGAATGTGACAAGTCCTGAGTCCGGGGGCCGAGTCTAGTCTGGGTTCAGCTGGGATCTGGCCCAGGACTGACCCCACACTCCTACTGTTCTCTGTCTACTGTCACTGAGGCTGGTCCACACAGAGAGGGACCAGGACATGGACCAGGACATGGACCAGGACATGAACCAGGACATGGACCAGGACATGGACATGGGCCAGGACATGGACATGGACCAGGACATGGACATGGACCAGGACATGGACCAGGACTACCGACTCCATGGACCATGTACTGGTCCATGTCCTGGTCCATGGAGTCGGTAGTCCGGTTAGAGCAGAATGCTTTGTCCTTTCTGTTTGACAAACACATAATACAACTTCTTCTCTGGATTACTATGTTTGCCATTGGCACAACTTTATAATTTTTTTTATTTTTTCTGAAAGAAGAGAGAAAAAGGGATAACCACACTTGAACCGCTCTCTGCCCAAAACCCATGACTCACATGGATCTTATTTTCGTCTTACTTTTTTCTCAAAGTTTTATTTTACTCTCTCTAGAAAGAAATACAGTAATCATATAAAGATTTTTTGCATATGATTACTGTATACTACCTATTTTTGTGAATCAGAATTGTGAATTTGTTTTCTCTGAACTTGCACAATCAGTCCCCATTTGTTTACTACAATAAAAAACAAACAATATAAAACTGGTTTCGAGTCAAAATTATGTATGGCATCATTTATTATTGTCAGTGACAGGTCTCTCACTGCTGTGATGCCGCAGCAGGCGCAGAGTGAATGGAGCAGACGTGGGAAGTGTGGAGAGGATAATAGAATCTCTGTTCAAGGGAAATATAAATATTATTCATGAAGCAACATCATTTCACAGTCAAGGAACAAAACAGAGAGATCTTTTCTTCAGGCTGATGTGACGTGTGCCGTGTTTGTTAACAACTAATCCAAGAGTACCCTGTTTACGCAAAGAAGTGTCTTGCAGCCCTGATGGTTATGTTGTATTAATCATAACAAAGCAAATTCAGAAAAGGTCCTTGAGCGTGTCCAGCTTGGTTCATACAATTAATAAACATACCTTCAAGGTATTATGTAAAGATACTCAAACATGAAAATCCTTGCCATTATGTCTGGTTTTTTAAATTAGTAGAGATCATGAGCTCTTTGTCATCTTTCTTATCAGAATTTTAGCTAAAAAGGATTATGTACAGTGCCTTGCGAAAGTATTTGGCCCCCTTGAACCTTTCAACATTTCGCAACATTTCAGGCTTCAAACATAAAGATATTAAAATTAAATTTTTTGTCAAGAATCAACAACAAGTAGGACACAATCGTGAAGTGGAACGAAATTTATTGGATAATTTAAACTTTTTTAACAAATAAAAAACTGAAAAGTGGGCCTGCAATATTATTCGGCCCCCTTGCGCTAATACTTTGTAGCGCCACCTTTTGCTGCAATTACAGCTGCAAGTCGCTTGGGGTATGTCTCTATCAGTTTTGCACATCGAGAGACTGGAATTCTTGCCCATTCTTCCTTGCAAAACAGCTCGAGCTCAGTGAGGTTGGATGGAGAGCATTTGTGAACAGCAGTCTTCAGCTCTTTCCACAGATTCTCGATTGGATTCAGGTCTGGACTTTGACTTGGCCATTCTAACACCTGGATACGCCTATTTGTGAACCATTCCATTGTAGATTTGGCTTTATGTTTTGGATCATTGTCCTGTTGGAAGACAAATCTCCGTCCCAGTCTCAGGTCTTTTGCAGACTCCAACAGGTTTTCTTCCAGAATGGTCCTGTATTTGGCTCCATCCATCTTCCCATCAATTTTAGCCATCTTCCCTGTCCCTGCTGAAGAAAAGCAGGCCCAAACCATGATGCTGCCACCACCATGTTTGACAGTGGGGATGGTGTGTTCAGGGTGATGAGCTGTGTTGCTTTTACGCCAAACATATCGTTTTGCATTGTGGCCAAAAAGTTCGATTTTGGTTTCATCTGACCAGAGCACCTTCTTCCACATGTTTGGTGTGTCTCCCAGGTGGCTTGTGGCAAACTTTAAACGAGACTTTTTAGGGATATCTTTGAGAAATGGCTTTCTTCTCGCCACTCTTCCATAAAGGCCAGATTTGTGCAGTGCACGACTGATTGTTGTCCTATGGACAGACTCTCCCACCTCAGCTGTAGTTATCTGCAGTTCATCCAGAGTGATCATGGGCCTCTTGGCTGCATCTCTGATCAGTCTTCTCCTTGTTTGAGATGAAAGTTTGGAGGGACGGCCGGGTCTTGGTAGATTTGCAGTGGTCTGATACTCCTTCCATTTCAATATAATTGCTTGCACAGTGCTCCTTGAGATGTTTAAAGCTTGGGAAATCTTTTTGTATCCAAATCCGGCTTTAAACTTCTCCACAACAGTATCTCGGACCTGCCTGGTGTGTTCCTTTGTCTTCATGGTTCTCTCTGCGCTTTAAACAGAACCCTGAGACTATAAAAGAGCAGGTGCATTTATACGGAGACTTGATTACACACAGGTGCATTCTATTTATCATCATCAGTCATTTAGGACAACATTGGATCATTCAAAGATCCTCACTGAACTTCTGGAGTGAGTTTGCTGCACTGAAAGTAAAGGGGCCGAATAATATTACTTTATTGACCATTGTGCAAAACACATAGGAGTTTGACTTGGCAACATGACAGTGTGCATTCATCTTTATCACATAGTGCAAGAGATATAAATAAAATAGATATTGTAATAAAGTGCCATAGTGTTCAGTCCTTGTTCCTAGGGGGCAAGGGAAGAAGGGAGACCAGCGTCAGTGAGCAGCGTGGCCGCTGAGGGGAAAAAACTGTTTTTGTATCGCTCTGTCTTAGCCCCCAGATGCCGCATCCTCCTCCCAGAGGGAAGCAGGGTGAGGAGGCCGTGACCAGGGTGGGAGGGGTCAGCCATGATCTTTCTCGCCCTCCTCAGTGCCCTGGAGTCATGCAGGGACTTGAGGGAGGGCAGGGGATGGCCAATCACCCTCTCCACGGAGCGTATCACCCGCTGCAGCTTGACCAGGTCTTTCGCAGCTGCAGCGGGGAACCAGGTGATGATGGAGTGAGTGAGGATAGACTCTATGATGGCCGAGTAAAACTGGGTCATCATGGCCCTCGACAGTCTGTATTTCCGCAGCTGACGAAGGAAGTACATCCTCACGCCCCACTTTTCAGTTTTGTATTTGTTAAAAAAATTTAAATTATCCAATAAATTTTGTTCCACTTCACGATTGTGTCTCACTTGTTGTTGATTCTTGACAATTTTTTTATTTTTTATATCTTTATGTTTGAAGCCTGAAATGTGGCGAAATGTTGAAAGGTTCAAGGATACTTTTGCAAGGCACTGTATGTACACAGATTGGATGAATATTGTTATTATTTCAAAACTTTTCTGTCAACTGCAGTTTCCAGGTTTGATCCTAATTGTGTTGAGGATGTAGCTAACACTGTAGCATTATATCAGCTGCTTCCTTGTTGAACAGTAAACTGCAGTATGAGCTTACAGTTAATGAGTGAGAGCTGCGGCCTTCTAATCTAATGTTTAACGCTGGTGCTGATCAGAGACACCTCTGTGCGAAGAACTCCATAAAAACATTCAAATGTTGAACAAAGAGGATTTGGAAGTGACTCATTAAGTGCTTTTGTTATTATTTATTTAATTTGCGATAAGGCTATTTACCAATAGTCAATGTGAAATAATATCTACATCTTTAGGTAGATTTTTTTTCCCCAACATTTTTTTATTTAAGTTAGTTAAGTAAAATAATAACCACAGCCATGCGATTTCACTTAATAAATTACCAAACACTCTTTTATAGGCAATACTTTTTGTTTTAGAAAGCAGAAAGCAGCTCTGAGTGTGATGTCATAGTGGTACAATGACCTCATTCCAGGAGCTTTTAGACAGAAGGGGCAAAGGTACATGCTTTTTTTTGCAGAAGATCCTAATATTAGAATGGATGGATCTAAAAACCAATGTAGGTCTGTTTTGGTAGAGAAGTATCGTTGTTTAAAAACTATTTAGAATGTCCATTTTGTATATTGTGTCACTTTGTGTCACTTGCATTAGGACTGAAAAACCTGCACTACTATTGACACTGTTTCTTTGATTGCCACTTTATTTGCCACTAATATAATATATAATATAATATATAATATAACATAATATATCCTGCATTTAACATGTTTGCACATTTCTTTCTTTTGCACAATCTTGAGTGTTTCTCTCCATGCCCGATGTGACATGTAAATTTCTCCTGTGTGAGATCAATAAAGTCTATCTTATCTTATCTTATTCAACATTTAATTTGTAGATTTTACATACATCTGGATATAAATAGAAATAAATCATCTGAAGTAATATAGTAGTATTAAGTAAGATACTAAATAGAGTATTTATTGATACTCCCTAGAATGTGTTTTAAGAAAGTACATTGCAGTCAACAATTACAATGATCAACGCACAATTAATCACAATTTAATATAGTGAAATGGGCGGGGATAGGTGATAGGTGAAACAGACCTTTTCTGGGTCCTGAAGTCACCAATGCAGATGACCTCTGTCTCGCTCCTGTCCCTCTCTCCTGCAGTCCTGGTCCGTCTGGTGTGGGACCTTCAGACGTTCTTGTCGTTGTTGGACTCTGAAAACCTGAGCTTTATCGCACAGGCACAAAAGAAATCACTGTCAGAACTTCTCATATCTCTACACAGTACTGCAAATACTACGAATACTACTGCAGGTGAGTACTGCAACTGCTACTGCTGCTGCTACTGCTATTCCTACTACTGCTACTGCTGCTACCACTGCAACTGCTGCTGCTATTGCTACTACTGCTACTACTATTGCTACTGCTGCTGCTATTGCTACTACTGCTACTACTATTGCTACTGCTGCTGCTATTGCTATCGCTACTGCTACTGCTGCTGCTGCTGCCAATGCTGCTACTACTACTTTTGCTTCCACTAACTTTTGTTTCTTTTTTTTCAGTGGAAGATGCAGAGTACATGGTGATGAGCTGCACAGACCCAACAGCACCAGGTGAGGACTGAACTAGGACAGAACCAGGACTGAAGCCGGACTTAACCAGGACTGAACCCGAACTGAACCAGGACTGAACCCGAACTGAACCAGGACTGAACCAGAACTGGACAAGGACTGAAGCATGACTAAAGCAGGGCTAATGCAGGACTGAACCAGGACTGAAGCAGTAATGGACTAGGACCGCATGGATGCAAAAGAACATACATTTTAAATTGTATTTAGTGGACAGTATAAGAGCAGAAGTTTGAGAGTGGTTTTGTTGAACAGAAGTCACGTTAAAAGTTAATATCAGGTCCTTGTTATGTTTTTTCAGATGTGACCCGGTCCTCAGAGCTGGACTCCAACACCGACCCAAAACTAGAGAAACAAGCAGTAAGACCAAAATCAAGGCCTTGATCTTAAAAGCAAATGATATACAGTTTAATCCTGGACTAGGCCTTATTTTGTCCCCAGTTTAGCTCTGGTTTAGCATATGTTTAAAATCTGCTGGTATATATATTAATAATAATAATAATGGGGCGACAGTGGCTCAGTTGGTAGAGCATTGGTCTTTGGTCGTGGGTTCGATCCCCCCCACGTCACCTGCTCCCACTGATGTCTACTGTCAATGTGTCCCCACTTTGCCTGAAACCCCCGATGAAAGACCACAGCCATCATCCTGGACCCACCACCCACAGGAGGATCAGCGATTGGTGCTTTGTGAATTGGCTGACAGCTCTGATCCCCCCCCCCCCCAAAATAAATAAATAAAGGGGATGAAAATTTCATAATAATGATAGTAATAATAATCATATCAATAAAATCTCTGCCTGTGGAGAAACAACTGAAGCAGTTTGGATGCCATTCAGGTGCTCTATACTTTTGACTTTATTTAGTCCTTTTTTCCGCTACGTCTGTGGTCTGGTCCCACTGGAGTTAATATGGGGCATAGGAAGTCCGTGTTTACAGACACAGCGCTACCATTGGCCGTGGTTTAGAGCAGACAGGATGTGGTCAGAGATGAGGACTTAGAGATTAGCACAAAAGACCGGTGGTCCCTGCGTCCCTCCAATAATCAGGGAAACATTTTAACAACATGATGTCATATTTCAGAGCGTCCAGTTGACTCCTGATGAAGACATGTATGAGGAAGCAGCTCCCTATGCCTCACAGTCCACCTGCACCTCCACTGGTACTGCTACTGCTACTGCTGCTACTGCTACTGCTGCTACTGCTACTGCTACTACTGCTACTGCCAGTACTAGTAAATTTGTTCATTGTGAGATCAATAAAGGTTTATTTTATATTACTAGTGCTACTACTACTGCTACTACTGTGGCTACCACTACTGCTACTGCTAGTGCTTGTACTAGTAAATGTCTCCATTGTGAGATCAATAAAGTTTCATCTTATCTTACTACTGCTACTACTACTGCTACTAGGGCTTGGCGATATGGTCAAAAGGACAAACGATATGAAAAGGAAATATCACAATAACAATAATTTTCACAATATAAATAACATTGGGAAAAAATACAAAACTACAAGATTTTTTTTCCATTTGCTGTAAAACCACACTGGAAAAACTATGCAAGACTACTCCAGTGTGCACCAGACAGAGAAGACAGCTCACACCAGAGCTCTTACCAAGGCATCATCTTTACAGTGCCATGCGACACAATACATTACTATGTAATAATAAATCCGTCTTATGGCTCTCAATGTTTAGTTCAGCTTTCCAGAGCGAAAAGTGACACACACACATGCATGCACACGCACATACACGCACACACACGCACACACAAACAGACACACACTTTGTATTTTGTGATGTCACATATTACTATTATTACTTCAGAGAAGGCGGAGTCAGACAGCAGCCATTATGAATCCTACGGTGATGAAGATGACGATGATGTGTTCGAGGGGCGACACGGGCTGATTACTATGGACAAGCGGTTCGTCCAATGGAGTGCCTCGCAGCCCTGTCTAAGGCCCACCCCCGAGTCTCGTCTCTGTGGTTACCTGTGGAGGAGGAGGTGGCTCGGGCAGTGGACCAAACAGCTGTTCATCATCAGGAACCACTCGCTCATGGTAGAAACTACCTCCTTTAAAGAAGAGATATTACATATTCTGTTTGGCCAAAATCATGATGATAGTATTTACTTTGTCATTAGAATGTGAAATAATATATCCAAAATAAAATAAATGTGAAACATGTATGAAGGGTAAAAAATGCTTTAAGGCTGTAATTCCCTTTGCTGCCACCAGAAGGAGAATGTATTTTGTCTATTTCCAAATTTGAAAATTGAAAAGAACATATTTTCGCTTGAGAAATGTACTTTTGGTTTAAAAGGCATAAAGTTGTGATGTCATAGTGTTACAATGACATGTTAGACAGGTGGATCTGTTTGCGTCAGGTGTGACGGCCCCCTGCCCGCTGTGGTTTTCACGAACGGACATGGCCTCCTCTCTCCCACTGATTTTCCCGATACTGCTCAGGGTTCACCAGGAAAGGCACCACCTTCTACTGGTGGCTCCATTTTTGCCGGGCCGGATCTGGTTTCCATTGCTGCTTCGGCTCTGCTTCAGCACTCAGAGACCCCTATCCCGACAGAAGGATCTCCTGCACCTGGTCCCGTGCGGCTTCAGCTCTGAGTGTGGCCACTGAGGAGTCTGGCACAGTTGTCCCATGGTATGGTGGGGTCATTTATACAATCTCCAATGCCAGGGCGCCTTCCACTAGACTGGAGCAGTTTGGCAAGTGGTTTCTGCCATTCTGCATTCCTACAGGGTCTCATGCACCGGGGGCCGTTGCTGAGGTACTCAGTCAGTGCTACCTCTCCCACAGGCAACGACCACCTACAGGGGTGAGGTGTCATTCGACCAGGGGCGTTTCTGCCTCCTGGGCTGCTATGAGCAGAGTGCCTCTGGATGCTGTCTGTACTGCGGCCTCCTGGACGTCGGTCTACCTTTGCGACATTCTATCGGGTTAATGTGGCGGTCCCCAGTCCGCTGGAGGGGGTGTACTGTGTGTACCTCACGTTTAATCCCTCAGGACCTTGTTGGTTTATGTCAGCCAGTGCGTAAGCGCCGCCTCTGCTTGCGAGGCGAAAAGGGACTGAGTTCTTGTGTCATGTGACTATATAGACTTACGTGGATGATGGAGAGGTCACAAGTGACTTTGTTGTCATTTAATTCTCAAACTGCGCCTGCTCGAAGATGATCATTCAGTGCTTAAAGCACCGCCTCTGGTGGTCATCCAGGATTCAAAGAACCGTAGTTTCAGTCGTTACTTTCGTTTTACCCTCCACACTTGTTTCTCCATATAAGGTATTATGTAACATTCTAAAACATGAAATGACAAAGTAACTTCTTTAAAAATGATCTCACAATTCATGTTTTTCCAAACTTGTAAAATGTCATGGAACTATATGAACAAAACATAAGTAGGTCATGATGGGTCAAACCCATTGGCTCCATTCTGACAGTCAGACTGATTTTTCATGACATATCTTTTCTACATGCAGGTAATATTAATGTGTGACTGTATAAATACATAATCACAGTGTTACAAGTGCCCCCGGGACCCGGAGCCTCAGATGGATGTCGACCTGCGTGGATGTCTGCTGCTGTACAAGGCCAAACCCCAGAGGAAAGTCCCCCACACACTCAGACTGCTGCTGCCTGCCTCCGACAGCCTGGTCTTAGGCTTCAGCAGCTACCAGCACGCAGATGAGTGGAGGAAGGTAATGCATCATTATAAAAATGCAGGGGATGAGATAAGATAAGATATAATTTATTGCCCTCACACAGGAGAAATTTACTTTTATAGTATGTTCAAAATATTCTGTAGCTCGAGTCCTGACAAGATCCAGGAAGTACAATCACATTTGTCAATTTCTCAGGTCTCTGCACGGGCTTCCTGCGGCTCAGAGAATCGACTTTAAAGCAGTCTCTCCATGGCCTCGCACAAAAGTACATCTGTCCCATTTGGACCAACTTGGACTCATGGTAGCACAGGGACTGGCCTTTTGCTGGTGCCCAGAGTCAGAACTAAACAGGGAGAGGCAGCGTTTCAGATTTATGCTACTCAGATCTGGAACACTCTTCCTGAAAATGTGTGTCAGGCTTCTTCTCTGAAAATTTTTAAATCCAGGTTACAAACAGTTATTTTTAGCTGTGCAGACAACTGAGGGATTGTATCACGCTTTTTGACTTTTCTCTGCTTTAAACATGATTACAGTCCTATTTGGCCTTCATACACATGCCCAGAGTAGTTTATTCATTGATTCCTTCAAGCTTTAGTTAGAGAGCGATCTTTCTCTTTCACCCTCGAGAGGCAGTGAAACGCCCGGGTCCACATCCGTGCCAATTTCCACATTGAGGATGAATATGACGCGCAGAATCCAGTTTTCTTTCGTATTTAAAATGGTTCTTAAATACTATCGTCAAACCAGGGAAAACAGTACACAATAAGTATGCTGTTGGTAGTCAAAAATAAGGAAAATACTAATAATACTAAACGCCGCGGGTGATTGACAGATCGAAACAGCGAATCACAGCGCACAGCCAGTTCCCGAATCCAGGGGTTTGGTCCTGCGGACACCACATGGAGCTTCTGTTTTTCTGCTTATGTCAGCGACTAAAAGTGTTCAAATAATGTCAACTTGGAGAAAATGTGTTTTGGGTGTAAATATGTGACGCACTATTTTGCCCGAAGAGAATGCGGCTCAAATTTGTTTACGTGGATCTGCCTCTGTTTGAATGAATCTGTACATTTCACTAAGACTGTTCCAGAACTACAATGGAACTAGCCTGGCTCTTGCCAGCCCCTTGTAGTTCCGCCATGCTCCACCAGAGGCGTCTGGCTGAACCACATGGGTCTGGGATCGAGGCCATAGCCAACTCCTTCAGCAGATTATTTTTTAATCGACCAATCAGGATCGCCAGTGTTACGTGGGGTTTGCACCGCCTTCCTAAGCTTGTCTCACGTAGCAGCGAAAGCAATCTAAGATGGCGGGCATGAAGTCCGCAAATTATTTTAAAAGTTTAAATACGAACGATTTAAGACACAGATGTCACTTTTAATGCAATATGAGGCGAGATGTTGGTGGTTCCATGTTGTTACTGTATATGTATGTTTTAAGAGTCAAATGTTCGTGTAAAGTTTGGTTTAAGTACTGGTTTAGGTGTTCCTGTTTACAACACTATGCAGCAGTGTTGCCAGGTTGGGTGGTTTCACGCATACTTTTCTTCAAGAGACTTGTAGGTAATAAATAAACAGAAAGACAATAAACAGAATTATGATAGGCCAAGTTGATTACATAACGTTTTTAGCCAAAAAATCATTCTGGGTGTTTTTTTTTTGGGCATTCTCGTGGGTTTGGGCCATAGACTGTATATATTAACGGACAGAGTCATGCCTATCTCCGCCGTTCTAACTAATGGGCCAAAAAATGTGCTCTACTGGAGCTATCCAAAATGGCCGCGAGGGGTCCCGCCCACAAGAAAATTGTGAAAAAACGCATCTGCGCATGCGTCAGCCGGCGCAGCTCCATTCATTTGAATGAGAGACTTCAAAAATTCACAGCAAGTAAACTAGAGTGGACCAAAAAAATTCACCCCCCTCAGCATTGACACACATGTGGAACGGAGCTTTGGGCCAAGAGCCAACTTTTGGTCCATCCTGTAAAGAAGTTTTTGAGAGGTCTGCCAATGCTATATGTTAGCATTGGCTAATTCTTCTTCTGGGTCCACCCCCATCGGCCCGGGGTGGTATTGCAAGCATGTCAGAGCACGTCATTTTGGCCACTTTTGAGCTGGGACCCGCCCCCACTGGTTTGGGCTGGAAAATCTTGCCGCCATTTGGAAACCCATGGGAGTCGTGTGCTTCGATGTGAGTGGTTGAAGGAAGACGTCATTCAAGATAACGGACAAGTGGTTTATCCTATCACATACAAGGATTTTTTTTTGTAGAAGGCCCCGCCTTCTGAAATCCAACTGCTATGGAGGAGGCCCAGACGCATGTGTGAAGTGCAGCGAACTACATGGGTCTGGAGAGAGTCAGGCTACAATGGAACTGGACTTACTCAAAAACTGATCTGGAAACCAGTGTTATTCCCACGATAAAAGACGTAAAACGGATTCTATAAACTAAATAATTAGGGTATGATTGTGGATTGAGGACAAAGGGGTCAATGTGACGGATTGTCATTGTGGGAAAAAGTTTATTCTCATGTCTGAAATGAACATGTGCCGGTGATAAACAACTCGCAGCGTGATGCTACGTCACCGTGCGGGCGGGGGGAGGCGGGCTCACAGACAGAGGAGCAGACTCCTCTCTGAATCAGCTCGTTTGAGTCGAGGTGACGTCACCTCTATACAAGAGATGGCTCTAATCTCACAAGTTTTGAGTGTTGTGTGGTGTATCACTTAAATAATTGTCACACATGTGCACAGGATGTGAAACATGAAGAAAACCGTAATATGGAACCTTTAAATTATTTTAGATCATTGTTAGGATTCAATTGTTCAGATAAATATCCATGAAGATCCACAGATGTCATAGATTGCAACTTGTACTGCTACAAAATCCCAACATTTGTTCTTTAATGAAGGCAACAGCAGACTGCACAGTCTCTGGGGTTAAATCTGGGGTTAAAACTGTGATGTTGCAGGTGATCGAGGAGCTGAGTTCTGGAGACATCGAAACTCAGAGCTCGTCTGTGATCAAGTCCGAACCACTGTCCTGCAGGGTGAGTCAGCTCCAGACCTGGTTTAGTCCTGGTTATGTACTAGTTAAGTTCCTATTCAGTACTGGTTTAACCCTGGTTTAGCGATGGTTTAGTCATGGTTTTGCCCTGGTTTAGTCCTGGTTTTGTACTAGTTAAGTCCCTATTAAGTCATGGTTTATCCCTGGTTTAGTCCCTATTAGGCCACGTGCTAGATTGAATATTTTTAACTTCCGTTCCAGCGTCATGGGAAATACTTTTTTTCAACGTTTTCTGAAAGCTTATAACAATATGAACACAATCTGAAGTTTCCACACAAAGAATCCTTGTCGTATTTTTGCTAGCACCAACTGAAATTTGAACTTTTTATCATGCAAAGTAGAATGTAAATTGCCATTGACCCAGTTGCAACCAATCAGAGCGCAGGATTTCTTGGACATGAAGTCAGTGAGTCGGTGTGTTTGTCAACAAAGATGGCAGCCCCCGGTTGTAAGAGGCAACCAGGGCTTTTCCTCCGGGTGTCCGGGGTCCTCAAGGTGCTCTGGATTCCTCCGGGTGTTCCGGTTTCCCTAACCACTAAAAATATGTACAATAGGTCTGGCATGTGATGGGAGCGAGCTGTAGGTGACCTCGCTCCCATCTCTGTGATGGAGGGAGAGACAAATTCCCAGAAATAACAATTGTAAAGCTCTTTGTGACTCTGATCTGAGGCGCTATATAAATAATAATCACTTACTTACTTAAATGATCGGCAGAGGGTGAGGGTTATCATCATCATCATTTTACATTTAATGAATGCAACATGATGTGCAATGAACAATGACTGACTGCATGGCATGGGCGTGGCATGGTCAGTATGGTCAGTATGGTCAGTATGGTCAGTATGGTCAGCATGGTCAGCATGGGCGTGGCAGGGGCAGCATGGGCATGGCATGGTCAGTATGGTCAGTATGGGCATGGCATGGTCAGCATGATCAGCATGGGCGTGGCATGGTCAGCATGGTCAGCATGGGCGTGGCAGGGGCAGCATGGGCATGGCATGGTCAGTATGGTCAGTATGGGCATGGCATGGTCAGCATGATCAGCATGGGCGTGGCATGGTCAGCATGATCAGCATGGGCGTGGCATGGTCAGCATGGTCGGAATGGGCATGGCCAGCATGGGTGTGGCATGGTCAGCATGGGTGTGGCATGGTCAGCATGGGCGTAGCATGATCAGCATGGGCGTGGCATGGTCAGCATGGTCGGAATGGGCATGGCCAGCATGGGTGTGGCATGGTCAGCATGGGTGTGGCATGGTCAGCATGGGCGTAGCATGGTCAGCATGGGTGTGGCATGGTCAGCATGGGTGTGGCATGGTCAGCATGGGCGTAGCATGGTCAGCATGGGTGTGGCATGGGCGTGGCATGGTCAGTATGGTCAGTCAGTCAATGATTATATGGTAATGTATAATTGGGCACAATAATCATTAATGTACAGTCATTGTTGTCATCAGTGGTATAGCCAGAAAGGGGTGCGCCTGCAGACATGACAACAATGACTATACATTAATGATTATTATTCCCAATTATACATTACCATAATAATCATTGACTGACTGACCATGCTGACCATGCCACACCCATGCTGACCATGCTGACCATGCACGCCCATCCTGATCATGCTGAGCATCATCTTTGAGTTATTTGAAGGAAAGTGAACAATCATTAGACATAAAATCAGTTAATGGTAGTTTTTCCAGTTTAGTTCCCAAATTTGAATGTTACCGTTTTCATAATTATTTTGGATATTCAAATATTTCTTCAATAATAGTAATATTCCGGGAATACATAATTTTTGGTGTGATCTGGCCAAGTAATTTGGTTTTTGATTAAATAAGTAGTTCTGCAATTAGAAACCTCCAATCATGGTACATCAGGCTAAAATGGCCAATTTTCAATCAAAACCACAACTTTGACAAAAAAAAATTCCGACAGGGATTCTGTTTGTAGAACTTTTTCACGGCTAACTGTAACTATTTAGCATTAACATAAAGCAAAAAAAAGTATTTCTCACAATCCTGGAACGAAAGTCAAATTCTAGACCTCTTTCATGAACTTCCTCAAGTGGAGGAGTTCAAGTATCTCGGGGTCTTGTTCACGAGTGAGGGAAGAATGGAGCGTGAGATTGACAGGCGGATCGGTGCAGCGTGCGCAGTGATGCGGTCGCTGTATCGGACCGTTGTGGTGAAGAGGGAGCTGAGCCGAAAGGCAAAGCTCTCGATTTACCGGTCAATCTTTGTTCCCTCCCTCACCTATGGTCATGAGCTTTGGGTAATGACCGAAAGAACGAGATTGCGGATACAAGCGGTCGAAATGAGCTTCCTCCGCAGAGTGGCTGGGCGCTCACTTAGAGATAGGGTGAGGAGCTCAGTCACATGGGAGGAGCTCGGAGTAGAGCCGCTGCTACTCCACGTCGAGAGGAACCAGTTGTGGTGGCTCGGGCATCTGTTCCGGATGCCTCCTGGACGCCTCCCTGGGGAGGTGTTCAGGGCACGTCCCACCGGGAGGAGGCCCCGGGGAAGACCCAGTACACGCTGGAGGGACTATGTCTCTCAGCTGGCCTGGGAACGCCTTGGGGTCCCCCCGGACGAGCTGGAGGAAGTGTGTGTGGATAGGGAAGTCTGGGCGTCTCTGCTTAGACTGCTGCCCCCGCGACCCGGCAACGGATAAAGCGGACTGATGATGATGAAGCTTTCTTTTTTAACAAATAAATCTGAAAACCTCCCTGCATGTGTATTAATAATGTATATGTATAATGTGTTCTCTGATTAACATTTATAAGTGTTACGGAAACGTAGGTGTAGACCAATCAGAAAGGAAGGGGGAGGAGCTTGCGTCGTTTTTTTTCAAATCAAGTACCTCTCTTTCTGACAAACTCCAGACAATCACTTTAATGGTAGTGTTTCCAGTTTAGTGCCCAAATTTGAATGTGATTGTTTTTCATAATAATTTTTGGTATTGAAATATTTCTTCAATAATACTAATATTCCAGGAATACATCATTTTTGGTCCGATCTCTATGGCCAAGTAATTTTGGTTTTGATGAAATAAGTTGTTCTGCAATGAGAAACCAGCTCCAAAAATGGTACATCAGGCTAAAATGTCCAAATTTTGATCAAAACAACAACTTTGACAACATTTTTCTCATTATTGACAGGGATTCTGTTTGTGGAACTTTTTCTCGGCTAACTGTAACTATTTAGCATTAACATAAAGCAAAAAGAAAGTATTTCCCACAATCCTGGAACGGAAGTCAATTTCTAGACTTCTTTCATGAACTAGCACATGTCCTATATTTAGTACCTGTTAAATCCTGTTTTAGTTAAGTAAAGTTTATTTGTATAGTGCCTTTCACAGACCAAGATCACAAAGCGCTTCACTTTTCTCTTTTTTTACATACATCCATCCATCCATTTTCTACCCTTTAATCCATTTCTGGGTCAAGTCTCATAGCACCAGCCCCTCACTGACCCTCTGCAGGTGGTGAGTCCACAGGAGGACGGCTGCTCTCTGAGTGTGAGCATAGCCTTGACCTTTCAGTGGGGGGCTTTGGTCAAAGTGGGGTTAAGTGTCTTGCCCAAGGACACAACGACAGCAGTCATCAGTGAGAGTCGATGGAGAAAGTGCAGAGGTGGGAATTGTACCCATGACCTTCTGGCCTTAAGGCCAATGCTCTACCAACTGAGCTACTGTCGCCCCATTTTTACATACAGGGAAAAAAAAAAACACATACAAGTCAGTTCCAAAAGCGAAGATACAGAAGAATGTCTTCCTCATGAACACAGTATGTAGTCATGGTTTAGTCCTGGTTTAGTGGTTTAGTCCTGCTTTTGTCCTAGTTTTGTCTCTATTCAGTCCTGGTTTAATGCCTGTTTAGCCCTGGTTTGGTCCCGGTTTAGTCCTGGTGTTGTCCCTGTTTAGACATGCTTTAGTTCAATTCTAGAGTATTTGAGTCCTGATGAGTCCTGGTTCTCTTTTGCTCAGTCGAGTGCAGTTCAAACAGACTCAGATGACGAGGCACCTCTACAGCGCCACCCTGAGGACAGAGGTGAGTACCACAGTCTGTATTTTCTGCCAGTTTCCAAACAGAAATTCAGAACTTTTTGGGAAATATTCATATTTGTTCAAATGTATAATTGTAATCCAGCTGATGATGTAAATGGACAGAAGCACATTATATTTTTTTGATTCTACCTAACCCTATGTAGTTTATCACAATGTGTTCCCTTCATGGTCAAACTGGACTCTGGTCTCAGAAAGTTGTGAAACACTTTTATAAACTGGAATTGATTGAAAAAGAGAGGAAGGAATATGCCCCATCATCATTTCTGTGTGTAATGTGAGATGATGTGAGATGACGTGAGATGCTGCCTGATGCTGTTGCAGGCTTCCTGAATGTGCTGATGAACTGTCAGTGGCAGAGTTTGCGCTGTGAGGTGCAGGGAGGACTCCTCAACATGTTCGCCCACAGAGACCAGGACCCAGCACCGGTGAGCTCTGTCCCAGCACGCACCATAAGCATATGCAGCATTGTATTATCAAGTACAATTATAATCAAAACTAAAGGTTGCAAAACCTGTTGTAATCTTACACAAATGCATATACTTCCTGCCCTTTTGTGGTTAGTTTGATGTTTGTTTCTTTTGCCAGAATGACTTTTCTCTGATTTTAATTTGAATTAATGGGATTAGTACAAAATCATTTATTGTTATTTTTCCACATATCGCATCCATGGACCAGGACACGGACTGCACTCGGACCCCTCAGTACACGTTGTCTCTGATTGGCTGTGAGGTCAAGCCTGGGCCGGACACGCCCCACTCTTACAGGATCACACTGAGCACGCTCAGTGACGAGCTCACCGTGCTGGAGGTGAGGACAGACCAGAGACCAGGGAAGCTTATCTGTCTACAGTCTTCGGTCTTGGTGTTACCAAAAAAATTACCTAAAAATGACAGACTCATTGTAAAATAATCTAAGTCTGCTTCAGTCAGCACTTCTCCCTTGTTGAGATAATCCACTCCACATACAGTCTGGGGTTGCAAGACTGAAATAAATGTTAAATAAATGTTAAATAAATATATATTTCAGTTCTCACATATTGATAGTCTTGTGTGTGTGTGTGCGTGTGTGTGTGTGTGTGTGTGTGCGGTTATGTGTGTGTAGGTGAGCAGCACTGAAGAGAAGGAGCGCTGGATCAAACTTCTCAAAGAATCAACCAATCAGAAACAGGAGAAACAGGAGGACAGCGCCCCCCTCAGGTAAGAACTGCTTCCCTCCTGCTTTCAGTTCAGCCTCACCTCGGTCTTGGTTCTGTTCCCTCAGTGGCCTCCAGACTCGCAGGTTCCCATCTCCAAACACTTACGAAGCACAACCTGTGTACTCCAACAACTCCGTCCTGCAGCACCAGGTCAGTTCTACTCCTTCTAGAACACTTGTTTAATGACCCAAAAACTGGCCCAGACCAGCTCCATGTCACATGGGCAGGATTCTGTGTCACTGTATGAACTGAGGGGCTATTACTGGAACGAAGCAAGATCATTTGAGAGAGTATTTTGATGCTTGTATACACTTTTGTTTACACAATTATTGGTATATTGCCGTATCATGGAGAGCCTGACCCACTTTCACTTGGTTCATTTTTTATATTAATTTAGCCAAAAGTACATCAGTATTTATTTATAACGATGTATTTTCTTTGTGTTTGTGGACTTTTGGTTTTCAGCTAGATGTTACTAATTTCAGGTTCAACATTGAGGACAGACTAAATGTATAACAGGCCATGATACGATACGATACAAGCCTTCACTGGGTCAAGACTCCTGAGTCATTTGAATAATCAGATTACCGGTTTGAGGTTAAGGGCTGGTAAGGGTCCTGGAGCTGCATATAAATGTGAATCAGGCCAGATGTGGCTCCCGGGCCGCACTTTGCCCAGGTCTGCTCTGGACTAAATAGCCAGAACAATCATTATTTACAACCCTACCATTCTTAAGAGAAAGCCCAATTGATCCTTCACATATTTGTCCCTTTTTAATTTTGTTTATGAAAAAATATATTGTGAGATAATGGGGGGTGGAAAGTATTCTAAATGTTTGTCTTTTCTCAGCTCCACAAAGATCCAGGGACCTTAAGTAACATCAGCGCTAACCGTGAGTCTTAACCCAATGAATCAAATATTTACATTTGTATAATTATTCTTGTCAAGCATGGTTTGTTTTTGTCAGAGCGGAGCGGCGGGGAGCAGCGCAGCGTGCAGAAGCTAGAACTGGCTCGGAAACCTCAAAGTGTGAACGGGGTGAAGCTTCGAGCCGAGTCAGAGCTCAACCTGGCAACCAAGAACAAGCGCATCTCCTTTAGACAGTCTCTGGCCGTCTGCAGCGAGCGTGCACAGGTGAGGGGCTAATATTACACATTCATTCATTCATTCATTCTTACATTCTCAACCTTAGTTCTTAAGGTTATACCACGATATTTAAGCCTTTGAGATTTTTCTGAATAAGATGAGTCCAAGTTTGGACAAGAACCAAAACTGACCTTAAGTAAGAAAGGGTTCTTATAGCAGACCAATAGAGCAATCATTATTTAGAATTGTGCCCAGAGTTCAATGTTTAGAATATACTAAATTATGTGGTTGTTTTCTTTAGAGAAGTAGCTTTAAAATTATGTATAACATCCATAGTAACCCATAGTAACATATTTATGGTAACATTATTTCAAGTAGCCCCTGTAATACCCCCATGTACCACTGGTTGGGAAACATTGGTGAAGCCTATTATAGATCCATGTGTGATGCACAGACAGTTTTTGCAAAATGAAGCTGGATTTCACTAATATTCATATGATGAGGATAAAATACAGATCTATGGATGCATTTATTCTGGAAAAGGATGTTTTCTCTTTATAAATGTTTTTTCCTTAAACATTCCATAGAATTGCGATACACTTACACCAGAAATTAAATATTGTTCATGTTTAATACCAAATGGAGACTTCATTCCAGGTAAAGAAAATCATTTAAAAAATAGTGTATTAATTTGTGATTTTCTTTGATCACAGTCCAGTTTCCTGAGTCCTCTGCTGCGGAGGACGGCTTCAGCCAAACTCACTCTGAAGCGAGCCCCGTCTGCCCTGTTCCTGGAGAGTGGACGAGTCTCACACAGAAAGCAGGTAAACAACAAACAAGGCCTTTCTGCTTTCAGCGGCCACAGAGTAAGAATCCATCCACGTTAAATCACTATTGGCCTGAAAGAGGCGTGAGGCGTGTGCATTAACATGCACTGTCCCGACCAAACAGAAACATGAGCCTCTTCCAGTCTGTCACGTGATGAAATTAAAAAGGAACCCAAAAAGCAGGACTGAAAATAAAGTATACTTTCATATAATAAATCCAAGGTAACATAATTTCAGAACTGAAAATAAGACAAAGGTGGTAGAGTCAATGGCCCTCATTTATGAAACTTGCGTACGGCCAAATCAGGTTGTAAATGAGGCGAACGGAAAAAATCTACACTTATCGGCCTTTATCAACTTGGAAGTGGGCGTATGATTCGCACATAATATTTAAAAAAAGTCACAGAATGCAAATAACATGCATGAAATTCAAGATCTGGACAACAATAAACATATTCCCACTCTGGCAAGATTATAGGCACACCTCTCACATTACAAATATACGATTTTACAAAGTTATGTCAGGGCTAGTTTGTGTTATTAAATAACATGCAAGATGTCAAACTCAAAAGTCTCCCACAAATGTGTGGATTATATGTGTAGCACCTACAGTCAGTGCTCAACGGCATTTGGTTCATGCGGGTCCAAGCAAACACGCACACCATTGAGGAGACTGCGCGGATCAGATCAGAGGAAGTGGCTCTGGGACATGCAGGGGGTATGCAGGGGGTATGCTCTTGTATCTCCGGGTACAAGTGTGCCACATGGTCCTGGCTCAGTTCTCCACAACAGGCACAAGACCATGGTGTGCTGATGCACTGGTGGAGCAGCCCATGGATGAGACCATGGCCAGCACTAAGTTCGACCTGTACAGCTTAGACAGGCTCTCATTTAACAATATAAAAATGATAATCATACAAACACTTTGAAAATTATTTTCTTTTCTTTTGGATGTTTTGGTCTGGCGGTCCACCCCTGTCTGCTGAGCACTTCTTCTATGGGCTTTTTTTAGCCTTCTTGACCTCTTGGAGTTGACAATGAAGTCTCGTCTGTTCTTGCAGAAGTGAAGTCGATTATCTACTTCACTGTTACTCTACTTGTTTTTAAAAAGTGCTATACAAATAAAGATTATTGTTATTATTAAAATGTCATTGTTTTTTCAGGAGTGGGAGACTAAAGCCGCAGCCTGAACACCACGGGAGTAAATTATCACAAGAATTTAAACTGTACAGAATAAATATGATAAACAAAGAGGTACTTTTAATTAACTATAGTAATAATTCTACTTTTATTTGATATACAACTGTTTTGTTTGTGTTTAGTGTCATGTCTCAGGACCATCACACTGTCACTGTAACTATGTTTTTGTAATGAACACTTTGTATATGAAGAAAAATACTGCACGCCACTTACACTTTTGTTATTTTCAATTAGTTTTAAAATTGCTGCTGTTTTTGTACTTTTGTTTAAAAAAAATTCACATTAAAGGCTTGTTTTTACAATCATTTTCTCACATGTTATCAAGGCTTTTGAGCACAATACTTTCACACACAGAAAATGTTGAAAAATGTATTTTATTTGAATCCCTATTTTTCCACAACAACACAGCGTCAGGCAGGCTTCAAAATAAAACACTTCTAAAATGTACAAAAACCAAAACTATCTTCGTCTCCAGTTCCAGCTTTCCACGTCGAATCGGCCAATCGGAACACAGAAGATGTTTAAAAAAGCAAACATTTCAAAATAAAAAGTAAAGTGACTGATGCTTGCGGTGCACACAGACGAAGCAGCGTTTAAAGGAGATGATATTTCTATTGCTGTGAAGAAAGTTTAAAGGAAGTGACCACATACAAAGGATCTATGTAAAAAAAAAAAAACACTACACTGCAAAAAATTATAAAATATGAGGTAATTGAAGTGTTATTTTAATCCTAATTTGAGTTCATTCTGACTGTCTTAAAACAAGATTTGCAGATGGGACAAAGCCACTTGGTTTTATTTTGAGAGCTGTTGCTTTATTCTCTGATTCAAATTGAGACATTTCTTGAATCTTTTTAAAACAAGAGAATATTTGCTTGTCCCGTTGGCAAATCTTGTTTTAAGACGGTCAGAATGTGCTCAAATTAAGATATTTTGACAAATTTGAGCAATATTTAACTTCATTTTCATCACTTTTTGCAGTGTAGTTTTCACATGCATGTCCTGTTCGTTGGCCTTTGTCACATCTTTTTGAAACAGAAAAGTATTTAAGAGAGGACCACCCTCACTCAGCCAATCGGCTCTCAGCACAAAAGTCAGGTACCCCAGCTTTAAATAATAGTATGATTTTGTTCTCCCACTTATAATTGATCCATCAAAGTCTGTGCCTCCCACTCCTACTGATGACTGCTGTCGTTGTGTCCTTGGGCAAGACACTTAACCCCACTTTGCCTGAAGCCCCCGCTGAAAGATCTCAGCTCCTGTGGACTCACCCCCTGCAGGAGGATCAGTGAGGGGCTGATGCTCTGTGTACTTGGTGCAGCTCTGACTGCCACCCGCGACCCAGAAATGGATTAAGGGGAAGAAACTGGATGGATGGAAGTTGTCGAAAGTGCACATGACAGAGGGTTTCTTTCTTTCTAAGTTTTACTATTTCATGGAAAGACCTGTTTTAGAAAATATATTGAAATGTACAGAAGACGTGCACTTGATAATGACGCACTGTGAGACGTCTTTACTTCAGCCAAATAAAAGTACATTCTTATATTCGAATTTGTTAAAGAAAAAAGGCTTTTCAGAACATAGAGTTGTGAGTTTATTACATGGCTGGTTTTGTGATGGAAATCTCTACAGAATAATGTCAGACATCACACTGTAGATACATTTTTCACTGATCTACCCTGTCATACGCTCTTCAAACCTTGAAGCTGGGGTACCAAACTAAAATATGTTTTTGTTTGTATGGAAAAACTGTTTATTCTTTCTCAAACAAAAATAAAGTAAAAAATATGAAACGAGATTAATTGTATATATTTATATGAAGAATGCTGTGTCGAGTTAGGCGGATTCTGATTAATTTATTTTAAGAATAAAAAATATTAGTTACTTAATAGTTCTGTCACTGGTTACTGACGTCGTCGTACAAATGATGGCTTAAATCAACAAGATAACCCATCAAAATCAAATTAAAGTTAGAGAAACTGTCAAAATATCTCGCTTGAAAACTCTCAAAACAAAAACATATTTTACAGTGTTTGCTTAGTTTACTTTCTTAAACGTTAATAAATAATAATCAATGGAACAAAATTTATGTAAATTTTTCAAACTAAAAATCTGTATTCAAACCTCCAGACACTGGAGGTTTGAATCGTTGATCGTTGATAAACTTCCATTCCCATTGGTCGGTTCGTTGCTGGTGTGCTCATGTAAAAACTGCATTTCCCATCATGCTTCACTCACATGGTCTTTGAAGTGTTGTGTTTAGATAAAAAGAGCTGCTTGAGTTTGTGTGGGCAGTGCTTTGGCTGAAGAGACGAGAGAAAGAGAGGATTTCATCACAGAAGCCGAGCTTGTCACAAACGTCAACATGCGTCAGCAGCAAGTCACAATACTCCCACTGTACATGTTTTTAGTGGTAGGGGAAACTGGAACCCCTGGAGGAAACCTACAGGGAGGCCATGCAAACTCCACTCAGAAAGGCCAGTGCAGTGTTTCAGGTGAATATGGATTTTTCATAATTCAGTTCAAATTGTGCTGGTAGTTTCATTACTCGTTAACATACATTTATTTAATTAATATAATTAATAATAAGTTTGTGTAAGCCCTCAGTCGTACAGGGATTAGTCAAAGCAAAGGAAGGTTTCTCACCCATCATCTGTACTTCTTAGCAAGTTTTCCCGACGTTTCGTCCTCAACCTGGGGACTTCTTCAGGGAATGAATTCTCGGACCGCGCGTTGGAGATTTATAACCTATGGGTGTGGTAAGCCACACCCTAATCCTGATACTAACTCATAAACAATCTACGGTCTGCTTGATGTAGAAGGGAGCAGGTCTAACGACCCTGCTGAGGCTAACGACCCTAACTCCTTAGCATGTCACAGACCTATTGTCTGCTGGGATGCTCACGTGGAGTGCAGGTTTCACCCCTCCTAACTCATTAGCATGTCACTGACCTTGTCCCAAGTTAGGGCGTTGTTTTTAGGATGTCGTCATAGATGCGAGGCAAAACAAATCTTAACCCTCCTCCTCTGTTAAGAGAAGGTTTTTGTTTCCTCACAAAAATGGCTTCTTTCACCCCTCTCTCAAACCAATTCTTCTCCCGAGCCAGAATTTTAACCTCTGTGTCATCCACCGTGTGGTTGGAGGCCTTGAGGTGGAGATGAACAGCCGACTGTGGCCCACTAGAGTTTTCTCTACGATGTTGGTAAAGTCGTTTCTGTAGAGTTTGTTTGGTTTCTCCAATATAGTGGTCAGTGCACTCCTCTTCACTACATTTAATTGAATACACCACATTGCTCTGTTTGTGTCTGGGTGTTTTGTCTTTGGGATGCACTAATTTCTGTCTTAACGTGTTGAAAGGTTTGAAATACACAGGGATTTTGTGTTGCCTAAAGATTCTTTGTAGTTTCTCTGAAACTCCCGCCACATACGGTAAGGACACCCCTCTCCTCCTACTTTCTTCTGTCTGTAGGACTGTGTCTCTGGCCTTTCTCGTCCTTTGGGCTTTAGTAAAAGACCACTTGGGGTAGCCACATCTGGAAAGTGCTCTCTGAACATGTTTGGTTTCTCTGTTCTTTAATAATAGTTTCATGGCTGTGAAAGCCAAATTCTTACTATTACTGAAAGATTAATCACAATCAAATTGACCTTTTTTTTAGTCCAATTGCATAGTTATTAAAAGAATAAGCTAAAATCTCTTGAATTATGGAACATGTGTTTTTATTTGTAAGTGAGAAATTGCTTTTTTTTATATTATAATAAAATATTTGATGCTTGAGCCAACTTCACCTGAAAAACCTGCTTTACAACAATAAAAGTATATTCTCAAAGACAGAATCGACTTAATCCAACCATAATATTATGGAGTTTTTGTCTAAATAACTTCTTTTTGACATGTGTGGTTCATGTATCGCGTTTTTTATTATTATTATACAAAAAAAGGCATTTCGATATTCATTGGAAAAAATGCTATTTCAAATATTGTCAAGCAGGTGTCAATGTCTAGAATTTAATCATACATATTTCTCTTGGATAAATCTGTTGATGGAATCGTCTCCTGCTCCGTCACATCCTGACAGAAACACATGACATCACTGTGGTGTCACAGGGGCGGGGGCCAATAGGAGCGCTCCTCTTTGCGCCCTGTAGTTCAGTGGTCAGTTTGAACCACTGCTGATGCTGGATTTGTTGGAATGTTTAAATATTGACATCACCAAAAATCAAAGCAGGATTGGTTGGATCATATTTCCCCATATATAAAAAAAAAAGAAAAAAAAAAGATCTTATTAAAATATGCTTGTAAATATAACTATACCATAGCACACTTCAAAGGAAAAATTCCTATCAGAGTTCATCTGTGGTGGAAGGAGCAGGGCATTGTGGGTAGTTCAGAAGAGGCAGACTCTTTTCTTGAGCTCATTGCGTTTCCATAGCGACAGCTGGTCAAACTCCTCCAGTGTCATCCTGAACACGCTGTAGAACTCGTCCTCAGACAGGTGGCGCTGGCAAGCACAAGTAAACAAGCAGATCTTTAATGACTAATCCATAAGAATCATTGTCAGCGTGATCATAATTAAACATGGTCTTCAACCTTTGATTCTTTTGTACTCAAGCATCATAATCATAATTTGTGCTCTTTAAAAGATTTACTGTAGATTTACAAACAGATCAATGTATGTGTTTCAGTTATGCGGCTGTGGTAGATCTCAATTTACCTTCCAAGTTATCTTCCTACTGGCCTGATCGGACATGAGTTGGAACAGAAAGTCCTAAGTAGCTCTGAAATAGTTGTTGTTTTGTGCTTTACAAGTGATATTTTTTTCAGCTTTTTTCTAGTTGTAAATGTGACTGCAGTTCAGTGTTAATGGTTTTGTACTGATCCAGAGCAGAACAGAGAGGGTTCTCGGCCAAGAACCAAGCTGATCAAACGTAAATCCAAAAAAGTCATAAAAAATGCTAATAAAGCATTCAACATTTTACTCGAAACCAGAGCAGAGAAAATGGTCCGAACCCAGCAGACTCTGCAGATATCACCAAGAGGAAACAGCTCATCACCATCAGCTCCACCACCTCTGCTCCGGCTGCTGCCCTTTATTACTATTAGTGGTAACTTTATTTGTGTGTTTGTTTGTTTGGATGGATGTGTTTCTGCTGCTATACACCTGCATTTCTCCTATGGGGGATCAATAATACAAAATACAAGTGGGTTTGAATCTCTGCCAGAGCCGCCGCTTTGAGAAGGCGAAGGGAGAAGACGTACCTCGAGCTGCGTGCGATCGGCCTGTGGGGGCAGTGTGCTCCTCCCTCTGTGCGTCACCACCAGAGCAGAGTACGGGAACACCTGCACAACACACACAACACACACTGTTGACTTGTTGACACACACACACACTTCACGTCTGGGACCACAGGAAAACATAGGAGAGACTTTCAGAAAGAGAGTGAACCTTGAGCTGATGTGAGGAGGCTCTGCTGTCCGCCCGCGAGTCCCCGTTCTGCACAAACACACACGCTGATTACAAGTTCATATGTAGATCTAAAATAACACTGGAAAGATGCAATAATTCAAGTCATCTTTAAAGCTGCACTAACTGACTTTGGGATTTTGAAGCCGCGGACCCGCTGGCCTCTCTCTTTCTGCTCCCCTCCCCGCACCCACGAAGCTATCGCCCCCCACACACACCCACTGTTGTTGACGGAGCTAGCGTCTCCCAATATGGATAATACATGGATATGGATTTGCACGTGAATGGCGTGACCATAGAACGATAGATCCGGGAAGCGCGGAGGAACAAGACTTTCTTTTGGATGGCTGTCTCGCTGTGTAAGCAGTAACCGGTGCTCCATCGCTTGTTGTGCTAACTCAGCCGTCTATGCTAACGGACCTGTAGATTTCTCACAAAAGCGAGGGCCAGTGGTCCGCTGTGATTGGTCACAATCTGAGACCCGAAACGCATTCTCTTCCTTGTTTCATCAAAACTCGATCTAAAATATAATGTCACGCCAGCACAAATCTGCGCTACTTTTTCTTCAAAAGGACGTATATCCCAATGCACTACACGGACATGGATAGCATTTTCGTAATGAATAAAAAAATAAAGTCAGTTAGTGCAGCTTTAAATGGAACCTGAGTCAGGGAGAGTGCAGTACCACTTTGGCCAGATTTTTCCATACTGCTCCTTTAAAGGAGACATAAAATGCTAAATCAACTGTTTTTGAGCTTCTCCCCATCTTACAACATTCCCTCATCAGTAAGGATGTGTGGATGGGTAAAGTGTTAAGAAATTGGTTTAGGAATGTATAAAGGTATTTGACATTTGTTTACGTGTATTGTTTTGGAGCCTGCCTATGAGCTAAAGCAGCTTCCGGAGAGTTCCCTTTTACAAAGCACTTACAAACTTCAGAGACTAGTAAGTGTACTACACATACCGTGTTTTTTGCTTCATCTATGTTAGTTTCAGTCACTTCTGGTGCAAACATGTAACTCTGCAACTTCTGTCTGTCCTATGATAGCATGATGTCATGCTGTGACCTCACAATCAGGAGTGGTTTTCGGCCTTTTAAAACTAGAATTAGTTATGGCAAATTCTCAAGCAAAATTACGTTCTTTACAATGGCATGGCTGTGTTTGTGTTTTTTTAAATCCCTTTTCTACTGAAGATATTATTTTCCATTGTAAAAGTATGTAAACTTGTATCTTTCTCCTTGTGCATATGTATAGATTTTGCCATAGACTTTTGACTTCTATTGAGATGTTGTTGCTTGTATTAACATGTATGTGCTTAAAATGTTATGTTTGAAACCAATCTAATCAATTAATGACTATGATATGTTGTGGAAATTGTGGAAATGTCTATATACAGGTTTTATGAGTGATTGATGTCGCCCTCTGGTGTACGCCGGGCACACTGCAGTACTGACCTGGAGTCCTGAACATCAAGGCAGCGAGAAGGAATTACAAATAACTTTATATGTTTGGTATAAACGCAGATATTTGTAATTGTATAGTGTTTTCCAACCTTCAGGAGCCGTGTCTGTTGGTCTGAACTCTGCTGACTGGAGCTACGGACAAAAGGTAAAGGCGTGATATTTTTTTAAAGTCTTTTTAATCGGTGGATTTGATTTTGTTTTTATGGTGGTGCAACTTTGTTATTAGCCAGAAGGACTCACCCTGGAAAGTCCTGGGGTCGTGGATGTAGCCAGTTTAGAGGATTTGGACCCTGAAAAAAGTCAAATGTTTGGACAAAAATCTAAAAAGAGCCTGTCCAATCAGACATACTTAATGTAACGGCAGTATATTTACATAGTGACAGACCTGTGTTACATTCAGGAAGGGATCGGGTTTTCTTGCGTCTCACTGGAGCAAAACTCTTCTCCTCCTTCAACAGAATCTTACCCATGTTCCCCGGGATCTGAAATGTTAAAATACATTCACTTTCAATGTTACTGTTACTACTACAGAGACTAATATAGAAGAGTAATACAACTTAGCGCAAATGTAAAAATCTAAATCTATTTTCTTTTCTGCCTGAAACTTTAAGTAAAAGGTCATAAATAAATAGAACAGTGGGAAATTACCCAAAAGAGAGCAGATTTTTGTCACGCTCATAAGACAGAGGGTTAGATGGACATGGACATTGGCTTCTGCCTCTAATGGACCAATGGCTCTGTGTTTTTTATCAATGCAGTCCTTCTGTTTGAACTGTTTGATTCTCTGATCTGTTTTGGCAAATTCAACGGTTTTGTATAAGCAAAGGTGGGTCTAACTGATGCTTGTGTTTGAAAAGAATCTCTTTCCACTTAATTAGAAAAAATATATGACTTTTACTTTGAAGCAGACACAAACAATGCGAAATATCACATCGGAGGGAGTCGTTCTGCTTGTTTGGCTGAATGTTGAGGGGTAGTTCTGCGTGCTGGTGTTAGTACCGTGCTGAGCTGCTGCGAGTGTCGGAGTCTGAGCTGGAAGAAGTCGTCTGTCTCCTCTTCCTCCTCTTCCTCTGGGGGCTGAGCTCTCCTTCGACTCTCCTGCTCTAAACCAGAGACAACACAGATAACTAGTGAGGCATTTTAGCACATACTACTGGCACCATTACCATTAATTAATTTAGGGCAAAAATTCCAAAACAAATTGAATTGAAGTTGTACTGGTCAGAGTATTCACCTGCCCCACATTTTTGGCCCTAATGTTAAAGTCAAACAACCTCCATGACTAGCAACCAAGGAGCCAATCAAGAGCAGCTGTCTCTTCCCGCTCGCTATCTAAAGCCTTATTCGGGGAACAGAAGGCTGCTCATTTGTCAGATGTTAGGGTCATAACTGGATTTACAAATACATTATGCAAATTAGAACAGTCGGATCATACAAAGTTTTAAACCACGGATTTCTAAGCCCAAAATGGTCAGTATGACTCACCAACGGTTACACGATTACTTTTCAAAATAAGTCAAAAGAAGGCAAAACTTTGTCCATGAGCATTGTCCATTTACCATGTATCTACAGTCTATGTGTGGTACCTATAATAGCTGTGGAGGGGGGGCAGGGCCAGGACTCGGTCTCGATGGCTGAGGGCAGGTTTGGATCCGGAGCCTGAGCAGAAGGAAACCTGGACGACTCGATGATCAGCTCCTGCATGTGTTTGTCCTGAGGAGGTGATGAAGCGGCTGCGGAACGAGAGAAGACATGAATAATTAGCTTTCTGCTGAAAAACGATATATCTAAAGAGCTGCAGAATTTTGTTCAGTGTTCAGGTCGTGGATTTCACATTTCAATATGATGCAGCTTGATCAGAATGTTTTTTTATGAGCTCAGAAAACAAGTGGATGACTTACTTTGGTTACTTCAGTGGGTCAATGAAATAAAAACAAATGCAACATGGATGAAAGCTAAAAGCAAATTCCACACAACAAACAGTGTAGGTGTTGAACCAGTGTGTGTCTCTCTGTGTGTGTGTGTTTTCATCCTCGTCTCATGTTCACTGCGTTTCACTATGCTTCAAATGTTTTTTTTGCATTTTTGGATTGCTCTTTTGCAAATTGGTGAATGAAAGCAGAGTGCCATTAAAGCCCCCACATTAGTGACTAAGAGAGAACGGCCCCCGCAGGATTACTGACACAGAGAACGGAGCTCCACGATTCACCAGATTTGAGAGCAGATATGAGTGATGCGCTCGGACAGTGAAGGAAAAAGAAATGAACACTTTAGTTGAAGCATTTTGATGTGTCACTGAGCACGTTTACAAGGCGCTAGGGGTGGGAACCTAAGGGTACCTGTCACGATGTCACGATAACAATTATATCACAATATCACGATTATCGATATATTGGTCAGCAATATACCATATGCTAATATATGGCATACATAAAATAGAAAAATGTTAAGTGAAAAAATACACTTTATTTCATGATAAATGGAATGGAGATGTGTAATGTAGCCATATATTAAGTATTGATACTAATAAAAAATAAAAATAAAAAAATAAAATAAAAAAATTGATACTTGGCAAATGCATTTCGATAATCAATCGCGGGAGAAAGAGTCGTGATATATCAAAAATCATCAAAAAATATCGATATATCGTCACACTCCTACATGGCGCTAGTGAAAAGGAAGTAACTCTCCTAGTCCAGTTGAATTTGTTTTTGAGTTTTATGAACTCAAAAACAAATGAACCAACTTTGGAGTGAAAAACCAGTTTGTTTGGCGTAACTGGATCAAAACATTTGCATTGTTTATGCTGGCATGTAACCACGTAAACCGAATAATTTGAGACAAGCCAAGCAACTACATTTAAGAGAATAGGGGAAAGCAATGCTTATATACTGCAAAAAAGACAAAATATGAGGTGATAAATGCTTAAATCAAGTGGTTTTTAACTTAATTTGAGTACATTCTGACTGTACATTCTGACTGCCAATGGGATAAGCCTTTTTGTCTTATTTCAAACACTTTTTTATCATTCCAAGGGAGACATTTCTTGTATCTTAAAAAAAAAAATATTGCAGTAAAAAATGTACTCAAATTTTTGTTCATCACTTTCTGCAGTGTATTAGCATAGAGAAAATACGTTAAAACAGCTCTGCTTGTCACAAGTCTCTCTATGGCCTCGCACCAAAGTACATCTGTGACATGTTAGTGCCATATGAAGCAACTCAGACTCTGGGGAGCACAGGGACTGGCCTCCTGCTGGTGCCCAGGCGCAGGACCTTTCTCTGACAATGTCCAAATCCAGGTTATAATAGTTCAATTTAGTTGTGCGTACAACTGAAGAATTTGAGTTTTGTGTATAAATATAAACTTGTATTTTGGACACATGGGCTACTCACTCATTTTGAACATCACAATGAAGTACAGTCTTATGTCGCACATGTTTCATTCTTTTGTTTTGGATTTGTGCAGAATATGTAGGAAACATGTTCTGTTTTATTCCTTTGTGGAAATTAAATGAATTGTGCTGCAGTTGAGCTTTGTGAAAACAAAATACTCACCCAATCTATTTGGAACAAATGACAGACAAAAACAAAAAGGACAGCTCGACCTGTATCGGAAATATGTGGAAAAGAAGAGTTGCTGTTGTACCTTGTTTGTAGATTGGAGGCTTCTTGTAGATGTTAGTGCCATTGTCTAGAATCAAACAAATTGATGAAGGATTAATATAAATTGTATGATGAAACCAGTTTTACCTGACTCGCCAAAGCCACACAAATTTATAAATGTACATTATTTTTAGAATACTTCTGAATCTCTGCCCCGAGCAGACAATTTCATGATTAAACAACTGACAATCAGACAATCTAGATCAGAGACAACTGGAAGTAGCGGCAGGAGGCCCTTGTCCTACAGCTTTTGTCCTACTTTATTCCTGCTTTAGGCCAGCTAGTCCTACAGTCCTGCTTTAGTTCCGCTTTAGTCCAGCCTTAGCCTGGTCGTACCACACCATAGTACAAATTACATTTCATACGAAAGAGGTGCTCCATTGAGCTCCGTTTACAGGTGGGAAGGGTTAACTCCTTTTGCAGATTGAAACGATTGGATCTGAGTTTACCGTGACGTATGACGAGTCTGTCGTTAGCATTTAGCCTAGCCATCTCCTTTGCCGCTAACGGATCTCGTGGGGAGTAGCGCCAAATCATTTTCTAAACATTCCTCTTGCTTTGGCTTCAATTTCTTGATAGAACCAGACCAGAATACTTTACTATCACATTCTTCACCATTGCCAAACTACAACCTTCCCGTTCAGCGAAAACTCTTGATGTCACCCACAACTAACTACAACACCCGCCTCCCGCGCTCGCTGATTGGTCGGATTGAATTCTACCGATTGTAATCGCAAACCATAGACTGTATATATTATAAAATGTGCTCTACTGGAGCAATCCAAAATGGCCGCGAGTGGTCCCGCCCACAAGAAAATTGTGAAAAAACGCATCTGCGCATGCGTCAGCCGGCGCAACTCCATTCATTTGAACGAGAGACTTCAAAAATTCACAGCAAGTAAACTAGAGTGGACCAAAAAAATTCACCCCCCTCAGCATTGACACACATGTGGAACGGAGCTTTGGGCCAAGAGCCAACTTTTGGTCAATCCTGTAAAGACGTTTTTGAGAGGTCTGCCAATGCTATATGTTAGCATTGGCTAATTCTTCTTCTGGGTCCACCCCCATCGGCCCAGGGTGGTATTGCAAGCATGTCAGCGCACGTCATTTTGGCCACTTTTGAGCTGGGACCCTCCCCCACTGTCGCAAACACAGGGATCAGACCCAGACGTGAATGGGATGGCTGAGGCCAGGCTAGTCCAGCGTGGTCCTACTTTAGTCCAGCTTTAGTCCTGGTCCGTACCTGGTCTATGAAAGTGCTGTAAGGGGGTCTTGTTGATGGTCTGGGTTGGAGTGGACGCGGTCTGTGGGGTGGTGGGCGTCGACATGCTGCTGTGAGTCCGGCTCTGATTGGTGGAGCCCGGGGATGAAGATCCACCCCCTGATCGTCTGTCCAACCAATCACGTGTCTCCTTCAGCATGTGCTACAAAAATAAAAAAGTTGAGCTTGTCCATATTTAAGTCATATTCATAATCAGTTTGATTAAATGAGTCAGTAATACTTACATCGGGAGAAGGGGGCGGGGACACAGAGTACGGAGACAACGACCTCTGTAGGGGGACAGGAGAACGGCAGCTTAGATAGTTTTACTTTAGCCCAACGCTTTATTTAACAGTGTGTGTAAATGCACACTTGGTGTTGGTATAAGGCACGAAGCTGCGTATTTTTTGTGGTTATAGACTATATCGAGATGGACAATGCTAACCCACTGCCTCAATGAAGTTTTGCTCCAAATCGCTATGATTCCTATTGAGTGATATGGAAAAATGACCTCCTCTAGCTCAGTAACTGCTTTGTAAATCTGTATATATTGTTATTAGCCAGGAGTGCGTGAGGGACCTTTTGAAGCGAGTGAAAATCAGAAAGTCGCCTGGCCCAGACAGAATATGTGGCCGCACACTGCGCTACTGCGCTGACCAACTCAGTCCGGTGCGCCAACGTGTGTTTCAGCTTTCACTTGACTTAAATCAAATCCCATGTATATGGAAATCCTCAACAGTAATTCCTGTTGCAAAAATCAATCTGCCAAAGCAGCTTAATGATTTTAGACCTGTGGCTCTAACCCCTCTTTGGATGAAAATATTTGAGAAAATTATAAGAAATTAAATTCTCAAATATGTGGAGGGAAAAATTGACCCGTTGCAGTTTGCCTACCAGGCACATAAGGAAGTTGATGATGCTACTTTTTTTTCTCAACACACTTTTTAAACATCTGGAAAAGCCTCAAGCTCACGCGAGGCTCTTGCTTGCAGATTTTTCATCGGCATTCAATACTATGCAACCCCATCTTCTTGTTCAGAGTCTTCTGAACCACTTTGATCTTCCTCACCAACTGGTGTCATGGATTTTAGACTTTTTAACTAATAGACAACAGAGAGTGTTTGTGAACGACTGTTTGTCCGAGGTTGCTACTATCTCTACAGGTTCCCATCAGGGGTGCGTTCTCTCTCCTCTTCTTTTTATTTTGTTTCCAAATGAGTGTAGAAGCACCCAGGAGCACCGCTATATGGTGACATTTTCAGATGACACAGCCCTCCTATCTCTTCTTAATGGAAATGAGAATGGTCATGGTGAGGCTCTTAGTGATTTTATTTCATGGTGTGACAAACATTTCCTGGACTTGAATGTGGCTAAAACTAAGGAGCTTGTATTTGATTTCAGAAGAAAAAGAGATCCAGCCCCTTTAAGCATTGTTCATGGGGTAGGGGTTGAGAGAGTCTCCCACTACAAATACCTTGGCACTATATTGGATGATAAATTGAAATTTGATGTCAACACTGCTGCTATTGTGAAGCGTAGCCAGCAAAGACTTTACCTTATGCATAAGTTAAACTCCTTTGATGTCAGCTCCACTATTCTGTCTCGGTTTTATCAGATTCAGATTCAGATTCAGATTCATTTATTTGCCATTTGCAGTAAAACCACATTGGAAAAACTGTGCAAGACTACCCCAGTGTGCACCAGACGACACACACCAGAGCTCTTGCCACGGCGCCATCTTTACGGCGCCATGCGACAAACAGTAGAATAAACAGCAGAGAGCAATAACATACAGTTTCACAGACAATTGGATAGACACATTGTGCTTTGTGTAAACCACGGATTTTTTTCTCGGGATGAGCACCTCCGACTGCCGGCCCAATGTGGCTGTCAGAGGGGGGCAGGGTCAGGGAGGGGGTGAGTCGGAAACACAATGAGGAGTGGAGGGGAGGGAGGGAGCAAGATGGATAGGTAGAGGGAGGCGGGGGGAGCGGGATCCGTGCTGGAGACTGAAATAGTGTGAGTTGTTGTAGATGGGGACCTTGTTATTATGGCCTTGGCCGAGGAATGTGAGATAAGAGTGGAGAGAAGGCACAGGAGGAGAAAAACACATCGCCTGAGAGGGACAATATTATATGCAATGTAGAAGTCAAAAGCAGGCAGATATTCTATTAAATCCAATTAATCCGAATTGCGGCGCCCTCAGACCTCCGTACACAGGGGCAAATCCAAGCCGGGTCAGAGAGTTCAAGCCTGACACACGATGTCATTCAATCTCATCTCCAATGTTTTAAAGTTTTATTCCCTTCGAGTGAACGAGTTGCGAGGTCTTTTATCAACTGTTCCACCAAAACCACTCTCCTTTGTCCAGACACGGCACTCTCAACCACGACGCGGCTTAGCTCCTTGTACATCCCATCAATTTTGTTGGCCAGCAGCTCGTGAATCTTGCGAACTGCCATGCCTCCGAATTTGTGGTAGACGAGGACTGCTCCAAACCCAAACAGGAGGATCCCCACCACCAAAATGCCAAAGATATATACGTCTTCCGAATCTTCAATAGACAGGGTCGACAGACAGAGGGGCTGAAACTTGTTCCAGCTGTCAAGAGTATACCCCGCAGGTGAAGTCCCGTCCGGGCACACGGGCTCTCCAGACCCTCGCTTACGTGTTGAAAAGATAGAATCAATTGCGTTGAGGGACCAGTTAATCATTTCCATTCTTGTTAAAGTTGTCTGTGGCAAAACTCCAGGAAAAAGACAAAAACAGGAGATAGCAAGCAGTCAGAAGCAGGAGCGGTCTGAGACACATCTTTGCTCGACGGAGGCGGAAGAGAGAAGCTTATCATATTCATTGAGAGCCTTTTGTGCTTCTCCTTTATCTGCTGGCTCCCTAATCTTTCGCATAAAGACAAAAATTGTCTTGATAGAATTGTGCACATCTGTTTGAAACTCATAGGAGTTGGACCGAGGGAACTGTCAGCTCTCTGTAACCAGCAGATCGTGAGAAAGGCTCGCATCATAATGTCCACTGATCATGTTTTGAATGATGAGTTCACTTTGCTCCTATCAGGGCGACGTTATGTTGCTCCATATTGTAAAACCAATCGTCATGTAAAATCTTTTGTCCCAACTGCTATCAGACTGCTGAACTCTCTGTAGCTGGATGTGGACTTTGATGGTTGAGCTGTATTGTTGTACTACATTCATATGTTTGTATGGGACTCCACTTCATGTCATATCACTTATTACTTGTGTTTTTTTATGTTATGTGCCGCTCAAAAGAATTGTCCCTGGTGGGATAAATGAAGTTGTCTGAATCTGAATCTGAATCTGAATGTATATGAGCCCTAAAAGGATTGAGCAATCAGATGGCGTCATTCATATTTAGCAACACGTCTCCCTAGCACAGAGCTAACGCCGTCGAAACACATGCCCAAATGTTCAAATTGGCTTCTTCTGCATTCGGCAAATACTATGGGTGACGTCAGCACTCGTTCAGTCCACTCCTAATAAACGGTCTATGGTCATAGTTGTATAAGCTGTTGTCACACTGACCTCTATAGGACTATAGCAGTAGTGCGGCTGGTACAACATGAGGTCTGGACGCTCGATCTCCAGAATGGCCTTGTCTCTGGGAATGGCAGCCAGGTCCTTGTACCCAATGACTCCACCATCCACCCGCGCCTGAGTTTACACACAAGTACATGAAGACATCAAATATAATGAAGTAAAGGTGTCTACTTGTGGCAGCAGCAGCAGTAGTAGCAGTAGTAGCAGTAGTAGCAGTAGTAGCAGTAGTAGCCGTCGAATCTCTTACAGTGATGGTGAGTGGGGATCCAGGAGCAGTGGGTCTCAGGGACAGGACACTTCCAGGAGTCGTCTGGACGGCAGGCTGCTCAGGAGGACAGAAATGCAGGATATAAAATCTGGAAATGTGCAAGTTAACTGAATAATAAAAAGTCCAGTTTTGATCCTGTACCTTTGGCATCATCATGTTCCTGTTGGAGTGGCCACTTCCTGAAATATATGACAAATCAGATTCTGACAGAGGGGGGCTCTAGTTGATTCAGTTGAGAACAAATATCACTTGTATTTATGTTTTCATTTAAACATTACATTGAAAATATGTTTTAGAACGTATATATGTTTGTGTGTACAAATATCTTTATTGTCTACACACAGAGTACACCCTAAATATTGTTCTACACCAATTAGAAAGTCACTACAGGCAAGTATGATGAAGAGGTGTTCTGGGCATGTCCCACTGGGAGGAAACTCAGGGAAGACCCAGGACACATTGGACTGACTGTCTTTCTCAGCTGGCCTGGGAGCACCTCAGGATTTCCCCAGATGAGCTGGAGGAAGTGTGTGTGGAGAGGGAAGTCTGGGCCTCTCTGCTCAGACTGCTGCCCCCACGACCCAGCAATGGGTAAAGTGGACGAAAGTGGATGGATGGTGTTTGGATATTTCTATATTTTCTGGTATATTCTGAACAAAAGGTTTGTATTGAACCAACGCTCTGTTCAAAAATGAAACATTTGTAATGTTTCATTGACATTTTCTTCCAGAGAGCAGCTGATCTGTCCTTTCACTGACACCTACAAAGGTATTTTCAGGCAGGTACGTGCGCTGTTGGCCCCGGGGCAGCTGCGGCTCACCTCAGGGAAGAAGAGGAGAAAAGAGGATCATGGTGTCAGCGCCGTCAGCGTCTGAAAAATGAAACATGTTTGACTCTGATTTACAATATGAGCTTTAATCTGAACACGTGACCAGGGCTCAGACAGTCGCTGTAATCCGCAGCAGACACCAGTCAGGGGGTGACATGCTGCAGGTTTGGATGAAATATACAATTGTGATTTTTTTGTGACAGATAAAGTGACTGTAAGTAGATTTATAATAGACTGTATTTAGTTTGAAGTGCAGATCAATCAAACTCAACAGTTTTCTCTCCTGTTGTTCAATAACACAAAAACTGTCCCATCCAAGTCAACAAATAAATAAATATAACACATGAGGCGATTGGCCAGCACATTGTGAGAATGTATAATTAGAATGAGTGAGATATGAAGAGATTAAGAGATGATAAGATATTATTAAATAAATGCTTAAATTCTGTTTTTTCATATATTTTTACTGTTTCCACATAGATTTGAGAATATAACATAATAAGCAATTTCTCACCTGGAATGAAAAGAGAACATGGCAAAAATAAGGTTAATCCACATGTGACGCCATCAAAATATTTAAAAAATTTTGCTTGTTTATTGATGGACCTTTTAACACTTGTTTTCATATGATTTGCATCGCTGCCAGGTAAATGGTTTTGTTTTCATCATATTTATGCAGGAATATTATAGAGCAGTTGCATTCATCAATTCCACCTTTTTTCCTCATCTATTTAAAGAAGCATCAATGTTGTTTCCATGGCGATCTGATGATTCCTTGTCCTATAATAACATATTTGTACTACGACTAAATACTGCACTACTACTTCAACTACTACTGCACAAGCTGAAGACTGTGCAGGACAGGAGGGCATCGAACGCACAGAGAGACATGGGAATCTGTCCAGGTCACCATGGTAACGAGTGGGCACCAAAACCGACCTCCCACGTAGACACCGCCCGCCACGCACCAGCCAATATACAATGAAATGCACCGTAAAAGACCTGGTTTAGACCTGGTTTGGACCTGGTTTGGATCTGGTTTAAACATGGATTAGACCTACTTTAGACTTTTGTTCTGGTTTATACCTGCTTTAGACTTGATTTAGACCTCTATCTGGTGTAGACCCAAGTTTAGTCCTGAGTTTGGACCTGGTTTTAATCTTTGTTAGACATTGTTTAAATCTGTCCTAAACTATTTTGGAAAAATGTCCGAGATAATATTTTCTACGGGAACAAGATCATAATCCACTAACATGGGTTTAAATGGTCACATCAGGAAAGAAAACGTTATTTGGCTTTTTAACAATTTTAAACCCATAATAATAATAATAATAATTCCCGGATAAGAATTGTATATGAATGGTCCTGCTTCACTTTCAAGTATTGATAAGATGTTCAAAAGCTGGTTTGAAAAACATACAAACAGACACAAAAGTAACCAGTAGCTTCAAGATATTACAAGAGATTAAATCAAGAACATGTCTAAACTTTAGACAAAAAAATCTCCTAAATTATAACAGTGTACAGTAGCAAACACTTTCCCCCTTTATTCAGAGTCAGTGAGTGAACAGAAAGACCTCCCAGAACCGACATATAACCGTTATAGGAGAGTTCAGTTGAAACAAAGACGTTTGAAGAACAGCCACAACTACAAAAGACAGAGGACATTATCAAAGGTCACATTCAAGGGGGAGGCAGATTTAAAGCCAGAGTACGTAACTTTCAAAACACAAAAACTATACAATTAAATCCATCTAACTTCCTTGCTCTCAAAACGGCTTGGTCCAATCACTATTTTCCCATCATCTTCAGATCATCTTTTTCAGACTGAAAAGTGAAGAAGAGAAGACCACCCTCACTCAGCCAATCAGCTCTCAGACCAAAGTGTCAAAAAGTGACTCACAGGACAAAAGATAACATGTTTCCTAATGAGATGAAGACAGCGTGTTGTGATTTGAATTGTGGATAAATGAGAAATATGCTGAATGTACACACACGTTAAATAAGAGTTATAAATATATAAGAATAATCAGTGAAATAAAGTGCCATACAAATGGGCTTGTGGTGAAAAGTGCTAAGGCATTTATTTTGTGTGTCCTTAGGCAAGGCACTTTACCCTCATTGCCTAGAATGAATATGGTATGGATGGTTGGTGGTGGTTGGAGGGGCCAATGGCACATACTGGTTGCCTTGCTTCTGTCAGTGTGCCCCAGGGCAGCTGTGGCTACAATAGTAGTTTATCACCACTGTGTATGGAGTGAATTAATAATCGTCCAAAAAAGTGCTGTATAAAACCAATGCATTATTATTATTATTAATAAACTCTGGCCTGATAAGACAATATTCCATTTACAACAGGCATCCTATAAAACAAAAGAAACTCATAACTAAGCATAATCTCTCAAATTCAAGACTGTTTTGTAATGTTTCCACGACTCTGCAACAACTATGATACGAAGCAACAGCTACATTTGTAACTTTCGCAGCAGTCACGCTGACGTGGGGCATTCGTGTGTTTGTTTTGGGAAACCGTCCTTATCTGAGGCGCACAGACACATGACCACGCCCTGTGACATCACCAGGCTACGGACGCTCCTATTGGGTGGTTTGGGGTAGTCCTGGTTTAGTCCAGGGTCTGTACTCGGTCTGGGATGTACAGAGATTTAAACTGCCTTCACACAATCAATATGTGGGATAAAATAAATACAAAGTAAATTTTATTTTCATTAAATCTACTTTTCATGATGGTTTGGCCGCAGGGGTTTTTACGTTTTAACTTAAAACACTGACATGAAAACCCACCAAAATAACTGAATCATACGCTTCTCCTAAACATAAATGTGATAATTGTGATATTTCCATCCATCCATCCATCCATTTTCTACCCTTTAATCCATTTCTGGGTCAGGGGGGTGGCAGTCAGAGATGCCACCCAAGTCTCATAGCACCAGCCCCTCACTGACCCTCTGCAGGTGGTGAGTCCACAGGAGGACGGCTGCTCTCTGACTGTGAGCATAGCCTTGATCTTTCAGTGGGGGCTTTGGGCAAAGTGGGGTTAAGTGTCTTGCCCAAGGACACAACGACAGCAGTCATCAGTGGGAGTCGGTGGAGAAGGTGCAGAGGTGGGAATTGAACCCACGACCTTCTGGCCTTAAGGCCAATGCTCTACCAACTGAGCTACTGTCGCCCCCATAATTGTGATATTTATGATACTTAAAGCTGGGGTAAATAGATCTTACAATGTAAATACTTTAACTTTCAACTCTTAGAGTACATTCGACTTTTTTACTTACTTACATACTTTTACTTTAGCAGATGTGAAACTCCCACTTAGACTTATGATTCTGGACAAGATGAAACCAAGACTAAACAGAAAAGATAATGGATCACTATAAACTCGAATATGTCTACTGCAACATTCCCTGAACAATAAAGGCAATAAGAGAGTGCCTTGGATTTTATATTTTAATTGACAATCCCATCATCCCATCATGCAGTCCAGGAGGCGTTCATATTCAACCTTGTATCTAAATTATAATATCTGTTTGAATTCATATCTGTATTGGTTTGATGATATTTTTGTTGGCAAATCTTATATCAATCAGCAAAAACACTTTAAAAGCACACAAACATTTAAAATCCTTTTTTTAACATACAATAGCTATAAATGGCTCCCTACTACCTCCAAGACACGTTAGTATCATATCAACCAAACCGAGCACTGCGCTCCCAGTGTCAAAAAGCACAGTCGGAGGCAGAGTGTTTAGCTACCAAGAAATAATAATAATAATAATAATAATAATAAAAACCAGGAGGTGATTGACAAACACAACAGCGAATCATTGCACAGCTTCTCCAAAGTCCAGTGGAGTCCCCCCATGGAGCTTTACTGTTTCTGAAATTGTCAATGACAATAAGTGCTAGGATCATGTCAATTTGGAAAAAAATTGTTTTTGGGTGTAAATATGTGACGCACTCTTTGGCCCGAAGACCAAGAATGCGGCAAATGTGGCTGGACTTTTTTCACAGCGGTCTGCCTCTGAAACTGAAATGTTTGATTTTCTGATCTGTGTTGACAATAGACAACTTTGTAAAGTCCTCCAAGGTTACTACTGTTGTGATTAGGGCTATACACAAATAAATTGAATTAAACTGAACTGAATTGAATTGAGGGGCGACAGTAGCTCAGTTGGTAGAGCATTGGCCTTCAGGCCTGAAGGTCGTGGGTTCAATTCCCACCTCTGCACCTTCTCCACCGACTCCCACTGATGACTGCTGTCGTTGTGTCCTTGGGCAAGACACTTAACCCCACTTTGCCCAAAGCCCCCACTGAAAGATCAAGGCTATGCTCACACTCAGAGCAGCCGTCCTCCTGTGGACTCACCACCTGCAGAGGATCAGTGAGGGGCTGGTGCTATGAGACTTGGGAGGCATCTCTGACTGCCACCCCCCTGACCCAGAAATGGATTAAAGGGTAGAAAATGGATGGATGGATGGATGAATTGAATTATACAACTTTTGAAATTGTGAAGAGAGTGAAGCTTGACCTCCCCATGCTCACCACCGCAGCCTCCTGAATGGTCAATATTAATTCAAATTTGTGAGCAGTCAGATCGACTGACCCACAGATGAGAAACCAGCTTTGATTGGTGATGTGTGTCCTTGGGCAAGACACACCGCCTCGCCCTCAGTGTCTGCCAACACCAGTGTGTGGTGTGAATGGGTGATTGGCTCCTTGATGTGAAGCGTTTTGTGTGTCTTGAAAATAGCTGGAAAAATAATGTAATGTGTTTTCTTTGTTTATAAAGCACATTTCACAGACTTTTGCAGATTCACAATATTGCTGCCAGTGATTTCTAAATACTCCAAAACGTTGACGACATTGACCCTCACCATTCACCTCCTCTTTACATCCATTCTTATTGTACATGTTTTTTAGCGGTAGATAGACACGGGGAGAACATGCAAATTCCACACAGAAAGGCCAGATCTAGAATCAAACCCAGGACCTTCTTACTGTGAAGCACAAGCACCATCACTGCGCTATACCATGCCATTCCAAACTACTCAAATGTTTGCATTTGAGGGCAACTATTTTGTCACCATTGTACTGGGAATAATTAGTGTGAGAGCTCAAATAATGCAGTTATTTTTGTTTGATTTCATTTATAAAGTCAATTATGATTGTTGCACTTACTTGACAGAGTTAGGAGGAAAGGGTTGCATAATTAATATTCCTGTGTGTAAAGAGAGGAACTGTATCAGCTAATTCAAATAAAACATGCATTTTAATAGTTGTAAACAAATAGAAGTCAAAAGGAATGTAAAGAATAATCTTAAAAGATCTAACCACATGATATTGCTTTAGCTCTGGATTGTAAATGTGTTTTAATGTCTAAACCCAACCCCGATCAAAGACATGAGAACTACAAATAGATTAAGAAATAAAAAAATGACCTACTTTCAATCAAAAGTCTGGTATAAGGCAGACCTAAACCAAGACTATGTGACAAAGGGAAACTTGTGGGCCCCTCTCTTTGCCGCACACTGATAACAGCCTAAAAATAAAGCTGTACATTTATATAACAATACAACAATCCTGTGTATGTCCCAGATACAGTAAATACATTGTATGATTTACTTCATGCATTAGGAGGAAGTTTTTGTGAACTTTTCTAAAACTTCAAATATTGTACAATAGAGGGGTTTAGATTTTCAACAGTGGGACCAGCAATCACAGTCAGACTAATATTCAGCAATGTGCAGCAGGAATGAATAAACATAAACAACCATGGAGGTCAGTGAAACAGATAATAAACACTAGAATCAATGGAAATGACAGTTTGGATGAGATGAATTAACCAACAGGATGTAGTTCTAACGTGGCTAAAAGCTTTCATGACTCACTCTAATGATACCCACAAATAAGTTGTTTGTTCTTACTTCAAGAAATAACACATTTTGAAAAAACAAATGTTGTAGTAAAATCTGCTTAAATCCTGATGACATTTTCAGTTTCATTCCTGTTAGCTGACTTAAAAATGTTATAGCAGACCTGCTTTAGTCTTGCATGTTTTAGCACTTGATTTAGTTGTGTTTACCTGCATTTTTGGACCCAATTAATTTAGTCCTAGTTTATACCTGCGTTAGACCAGTAGATGCTTTAGATCTGCTTCAGTGAATCCAGTTTTAGTCCAGGATTAGTTCTGGTTTGGTCATGCTTTGTTTCAGTTTAGTCCTTGCTTTTGTCCTGCTTCAGTTGACCTTCAATCCTGGTTTAAGTTCAGGTTTAGTTCTAGTTTAGTCCTGATTTAGACCTGCTCTAGTCCCATTATGTCCATCTCAAACCCTGGTTTTTAATCTGGTTTCACACGGGCTGTAGTCCAGTTTGACCCCTGTTTTCAGCCCCGTTTAGCCCCAGTCCTGCGGTCCTGCTCCTCTGTCACAGTGTCCCCCTGACCCCCGCAGAGCACCAGCGCAGATGTTGCAGACAGAAGCCGCTCGGAGTGTTACATAAACCGGCTTGATGCGCCTCTTAATCCGCCCCCCTCCTTCTAGCTGCTGGTCCCCTTGACTTCCCATGCATCCATCCCTTACATAATCCCTCTGCAGCGCTGCCAACCTCCACACACCGCCTCTGCAGATACCACAACCGGAGACTTCAGCGGGACACGGCTCAAAGCGCAGCCGGGGAACACGCATTGCGCTCCGGCTACAGTAACCCCCCACACACCGCTGTTGTCTCTGGATGTTTTTTTTTTGTTTATCTGATTAAAAACGTGTGTGATCCCGCCTGGCTGGTCTGGGAGAACTTGTAGCAGCTGATTTCGTAGTGAATTGTTCCATAGAAAGACCGGATCATTGCATAGAGTCAGTGATGAGCAAACGAATTGAAAGCACGTCTTCGCTGGTCTTGAATAGGTATGTTGTGGTAAATAGAGATATGTAAAAGGTGTGAGAAGGAGAGGATTGGGTGCTTACCTGGATCCAGCGCGAGTTGTGTGCGTCTCTTCTCTCCCTTTCTGTCTCGCTCTGTCCCGGGGGGAGGGAGGGGCTTCGGGGCTCACTGGAACTCTCACTGGAACTCTCCACAAACGCACTAAATAACGAAACAGTGGCTGATGATGAATGCCATAAACATTCTGGATCCGCAGACACGATTTTGTACGATTGCATGTTTTTCCTATGGCAGCATTAAAGGGGCCCTATGTAAGTTTGCTATTGGAGAGTCTTCACATGGAAAGTAGCCTAAATGTAGACTTATAATATATATTTGTTTGTCCTTTAAAGGTAATTAAAGTGTATTTGTGGGAATAGTATCAGAATTCTATTACGTTATATCATTAACTAAACATGACATTATTATGTGAGGTTGAATGAGGTTTAAAAACACAGAGGATCTGCATTGGGGGCAGTGGTATCATGACTGCAGAGGAGGACACACACAGACACTGGGCTGGAGACATGTCAGAGGAGCAGCTCTTTCAAGCTCACTGGAGCAGAAGACTCAGCACCCAAGGGTGACCTGCTGCTGTGAATGACACATTAGGGACACTGCATTGCATCCGCACTCTATTATACACATGTTTTAGCGCTGGACAATAAGGGTGGACAAAGAAGTACATGTCATAGTAGTTGAGAATATAAGCCTAATAAATAGTTAACGTTTTAAACTAATTTAAAAGTAATAATAATTAATTTTATTTCTTAGGCCTACGCACAAAGTATAGTAAAAAGTACATTAAAAGACAAACTGAAATACAAAGTTAAAAACAGCATAAACAGAGGATGGTGTAGTTAGGGGGGAAGGGAAGAGACTTTTTATTTTTGTTTCTCACAATCTGTATTTACACCCAAAAAATGTCAGATTACATTTTTTCTTTTATTGTGGTGAGTGTCCCTTATAAGTCGACAACTTCAGCAGTTAATTTTCCTGAATCAAAAAAAATTTAGCGTCAAGTGATGTCACACTGTTCCAAACGTCATACGCTCATTTGCACTTGAACTGTTTTATTTGAACCAATACATGTGTTCTTTCCTCTGACAGGTTCTTAAGGCGTCCAGTTGATGAGACGGAGTGCTGTCTCCGTGGCTCGCCTCAGCTCTGAATCTGTGTCTCTCCTGTTTTCCAGGCGGTGGCGCTCTTCCTGGAGGAGGCTGCGTGCGGCGGGAGCCTCGCTAAGAGCAGTCAGGGCCCTGAGGCAGAACAAGACCAGGGTTTTCCTGTGCTGCGTCTGCTCTGGGCCCACAGGGTCCACAGGGTCTGGACTGAGCTCCTCTGCAGTGATGATGTCCAACAACAGAGGTATCAGGCCCAGCTCCAGGCCTTGGACTTTACCTGGACACAGAGACAGTAAATAATAATCTATGAACGTTGCCTACAACATTGTGAATGGTTGATGGTGGTCGGAGAGGCCGATGGCATAGATTAGTAGCATAAGTAGCTATGCTTTTGGTCGGTCTGCCCCAGGGCATCTGTGGCTACAATATATAAGTCTACAACCACTGTTTACAGAGTGAACAGTGGTTGTAGAATGAACATGGCAATGAATAATGCCATGTGAAGGGTCTTCGGGAGTCCAGAAATACATTTGAACTGTGATGGATGATGATGATGATGTCCGTGTCAATACAACAGTATTCATGTCACCTTAATAAGTCTGTCTTTTCTAACAATTCTAAATAGACTCACACAGATCAGTGTCTGTGAACATTTCTACAGCTTCCTAAGATTTTATTCATATGTACATGATGTCTATACCACAAAGGACTGAATACTGCATTCCACTTATTATTCCCAAGCAAGCTCTTATATATGGATATATAATATGAATGTATGTAAGTATTGTACATTTCTCCTGTGTGAGATCAATAAAGTATCTAATCTTATCTTATCGTAAGTATGTCTAAATATCTAATGTATGTGTATTGTTTTTGTGATTGATTTTGTTTCTGCACCACCCCTTCTCCACACTCCCCAACTTTTCCTTCCCAAACTTTATAAAAAATAAATAAAAAAAAATCAGTCATAACAATAAATAGACTCACATTTCTTAGAAATGATTTAATTAGCATTTTTCCCAAAGCCCTTTGCCTCCAGCCTAAAGATCACACATCTAAAATATTTACTGTTAAGTTGTGACAAAGTGTGTTAAAACCCAATGTTGATCAGGACACAAACAGGAAGAGGACACAGACCAAACAGGAACTTGGAGGGCCAACTGTTCTTAAAAGAATTCTCAAAACTACAAAACCACAAAAATAATCCCAGGAAGGAACAGGTTGGGTCCAAAATATTTGAATTTTCATCAAAAGTAAATGTAAACTACAAACAGACATATGTGGGCAACACAGGCCTATCTGTGTTTGAGATTGAATGAATACATTGAATTTATGAAAGAAAGCATGTTGTTGACCACCTGTACTATGATGCAAGGTAACTAATAATACAGTTGCAACCTTGTCTTTGGCACAACCACCACCATTTTGCTGAAGGAGAATTTGAAAAAGTAACTGATATTTATTTTAAGCTGTTTATATTTGTCGTATATATTGGTGGAAGTGAGTATGTATCTGTGAGTGTATATCTGTGAGTACGTATCTGTGAGTGTATATCTGTATGTATCTGTACACATTTAGGTTCTGGTACCCGCAGTGATGAGTGTGTGTGTGTGTGTATGTATGTGGGCGTGTGTGTACATGGGTGTGTGTGTGTGCGTTGCGGTGTGTGCATGGTACCTGCAGTGATGATGAGTGCGTTCATACACACTCCAGCGGCATTGGCCCTCACCTCGATGTCTGGGTCCTGGAGCAGAGTCATGAGGTCGGACATGACACCCTGAGCACAGAGCTGCTGCTTCCCCTCCAGAGGAACACTGAGCCATCAGGGCATTACAGGGAAAATAGATTAAATCTGTTAATAAAAATATATATTTTTTTCTACTGATTCTTGCTTGTTAGAGTAATGCTGTAATGAGACAACAAAGATTCCCCTACCACCTATCCCCGTCCATTTCCCGTACTATTAAGAGTTCTGAAGTATTTGACTTTGCATGTGTGATAGGTTACATCTGACTTAATACAGCTCAGAAACACATCCATTACACACATACACACTCTTTCCCCACTGCTGTCAGACTGTACAATAAGTCACTTTAAGTCACTAATGCACTCGGACTGAAAAAAACCTGCACTGCTATTGCCACTCTTTCTTCTATTGCCAATTTTTTATCCTGCACAGACTACATTTTAAACCTTTAACATGTTTGCACACTTTTTGTCTTTTTGTTTGCACAATCTGAGTGATTGTGCAAACAAATTGTTAAGTTCTCCAGTGTGAGATGAATAAAATCTATCTTATCTTATTAGAGGTTCTCAATCCCAGCAGAGTATATGCTATATTTTTTGTATTTGATTTAGCCGTTTATTTATTAATCTTGCAATTATTGTCCCGCAATTAAATATGCAGACGACACCACCTATCCCCTTATCGGTCTTATCAGCGAGAACGACGAATCTTCATACAGAGCAGAGGTTGAGAATGTTGTCAACTGGAGTAAAGACAACAACCTCCTCTGGAACACATCCAAAACATGTGAACTGGTGTTTGACTTCAGACGTGGTCACTCTCGCTCCCACTCACCTGTGGTCATTGATAACTCTCAGGTGGAGATTGTTGAGGAGTGTAAGTTTCTTGGTCTAACTTTGTCCAACGATTTGAGATGGGACAAAAACACCAACCACCCTGTTAAGAAAGCTCGCCAACGTCTATGCTTTCTGCGGAAACTTCTACCGCTGCACCATAGAAAGCCTGATGCTGGTGCGATCACTGTGTGGTTCGGCAGCAGCACTGCCAAAGAAAAGAGAGCTCTGAACAAAGTGGTTCGTTCTGCTCAGAGGACTGTGAACCGTGAGATGCCCGTTCTGGAGGCTCTGTATGAGAGCAGACTCTTAAACCGTGCCTTGAGGATATGACTCCTCTGGTCATCCTGGAGCGGCCTTGTTCCAGCCTATTCTCTCGGGGAGAAGATTCCGGTCCGTGCGGTGCAGGAACACCCGCCATGCGAATAGCTTCTTTCCTCAGGCGGTTATAAGACTGAACAGAGCGCCCTGAGATCTGCTTCTCTTGTAGCTCCATCGTAGCGTCTTAATAATGCTTTTAAGAGTTTTATATGTGCCTCACTGTGTCTCGCTATTTTTATTCTGTTTGTGTGTGTGCTTTGTTGTGTTGGTGCCCCCGGTGTCTCCTGTTTGTATTCCAATGTAGTTTTTTTCTGCAAATGGCAAATAAATTGATTCTGATTCATTTCACACAGTTAACCCTGAACAGTGGATACAAAAAAGCAAGCAAAAGGTTGAGAACCACTGCATTAAAGGCACTTCAATTAATTTGTTTTCCGACATTATTGGACTTTATCATCTTTGTACTTGATATCTCGTGGCTCGACCAAACTTCTGTGTCTGATATGTATAACTTGTGTCTTGTCCCCATTCAAATCACATGCTGTTTTACATGGAAACCTATGGATACAAAGAGCACAAACTCCACTTATCCAGATTCCAACCTGAGAGCCAACATGGCCGCCGCCGCCTGTCTGCGCACACGAGCCGAGCGGTGCTTCAGTTTGTGGTGAAGTAGCGAGATGCCCTCCGATGCCAGAGCTGGGAGGGCATTACGGCGAGAGCAGCTAGTCACAGTGGACAGGAGCAGCACCAACTCCTCCTCCTGCTGCTGACACACATGGGAAACCTTTTGTGCTATGATCTATCCTTAGGCTATGACAGCTGCTTTCTGCTGTTTAAAAGGAAAATATTACCTCCCAATTAGCAACAGAAATGTATACATTATAGGACTGAAACCAGAGCTATTGGACTGAAGGGGCAGCATTACATGTTTGAGCCAGATATTAGCATGGATGGATCTAAAAACAACTCCATGTCTTTATTTGATTGGACAGCAATGTTGTAACGTGGTTCAAATGAAATCAATTTTGCATAGTATGTCTCCTTTAGCCCTACCCCAATGTGAAAAGTACTTGGATGCTGAAGTAGAGAAGGGTACCAGTTAAATTATCTACTGCTGCGTCCATTAGTCGACTATTAAGTATAGTATAATTGTAATCACATTTTGATAATTTAAATGGTTCATCAAACATTTCTGTCTGTTCTGACTAAAAACACAATAAAATAGACTTTTTTTCTGACAGTATATTTGTAGTTTTGCTATAGATCTGAGCATTCAGTGTCTGTGTGTGTGTGTGTGTGTGTGAAAAATGGAAAGGCCACTGGACATGTTTTGCGGAGTTTACCATCTACTCAGTTTCCCAGTCCTACTGTCTGTGTGTGTTTGTGTGCGGGTGTGAATGAAAGACCAGACGAGCGTCTCTGCTCACGTCTCTGACCCGGCAACAGATAAAGCGGAAGAATAAGAAGAACGTGTTCCTGGTCGGTACATCGTCTGTGTCGACTTTCCTACCTCTTTCTCTTCGGGATCTAGTTCCTTGTTTCCTTCAGACACTGGTTTGCCTCCTTTAATGTCTCCTATCTCCCCAGATTCTTTCTTGACTTCGAACGCCACGTATTCCTCCTTGATTCCTATCTCTTCAGGCTGCTCCTTTACTCCTATCTCCTCAGCCTCTTCTTTGAATCCTATCTCCTCAGTTTCCTCCCTGATTCCTGTCTCCTCAGGCTCCTCCTTTACTATATCCACATTCTCTTTTTTGACTCCTATCTCCTCAGGCTCCTCCTTTACTCCTATCTCCTCAGCCTTTTCTTTGACTCCTATCTCCTCAGTTTCCTCCCTGATTCCTATCTCCTCAGGCTCCTCCTTTACTCCTATCTCCTCAGGCTCCTCCTTTACTCCTATCTCCTCAGCCTCTCCTTTGACTCCTATCTCCTCAGTTTCCTCCCTGATTCCTGTCTCCTCAGGCTCTTCTTTGACTCCTATCTCCTCAGTTTCCTCCTTGATTCCTATCTTCTCAGCCTCTTCTTTGACTCCTATCTCCTCAGTTTCCTCCTTGATTCCTATCTCTTCAGGCTCCTCCTTTACTATATTCTCAGCCTCTTTTTTGACTCCTATCTCCTCAGGCTCCTCCTTTACTCCTATCTCCTCAGCCTCTCCTTTGACTCCTATCTCCTCAGTTTCCTCCTTGATTCCTATCTTCTCAGCCTCTTCTTTGACTCCTATCTCCTCAGTTTCCTCCTTGATTCCTATCTCTTCAGGCTCCTCCTTTACTATATTCTCAGCCTCTTTTTTGACTCCTATCTCCTCAGGCTCCTCCTTTACTCCTATCTCCTCAGCCTCTCCTTTGACTCCTATCTCCTCAGTTTCCTCCTTGATTCCCATCTCTGTAGGCTTTTCTTTGACTCCTGCAGGCTCCTCTATGATTCTTATCTCCTCAGGCTCCGCCTTTACTCCTATCTCCTTAGGCTCCTCTTTGACTCCTATCTCCTCTGATCCTTCCTCTCCTCCTAACTCCTCGTCCGTTTCTCTCAGCTTCAGCATCAGTTTTGGGACCAAACTCAATAAAACTTCAGCACCTAAAACAAAAGAGGTAGAGGAAGTACAGGTTAAAGAATAACATCTAGGACTGTAAACAATATGTTAGTGCTTTCTTCTTAGATAAAGAAAGTAAATACAGGATAAATAACAAACATTACACAACACATATTACCCATACACTTCAGGTTCATGTCTCAGTCACTCACAACTCTTGTATTTATAACATTTTATTGAAGTTAATTTTCAACAGGACTGAAGCACCACTAAAGGTGTTAAGCAGGTCTAAAAAAAAAAGCAGATGTAGAGCATGACTAAATCAGTTCTAAAGAAGAACTAAAGCAGGTCTAGGGCAGGACAAAATCAAGACTAAAGTAGGAATAAAGCAGGTCTAAAGCAGGACTAAAGCAGGACACAATCAAGACTAAAGCAGGACTAAAGCAGGACTTAAGCAGGTTTAAAGCAGGACAAAAGCAGGACAAAAGCAGGTCTAAAGCGGGACTAAAGCAGGAAACGATCAAGACTAAAGCAGGACTGAAGCAGGACAAAAGCAGGACTTAAGCAGGACTTAAGTAGGTCTAAAGCAGGTCTAAATTAACTCTAAAATATGACAAATGCAGCTCTAAATCATGAATAAATCAGCTCTAAAGCAGACCTAAGGGCAGGAGGACCAGGCCGTTCAGGACTCTGTGAACCGCAATTCGGCACTGAGAATCAGAATCGTCGAGGAGGAGAAAAAGAGGCCCGAGCAGCGAGGACGACAGCAGCGCACCTCTACGAAAACAACATGACACAAAATGAGAGATTAGGACAGTAGCAATAAGTATTAACAATTCAAAACTCGATACTGAGATACTTAAACTTGAGTTTCCTGCAGTTTAGATCTGACTGTTTCCATTGTAATATACATGTGTTTCCTTGGCTCCTGTCAGAAGTCATTATTATTGCAGATCTTAAGTACATGTTTTGCCTTTCATCCGAATCAACAGGTCCTGTCGTCTTCACTGAGTTTGAAGTTGTTACATTACAATGAGCAAACATTTTATTAAGAAGTATCAAAATGGCTTGTGTCTGTGCACCTGCTGAGTTAATTCAAGGGCCTACTAAAGACTATTTTGGTTTCGTTTTGCTTGTTTGATTTGATTAATATCTATTTTGTTATGTGTATTGAGCTTTATTATGAAATGTTCTATGCTTTTGATATGTTTTTGAAAAAGAAAATTAGCATTCAAAAGACTAGAGGTGCAACGGTTCATCACTGATCCGTGATCCGTTCGGTTCAACGTCTTCGGTTCGGTACAGACGTGATCCGCGGTTTGATTTATGAAAAAAAAGTTGTGCGCACGTTGTTCAGTCCACACACAGCGTGGTCATTGCGAGCGGAGGAACGGAGATGCTTGAAAGCCCTGCGTCATTTAAATCCCCAGTATGAGAGCATTTTGGCTTCACTGTAACTACACTGATAATTAATATTCGACAAAACTGTCACGATGTGTAAGCACTGTGGCACAAGAAAGACATGAGTGTAAAAAGCGTCTCAACGACCGCTTATTGTCGCAGCATTTAAGCAGCTCCTTTACGCACAGTCAGACCAGGCTAAAGTCAACTCTCCCGCGCATCCTCAGCTGCGCTCACGACTGACGCTTGGACGTCCCGCGGAACCTATAATAGATCCATGAGCGGAACCGCTCACTTCATCACCGCAGACTGGGAGATGAAAAGTCTGGCGCTGAAGACACGCCCCCTCTACGACAGTCACACAGCGCAGGTTCTGACACAAGCAGCGGAGGAATGGAAGACAAAGGCCCAGTACTAATATCCCAGTCACAACTGATAATGCCAAAAATTAAATAAATGCAGTGAATGAGGCTGGGCCCAGAATGGACCCCCTCCTCGGGAGAATCAGGAAGGTGGTGTAATATCCTCATAAAGTGCCTTCTTATGTTGCACTTTGTGTTGTTTTTCATTAATTATGTTAAATAGACATAATTGGATGGATGGAATATGCCTTCCATCCATCCATCCATTTCCTTCCCCTTAATTCATTTCTAGGTCAGGGGGGGCAGTCAGAGCAGGTGCCGAGTCCACATGAGCTGTGTTTATTAAAAAGACAAAACTTTTTTTTAGAAAAATGAACCGAAAAATGAACCGAACCGTGGCCTCTGAACCGAGGTACGAACCGAACCGTGATTTTTTCAAACCGTTGCACCCCTACAAAAGACTATTTTGGTTTAAAAAGTTTTAACTTACTATAAAATCAAAGTATTTACTTGTAATACTCCTTCAAATACGGCTGTATGGAGTTTACCGTCCGATGGAGTGAGTAGTGATCAACTGTAGCAGGTCGCATGTTCTGCTCCTCACTGCAGAGTCTGGGTCTTGTAACAATGGACTGAGCTGTTCTACCAGACCTGAAAACAGAAACATCTGCAATTCACTTTTCACAGCCGAGGCAAATGACATTTCAGGACCTGCAGTAAAGCAAAACATCTTCTGACAAAACGCATAATACATTACTTATGTTATTTTAGAGTTGATGAATGAATTGAATGAAATGAATGAAATGAATGAAATGAATGAAATGAATGGTTTATTAGTGAATGTAGTTCAAACTGGTCTAGGTTAATCCCATAATAAACAAAGAAAGGTTGCTCACTCATCATGCATCTGTACTTCCGTTAGCAGGTTTTCCCGACGTTTCGTTCTTATCCAAAGAACTTTTTTAGGGGTTTCAAAGGCTCACCTGCGAGTTGGAGATTTGAATCTACAAACGTTGGAGATCTTGCTAACTGAAGCACAGATGATGGGTGAGCAACCTTTCTTTGTTTTGACTCAGAAAGGTTTGTTTTGACGACAGAGTTTACACAAACTTTAATTCCATAATGTTTTTTCTCACCCTAAATTCGATCATAAATGAGGGTTTGACTGATACCTGCGGTTACAGCCTGATAGAGTCTCTCGGGGTCGTGGAGCAGGTCACACAGAGAGTTCAGAGCCCGCTTCTTTCTCTCACACTGCGGCATCTGCAACTCCTCAAACAGCCGGGGTACCGCCCGCAGCCCGTACGCCACCTCCGCCAGGGCCATGGAGCCAGGACAGTCCGGGGAAACGTGGGGAAACACGGGGAAACGCGGGGACCAGCGGGACTGCGGAGCGAAAAGAACCTTTAACACACAGTTGAACAGGAGGACGTTGACACCATGGCAATGACGCACAAGCGCACGTGTACCTAGCAACAGACAGCAACGGACACACTGAAATAGAAAACAAATATTAATAGTTAATCAGACCAAAATAGAATATGAATATATTTCTGCTACATTTTGTTGTTGTTAAAACGTAGTAGAGATGGAATATCTATTTGCACCATATACGAGTAGCCCCTGACTGCAGTCCGCAGATCGGGGCGGAGCTCAACGTGGGCGGAGTCAAACGTTTGACTCCGCCCACGTTGAGCTCCGCCGAGCGGGAGCTAGGCATTGAGGACTGTGCGTATGACAGAGAAGGAGAAGAAGCAGAGGAGAAGAAGAGCGAAGTAGCTGGCAGGGCAGTGGAAATGCTGCGCATGTGTGATGGCCTGGATGAAGAGTATAAAGAAGACCTCAGTGAACCGTTCATGTTCATGTTTAGTTTGCAGGCAGACTATGAGGAGTTCTGCAAGGAAATGATGGACAAAAGGCAGCTGCAGGTGTTTTCCGGCTTTGAAATGAGATAATTTTCTGCTCACACATGCTGCATTTCTTTGCATTTTCACTTTGTTTTGGTTCTCCTAGTGTGGTTTTTGGTGATTTTGTTTGTACTTTTTGTATACCTGTGTTCCGGTTATGGCTTTTGTTTGTGTAAAATTTACCTTTTTGAAACATCAAGTCTGCATCCTTGGGTCCACTGTCTCGCTACCCCACCTCAAACCTCGGCATGTTTTAAGAAGTGTCAGTGGCACAATTCAGTCTCTGTTCTCCTTAATGTAGCTGATATAATTGAGTGGATACATTTATATAAGAATTTGTATTTTTTTAAATGAAGGCAGCATGGATAAAAAATAATGGACAGTAAAAAAATAAGGCTTTTGACAAGTTGAAAGTAGAAGCCTGATATTAAATGTTGATTTCACTTCACTGTTCTAGTTCAGTGGGAGCTGAACCTCATTAAAAAGTTGTGTGTAAAGTTGTGAGGGCTCATGGAAATGTAATCATATTACTATTTGATTGACTGCGGAACCTTCCGCAGTCAACCATTGGTTTTGTATTTCTTTATTCCGTCATTTTTTTTGACACGTTTCACAGCTTTCACATTTTCAACAATTTCCACAAGTTATACATCAAAACGTTCCACATGTTTGGGAGATTATTGCTATTACTTTTGGGACTTCAGCGATTTCCGGTTTTTCCGCAATCGGACAAAAATCTGCATTGAGAATTCTGCAATGCATTTTAATAGGCCCATGCATTTTAATAGGACTTCAGCTCTTTCAGACATTTCTACAGTTTCAATGATTCAACAGTTTCAAGGATTCAACAGTTTCAAGGATTTCAGCAGTTTCAAGATTTCAAGAGTTTCAAGGACTTCAACAGTTTCAAGGACTTCAGCAGTTTCAAGGACTTCAGCAGTTTCAAGGACTTCAGCAGTTTCAAGGACTTCAGTGTAATCATGCAACCTAATAGGGATTTTTCCATGTAAACCAGTATAATGCAACTTAATAGGGTTTTTTCATGTAAACCAGTATAATGCAACTTAATAGGGATTTTTCCATGTAAACCAGTATAATGCAACTTAATAGGGTTTTTTCATGTAAACCAGTATAATGCAACTTAATAGGGTTTTTTTTCATGTAAACCAGTATAATGCAACTTAATGGGGATTTTTCCATGTAAACCAGTATAATGCAACTTAATAGGGGTTTTTACATGTAAACCAGTATAATGCAACTTAATAGGGATTTTTCCATGTAAACCAGTATAATGCAACTTAATAGGGATTTTTCCATGTAAACCAGTATAATGCAACTTAATAGGGATTTTTCCATGTAAACCAGTATAATGCAACTTAATAGGGATTTTTCCATGTAAACCAGTATAATGCAACTTAATAGGGATTTTTCCATGTAAACCAGTATAATGCAACTTAATAGGGGTTTTTACATGTAAACCAGTATAATGCAACTTAATAGGGTTTTTTACATGTAAACCAGTATTATGCAACTTAATAGGGATTTTTCCATGTAAACCAGTATAATGCAACTTAATAGGGTTTTTTTTTCATGTAAACCAGTATAATGCAACTTAATGGGGATTTTTCCATGTAAACCAGTATAATGCAACTTAATAGGGGTTTTTTTTACATGTAAACCAGTATAATGGAACTTAATAGGGATTTTTCCATGTAAACCAGTATAATGCAACTTAATAGGGTTTTTTTCATGTAAACCAGTATAATGCAACTTAATGGGGATTTTTCCATGTAAACCAGTATTATGCAACTTAATAGGGATTTTTCCATGTAAACCAGTATAATGCAACTTAATAGGGTTTTTTTCATGTAAACCAGTATAATGCAACTTAATAGGGTTTTTTTCATGTAAACCAGTATAATGCAACTTAATGGGGATTTTTCCATGTAAACCAGTATAATGCAACTTAATAGGGTTTTTTTTTACATATAAACCAGTATAATGGAACTTAATAGGGGTTTCAAGGATTTCAGGAGTTTCAATGTTTCAACAGTTTCAAGGATTTCAGGAGTTTAAAGGTTTCAACAATTTCAAGGACTTCAGGAGTTTCAAATATCTATCAAGTATTTTAACAGTTTCAAGGCCTTTTAAAGGATTTCAAGGATTTTTTTTAGCAGATTTCCACATTAGATCTGTTCCGCAGTCAATCGCAATGGCTTCAGCCATTGCAAGTTTCTAGTATTTTAGTATCATTTATTTTATGAGACAAGAATGCATATAGAATATTATGTAACCTTACTATTATGTAAGCTGGTATTTGCATTTGAGACAAAAAGAAACAGGTTTTACCAAAGATTTACATTTTGACACCAGATGTGATCCTGATATAAATAACAATGAATGGTGTCCCATACAAAAGCTTTTTATATTATTACAAGCTTAGGCGTAACATCAGAATCGGTCAGAATCAGGTGCAATAATAAATAATGGTACCAAAAATAGTTTATAAATATACATAATATACAAAGGAGTAGAAGAATGAAAAGCATATCGGGACCGATAAATATTAATTATTTTTTTAAATCATCAACTTGATGATTTTACCCTTGATCAAGATTAAAATCAGGGTAAAATGAAAAAAAAAAAACGCTTCCGTAAAAAAAAAGAAACTTCCGCGGTGGGCGGAGTCAAACGTTTGACTCCGCCCACGTTGAGCTCCGCCCCGATCTGCGGACTGCAGTCAGGGGTATATGCCATATACGGTGCAAATAGTTGTATTTGTGTTCAGATGCCATAGGGCGGCGCTGCTGAGTTTCAGAACTGGAGCTTCATAAACAGGAAATAGGGACTGGGGCTGAGCAGAGAAGAATATTTACAGTCTACGGAGCAGTACTTTTCTGTTTTCCTCATCAATAAGCTCACAGACCTTGAACATTTAACGCTACCTTTGTAAGAAGTATCGAGTCGCGGTGGATTTGATAACTATTATTTTTTGTTGCTTTGGGACATATTAGGACCTCTACTTGCATCATGTTTGGTTCACTGACCTCTGGAGGAGAAATGTCCAACGCCGAGCTTTTTCAACAAGTAAAGTTCATAAATATTTGTAATATGGAATACAATAAGTAATCTGTAATCACACAATATGATATCAACACGATCATGTTGGATTAAGCTGGTAATCTAAAATAACTGACAACCCGACAGATAGCACTATTTATTGAACAGGATTTCAATATGTTTATGATTAGATTCAGATTAGGTGTGTGGCCACCCACACCCATAGGTTTATAAATCTCCAACGCGCCGGTCTTGAGAAATCATTCCTGAAGCGTCCGCTTGGTTTGAGGACGAAACGTCGGGAAAACTTGCTAGGAAGTACAGTTGATGGGTGAGAAAACCTTCTTTGTTCTCAAGTATAATTTTCAGAAAAAAAAGATTTTTCAAGGGTCTTTAGTATTAGATAGCAATATGGCCTATGTGAGGACTGTACAAGGACTCTGATTATTATGACTATGATGTGGACTGTCTCTGTGTGACAGTATGCTCTTGTCGATGTGTGACGTGACAATGATATATAAACTCTGTACTGACTCCATTCTGTCTGAGAGAAAGAACGCAAAGGAAAACCACTGGAAAATTGAGAGAAACTTAAATAACACTCCCAGAGTTCGGCGCTCCACGATCCGTCTCTGTCTGCTTATCCCTGAAGATTTGGTGGAGAATTGTGCGGCTCAGTGTGCGCATTCTCTGGATTGTTTTGAGGGAGTTTCCTTTGTTTTTTTTTTCGGGCGTGTGGGGGTAGCAACAGCACGTTATCTGGACAGGGGAGAATCCCAGGAGGACGCTGAAAGAGGGCTCGCTTTTGGTGATGGGCTTGCTATTGCTCCCTCACTTTCTCTGTTTGTGTTTATTTATTGAATTTTTTTTACGCGGGAAAAGATGTTGGTCGACCTCTCGAACAGTCCGGACAAAGAAAATAAGGTAAGCAGACACCGTTTTAAAATGTAAAGTCTGAATAATTGGATATAGTTAAATTATGAGGCTCTGACCCGGAGGTCTGTCCAAAATCTCTCTAAATCAAACTTTTTCTTTGTTATGTCTTTGTCCCGTCTTTGTCATGTCCTTTATTTGTTGTAGAAAAACAGGTTAGCTGTGTGGGTAACCCAGTCCCTATAGGAAAAAAGAACCTTGAGTGTATCGGGGTCCCCGTCGACCTTTGAAGTAGTAGGGAGAGCAGAAAAAGAACCCTGCGTATCAGTGGTCCTGGTTCCTTTGAAGTAGTAGGACAGAGAGAAAAAGGAACCCCTGATGTATCGGTGGTCCCTGTCCTTTGAAGTAGTCGGTCAGAGAGGAAAAGGAACCCCTGACGTATCGGTGGTCCCTGTCCTTTGCAGTAGTCAGGACAGAGGAGAAAAAGGAGGGAACCCCTGATGTAGCGGGGCTCCCTGACTTTGGAGTAGCCGGGGCAGACGAATAGAGAATAGAATATAATTAGTGAAACTCATGGTGTAAAATTAAAGTAATAATAAAAAAGGGAAACGTTAAACACTTAAAGCGTGCCCTTTTTGTTTACAAGTGTGGGAAAGTGGACATTTTAGACTTGGATGACAAGTTTTTAAAGAAAACCATCAGTTATATTCGGCTTACAAAAGTAATCTTGAAAGATCTTCTTCTTTCTGTTTTTGCATTTTTGCTCGATAAAAACACTACTTTCTGCCCTGTGTGTGTACGCCGCTTATCTTGCTGCGTTTTAGTCAGGGGGAAACGGCCCCCTTCGCTACTCTGGCTCTGAATCCAGAACAAACCTGCTTTTAGGATTTTGCTTTTAAAGTTGTAAATTTTGCTACATTAGCAATTGAACATGTGGTTATGACACAGTTAAACGTTTTTTAACGACTGTTTTAGTCAACAGAAATTTTGAATATTATATGTTTTTTGAGATCCAAGATTAGTACAAAAAAGCTTTGCTTTCTTTTTAATTGCTGCTTATTTTTTGAGTCCATTATTGTATCTCTGCTATATGTTATAGCTTGTTTGTGAGAATTTTTCATGTATTTTTATATTTAGTTACAAAAAAGCCATTTTTCAAACATTTAAATTAGATCTGTGTTAAAAAGTGATTTTTCGATCATAGACTTTCGTCCTAAAAAGAAACGAGGTAATTAGGATTAGCTGTAAAAAGTATATATTTTTAAGTTGAACTCTAGCAAATCCACCCATTTCACCTTGCAAGTGGTGATTTTTTTGTTTTTGACTACACGCTCTGACCTGTGTTCCTGCTCGTGATGGCACGCCCAGCGGCCTGATCTGAAATTGTTCTCCAATTCTATTGACTTAATTTGAAAATGCTGCACTTAATTTTACATTAGTGAGTATATATGCTAGATAAATGTTCTCAAGATATTCATCATTCACTGCCCATGACGACAAAGAAATCGTCATGTTTGATAGTAACGCTCACTGCCCATGACGAGTTTGACGAGTTATTCGTGTTCTTACACGGGAGGCTACAGTAATGTCTCGGCACCTGTGGCTATGACCCAAACAATACTGATATATAGTGCAAATGTACCCTGTAATGATAAATCAACACCAGATAGGATTGCAGTATTGCACACAGGAGCGGTCATAAGTCATTGGAGGAAGGAGGAGGAGTGTGGGAGTGTTTGGAGAGCGTCTGCTGATAGCAGATCGATGATCGCGTAGCATTGAACGAATCAGCGATTAGTTTAGCGATCGAATTGCAAGAGTGTGGCGGAAAAAGAATAGTTTAAGCAGTGTACCACGGCTTCAGAGATTGACTCGCGGATCAGTGAGTGAGGTCGGAGAGGGGATGAGAGCGGGAGCCCGGTGGAGGTCCGTCTCTGCAGCCCGAGCCCGGGAGCAGGGACACACCTTCGCCTGCTCGCAGCGTCTCAGCTGCTGTTGTTACTGATGCCTCGGATTCGTTCAGAGGAACTGATCATTATCGGATGAGGGTGCAGTCTCAATCCAGCAGTGCATCCTCTCCAGAAGCTCCAAAAGAGTCGAAGAAGTAAGACCTTGCGTAAATTGCCTAGACTATGCTAACTTGAGAGGAGGGCAAGGCGCGGTAAAACTTGCTCTTGATCTGCAAAGTAAAAACACAGCTCTACAACTCCTACTGTTTCTTTAGTAAATGCCGTTATGGTTGTATCATTGTGTAGTTATTATTTTTATGGTTGTTATTTCCTACCTTGAACTCTTGTTGTAGTGTCATAGCTCTGATAAACTGAAATGCCTGGTCCATTCAGATTTGATAAATGAGCCCTCCCCCGATTGGGTTGCAGTGCAAGGAGCAGAGGTAAAAGATAAATGCCTCCTCCTACCATTGTTACATATTATTGTATATATTCTCCTGGTTATAGTGATTTACAAATTTATATTATTTACAGGGGAGCATCATGAGGCAGTTGCTGGTGCCCAAAAAAGGTAAAAGAACGTATTTCTATTCTTGTACATCCCATGGCAATATAATATAAAATAATAATATAGTATACTGTGTTTGGTCCAAAGTAGTCAGTCGATAATGTGGGAGGGAAGGCCTTCATTGTATTTTATGTATTTGATTTATTGTAACAAATTCACTGTATACTATAGTTTATTGTGTGTATCCATTTTCTTCCGCACAGTTCGTCCACCAGAGCTCTGGGGAAGGATGGCTGAAGGAGGATGAGTGGCGCGAGTCAGTTGCCTTCACAGGGATTGGCGTCTGTAATCCTCATGATTGATGGCGGCTTGTGGCTGACCCCATGGCTCCTTTGAAGCTGTATCTCTCCATTTGGTCAATGGTAAACAGAGTGGACAGGCTTGGCCCTGTCCTAAGTTTAACCTTACACATTCCATGGCATGTTATACATGTATTCTGTTCTATTTAAAATTACTAGTATTTATTTGAAGTAGCCTTTTGCTAAATTCAATTTAACAGTAACCAAATGTGGCCCCCTGAATAAAATTGCCCATCTCTCGTCAAGACCATTCTTAATGCACTGCTTTGACAGACGTCCGCTGCCGATTCTGTGAGACACGACTCTGTCCTTCAGAGACAAGCTACAAAACAAAAACACTTGTGCTGTTTGGCTGATGTCTATTTTTTCTTGTGCAGGTTTTTTCACCCTGGACGGACAGCCCAAGTCCATGAGCTGCCCCTCCACTGGCCTGACTGAGGAAGACCTGAACCATATCGGAGGTGTGGCCTCCTCTGTGCCTGTGGAGGACTTCACCATACACGGAGGTACTGTTGTAAATGCTACTCACGGGACAGAAGATAATTTGCTCTTTATTTTTCCTTTATTTATTATTAAGAACCCTAACCTAACCCTTTTTAAGAAATTGTGTGAAACATAACTTACCAAAACAAAGTCAAGACTAGAATGAGTTTGAGTTAGGACCGACTGTGAACACAGGCAATGGTGCTGTTTGTTTAAAAATGTTTAATATAAAATTGTATTTGTCTAACCTTGATTTAGATGAATGACCTCTTTTTCAAGGGAGTCGTGGACAAGAGGCAGCAACATTTACACACAGTTTAGATTAATAAATACAGTTACATTTCAGTGAGGACAGCTCAATACATTTCAGTGAGGACAGCTCAATACATTTCTAGTCTTCTTTGCAAATGTTCCATGTAGAAGGAGCAGAGTATACAAAAGCCCTCTTTCCCAGTTCTGTGCAAAGAGAACAAAGAACTACAAAAGATCATTTGACCACAAACTGTAAGAACCCAGCATCGCCTTACAAAGAAAAGTGCAACAGTGTTTTGATTAGGCCGTGTCGTCTGGTCTTAATTGGTCTTGATTCGCAGGTCTGAGCAGGATCCTCAAAGGCCGAGCAGAGATGATCCGTAACAAGACTGTGGACTGGGCTCTGGGGGAGTACATGGCCTTTGGGTCTCTGCTGAAGGAGGGCATCCACGTGAGGCTGTCAGGGCAGGACGTGGAGAGAGGCACTTTCAGGTACTTTGGGGAAATAATAATAATACAAGTAATGTTATTAAATCAGCCCTTTTTTAGACACTCAAAGACGCTTCAAAGATTATACAATAATAAACATTGAAGAAGAAAATTGAGGAAAGTCCAGGTGAAAGAGGTGATGGGTTGTGGGAGTTCCAGAGAGTGGGGGCAGCTTCGGCAAAAGCTCGGTCCCCCCAAGGTTCGGTGTTTAGTCCTGAGGGGAGTGAGGAGGGAGGAGTCTGAGGATCTGAGGCGGCGAGTGGGACAGTGATGATGGAGGAGGTCAGTGAGGTATGAAGGGGCAGGTTATGGAAGGGCTTGTAGGTGAGGAGCAGGACCTTGTATTGGATGCGGTATGGATCACGAAGTGGAGCTGTTTGAGGACGGGGGTGATGTGCTCTCTGGAGTAGATCCAGAACGAAGCTCTACGCTCAGTCCCCTGGATAGCTGGACTGACCGTGAAGTGTGAGAACGCCATTTTGTAATGGTGTCTGATGATCCAGTGGGTGGATAAGTTTGTGTCTATAGTGACTGATTAAGTTTGTGTGTGTTTTTGTCCCTGTGCAGCCACCGTCACCACGTTCTCCACGACCAGAACGTGGACAAGCGCACTTGTATCCCCATGAACCACATCAGTCCAGACCAGGCGCCATACACGGCCTGCAACAGCTCTCTGTCGGAGTACGGCGTCCTCGGTGCGTCCACACACTCTCTGATAAACTGCTATACACATCTACACACATCACTAAAATATTTACTGTGTTTTTGTGTATCATTCTGTTGTAGTGGCTGTCAAAGACTCAATGTAGTAGATATAAAAGTTTAAATACACTGTAAAAAGTAAGGCCAATTAAATAATTACATAAAACATTACTTTCTCAAATGTGTCAAATGTTATTGCGATTATAAACCCAAATCAATCACATTATTTTTACATAAGGCAGGAGTAAAATGCATCAGATGGGTGAAGCGAGGGCTGTGATTAATCCTAGTTAAAGCTGCACTAACTGACTTTGGGATTTTGAAGCCGCGGACTCGCTGGCCTCTCTCTTTCTGCTCCCCTCCCCGCACCCACGAAGCTATCGCCCCCCACACACACCCACTGTTGGGACGGAGCTCGCGTCTCCCAATATGGATAATACATGGACATGGATTTGCACGTGAATGGCGTGATCATAGAACGATAGAACCGGGAAGCGCGGAGGAACGAGACTTTCTTTTGGATGGCTGTTTCGCTGAGTAAGCAGTAACCGGTGACGAAGACGAGGAAGTTTCAGGTTAGCTTTGCCGCTTGTTGTGCTAACTCAGCTGTCTATGCTAACGGACCTGTAGATTTCTCACGAAAGTGGGGGCCAGTGGTCCGCTGTGATTGGTCACAATCTGCGACCCGAAACACATTCTCTTCTTTGTTTCATCCAAACTCGATCTAAAATATAATGACACGCCAGCACAACCCTGCGCTACTTTTTCTTCAAAAGGACGTATATCCCAATGCACTACATGGACATGGATAGCAATTTTGTAATGAATACAAAAATAAAGTCAGTTAGTGCAGCTTTAATAATCGATTAGTTCTTTAGATTACAAAACTCCTGTAAAAATAGGATTTTTAAATAGTTTCAACGTCAATTAGGCTGTAATTATGATGATTGAATATACATGTGTATGCATTTTAATTTTGTTTTGCAGTAGTTACATCTGCCGGGAGTCATGAAAGCAGAATCTGTTCAGAAAATGATTATTAGATTACAAGAATTTAGAAAAAAGTAAATTAGTAGAAATTATTAACTGTTTTTAAATAGATATGAACTTGTTACAGCAGTGTTTAAGGCCTGGACACACACACAGCTGTCAGTCTACAAACACATTCATGGCTTTAGAGGCTCGTCCTCTCGTCTGTAGAAAACTGTTCCTCAAATTGCACACACACGCACACACACACACGCGCACACGCACACACGCACACACGGTCGTATCAGTAGGTCATGACACCAGTGCCTTTGCATTTCTTCCCCAGGTTTTGAGCTGGGATTTGCGATGGCGAGTCCAAACGCCCTGGTTCTTTGGGAGGCTCAGTTTGGAGACTTCCACAACACGGCTCAGTGCATCATCGACCAGTTCATCTGCCCGGGTCAGGCCAAGTGGGTCCGACAGAACGGCATCGTGCTGCTGCTGCCGCACGGTCTGGAGGGAATGGTACGTTGGTCGATAACAGCGGAAATGGCGTCTCATTCCTAGTTTGGCGCCCTCCAGTGCACATGTAAAACACAGAGATAAGGAAGTGTGTCTATATTTAAATTGTGTTTTTCCCTCAGGGCCCAGAACACTCGTCAGGGCGACCGGAGCGGTTCCTCCAGATGTGCAACGACGACCCAGACGTTCACCCGGTCAGACTTTTTTCATGGATAATCACAATAATCACTTTTTCCCCAAAGGTTGTACACATAACTGGCAAATGGTGGATGGAAAGCAAATCTACAAATATGTTATTGAAATTATATACTCTTATGTTTACAACTTAAATCATATTTTAATGTTTTTTGATCAAAATGTACTGTATAAGGGAAACATTCTTCATTAGATTAGATGGTGCTCCAGACTTTGAGACATTGATTATTGCAGTTCCCAAACACTACTACACACATACCACAGCGATCAGCGAAAACTCTCAAAATGTAATATGTATTTGACCTAAACAGTACTCTCTATACTTACCATACCATAATAAATACCATAATCATAATCCTAGCTGATTAATGAAAGTTTTTCTCGATTCAAGAAGCTATTGATCAATTAATAGACTGAAGACAATTGAATTTAGCCGTACATTTTGTCATGCATTTTGTTTATAGAGATCGTCTCTGCCCAGCCCCGTCCTTGTCCCTGTTTGGACCTGTGCTAGTCCCCGTTCAGCACTGTGCTAGTCCTGATTGAGTCTTAAACCCTTGTTGTGTGCGTTGCAGCCGATCACAGAGGACTTTGCGGTGCAGCAGCTTTACGACTGTAACTGGATCGTTGTGAACTGTTCGACTCCAGGAAACTACTTCCACGTTCTGAGACGACAGATCCTGCTGCCGTTCAGGAAACCAGTGAGTCATTTACCACAACCACACAACACTAAGAACACCACAAAGTTAGATAAAGACTGAATGAAATAAGTTTTAAAAGTGTTATATAGTGAACTATTGATGCTGTTTGTGGAAAAAGTCAGTTTAATTCAAGACAACAGGGTCTGAAGTTTCAGTTTGTGCTCAGTCTCATTCTCTGTTCCAGCTGATCATTTTCACTCCGAAATCCCTGCTGCGCCACCCGGAGGCCAGGTCCAGCTTTGACGAGATGCTCCCAGGTAGATACATCTCATTTTAGACAGACATAAGCTCACACAGACGCACCAACAAATGAGGACCAGTGTTGCCAGATATAATTCTTCCGGAAAATAAGTCAATAGAGTTTCAAATGTGACTATATTTGAAATGAACAGCATATTTACAGGGAAGAATTAAAAGTATAGTGTAAATAAGTCACAATATAATGGTTTGGAACACTGCATACTTTGAAATAAAACATTAATAATTTACCAATTTTGAAAAATCATAATTGGCTGATAAAATACTATTTTCTAAAACCAAGAAATACACCTGAATATGACTTCCACAGGAATGCCAAAGATTATTTTATGTATACAACAAATATTTCAATTTGTAAATAAATATTACTAATAGTATTAATATACTGAAACTATTACTTATTTTTTCTTTTCTTGTAAAGTGGTAAAACATTTACACTTTTCATTTTATTTTAGAATATCAAAATAAGATCAAAACCCAAATCTTATCTGTAATATTTGTTTCTATACAAACTATTGTTTTGAACACAGCTGCATATGGAGTCATTCATACCAGAGTGAAGTCTGTATTTGAGGACTGCCTGAAGCTGCAGGAACACGACAGTTCTATGGGACGTGGTGTGAGACTGTTCTGTTTCAGGGACACACTTCCAGCGGCTGATTCCTGAAAGAGGCGCCGCTGCTCAGAACCCAGAGTCCGTCAAACGCATCATCTTCTGCACGGGGAAAGTTTACTACGAACTGAACAGAGAGAGGAAGACTCGAGGACTGGAGGACACTGTCGCCATCGCCCGCGTGGAGCAGGTACGATGTCAAAATAGCAACAATAATATTCTGAAGACATCTTTCAGTTTGTTGCCTTACCTTTATGTGAAAGCCAGATCCTGTCAGACCTCGAAAGCTAAGCAGGGCAGGGCCTGGTTAGTACTGTGATGGGAGACCTCTGGGAACAGCACAGGTCTCCCACTGTCATTGTGCGTGCGAGTGAATGGTTGGTGGTGGTCAGAGGGGCCAATGGCACATACTGTTTGCCTCGCTTCTGTCAGTGTGCCCAGGACAGTTATGACCACCATGTATGGAATGAATTAATGTGAAGCGTCTTTGAGTGTCCAAAAAGTGCTGTATAACACAATAAAACATTATTATGTGTGTGTTGATTTTACCTGTCTGGTTAATGTTTCATGTTTTTGGCCAAAATCACACTGAAAATGGTTTGTGGCAGTGGCTTAGCCTGTGCTCTTCTTTCCGCAGCTGTCTCCGTTCCCATTCGACCAGGTAAAGGCCGAGGTGGAGAAGTACCCCAACGCAGACCTGGTCTGGTGTCAGGAGGAGCACAAGAACCAGGGCTACTACGACTACGTCAAACCACGCATCCGCACCACCATCCAGAGAACCAAGCCAGTGTGGTGAGAATCACTCGTCTTGCATCCACCCCCTTAAGCCTAGTTTACACTCGCGCGGCGCGGAGCTTACGGAGGTGACATGACGTCACTTGCGCAACGCGTTGGTCACCGCAAGGCCCTTACGTCGCCTGCCGCGCAGCATCGAAATTTTCTAACTACGTAAGGGTCGCCGCAAGGAAGCTCCGCTGTGATTGGTCCGTGTGTGTGTATTGGAAGGAAGCATGAAGCGGCTGCAGCAGGGACATGGACGAGGCACTATGGAGCAGAGAGCTTTGTGCTTCGAAGGAAAAGCAGTTTGGGCTCAGAGCCTGATATACAGGAGACTGTGGACTATCTAACATATATATAACTTATAAACTGTGCAGTCGTTTGTTTTGCACTGTTGACTGTTCCTGTCTTGTTTGAATCGTTGCTGCGTTTGTTGCTTTCCTCCTGCACTCGTAAATCGTTCATGTTTGTCTCAGATATTTACCACTATTATTGTTTTGCTGTTTGTGCTGAAAACTATTTAATAATAACTATGTTTCCAACAAGAACTGTCTTTATTCACAGAATCACAGTTGAAATTACTTATAAAATAATGAATCCATAAAACTATCACATAAACCTACAGTAGAAACACGTGTAATGAGCTCAAACAGCTTTGTTTGCTATTGTTGTTCTGAAGAGGACAAAGTAGCAGCGTAAATGGAACCGCTCCTGTGTGATCGCCCTCATGTGGTTTGTTGTGGGATTACAACATTCTCCTCAAAACTCCGTAAGGGGAACGCGCCAGTATAAAGCCTAGTTTATACTCGCGCGGCGCGGAGCTTACGGAGGTGACGTGACGTCACTTGCGCAACGCGTTGGTCACCGCAAGGCCCTTACGTTGCCTGCCCTGCAGCATCAAAATTTTCTAACTACGTAAGGGTCGCCGCAAGGAATCTCCGCTGTGATTGGTCCGTGTGTGTGTATTGGAAGGAAGCATGAAGCGGCTGCAGCAGGGACATGGACGAGGCACTATGGAGCAGAGAGCTTTGTGCTTCGAAGGAAAAGCAGTTTGGGCTCAGAGCCTGATATACAGGAGACTGTGGACTATCTAACATATATATATAACTTATAAACTGTGCAGTCGTTTGTTTTGCACTGTTCCTGTCTTGTTTGAATCGCAGCTGCGTTTGTTGCTTTCCTCCTGCACTCGTAAATCGTTTATGTTTGTCTCAGATATTTACCACTATTATTGTATTGCTGTTTGTGCTGAAAACTATTTAATAATAACTATGTTTCCAACAAGAACTGTGTCTTTATTCACAGAATCACAGTTGAAATGACTTATAAAATAATGAATCCATAAAACTATCACATAAACCTGCAGTAGAAACACGTGTAATGAACTCAAACAGCTTTGTTTGCTATTGTTATTCTGAAGAGGACAAAGTAGCAGCGTAAATGGGACCGCTTCTGTGTGATCGCCCTCATGTGGTTTGTTGTGGGATTACAACATTCTCCTCAAAACTCCGTAAGGGGAACGCGCCAGTATAACATCCATTGTGCTTACGTAGGTCCACCGCAACCGCTAACGTAAGCCACGCCGCGCAAGTATACACTAGGCTTTACACCAATGTGTGCTACCACTGGATTTAATTACAACCATTAACACTTGTGCTATCCCCAGGCCAAAATGTCCCGCCATAGTGATTTAAAAGTAGAAGAAAAATTTCCAGGGCTGTCGTAAAAGTTGTAAAAATTCAGCTGGAAAAAATATTTATGCCATTTAGTATTCACTGTGGTGGATAGCAAAATACATAAAACAAAGGTTACATATGTAACCACGGCAAGGCAAGTTTATTTGTATAGCACAATTCATACACAAGGCAACTGAAAGGGCTGAACAAAATAAGAAAACATTAAAATAATAAATAATTACAGTACATTAAAAAGATGGATAAAAATATAAAATCCCTCAGTTTTACGCACAGCTAAACAGGACTGTTTTTAAATGTAAATGTAAACGTGCACTTTATTGTCCCCGTAGGGAAATTTGTCCTCTGCATTTGACCCATACTGTTGGATTTAAACCTTGTCAGAGAAGAGGCTTGTCTCACATTTTCAGGAAGACTGTTCCAGATTTTAGCTGCATGAATCTGAAAAGCTGGGGACCAGCAGTAGTCCAGTCCCTGTGCTCCTCAGAGTCAAAGTTGGTTCATACAGGACTAACATGTCACTAACATATTTTGGTGCGAGGCCATGGAGAGACTTGTAACAAGCAGAGCTGTTTTAAAGTCTATTCTCTGAGCCACAGGAAGCCAGTGCAGAGACCTGAGAACTGGACTAATGTGATCATACTTCCTGGTTCTAGTCAGGACTCGAGCTGCTGCATTTTGAATGTACTGCAGCTGTTTTACAGCCTGTTTGGACAGACCTGTGAGCAGGCCATTACCTACTGGAGACAAATGCATGGATAAGAATCTCTAATGCTGCTTTCAGACCGCCGACGCTGGAACGCTGAAGCCTCGCTCACCAGACGCACATTCTCTAGTTTTCAGACGCAGGGGACTTGACACCAGAAGTCCTGGCACGTGCCAAAGTGGCGGAAGTAGCCGGCGGCCTGATGCTAACAGAGTTATGCTAGCGGTTTCTCGTGTAAAGATCTTCTCCAATAATTCAGCTTTGCAACGTGTCTGTGTTCAGAGACCTTCCACGGACTTTATATAACAGCAGTATGTGTTCATGGAGGTGTGCAATAACTTTATTGATAAGATAAACGGTATTTCCGCATCGGCAAACACGCTCGAAGCAGTTGCAGAAGGTCACGGGAGCATGACAACGCATATATTCACAAGCACAGAGTCCCCCATTGTCAACCCTGGTTTAGTCCTGATGTAGCTCCTGTTTTGGCTGTTTACGAGTATGTTCAGTCTGCTCGCTCAGACCGCTTCTGTCCCCGTGACCACTTTGCAGCTCTCTGATTGGTCGCGGCGCAAAATTCATCTTCTGCGTGCGTCGATTTTCCACTCCTGCACCTCCCCTTTGACTTCGCCGCGCAGTCCGTGCGTCTCTACTGAGCAGTCCGTGCATGCATTCCGAGACGCACATGCATTTTGACGCTCTAACACGCATCACCATTGACTTTGCATTGAAAGCCGGCACGGCATAAGTCTGCTTTAGACACTATGTTTTTGATCCTGGCAATGTTTTTTAGGTGGTAAAAAGTTGCTGATGTCACTGATTTGATGTGGCTATTAAAGGCGCTATACCTGTTTCTGCAATGTTTGAATGTTTAGCACCGCCCCCCAACTCGCTCAATGGCTTCTCATTTCCCCTACGCTCTCATCCCACGGAGCCACCTAGTTTTATTTGCGATCTGATATGTATGCTAACATTAGCATTAGTGCAACTTCTTGTAAGCTGTACAACAATCACTGATTAAATGGCACTAAAGAAACGCACTGCTAACACAATATATAAGTAAAAGAATCCCACTAGTTTCGAGTCCGAATGTATTCATTTAAAACATTAGAATATATTCTAATATTTAATTATTTGTTATAGAGCTCCTCAAAGCAGCAGCACTCCATTGACTTGAATGCAATTCTTCCGATCATTTTTTCTTGATAATAGAACTCTCAAACCAATAATGACCGCAGCCCCAATGCAATCTGTTTGTAATTCAGGTGTGTAAAATACTGCCGTTACTTTGCAAGTACAACAAGCTATCAGCGCCTGTCACTACATTGTGCAGTTTTTCTGCACACTTGTCTGTGTAGAGAAGCTAGCGGAGCTAGCCACGTAGGCCTGTCACGATAACAAATTTTGCTGGACGATTAATTGTCTCAGAAATTATTGCGATAAGCGATTATATTGCCGTTCTGAGATCATTTGCATCGATTACAATGATAATGCAGGTACACCTTTTCAAAGAGAAATAAACTTTTATTTTTAACAAATATTTAACGCTAGAACACAATAAATTAACAAACAACCAAAAACAAATAAAATAGACTCAGTCTCTTAACAAAAAATGACCAGGAATAAAACTGCCAGACCTTTGTAAAGAAAATATGAAACAGATGCCTCAAATGTCAATATTTCTCAGACTTTAAGATTACGAGAAAGAAATCAACATGTTGACAGCTTAAGAAGTCTCTCAGAGTAGTCCCACCTCCCCAAACACCAGAATGACAAGTGACTGGACCAATGGGGCGTACAGAAGTTTGCTGCGGTACGCCCCACCGGAAGTAGGGGGCGGGCTTTTATGCTAACAGCTAAGCTAGCGGGTTTTTTGTGTAAATTCGAATGCTAAGTCTGCAGCATCTCTGTGTTCAGAGACCTTCTAGAGCAGGGGTGCCAACCCGCGGCTCGTGAGCCGCATGCGGCTCTTTGGCTGGTTCCGTGCGGCTCTCGGGCTTTCAACGACAACTAAAAACGCCTCGGTGGTGGTGCTGCCTTTCATTCTCTACATAGTAAAGGCGGACTCCACTCCACTAGCCAGGCCGCCAAAACAATCTGACGTCGGCGAACGTCAATTCTGATTGGTCAGATGCGCTCTGTCTCTCAGCCTCATGTTGCAAATATCATAACAAACAACACGTTGCCTCGACCCATGACGTCCGTACGGAAAACAGTTCCTTGGTCGGTGGATCAGGGCAACACCTTCCTCAGTTTGAAGAGAGGACACCAGCCTGATCTAGCTGGTTCCACCAGAAACCAGAAGGTGTTTGTGGAGCTAGCGCTAAGGACGGAGCAGAATGATTCCCACGAACATGACAATGCAGAGTGTTAAAAAGCTGACAACCGTGAAAGATCACAGCAGCAGAAGTAGAGGCTAACCGAAAAGTCTGGAGGTGGTTTGCCAAATGGATTAAATTTACGGACATCGGCTAACACCGGCTAACATGCTAAAACCAGAACAACAACTAGCATTACACCAGGAGATAAAGCCACTCTGCCTGGTGAGTGTGTGTCTTCAATCAAATGCAAAAGTATCTGATACTGAGCATGTGTCTGTGGTTCTGAATCAGCTAAACAAATCTATATCTTTTGCTAAACGCAGTCAGCGAGTGAATCATGGTTCGATAAAGACAGTTGTGTTTCTGTGAATACTGGTTTGAAACTTGCTTTTTTCATTGCGGAATCATAATTGATGTTCGCTGACGTGATATTGTTCTGGTATCAACTCGCCCGGTTAGAACCAGGCCAAACCATTAATAAAAAGTACCGGGGAGCGGTTAAAGCGAGCGGTGGAAGCGCCTGCAAACCGGGGAGAGTCGAGTCCAGCCCTTTAGTACTGTACGAAGCAATTTCTGTCATTATCATGTTGATGACATTTACAATAAATCTGTCTGAGCAGCGGTGTGTGTGTGTGTGCACGCGCGTGTGTGCGTGTGTAAGGGGTGGGGTGATGTTTATGTAGTGCACATTTGTATGATGTGGCTCTTTGCTGTAACACAGCAAAAAAATTGGCTCTTAGTCTGTGACTGGTTGGCCACCCCTGTTCTAGAGACTTTATATAACAGCAGTATGTGTTCACGGAGGTGCGCCATAAGTTTATTTTATTGGTACGGTACTTCTGCATCGGCGAACACGCTAACGCTAGCTGCGCTAGTATAGTCACTAATCAAGCCTGAATGAGAACTCAGCTGCCGGCATATGTTCACAACTACTGTGTCCCCCATTGTCAATCCTGGTTAAGTCCTGGTTTAGGTCCTGTTTTGGCTGTATTTTGTATTTTTGAGTAATTTCCGTCTGCTTGCTAGACCGCTAATGTTCCCGTGACCACTTTGCGGCTCTCTGACCCGAGAGAGACGGGGGAAACAAACAAGCATGCAAATGGGATTTATCGCGGCCAGAAAAGTTATTGAGCAAATTTTATTTATCGTGCGATTAATTGATTTATTGACTATCGCGACAGGCCTATAGCCACGCTCAATAAACAAATACATATCAATCAGTCAACACCATTAAATGTTAATCGGACAATACAGTATACATATACATCCTTAACACACATGCACGGACGATTTCAGAATTTGCTGTTAACGTTTTCATGACAAAAATACGGTTTTAAAGTGACAAAAAGCGATTGCAAAAACCCAGAAGTTACCATAAACAGCTAGCTAGCTTAGCTGTTACCTGCCTAGCACGTCCCGGTGAAACCTTTGGGAGCTAACTATTTTATTTGCAGTCATTAAATACATTTCGAATTATAAGGGTTGTCTAATATTTGTTCAAATATGTATATATTTTTTATTTTAGAATTATATTCGAATTTTGAAGTCGAAGCCCTGGTGTTAAGCAGCGCTGTAGGGGCTAGAGGACGCAGGCTGGTCGCTGCTCGTTCTGTGAGTGGAGGAGAACGAGCGTCCCGCTCAGACTCTACTCAGCACTTTTCACTGCTCGTAATTCTTACACAGCTGAATCAATGACCTCAAGTTTTCAATTAAATGATGTATTATGATACAACTTGTATGTAGTAAAAAGCATTTTTATGAACTACTCAGAAAAAAAATTGGGTATAGCTTCTTTAAAATTTAACAGTCCAGTATTACCCCTAGATTTCTGACCTGGTTTGAAGGTGTTATGAATTGCGGATGACCGCCAGAGGGCGGTGCATAGCACTGAATGTTCCCTGCGCATGCGCAAGGGATGAAATAGAACTCCATATACTCCTGCCAATGGACACAGGCCGTTGACTTGCATGAACAGACATCTAAATCTAAATCCGCAGGCAGAAGGAAACTGATTGGACGCCAATGGACTTCAACAATCAGCCCTGGAGCCCTGACCAGTTTGCGCTAAAACTTGGACATTGTTATAGAAAGCAGACGGTTGCTTTGTAGAAGTGTGACCTCTGACCTCTGTGTCTCAGGTACGCCGGCCGAGGTCCCGCCGCCGCTCCAGCCACAGGGAACAAGAACACTCACCTTACGGAGCTGCGCCGCTTCTTGGACGACGCCTTTGACCTGGAGACTCTGGGGATGTTCTGAACCGGACTGGCCCGGCTGTTACACGCACACAGGACACTCTGACCTGGCCATCACCGCAGGGCTGCACCACACAACCACAACACAAGGCCATCACGCAGGCGATGTTAATGAAGGTAGAACAAAATGAGCTGATTTTCCTTTTCAGCCTTAGCCTCTTGTTCACTTTTAATTTGACTGATTTAAGGCTTTATTGGCCTGTACATCATTTGAGAAAAGGGGAAGTGTATTTAAAATGGACTATTTGGAGATTTTTACCATAATTGTGTAATATAAGCGAATACTACGTTTAGGCTTCATTGCAACAAATTGTGGACATAACAGAAAACACGTGTGACAAAATGCCTGGGTGAATTGGAGATGGAGATACAAATGTGCAGTACGTTAGAGCACTGGTGATATGAATTTAAAGTAACAAAATGGTATAAATCTCTGAACAACACATGCGTCATTTTTCCAATATTGTGCAGCCCCTTTTTAATTTGTTTTGTATATTATTTTCGAATATGTGGTGAAAATAAAAGGTTTAAATGACACGTGGAGATATGAAGTGAAGTTAATAGCGAAAAAACCAGATCAAGAAAGTTTTTAATGCACAAAAGTAAGACACAAATTGAATGGTGAAGTTATGAACATATTTTTAAAGTTTTAAAACTCCTTGTTTTAAGCGTCCAGGTCAGAGTTCATCCCGTGGTCAGAAAACTCCATTTTAATTGTATTCTTTCGCTCAGACTTTTTGTGGCTCTAGATTAAAGAGATTATATGAATATTTACTCTCAAAAAGCTTTTTGTTGGCACATCCGACAAGGACAGAGCGGCACGGGACCATTCCGCGCTTACTTTTAGGGTTTAGAATCATTTATGAAGTTTGAAATACTTTTTAAGATAAGGTGCTTGTTCTGCTTCTGTGGGTCGTCTTAAAAGTTACATTTGCAATCATTAAATTTTTAGATATTGGTGAATGGGAGGAATCAGCTGTAAGAATCAGAGCTGAACTACTGTGCGCTTGTTGAAACACACGGCTGTAAATGTGATGTGTTTTTTTAGCCGGTGGAAAGGTCCCGTGCTCGTCTGACCGCTGCACTGCTGTTTTAAACCCGGTGCCAAACCACGAGTCAAATCCACTATTTATTTTCATAACCAGGGAATCTTCTGTCGCTGCAGAGAATGAATAAAAATGTATTTACTCCTGTGGGCTGCTGACTTTTATTTCAATGTTTTACACTGCAATATTAAATCCTCATTACATTATTCTGTCAACCTGGCCTTGGGGATGGTTTGTTTTACACAAAGAAAACAATTGATACACATCACTGTGGTAATAATGCATTAGTTTTATTTAGCACTTCAGGACAGACGCTTCACATGTCATTCTTTCACTCCATACACAGTGGAGATAAACTACTACTGTAGCCACAGCTGCCCTGGGACAAACTGACAGAGGCGAGGTAACCAGTCTGTGCCGTTGACACACACACCAGACTCATTTTAGGCAATGTGGGTGAAGTGTCTTGCCTAAGGAAACTTCTTCCTTTGGGTTTTATGGCGGTTGGCAGCCAACTAGTGGAGCATTACCGCCACCTTCTGTTACTGAGTGGGTCAGACAAGCTCACAATCTAAAACCCAAACCATAGACTGAGTCTATGGTCCCAACAAGGGAGGGGGAATAATTGCCTAAGGACACTGACAGCTTGGCACTTTATAGCCACCCCACTGTGGCACCTGGTGTTCCCAGAAGTCTCCCATCACAACAGTAAGTCCAAGTCCAGCACAGCTTCAGAGGTATGACAGGATCTAGCTTTCGCATGCAGGTATGATTGCGATGATTGGTGATGAAGGTAAAGGATCCATGCTGACCAGTCTTACAGCCGCAGGGGCACAAAGGACAAATACAAACTTTCCCCACAAAAGTTTCCCCTTTTCTTGATTTGAATCATTTGAAGATTTGTCAAAGAAACATCTTTGTTTCAGATGGCAGATACATTTCCTGACTCATAATAGATTAACTGAAACAATGTTAATTTTATATATATTTACAACCCTTTTTTCCTCGTAATAAAAATTAATTTTCTGTGTGTGAATTGTCCCATATGCAATTTTCTTAAGATTAACCCTGAACAAAAGTAATACTTTAAAACGTCGAAAGTTAATGTTGGTCAGGAAAAAAAAGTGAATAGTGAAAATTGTGCTTTGTTGGACTGGAGCCAATGTTTGTGGATTTGTACGACTTAAAGAACAATCAAGAAGGAGGGAGTCTTTTAATATAGATATTTCATTTATTAATATTCATTTTCTCAGACATCTCTCAGCGTCTTTAAAAAACCGTGAATAGAGGCACAGCTCAAATAAAGTGCAGCGTCCAGAAAGAATAAATATCTCACTGCTCTGCGTTTAGAGGCTCAACGGAAACTGATTCTCATGGACTTCAGGAGATTCACATAATTTAAACTTCATCTAAAAGCACTAAAGATTGTAAAATGTCAGGTTTCTTTGCAAGTTCTGGTTCAAATTTCATATTTTTACAAGTTGAATAGTTCATTGGGAATAAAATTAGTAGTTAAAAGTAGTTTTTGTGAAAAGCCAGATGTATTTTTGTGCAATACGGAAGGTTTCACCTTTATTTCACATTTACTGAAGATTGTAGCCAGAGGAAAACTACTTCAAATCTGTTTTGGCAAATGAACTCTTCGATTTCTCTTGAGCCACAAACGCAGTCAAAACAAACAATTATGTAAAGTTCAGTAACATTTGTTAAAAGGGTGGGTTTTATTTCATATGTGACAGACTTTTAAAGGCTTGAAGAAAAAAGCTAAAAACAAAACCGTGTGCGCGCTAATCAGGACCACGGTTAAAAGCAGGAATGTTAAAATAAGTAAAACCTGGCACAGACTGAAGCTTGAAATTCAAAAGACCGTAGGTTGTCATTTTGGCAGTTTTTTACCATTACAGCTTGGTTTGATGTTTTAAATGATTGAACTACAAAAAAAGTTTTTCTGCAAACTGTTATATTTCTTTATGGGAAACTATATGTTCTGAATACTGCCTGTAACAATATTCCAGATGGACCTTGAATCTCACAAACCTGCTTTTATCTGAATTCCGTTTAGTCCAGGAAAAAAAAAAAAAAGGTTTTGGGATCAACAAATCCCAATAGTATTTTTTTTCCACCAGCGTTGCGTGGCCACACAAAGTCCTAAGCCGTCCTGATTGGTTTCATTTTCAGCAATTCAAGACGTGAGCCAATACAGTCATCCAACTGCACCTGAATCATCATTTTCTACTCCAAACACAATGACACTTTATGTAACGCAATGAAAAGTAACATTTGAATATGCAAATGAGCTCAGCACTAACCAAATATAAGCCCAAAGAATTGTTATTCAAAGAAAACTTTGGCTACTTTGCAGGTTATGTTTCATTTTGATAAGAGTATAAGAAAAAAGGCTTTATGGGGCTTTAGGGCATATTTCACAAGCGTTACACTATTGTCAAAACTGAAATTTAGATTCTTTGAAATTCTGTTATATCGTGTTGGCTGTAACGGCACACGAATTGACGAAAATGTACATCTTAGGACTTTTTGTGTTGTTCCGGACACCCTATAGAAATGATCTATGGGGGAAAAAAAATACTATTACAATTTATTATGGGACCTAAAGCAGGTAATTTGCCTGGATCTTACAGAGAATGTCCCACACACTACGTTCACAACTCATAGCAGTCATTTAGTCAAACTTAAACCTGATTATGTGTAAAAGTGTGATAATATATTAGACGTTTCAGCGCTAAAATCCTAGAGACTCGTTTGCATTCATTTGGTTTGATGATAGAGCTGCTGTGTTCAAGCAGAAACGGCAAACTCTAATTAAATCTCACTATGAAGCGCCACGTTCGGAGACGCCGCAGGCAAAGATACGTCTCCGTGGAGAAGGTTCCGGAACGCACCTTTAGCGATGCCATAGGGAGACGGCAGTAACTACACTATGAGAAATAGTGGCTTCAAAGTATAAAAACTACAGGTGGACATGTTCTGTCGTCATAGGAACAGTGTGTCACATGACCGTGTCCTGGAGGAGGGGCTCAATGTCCTCCGTGTCGCTCACGGGCGTGGCCAGAGCAGAGACGTTTTGAGCGTGTGCGGCGGTGCCCGACTTTGCGGCGTCTGACAGTTTGTGGTTTTCAGGAATGAAGAAGGCAACACAGACGGCGACGAAAACCAAGCCCGATCCGATCAAGAACGGAGGCCCAGGGACCAGCGGGGTCTGAAAGGAACCAGAGACCAGGTTTAGACCAGGCAGCCATGAAGATTAAGAGATCTTTTATTCGTCCAACAGTGGGGAAATTTCAGTGTTGCATCACAAAAAAGTAGAAATAGGAGCACAAGATAAGTGAACAAGTCTATACTAAAATTAAATAAAATCTCTTAAGCATAATAAAGCCATTGTTTTATCACACATGATATTAAAAAGGGCAGAAACATTCAAATTCCAACGAGCTGAGAGTTTAACATGGTGGTAGAGTCGCTTTAAACAAGTAAAAACTCGAGCTAATTTCGGTCATTCGTGTCTAATACACATGGAACAAAACGTGTCAGAATACTCCACATCTTACTCAGTACATATCAACTATAGTCTAATTATTTATTCATAAAAAAGTGGTGACAATATTCAAAAAACATACATAATGTTGGCCAGTAGAGAAGACTCAGACATAAGCACATGTGTGCGGTGCGTGTGCGGTGCGTGTGCGGAGTGTGTGCGGTGCGTGTGCGGTGTGTGTGGAGAGAGTGTCACCTCTGGGGGGGGGCTCAGAGCCGGCTGCTCCACATCACTGAGTTCCACGTTAAACAGGAAGAAGATGAATCCGTACAAAGCAGGACCGAGGCCGTTACACAGCCCCCTGATGCCAGTGATCATGCCCTGCACCACGCCTGCAAAAGAGGAGGAGGAGAGTGTCACTGTAGTCCCATGAATATTCTCTTTTGTTGTTAAAATGCAGTAAACAAGAGAAAATGATGCTTTAAAATATGCCAAGTTAAATATTGTTCCACATCATGTAACAGTGTTCCACAGCTCAGAGCACTTTATTCTGCAGCTTTTTTCACTAAACTCATAAATGAACCAGAACAAGGAAAGCAGAGAGCTCCTGTGCTGAGAGCTGGGACTGTTCTTCCAGTCACCATTGTTTTCCTACATCAGGGAGGTTTTGGATTACTTTTATCCAAGTTTGATTATTCTGCTCAGCTCCTGTGGACTCACCACCTGCAGGAGGATCAGTGAGGGGCTGGTGCTCTGTGTACTGGGTGCAGCTCTGACTACCACCCCCCCGACCCAGAAATGGATTAAGGGGAAGAAAATGGATGGATGATTATTCTGATCAGATTCACTTTTGGCAAATTAAGATTTGCCAATAGCAATAATTAAACATTTTATTGAACTGAATTTTGCTCTGATTTCAATGCTTATAAAATGACACTCTACAATGCCACAGTAGCACATCACTTCCTACATCAATGCTGCAATCCAGGGCCCATTTGCTGACACCCCCAGAATACATACAGTAAACATGTGTTGAAGCTTGCATGTACAGCACTTAACATAACATGATGTGTTACTAGGGCTGCACAATATTTGAAATTAGAGCAATATTTGATATGGGTGTTTAGTATTTCAATAATAATAGTATAGCAATATATTTGTCTTTCACCTAAAAATGCCATCTGCATTGGACCGCAATAAAAGAAATGCACATTACTATTACATTCAAATGCAGTATGGCACATATTGACCCCAAATCTTGCCTGAAGTTGCTGATTCCATACACACAGTATTAACAGTAAGTGTGCACTTTGCTTTATATCGTGTAATGGCTGCAGTTAAAGCTTTGTGTCGCGTTGAAGTTTTCTCATGCCGAGCTACAGAAGCACAAATGTCATTAATGCTCATTTGCCTTTGGTTTGACCGGAGGCTGTGGAGTTTGAGATTGTAAATACACAACATAAAGTTCCTTGTGGTTGTGCTGGAGCTGTAGTAGTGACAGTTTTTCAGATTGACAATTTGTTTCTGTGATTGGACTTTTCTAGTAAATCTGAAGTAGTCCCAAATTCCGAAGGTAAAGTGTCTTTTGGGAACAAGTTCCTCTCTGCATTTGTCTCTTTAACATCTGCTTGTTTTGTTTCTCTGCGTGCTCCACTCTCCACACATATTTTTGAATGGATAGTGCACGTACCAATATCGCAATAACCATATTTTTCTAATATATCGTGCAGCTCTAGTATTAACCATGAGTCCCGAATCCTGGTGTAGTGCATTTACCTTGTTGCTCTGCAGAGGCGCAGTGTGAGACCAGGGCAGACACGGCAGGAAACGTGATGGAGGAGAGCGCCGCGATGGTCCCCGCGGCCCAGATCATCCTGACAATACAAAGTACCTTCTCATGTACAAATACACACAGGAACAGGCTCGGATCCTCAAACTGAGAAGTTCAGATGCAGGCTCAGACTGATCCAGTTAGCTCGGCCTATACCTGAAGGATTTACTCTGCTCTTCAGGTATTAAAGCTGGGGTTCCTACCTTTATCTTTTTTTAAAATGCAATAATAGATTGATTGTCACAACAGAAAGGGTTTTGCATGTGGTCTTCATATTATTAGAAAACATGTGATTTTTTTCAAAAATAGTGAGAATGTTTGTGGTTTGAAAGTTGGCAATCCTAGGTTTAACGCACTGGGATTACTTACTATGTATTGTACTCATTTCAGAATTATAATGTTTGCTTCGTTTAGTAAAGCACTTTGAGTCACCTTGTGTATGGATTGTGCTATACAAATAAAAAATGCCTCGCCGCAGCAGATTTAAGCACTTTTCTCATGGCTCTAAATCAGCAGAAATTTTTTATCTGTCACAGCATCCATTCTGTCAGATAACACCAGACTGTTGATAAAACGTGTTTGATTCACTGGAAAATAATGAGTGAGTGAGAGAGACTGACCAGGGCTGAGAGCCGACGCCGTACCAGATCAACTGAATGATCTGAAAGAACAAACCCAGAAGAACGGTCTTCTTGTTCCCTATGGTCCTCATCAGAACGCTCAGCAGCACCGTCTGTGGGCAGAGAGGGAACTGCATAAGGTCTTAATGTGAGCTATGTTCATCTGAAAAGGGTATTGCTAGCATAGAGGCAAGCCACCTGTGTGCTGCAGACTGAATTCACGTAACCAACACAGACCACAATGGTAACCAACACAGCTCATCCTCAGCTGACAGAAAACCTACAGCTTCCTCAAAAGGTCTCATTTTGTGGGTTAGGGTCTTCTTTGTCATCATTCACTTTTTTTCTTTTGAAATTAGAGCTAGCCCTGTTCGAGCCAGCTGTAATTGGCCCCTTCCGCATTGAGGTAAAACACTATGGGTGACATCAGTCCACTGCATGAGAGCAACGTGAGCGAGCGCCGCCGCCCACGGTGAGAGCTGATTGGTCAGAACCCTAATGTGTCTCGCAGAAGTAGAACACTGGGCACCTTCTGCGCACGAGCCTGAGACCACAAAAGCGTCTCTTCCATGAATACTTCAGCCTCCATCATGCAAGTATACACCAATGAGCCACTGATTTGAATGGGCCACCATCTTTGATCACAGGTGCTTGGTTTCTCCCCATAGTCTAAAATAGGATCAGTAAACTACCTATATGACATTTCATCCTTCAATAATCCATTCAGAAAAATTATCCAAATAAATAGTGATTAACTGAATCAAACATGTGGAAGAGTTTTTCTTCAGAGAAATGCTGAGAAGATTGGTACTCCCACCTCTCCATACCACTCCATGTCTAAATGGTATTATTTTCCCACATTGTCAGGAGTGCGTTTGTTACCTGAGCGATGATGGAGAGGATGCCCACCATGGCGATGAAGGCAGCGATGGCAGCCGGAGTGAAATGAATCTCCTGAAAAGCAGCAGACGAGGCCGTGTAAAGCAGCTGTTGGGGAGTTTCTCAGTCCATGTGTGCAGAATGTAAAGTGAAATTAACCTGTTTGAGGTAGAGGAAGAAGCTGGAGTACTGTCCGGCCTCGGGGAGATAGGAGAGGAACACTGTGACGCAGATGAGCAGCACGGTGGGGTCCTGTCCCACGCGCCGCAGCGACTGAGGAGAGACGGGAATGTGACTGTTGTGGCTTCACAGACTCTGCCAAGTGGATCCTGTCTTTCTCTCAAAGCACTCGCAAGCAAACAACAGAAGTGTAACGTTTGTCTGAATATTTGAAAAATGCCGGTTCACAGAATTGATTTTTTTTTTAAGCGCTTTGTGTGACCTTGATCTGTGAAATGTGCTGTATAAATAAAGATGACTTACCGACAGACAACCATGTGGTGGTATGGAAATGTGTCATCACTTGAGTTAATGATGTGGTCGGATTAATTTAACCACAGCTTGAGCAGTTTTACAAAAAATAACATAAATGGGCAAAATTCTCTCGAGTTGCACAAAATTGGTGACCTTTGAATAACATTCTGTAACTGTAGTCGTGAGGGCTCCAATATGAAGTTTAATAAATCCTTTGTTATGATTTTACTTCACACTGATCTGCCTCAAGAAAAATCTGTTTGTAGCATGACAAAAATTCCAATGGTATGAATACTTATGCAGCAGTGGTTTGTGATTTGGCTTCAGTCGAACAGCGGTGTGTAAATGTAACTCACGTTAAAGGGGTCGGCCTGCTGCCAGGAGAACTCTGTGGACCGGATCTTCTCCGGGAGAGACTCCGGCACAAGGAAGAAGACAAAGGCGATGTCGAGCACTGCGATAACCGTGGCGACCAGCACCACAACACTGTCGTCGAAACGTTGAGAGAGGAACGCCCCGATGGCCGGAGACGTGACGAGGGACGCGGCGAACGTGGCCGACACCTACAACACACACAAGGTGCTTCTAGTTTACATTACATTAGTGGTTTTTTATTTCATAGTTATCCATTCAGAATTAACACACACTGGAACAACACTGAACTTATTTTACTGAATGGTTTTAACTCAAGATTGAGAGCACTTGAGATTTCCTCTTTCACACGTAACTTCTTATAATCTGTAATTGTATTAAATTATGTGTAACTGATTTTATAATCCGTAATTGTATGGATCTGTACATTTTGCTGCCCCTTGTCCAGGACTCCTTTGAAAAAGAGGGTCTTAATCTCCATGGGACTATCCTGGTTAAATAAAAAATAGAAAAAAAAAACCCAGATGCCAAAATGAACTAAAATCGACCAACCCACTGGGCCCGAAATGGGGCTGGAGCCGAGACTCACATCACATGATCCACAACACATGACTGGTCTTTAACCGAGTTTTGAAGGAACTCTCCATAGTTATCCATTCAACTCCAAATGAGGTGAAAGTAGATGATTGAATTACCAGAAGAATAACTGTAGAAAAACTTTTTGCGTTAGAAGTAACATATTACCTACCATTAGATGAAAAAACAAAAACATTTCCATAGACTCAAATGTGTGTATGTATATGTAGGGTTATGTAAGTGTGTGTGTGTATGTATGGTTATGTATGTGTGTGTGTATGTATGGTTATGTATGTATGTGTGTATGTATGGTTATGTATGTGTGTGTATGTACAAGGTGAATTTAGGTGTATGGAGTTGGAGCTTATAAGTTTGACTACGAATCCCTTAAATGTATTTTCATGTATGTATTATACTATGCGATTGCTGTAAATTTCATCATCGACTCCCGTTTATAAACTTGAAATCAAAGCACACAGGCCAAACACATAGATAACAGAACAGAGCAGAGCAGACAAAAGAATGCCATATCACATCAAAGCCATAAATAGATCAAACACAGATATTACTCTGAACAGAATGAAGAAGGTTCCCACCGATGTCGTGTCATGTCAGCGAGCCCTAAATTCCAAATGCACACGTTACTCCTGCTGCTATAGTCTGCATTGCTTGAGATTATATTATACTTATTCATGGGTTAAAGTTGAAAAAATTCCTGAGCCTGAACCATCTATATGAATCATAGAATGATCACTAATAAGCGTTTTTTATAAGCGCCTTTATACGCTTATACATATAATTTATATCTATTTAATGCCAACAACTGATGTTTATTATAAACATCAGTTGTTGGCAATAAATACATCATCCAGGGGTTAAAGCAAAAAAAAAAAAAGATTTGACTGAAAATTTTCTCATGGAAATATAATGAATTACAGATCAAACGAATTCTTCAAAGATATAAATTTAAACTGGTGTATTTTGATGTGAAATTACAACCAGTGGATCAAGCAACTTGTCAACTCTTTGACAGAATATTAGTGAGAGTAGTTCATCTGCATCATTGGCTTTACTTGAGGCGAGATGAGGCGTTGTCCTTTGGCTCTGTCCTCGTCAAAATATCGCAAAAGGACATTCAAAATTCTGTCCACATTTGTTTGTGGACACTCAATGTTTAAGAAAAAGGTTTCCCTATCAACTTGGTGCTAGTGCACAGCACAGTTTGATCAACTGCAAATGATTAATGATAATTAAATCTACCAGCGGTAGTGATGGTTCTGAACGACAGGTTATTTTCTGCGATAAAGCCACAGATAGTTTTAGGTCACAGACACAGTCCACCAGAGCAAGCCTAGTCTCAGTTGTCGCTGAATCTGATGCACCAGGTAAAGAAGTGTGGGAAAGTGCACGGACAGCTGCCAAGTGCGCAGTTTTGAGCTGGTGGTGAATCCAAAGCTGTTTGATTTGTTTTCTCATTACTCCCATATAAAAAAATAATAATAGCGAAGTACGAACAAGCACCGGACACCTTCATCTTTTTGCACCATGAAGCAACAGAATCCCATCGTCTCCACCTCATCCAGCCATGCCCACCTCCATTTATTTTTCACTCCGTTATCAACAGCAACTTATACAGCTCCTTCTTCCATAAACAACGATCCATGATTGTGATTGTGCAGTGCGTGCATGCTAGGCTAGCTTTGATGAATGAATATAAGACCTGCTAACACACACCTTTCTTCAGCGAGTTTCTTCCGTTCGCTCTCGTTGATTGGCTCTTTTTATCACGCAGTTTTGCATGCGGATCGCCACCAAGATATTATCAAAAGCTCACCAAGACATGCTTGTCCCCATTCCCAGTCACAGCAAAGTACATATTGTACATTCCGTTAAATAAAAAAGCATTGCGTTTGGTAAACGTTAATTATGTCCTACCTTTCCTCTGATAACGCGCCCAGTTTACCGGTCCGCGGGCTGCTGGCTGTTATTGCTCCGTTCGGGATTACATTTTCCTTGTCCTCTTCTCCTTTTCAAAAGCTCCGTGCACTTTTCAGAAACTTTCACCTCCGTGTTACCAATGCTAACTTGGCTACGTCCCATTGCCTTGAATCATTTACGGAGCGCTCATGTAGCTAGCCACGGCACGTTCAAGGCCCACTCGTTACTTTTTATTTCTATATACATATAAATACAATTATATTCAAATTATTAATATATATCTAGATATATACAAAAGATTCACACGTATTACTATATATTTTGTTATAATTAACCATTTCATTGTGTGTATTATATTATTATTATATATTTTGTTTTTTTTTCAGACCAATTTCATTTGACGGAAATCCGTCACTTAGACGGAACTCTTTAATCCCTGCGCTATACACATGCAATCCTTTCATACAATTGGTAGAACACACTTGAACCTTTTTTCAAATGACAGCAATCATTATTTATTTATATATATATAAAAAAAAAAAAAAAAAAAAAGTGATGTTTTTTTTTTTTTTTTCTCACGCCGGATTTCCGGCACGGTGCCGGAAAACTTTAAGCCCTGCTTATTTGCTTAGAGCCAATGAGAGTCTCTGCTTCTGTCTAATGCGATTCACAGGAACAAGGTGCAGCACATGCAGGTAATATTGCAGATACCCCCAGAGGACAAAGTGACCGATCCTGTTACTCGTGACGGACCAAACTGTCATTCGTTAAAGGATGTTACTGTCCCCACTGCTTAGATCTGTGTAAATTCAACACGAGAGACACACATAAGGATTAAAAAGTGGCACTGACCAGACCGTAGGCTGTGCTCCTCTCATGTTCCTCTGTGATGTCGGCTACATACGCAAAGATCACTGAGAACGTGACAGAGAAGATCCCAGACACAGAGATCAGGGCAAAGTACCACCTGGAAACACAAACAGAAGACTCATTAAAACAAGAACAGGACAAACACATGCTGTCGGGCGAGATCCAAACATGTTTTGAGCTGAAAGGTGCTCTTTGATGGGTGATCATACAATATGTAACTGATAAAAGAATTTAAATCTGTAGATCGGGTCTTTAGTTTAAAAACCAGAAGCTCAATTATATCCGCAATTAGTTCCAGTCTGTGAAAATAACGTGTAAAAAGGCAATGAATTCAACTTTATTACAGACTCTACGTCCAATGAAAGAGTAGCACGTTATATACAGCATGTAACGCTGCATGTGCTTTCAAATACAGTTGATCAGAAAGGGTTAATGCAATTCCCTGGTACAAAGTCACATGTGAATCACGAGCTCAAGTAGAAACGAGCTGTGATAGACCAACATTATCCCAGATACAGACTTGGAAGAGTTTTATCAACACTCTTTGGGTTACACACTTCCTGTCACTGATCTCATTTTGTTCTATTTCATGCACAAAACAACAAAATCTTCATCAACACTTATATTCATGACACATTTATTGTCCTCTGTATTTAAAATCAGAAGCTCAGAGGAATGATCCAAAATGATGTGAGAATAAAACCAAAAAATTGATTAGATTATAGCACTTTCCAATAATCATATCGTAACTGCAGGACTATAGGCCACTACTCTTTTCTAGTTCTTTGAACCTTGCGGCTTGTAAAGCGAAGCGGCCAATGTGTGTATGTCCATTGTTAGGGTTGGTCTGTTGTCAGGGCAGAGTTTATGTACTTTTGACGCCATAAAGTTTTAGTAGTTATAGGACACTTGTTGCAGCTTATTCTAAAGCCTGTATGTGGACAAAATGTGCTTTTTTTAAATGTTGCTGGTGCTGCTTAAATACAGGTTAAAAAAAAATAGGACTTTCCTGATTAGTCAGTCTCAACTTTTATAATAATAATGGCCAATTAACTAAATAAATTAAACCGTCATGGGGAGAACATGCAAATCAAACTGAGCACCACTCAGTTCACAGTTTTATGGACAGAATTGCAACTCTGCAGTTTGCAGGTTTTTCTGTTCATCAAAGCAGGACTTCCAACAGGCGCCACATTAAGTTCTGTTCCAAACGACTGGAGCAGTGACAAGTGCCTCAACAGTTGCTTCAAGTCAAGTCCGCTCTGATGCAGAACACAGGTCACCCGGACAACACACCACACAACTTTAGTTGTTAAACCTGCACATTGATGTCCTGTGATATGACTACGGGCTTTCTTTGTGAAGGGACGTCTTTCATTGTGACTGGGTTCTGTTCTAAAGGTCTGAGCGCTAGTGATATTGGGGAGGAATGAGTGGAAGTGGAGTAGGAGAAGAGAAACAGGTTCTCTGCATGCCTGAGAACGTCTCGAGATTCTCCCGAATGAGTGACAAAAGTGGAGGAAATGGATGGATGGCTGAACAGCTCGTAGCAGTGTTTTACCAGGGGTTGAGTCTCATGAAGGGGATGGGCGCGCACGTGAAGAACACTGTGATCAGCAGAAAGGACTTTCTGCCCCAGATGTCGGACAGGGCTCCGATCAGAGGCGCAGAGAGGAATGACAGGAAACCCTGAAGTGATCACAGAATTACAGTCAAAACCCTGAAGAGAACACAGTATACAGTCCTGCGAAATGAAGTCACACATGGACATGTGGAGCTCACCTTCACGCCTTGGATCAGTCCGTTCATGAGGAACATGTGCTGCAGGAACGTCTCATTGAGAACCTGAAAGAAGCGGGAGACAATATAACATGCAAACCATGACCAAATGATCATACTTTCTCTGAAAGCATTGAAAAGCCTTTCTCATCAGAGGTTTCTCATCAGAGCCCACCTTAGAATAATCTAGTTTACAGCTGTTGGTGTTAGGGTTCTACGTTATACAAATATTTCTCATGCTTTGAACAAACACGGTACAGGGATTAATCATACATGCATCTGTCCACTTTCCTGCATAAGTTATTCTTATTTGAATAACTCTTAATTTATATAAACTGTCAAAAAATTAAAACTACTCAGGTCCAACTAAGAATTTGGTGAGAATAGATCAAAAACAACTTAAATCCACCTCTGTGAACAGAGTGAATAATTAAGCCATATGACCATATGAGCCATAGCATCATCATCATCATTCATAGCGTTTACATTTCAATTTTTGCAGTGAATCAAAATTAATAATTTCCATTTTTCAAATGGAACGCTCTTCAAGTTATTTTTTTCTAAATTAGACTTTAAAAACAAGAAATCACAAATTCGATATTTTGCCCAAACTACTTTTGCCCAACTAGTGCTCTTTCGCACTGTTTTGTGTTTGTTTTTTGGCTCCTCAAAATAAACAAAAAACTGGACACAAAAAGATCACAGACCGTGAGCATGGGCGTGGTCAGGAGGCCCCAGGCAAAGAACTCCAAGAAGATGACGATGACGGCGTGAGTCACTGTGGCTCGGCCCCGCTGGAAACACATGGAACGTTATACACAGGATTTATTTGAGTTTAGATCAGGCGAAAGAGTGATGTTTAAATTAACTTAAACATCACCTGTAAAGTTACAGAATCACCACCAAATAAAGAAATGTATAAATAACAAATACTTTCACAATATTTTTGATAACAAGAGACCTGTATTCTAAAATTGCTTTTTGTTTGAGAAAGACATGCAAACTTATTTATGACGGCAATATATAAAAGGTCACTTTTAGGCTCTACATGTTTAATCCTAGTGCTATCCTAGGGTCAAAATACTCTAAATTATAGTCTAAAAGGGACTAAATGACCCAGGGCTGGTCAAGCTAAGGAAACTCATTAAAATTCAACATGATTTTTTATTTTTTTAACGGTATTTTTTTAAATCTCTGTGGCGGGTGAATTTGACCCGAGTAAAGCACAAGGGTTATATAAACAGAGACATATAATGATAATAACCGGACACCTGCATTCAGGCTTGTGCAGTGTCAGGCCAGAGGCTGCTGCAGCAAGGGTGAAATACAAGACCAGAGGTTAGCATCTTTCTTAGTCACTGTATTTAGTTCCCAGAATAATGAGAAAGGCTGCCAAAACATGTAGATTTAAGGATTAATCTGTAAATCAGTGCAACATTTATTCAGTAACTTTTTTTATTAATTCTGGCACTTAAAAAAAGGTATATAGGAGGATTTTACCACGTTTTAGGAAAGAACCGCCTCTGCACTTTTTTAACAAAACTCTCTGGTCTTATTTGACGAGCACGTATCACCAGTATTTGATAAACCTATATACTTCTATGGATGTGTAGAGAAGTATATAGGTTTATCACCTACACACTCATAACCATGCAAATATCGCGAGCTGGCATTTGTCATCTTAATAAACACAGAAAACCAATAAAGTTCAAAGTTTTTCCATGAAGTACAAGAGAAAAGAACAGCATTGAGACGCAAACTCATCTAATTTTGAGCTCACAAGAAAAAACTGAACATCGTGGCCGCAGGTGCTGGTGACGGGGCTTTAGGTTTCACTTGTCTGTATAGTCATCATAGACTGTATAATAGAGCTGTACGTTATCAGTCAGGGAGGGTTGCCTCTCTGGGGCATCGTGTCCGGGAAACACACCTGGATTAGTTTCTTTTTCTCAGAAGAAAAACTGAAAGCAGATGAATTCAGGAAGGTCTAATATTGTTTTTTTTTTTTTTTTAACATTAACAGCGCATTGAGATTATTTGAATGTTTTTAATTCATCAAATACTACACCCATAAATGGAGTTTCTAAAATAATTAGTATAAATTGTAATATTTTGTTGTTGAAAGCTATATCTCAAAAACCAAATTTTTATCATCCAAAAACCATCAAATAATATGTGCATTTGAAAAAACTGTTAGTAAGATTACATTATATAATTAATTTATTGTACTTTGGTCGGATGGATACAGTACAAGCTTTTTGCATCATGTATTTAATTTGTTTAAAAAATTGTTTAATCATTTAGCGGCAGTAGCTCAGTTGGTAGAGCTTTGGCCTTTGAGCCAGAAGGTCGTGGGTTCAAGCCCCGCTCAAGACTTTCACCATCGACTCCCACTGCCTGCTGTCGTTGTGTCCTTGGCAAGACACTTAACCTCTGGGAACATCAGCCACAGTGGGGCGGCTGCGGCTGTAAAGTGCCAAACTGCCGTTGTGTCCTTAGGCAAGACACTTCACCCCCATTGCCTAGAATGAGTCTGGTGTGTGTATGAATGGTTGGTGGTGGTCGGAGGGGCCGATGGCACAGACTGGTTGCCTCGCTTCTGTCAGTGTGCCCCAGGGCAGCTGTGGCTACAGTAGTAGTTTATCACCACCGTGTATGGAGTGAATGAATAATGACACATGTAAAGCGTCTTTGAGTGTCCAGAAAAGCGCTATATAAAACCGATGCATTATTATTATTATTATTATTTATTATCATTTATTAGTAGGTTGTCTTTAGCAATTTCTGTACCACTGGATTATAGAATGTCCATGTAAAAAATATGTTAAGGTATTAAATTATTACCAATATTTTATCAGTATTCAACACTATATATAATTTGACCAGTAGATACTTTGACTTGAACCCAGCAACTTGTTTGTTATGAGTTTTGTTACGCTAGTTTTGTGGATGTGGTGAAAATGTCGATAAACAGGTTATTAAATTATGTATTGCGTCATAAGTGTAATTACTAGTCTTATTATCTGAGGCATTGTCAACAATACAATAATGTTGACATTGGTGTTGTTCGTTGTAGCAAAACTTCTGATATTTATTTCAAAACTGGAGCTAACAGATGCTACATCCTTTAGCTGCTAATGTTTGTAGCATGATAGCTTGTTTAAAATGTAAATATGTGGCTGTGAGACGTGTCAAAAGTTTGTGGATGCGGATAGTTGAGATCTGAGTTCTGCCCCGGGATAATCTACATCTGGAGCTAGGCTAAGCTACAACTCACCGGGCGGCGGACCGACATGCTGAGGCCGGCCGTGGGAGCAGAATCCCCGCAGAGCATCTCACATGGTCCCGGTGGCTGGTGCTGACGGTGCTTCAGTACGGGCAGGGGCAGAAAGGGCGAGCAGAGGCGGGTGTGTCTGTGCTTCTGTGCCCGCTAACATTAGACCCCCTACAACCGGAGCACAGTCTGAAGCAGCGGGGAAGAGGAGGGACTGTGACCGGGAGAGAGGCACTTCCGCACGGGTCAGGCCGCAGGGATGTGCCGGGCGGGCGGAGCAACTAGAAAGTTTTAAAGGGGACATAAATTATTGTGGGTTTTGTCATTCTCTCACCCAAAGTTTCATTTAGACTTGTCCAAGAATGTAAAATATATAGCTGTAAGATGGACCGCTAACCCTAACCCAAAATGTATCAAGTTTATTCAATAATCAACTATTACTGATTAATTGTATACTATCCTCTCCATGGAGCAAGTGCGCGTATTTGAATGATTATTTTTGTACATACAATGAAAGAGTATTGTCAATTTGAATTGAATTAATTAGCAGAGAGATTTAACACTCCAATAGGAGTAAAATAATTAGGAAGATCAGGAGAAAGAAGTGATACTATTGGAGCTTGATGTGCTAAGTGTGAATTCTAACCCCGCCCGGCCATAGAGCTAGTCTTAGCATAGTCTTAAAATCTAACACCCTGTGTCTGCAAAAGGAATGTGGAAGTTTGTATGTGACCATCCGGAGGCCAGGCAGCAGTCTGGGAGCGTTAGTACAAATTATACCTCCATGACTGCTCTGTCAGTGAAAAACAAAAGTTTCCATCGAGGAAGGAGACAGAATTTATCAAATTAATTATAGATGGGACAAAAAAGTGGTTGTCATTGAATAGTTTACATTGGATTAAAATCAATAAACAGGACGTGGCGGGCGACAGTGGCGCAGTTGTTAGAGCATTGGCCCTTTGGGCCTGAAGGTCGTGGGTTTGATCCCCCAACGAGACCTACTCCAACTGTTCCCACTCATGTCGGCTGTCGTTGTGTCCGTGGGCAAGACACTTAACCCCATGTTGCCCGAAGTCCCTGCTGAAAGGCTGTTGTGGACCCACAACCTGCAGGAGGCTCAGCAAGGGGCTGGTGCCATGAGCATTGGGTGGCAGCTCTCATTGCCACCCCCCCAACCCTGAAATTGACTAATAAACAGGATATAAATAAATGAAGGAAATAGAACGTTTACTAAATATAGATATATTTTTGTTGTTATTATTATTATTCATTTCTTGTGAATTGTCTTAAATCTCTTTCCAATCTCCTAATTGGAAGTCTGTCATAACTACGGAACTCTTACTGTCCATAAAAAAATGCATTTGACACAATTTTGAAGGATTAAAGCTGGAGTACCTAATTTTTACTATACATATTGTTTGTCTCAGACAATAACATTCTGTCTTCATCTAAAATCTATATTGCATGTCCTGCAAGTCACCGAGTTGACTCTTTGGGCTGAAAAATTGATCCAAAGATGTGACCAGGGCCAGAAATTATGCATGTGAAAATTACTGATACAAGTTTTTTGAGAGCAAGGCATATATTTGTTACTATACATATCACATTCTTGTGGTTTGAAAATAAAGTACCTCTGATTTAACAGTCACTGCAGTCTACTCATGATGCAGACTCAGAGCCAAACAGCTTTTCCAAAACAGCAGCAAAAAGAGACAAAACACAGACAACCAAACTTCCTGTTTGGGATTTTAACAATAAAAGTAAGATGTAACAAAACATAAAGCTTTATTAAAGGAACCATGTGTAAGTCTCACATTTTCTGGATGATTAATTTGAAACATCTTTTTTTTCAGTTTTAATAATCCAAGTTATTATGAGTGGAGCTTCTTCCAGGATACGAGTCAGGGTTGTGATGCAGACACACCCACAGTGGCTTGTTTTAAAGACAAATAACCTGATTCTATAATATGATAATCTATGATCCTCGTGGCTATATGGCTTATAAAAAAGGTTTAGATTGAGCAAAAAGAAAAAAGTCACATATCTCCTGCTCATGTCCCCTGTTGTCAGCGTAGCAGTGAGTTGTGGCTCCGCTCCACTGTAGTAAGTAGTAGTAGTAAGTAAGTAATCTTTATTTATATACCGCCTTTTCACTGCACATCGGAGTCTCAAAGCGGTTTACAATTGTTATTTTTGGGAGCGGGGGTGCCAGTACAGGAGGAACATGCCAGACCTATTGTACATATTTTTAGTGGTAGGGGAAACCAGAGCACCCGGAGGAAACCTACGCAGACACGGGGAGAACATGCAAACTCCACTCAGAAAGGCCCTGGTCCAACCGGGATTCGAACCCAGGACCTTCTTGCTGAGAGGCGAGAGTGCTATCCACTCAGCCACCGTGCTGCCCTGCAGACTGTTGCAATGTAAATTATGTCATTTTTATTTGTATAACACATCCTACACAAGGCAACTCAACGTGATTAACAAAACAAGATAGGTTTGATTTTATGCAAATTCTGAGCTGACAAATGGCAGTCAGTGATCCGCTGTCGTCTCCTCTCTGCAACAGTGTACATAGAAAATGCTTGGGAGCTAGTCGTTCTCAAGACACTTACTTCTGTGTGAGCCGGGAATTAAAGCCTTGTATGCTAAGACGCTACAAAGTCCCACTCTTGTCCCTTGTAAGCCGCTCTGTTGGCAGAAGAAAAATTCTTATTGAAAAACCAAATATTACAGCAGTGCTACAAAAAATAGTTATTATAGTCGTTTTCAGTGCTAAAAGTACATTTCATAATTAGATTACTTTTTTTTTCCAATTAATTGATTATCTGTTTAGATCCAGAAAAGTCAGTGAATATGGGAGTTTTAATACATTTGACCATAACAAAGTGAGATCAAAAGATGCCTGGAGAGATGACTGACACATTGATTTGAATAAAGAATATTTTGTAACCCTCCATTTCATTCTGCAGTATTTATAGTGTCCTAAAACCTCTTCTCAGCATGCTTTAAGTGTGTAAAGTTCAATAAACGAATTGATTGCTAAATTAGTTGACAACAATTTGAATAAACATATATATATATATATATATATATATATATATATATATATATATATATATATATATATGAACTTATGAATATATGAAAGGATACCTAATACGGGCAGTTTTATCTATTATTATTATTATTTAAATGTATTAGTAAAAGTACATGCAATACATTAAAGTATAATTTTGACTCAGACAGACAGGTGACGTACCACCAACAGAAAGTACATACAGTTGCTTTAATATTACTTATCTATCGTGTCATCACATAATAGTGCTTTATTTCAATGTAACTGCAGTTAGTTACAGTCTATGTAATTACATGATGTAGTCTCACCTGAATGTGCCGTCAGTGTTTTCCGCATGGGTGTATTATAATAACGACATTTCCAGTGCAGTGCTTGCAGATCCACTCTCATCTCTCCTGTTTTATTGTGGAGGCGTGACTTCCGCGGGTCTGCAGCTCTGTGCTCGTTCCCCGCGGGTCTCTCCCGGGTCTCTGCGGTGCTGTGTCGGCCTGGTCCCCGCTGCGGAGCCTCTGATCGCCGCACGGTGAGTAACAGACCCCCCGCCGACCCTTTGGCAGGTCGTGACCGATGCATCCAGCCCGTCTGGCCCGATAGTCTCTGTTAGCTCTCCCGCTGTAGCTTCTGCAAAAGGCGGAGAAGGAATACAAGAGCGCGCGGGTTCTGAAGCTGTGGCGGCCATCTTGTGAGTTGAGGAAGCGCAAACTAAAAACATAATATACGAAACAAGGCTATTAATATACTTGATATGCCTGTTTAAAATTGACATATGCTGGTATATTTGTGTTCAATCAATGTTCAAGACTAGTTATTTGCATGTTGTTTATCCCATCAGTCTTGTAAAAGGGCAATCTTCATCTTCAGATGCATCTTAAGTATGTCCTCAGATTCACCTTTTTTGACTATTTGGGCTCAGCGATGTTTGGTTGAGTTAGGGGCGTCCTGTCTTTTTTCACTTTGTCTGAAAAAGCTGATCTAAAGATGTGTCAGAGGTCAATAAATAAGAGGGGGAGAAACTGCATTGAGGGCGAGGAACTCCATCAATTTTAGAGAATGTAGTTGCCCCAGCGTTAAAGGTATCATTTCCATTGGTGACAGTGGCAAAGTACAGTTTTGACCATTTCTTGTTGACATACTAAGTCCCTGTTTGTAGTTCTATCATGGCGATGGTCTCTCTAGCGCTCCGTGTAGTTCCCTGGCTGCAGGCTAACAACACGGCTAACTCCCGCTCCCTTTGTTCCGCGGCGCTTTCCCTCCGCTTCCCCAGCACGGTGCACGAAGCTGCGGGCGAGATACCCACGGGCGCCCGCTGCAGACCCACCCCCACGGAGCAGCATCCCCAGTGTGGTTAACGGGGTGCTGAACGGGGCTCGTCGGTAATTAGCTTTAATGAGAAACGTGACCTCTGCTGTTGCTGCATTCGCGGGCTGACAGTTGCACACCCACCTCCGCTGCACAGGTGAGCCGAGGCAAAACACTGGGGTTCACCGGCGATTCACCGAGCCCCAGGCCCAGCAACCAGGCCAGACCCAAGGTGGACAGGGGGACCATCATAGCGTCGTGATACATGCTCGTGTCAACAATAGAATCTTGAAATAAGCTTGGATTGATAAACCATAGTAATATTGCAGTAGCGGTTTTGAAGATAACCTGAGGGACGTCTGTATTTTTCTTTCTTTTGCAACCATGACTTAGGCCTACCTTTTTTTTTAAATTTTAGGGCTATAACAAGTACAGTTATTAATTACTATTAATCCATTAATTGTCAACCGATTTAGTAATCGATTAATCCTTTTTACATAGACTTAAACATGCTCCGAAGAGGTTTTATGGTTAAAATAAGTCTAAAATGACTGTACACACATTTTCATTTCATTTTGCAAAGTATTCTAATCAAACGACCCCGCGTGTATGAAGATGTTCTCCAGGGGCGTCCCATATTCCTTATGGGTCCTACATTTTTTATATATCAAGGACTAAGCAAGAGGATCCCAAAAAGACGTGTTTTTCATTGTAACAATATATAGACCTGTCAAAATAATTGCTATATTGGTTATTATATTGTATATTCAATTAATGATAAAAATCAATTAATCAAAGTTTATTTGTAGAGCGCCTTTCATACACAGGGCAACACAAAGCGCTTCACAGTCCACATCACAAATCATCACATAAAACAAACACCAGAATCACAATTAAAACATTAAAATCACACAAAAGATTAAAACCATTAAAACTTTCAAAATTACACAAGAAATTTAAAAAAATAAATAAAGAGATTAGAAATGGAGATAAAATCCTTCAGTTGTATGCACAGGAACAATAACAATTCATTGTTGTCAAAAGGAACAACACATTTTGGGGATTGATATTTATCGTCTATATAATTTCTTTTAGGTGTTCAATAAAATGTATTTGGGTATAGAATGTTGTTTTCTTAAACCACAATAGTAATGGTCTCAACAGACTTTAGATTAATGTAATTTCTCTAACAATAGATTAGAGATACAATTTAGAATGCAGGAAATGCAATAACAACAAATGCATACGAGCCAGTGGTCCATAGGGTGACCAATGTTAATGTTCAAAATGTCCTGGATCATCACTGATAATGATCCCTCCTGCAGATATTTGTCAATATCTTTGTAATAAATAAATGTACAAATATAGCCAGATCCGTCAGGCCTCTGAAGCTAAGTAGGGCAGTATGGTAACCCCACTCCCATCTCTGTGTGGAGTGAGAGACAAATGCCCACAACTATTGGGAAAGCGCTGTAATACTCTGTCCTGTGGTTGAGGGTCGTTGAATGTATATTTGAGTTGCAGGGATGGACATGGGTATACGGTGAGGGATGACCTCGGGGTTCTAATGGTGCACCATCAGGGTTTTTTAGGCGGTGCGGGGTGGCTAGTATCGGTTGACGTATGGGCACTAGGTAGGTCACGAGGCTGGTTTGGGGTGGGGGTGCTGTAGCAGAAGCCGGTGGATCTGACGGGGGGCATGGGGGTGGCCACGGGCTTCGGGGGCCTCTGGTGTCTGGTGTTCCCACAAACGGGGTGTGTTCGACCGGGGTTGCGGTGTTGTGGGGACAATTTTTGCAACTGCTTTAAATTGCAGGGGGGACATGGGACTTGAAGTTGTTTGGGTGCGGGCTTCGGTTTATGGGGTACCGGGTCTTTTGTTGTTTTATGTTTTGGGGTCATATCTTGGTGTGGGGTTCGGGTCACTTGGGTTGAACTTAGTGATGAGGGATCAGTGTTGGATTGGGGGGGGAGTTTGGTATTGGCTGGGCCATGAACGCAGCCTGGGGGGGTGGGGGGGGGATACTGGAACTCCTGCGTGGTACATTTGGGGGGTGTAATGTGCTGTGGTATCGTGTGGGACCTGGGTTTTTTGATTTTATATTCTTGGATACTTCATTTATGGTGTTTCAGGCTGTACTTTTATCTGAGTCTTTAAAACTGCTCAGTGTGGTGATGTCTTGTTTGGTACAAGTTCGTGGTTGTTGGGGGTATGCAGATTGCATTGGTGTGGGGTGGGGATATCCTTTGGTTGGTTGTTTCTTGGTGGTATTAAATGTGTGTGTGGTAAAACATGGTTGTGGGGTGGTATCAGGGGGGGATGTGTTTAGTGGGTGGCTGTGTAATTAGAGGTGTTATGTTTGTGGTTGTTGCAGATGTGCTAGCTATTGCTTGGGGCTTGCTGTATGTGGGGGGGGCAGTGTGATTTTTGGGGTGGGGCGGGGAGTCTTGGAATTTGTGTGGATATTAAGTTGGGTCCTCATCATTGCACGGGGGGGGGGGGGGGGGTTGGATGTGTGAGTGGTGGGTTGTCTGCTGACGAGGCGTCTCTGGGGGTTGTGGCGGGGATGTTTTGTGGGAGGGGTGGAAGGTGAAGTTGGTGAGCCTGTTCGTGTGTTATGTAGTTAGCTGGTTTTAGTATAGGGGGGGGACTCAGGGTAGGAGCAGTATGACGGGGGGGAAGGGGGTTTTCGTGTAGCATCTCTGCTCATTTGGCACTTGCGCGGATGGGTGGCCTAGATACTCATTATTGGCCATCTATCGGGGCAGTGAGTGGGGTTTTTGTGTTTTTGATGTGGGTTTGTTTTGTTATGGTGCACCTACTGATTGGTAAGTGCTGGATGGCACCTGCTGTAGTGCGGTGTTTTCTTATTTCAGGTCGGACAAAACAATTTTTGTGGGCATCCTTTCATGTGGTGTGTTTGGCTCCAAGCTCTGTGTTTGGTATTGGTGGGTGTGTGTGTTAAGTCGTCTCATTGGCTGCGTGCCTGACGGGCACTTTGGGACAGCCAGGTATACCTGGAAAATTTGAGTCGATAGTGTCTTTCACATGGGTGGTACGGGTTTGCGCTTTTGACTCTACAAGGTGGTGGACAGGGGTTGTGCGCCATTATATTGTGTGAGAAACATTGTTTCTTGCTCATGTTTTCTATGGATATATAACCACATATCATTGTCCTTTAAGGGGCCTGAGGTAATTGGACCCTTTCTGGGTGTTATTGGCCCATTCGGATCTGCTTTTCTACTGTTAAAGAATTTCTGGGGTATATTCCTATGCTAGGGCCGAATATTGTTTACACTGGTACATAGTAGTAGATGATGCCACTGTATCCAGGAAAACATGGCTAAATGAATTCCTAGTGAGTCTTTTAGATACTTATTGGAGCCCGCCCCCCTGTCATTACCTATCAAAGTCACTGACACTTATACGGTCATGAATATTCCCATCCTAGATATGATCCTGAAAAAGTGCCTGTCCTTGTTTCACATTGATTTCAAAATATGCGTGACGATCCTAGGTTAGAAGGTTGGCGAGATCCGATGTATATGGTTATGTTTCGGTACGTGTTGGGTCTGCGGTGACTGTCCCGTTGCGGGCATCTGCGGCTTCAGTCTCGCTGCTGTGAGGAATGTAGTGGCCTGAGCGTCACAGTAACCGGGGCGCTTCACCGCTTCAACCCGCCTGCACCAATATGGAGTGGTGATTGTAATGGAGTGTGGGAGGGACTGGTCTGGGTGCCAGTGCGTCTGGCTTTACAGCAAAATGTACGGATTCTGCTCAGAAATAACTTGATCTGCCTACAGGACTGTTCGGATGTATGCTGGTCCGGATATTCCCCCAGAGTTAGTATGTGAGTTTGTGTTGTATATATCGCGTTCCTATTATCTGAGCTGGCTTGACATTAAGCCAGTTGTTGTTGGATGATCGATAATTGTGGAAAGGTATATGGGAAGGATTTTCCCGTATTTTAGGGAATGAACCGCTCTCGGATAGAGGGAACGCCTTGTGACAAACTGTGTCTCGAATATCACCTGAATGATTGATCCATTAGGAGGGACCATATAGCTTAGTGATCCACCTGGATGAATAAATATCCCTCCCATAGGCCGGTGAAGTTAAATGGTAAAATCAATGAACCGTTTTGTTGGTGGGGTGAGATAGTTTGTTGTGATTGAAAATTAGCATTTATTTGAGTTGGGACAGATGTTTTTTCTCGTATGCTGGGATGACTGACTACTCAGCACTCGTACCCAGGAGTGCGTCCCTAAGTTGGAAATGAATGCCTTTTACCAATCTGTATGAAGTCAATCCATCACTTCTAAAACTTGGGAGTCGAAATAAGTCCATAAACGCTTGAATGCCACTCCGTTTTCTTCGATATTTGTGAGTGAAATCCAGTTAGTTCAATGTTTGTTAAGTACAGGAGCCTTTTAGAACAGACGCTTAAACTTTTCTCACATCTGTGTCTCTTTTCTATTCTTTATCTACATGGGGTCTGTGAAAGACCCTGTATAAAGATGTCTTCTGTCTTTTGCGTTTTCTGCATTTATTAAAAGCTAAAAAAATGCAGATCTGCCAAGTAGTACAGGGTGGGTTGTTTGGTTTTTTTTTTTTTTTTTTCAAACACAAGTGAGCCAAGTGTTGTGTCACCTGCAGGTACCTCCTTTCACCTGCAAGGGAGCGGTGGTCAATGTCCGTTTAATGGAATCATTTTCTCGCGATAATGTAATAACGCTTTGACACTGCTTTTTGGTTGTTAGCGTTACTGAGTGAATACATTATTTAGTCATATTTTAAATAAAACTAAAATCAGCGGTTTGACGAGAGTTTCTGTGGGATTCTCATCTAGTTTATATTGAGGTTTGTTTAATGTGGATAAATGCCAAATACTGTGACTCTTGTCAAATTAACAAATCAGATAATGTAGCGGTTAAGTTGCCGCCGTCAATGAAGTGAGAGATGGGTACATGGCCACCTTAGTGCCCTGAAGGTTTGGGGACTAAAGGATTGGTTTTATTTAAGGGGACTTAAAATTCTGTTATCAATCTGCGATAGTGGCGATAGGACTTGTAGTTTTGGTCAGTGTCATAGAACGCATGGAGCTGCAAAGTGGGAAGAGGAGAAGCGGCACTATATGTTTGTGATGGGTTATGTTGGTTGGGTATGTAAATGGGTAGAATGCGTGGGGCGTGGTGGGGGTGGGTGTGGGGAGGGGGAATGTGGAGTGGAGGCATATATTGATGTTGACATGGTGATACACTTTGAGGGGGGGGGGGGGGTATGTAAGGTGAGGGGGGTGGGTGTTGAATTTAACGTTTATCTATACTTATGATTGACTGCGGAACCTTCCGCAGTCAACCATTGGTTTTGTATTTCTTTATTTCCGTCATTTTTTTTGACACGTTTCACTAGCTTTCACATTTTCAACAATTTCCACAAGTTATACATCAAAACGTTCCACATGTTTGGGAGATTATTGCTATTACTTTTGGGACTTCAGCGATTTCGGTTTTTCCGCAATCGGACAAAATCTGCATTGAGAATTCTGCAATGCATTTTAATAGGCCCATGCATTTTAATAGGACTTCAGCTCTTTCAGACATTTCTACAGTTTCAATGATTCAACAGTTTCAAGGATTCAACAGTTTCAAGGATTTCAGCAGTTTCAAGATTTCAAGAGTTTCAAGGACTTCAACAGTTTCAAGGACTTCAGCAGTTTCAAGGACTTCAGCAGTTTCAAGGACTTCAGCAGTTTCAAGGACTTCAGTGTAATCATGCAACCTAATAGGGATTTTTCCATGTAAACCAGTATAATGCAACTTAATAGGGATTTTTCCATGTAAACCAGTATAATGCAACTTAATAGGGTTTTTTCATGTAAACCAGTATAATGCAACTTAATAGGGGTTTTTTCCATGTAAACCAGTATAATGCAACTTAATAGGGGTTTTTACATGTAAACCAGTATAATGCAACTTAATAGGATTTTTTCCATGTAAACCAGTATAATGCAACTTAATAGGGTTTTTTCCATGTAAACCAGTACAATGCAACTTAATAGGGATTTTTCCATGTAAACCAGTATAATGCAACTTAATGGGGATTTTTCCATGTAAACCAGTATAATGCAACTTAATGGGGATTTTTCCATGTAAACCAGTATTATGCAACTTAATAGGGATTTTTCCATGTAAACCAGTATAATGCAACTTAATAGGGATTTTTCCATGTAAACCAGTATAATGCAACTTAATGGGGATTTTTCCATGTAAACCAGTATTATGCAACTTAATAGGGGTTTTTACATGTAAACCAGTATAATGGAACTTAATAGGGGTTTTTACATGTAAACCAGTATAATGCAACTTAATAGGGATTTTTACATGTAAACCAGTATAATGCAACTTAATAGGGATTTTTCCATGTAAACCAGTATAATGCAACTTAATAGGGTTTTTTACATGTAAACCAGTATAATGCAACTTAATAGGGATTTTTCCATGTAAACCAGTATAATGCAACTTAATAGGGTTTTTTACATGTAAACCAGTATAATGCAACTTAATAGGGGTTTTTACATGTAAACCAGTATAATGGAACTTAATAGGGGTTTTTACATGAAAACCAGTATAAAGGATAACAGTTTAAAGGATATCAGGAGCTTCAAATACTTCAGGAGTTTCAAAGATGTTTAAAGTATTTTAACAGTTTCAAGGATTTCAAGGATTTTTCAGCTAAATTCCACATTAGATCTGTTCCGCAGTCAATCGCAATGGCTTCAGCCATTGCAACGGTTTCTAGTTAACTATAATAATGTCTGGCACACCTAATGATAGAAAAATCAGTCTATCCTGATATATTACTTGTGATGATCAGTCGACACCTGTAGAGTGCATTATTGCCCCACCAGTGGAGTCAAAGATTAGCGGAGGGAAGAGAGGACAGTGAGCTTTTGGTGAGCAGAAAGTGTTTTCATTGAAACTATATTTTGTTCTTTGGCAGATTGCTCAAGAACGGTAAAAGGTAAAAGCAAACCATTTTTTGCTGATTAAAGCTAAGGACCTCTCTTTTTTTTTTTTTGGTGCCCTTGGTTTTTATAGTCAGTTTACTGAATAGTCTGTGGATTTTCAAAGTTAGGTCGAATCCCCTGAAAACACTGGCAGAATGCACTTCCCTCATCGGAAATAGTCAATGAGTTCATAATATTGACAATTTCATGGTCCCCCCCCCCACTTCATGTCTTTATTTTAGTCTAAAATTAAGAGGAGAAATGTTACCTATTCACAAATAAAATGTGAATTGTCAGTGGGGAAAGGGCAATCCATCCAACGGGACCATGCGTCTCCCTTTACACATGTTTTTCCTGTGCGTAAAGCGGAAGGTGGCCGCAGCGCGGTGCTGCTGCCTGTTTTTCACTGCAGAAGTCATTCAAACTTTAGTGTGGCTCTTCAGAGCACTAAAGTGGAATTGTTTTCATGCTTGTACATAACATACAATTGATCAAACTTGATGTTCCAAAGAAAATTTGAATGCAGACACTGTTCATTAAACAGTGTCTCAGACTTAATTTGTTTTGCTGCTTTAATTACCTCCTTGTCTGTATTTTCAATGCATGGACAGTGGGGCTGCGTCAACTCACTTTCCACGGAACTCATGAACAGATGTTTTGATGAGGGCCAGGAATCGATTTGTGATAAGCAGGATAGTTTTGGTATGAATGTAAAAATCCACTCATCTCTATGGTTGGAGTGGACAACGCCCTGCTGGCCCTCACACCACTGCCGTTAGCAGCCAAAAGAATAATGTGTCATCTTTAATCACTTTTAAGTCTTTCTCAACCCCTTTAACTCTGATCCTTCTTTCATTCCAGGTCTGTGCTCAGAAGTGTGTCTGATCCAGCTCCTTTGGTGTGAATACCTTTTCCTTCGGCTCTGGTCTGATTCCTGGGACCTCCAACCCCTTCTCCTCCTCTGCCCCACAAACCCTCACCACTTCCCCCTGGGCTTCTCCACTTCTGTCCCCACTGCACGGGGCCTCCCCTGGTGTCCACACTGCTGTACTGCACTTGCTTCTGTGGTCGCCGCTGTAACAACTGAAGAGTTTTTCAAATGAAGACGCCGTTCAAAAACTCAGTGCCCAGACCTCAGGGTGATGGAGGTAAGGGACCAGGATTCACCTGGTTATGCTGGAGCTGAGGTTATCCAGATATAGATCTACTACAGTGTTAGTCACTGCCCTGCGTTTGTATTGACCACAGGTCTCAAACATGCGGTGGCCTCTAAAATGACTTCACGTTATTAAATTGGATATCAATGGCTTAATATGTGGCGCTATGGTACCACAGATGTGAAAGATCAAAATTCATCTGTCCACAAAGCAACGCTTATATATTTAGACCCCTTATTTTGACTTATTTATTAAATTTGTCCCGAGACAAAATTGGTTAGACACCCCTGCCATAGAACAACAAGTACAGTTATAGTTTGTGTAAGCCCTCAGTACAGGGATTAGTCAAAGCAAAGGAAGGTTTCTCACCCATCATCTGTACTTCTTAGCAAAACTTTCTAAGAAGTACAGATGAAGTACAGTTATAGTATAATATACTAATAACACCTTGTACTATAAATATCATAAGCCCCATTCGCATAAATGTTTCATGAAAGTTGCAAAAACAGTTCCCTGTATGTTCCAACCATTTGTACCATTCACAATTCTAATCAGTCCTGGAAGATTCTGTCGTGTCTCTCTTCACTTTTCACATAAGCACAGAGAAGCAGGAGCTTGTGTTACATGTGGATGTATTTTATGATCTGGATCGAGTATTGTTAGCATAAGCCAGTCTTCAGCATGGCATTATTTCTATTCATTCTTTAGGAACAACAGCTCAGGTCACTGGACACATGAATTTAAACTAAAAGCTGTGCATAAACACCCACATTGAACCTCGCCTGAATGGTTGGTGGTGGTCGGAGAGGCCGGTAGCACATATTTGTTGCCTCTCTTCTGCTACAGTGGTAGTTTATCACCATTTTTGTCCAAATGTCCAAAAAATGTGTATATAAACATTTTAAAACCGATTTTTAAAAATATTATTATTATACACTAATTTCATGTGTTTTTCAGCGTTGCCTACACTGTAAAAATACTTAAATCAACTTAGTGTTAGCTGTATCTCTGGTAAACTGTTGTAACTCCAGTCCTTTTTGACAATACATGCTTGAACGTCACTCTGATTTGTTCAATATATGGCATAGATCCAGTATTAGCCGACTTTACTCCGGGGTCTGTTCACAGCACTGAGCTCAGAGCACATCCTGGTTGATACTTTTATGTTGCTCCCTCTTGTGAACACTTTGTGGTTGTGAGTATGATTCCTGTCTGCCCTTTGTGCAGGACACTCGGGAGTCTCAGTCAACATGATGAAGAAGAAGAACCCTCACAAGTAAATACTTATCAACTTTACTAGAAACATAAGTGCACTCCTTTCTTCTGCAACAACTGTTACTTCTCTTTACAACAGCACTGCAGATGAGAAATGTTTAAGGCACTTTGGTTTTACTAATGCTTGTTAAAATGAATGCTGTGTAATTTACGTGTCTTTGTTTAACCTCCAGGAAGCAGAAGACCAGTGTTGGAGCCAGTAAAGCTCTGGCTCAGACCCAGAGGAGGAACATTGTGGGCTGCAGAATCCAACACATCTGGAAAGAAGGTAGTATAGATACCTCTGGTCCCTGTATGCCTTCATTTCTGTTTTAACTTTATTCTGTTCGCAGTTCTCATTTGAAATTCGATTGGTGCTGAATCAATATAATAATTTATTGTCCATTTTAGTAATAATGTTCGGCTTCATTTTGCCCCTCGAACTGTGGATTGATTTCTGTATGTTTTTATAACTCCACCTGTCACCACCTGGCATTGATAGAAATATTTGGCACATGTTTTGCCAAAAAAGTCATGAGCAGGGGCCCAGACTATATCCAACAAAGCTTTACAGTAACCAGTGAGCCTCAGTTTTAGACGGGGTATAACTAGAATACACTGATACCACTTTTTTCAAAACCGATACGAGTACCTTAATTTGAGGACTTTATTTGGTATATGAGTACTGCATTGTGTTATCCCTGGGAATTCATAAAACTAATACAACTGGAATGTAAAATGTTTTATTTCTATTTTCAACAATAAGAATATGCTTTAATAATAAACATTTTAGCAATTGTTTTAGTTGTTGTTAATCACTGTCATATTACATACACACTTATACCGTGTACAGAAGAGGCTAAAGCCAACATTTTCCACACACAAAAGTGGCTGGTCCTCGAGAGCAATTAGATTTTCACTTGAAATCTTTCCTCGTGTCTCCAAAGTTTGTTGTAGACAAACTTTGCCTACTTTGGGAGATCACCATGGCAACACTGTCTGCTGTCGTAACGCTAATGTAAATTAAAAATGTGGGTATTAATTGAAAATATGATTTGCAAAAAGTTATTTATATCCCATCGGCGGCACGGTGGCTGAGTGGATAGCACTCTCGCCTCTCAGCAAGAAGGTCCTGGGTTCAAATCCCGGCCGGACCAGGGCCTTTCTGAGTGGAGTTTGCAGGTTCTCCCCGTGTCTGCGTAGGTTTCCTCCGGGTACTCCGGTTTCCCCTGCCACTAAAAATATGTACAATAGGTCTGGCATGCGCCTCCTGTTCGGCGACCCCGCTCCCATCTCTGTGTGGAGTGAGAGGACAAATGCCCAAAAAATAACAATTGTAAACCGCTTTGTGACTCTGGTCTGTGAAAGGCGGTATATAAATAAAGCTTACTTACTTACTTACTTACATTTTGCTAACAGAAATGTGTGAGGGATTCTATAACAAGTATATAGCAGACATAAGCACGAGTTGTCTCCTTTAAACTGGTCTGTTATATTTGACCTGAGCTGTTTGTCTGTAGGAAAGTCGTCTGTGTGGAAGGGCACCGTTCTGGACCAGGTCCCTGTGAACCCGTCCCTGTATCTGATCAAATACGATGGCTTCGACTGCATCTACGGCCTGGAGCTGTTCTCCGACGAGAGAGTCATCAACCTGGAGATCCTGCCCGACAGAGTGGGTCAGTACCAGAACCCCAACTACAGTATTAGGTTCTTTTGGAAGTGTGGTTATTCAGGTCACTCTATTATCACAGTAAAAACAATAATCGTGATTGTATTGGAAGGTATTTAATTTCAATGTATAAAAAGTCTGTGTATATCCCATTCCATTTTCTTCCGCTTTATCTGTTGCCGGGTTGCAACGGCGCAGTCTAAGCACAGACTTCCCAGTCTTCCCTATGCAATTGCATTCACTAAACTTTTATTATAGTTTTATTGTTTATTTATTTTGAGATCAATTAAATTCATTTTTGTACATCACAACAATTATCTCAGAGAATTTACAAAATGTCAGTACATAGAACATGTATTCATTAACAATTACTTGGTCTCAGTATTCTTATGTCAGTCTTTTCCACTGGCCAACAACAGAATTTTTAGACCATTGTTAATATGTTTTTGATTCATGTGGAGTGATACAGGAATTATTAGAGTATCTTGGGAATGTTGTGATTTTACACAAACGCAACCTATAAGCACAAATGATAAATGATATGTTATGTGTGTTTCGATAGTGTCAAGAAAGGTCATAGCATTTACATTGTGACATCGTTATCGGACAAGGACTAAAGCTGCTTCTTGTCCCCTGCAGCCCCGGCTCGTGTGGCGGACTCCCTGCTAGCAGACACCATGATCGGTAAGGCGGTGGAACACATGTTCGAGACGGAGGAGGGTCCTAAGGAGGAGTGGAGGGGGATGGTCCTGGCCCGTGCGCCCATCATGACCGCCTGGTTCTACATCACCTACGAGAAGGACCCAGTTCTCTACATGTACCAGCTGCTCGACGACTACAAGGAGGGAGACCTGCGCATCATGCCCGACAACAGTGAGTCTGACTGGACCACCACTGCTGCAGGCCACTGCTGCAGGCCACTGCTGCAGACCGAGGTCACACCTCCTCGCGCACATGCTCACTGTGGTGCTGTTTATTGGACCTGGATCTAAATGCAACAAATGTGTGTGTTATGATTTACACATGACATGTAAAATGAGAACATGAGTGAAATAGTGCAATTTCAAATTTCTGAATTTCCCTGTAATGCCCTTTATTAAGAACTGCTGTGTCGCCACATAAATAATAAAAATTATGATTATTATGTAATAGCAATCATATTACATTATCATCCATTATTATCCTTTTTCAAAAGGAGATGTTCCTTCATCATATCTAAGATAAAAATGAAAGAAAAATAATGATACAGTGAAACTTGTTATCAGGTTTGAGGAAGAGAAGATGGCTCATCTATGCAAATGTAACCCGAGTTGTTCCGATCAATTTGGGCTCCTGCTGCTCTTAGTGTGATTGTATTTTAATTGAAACCCATGTCCATGCTCACAGCGGCTTCACCCAGGACACGGTGTGAACTACATATGTGTCATTGTTGCTCGGTTCCCGCCACAGAAGGGTCTGACGTCCTTATCAGTGCTGTGTGTTAGATTGTGCTTCTGTCTGTTAATCTTTGACATCTGCCCCATATACAATTATTAGGGGGTTTTAGGAGAAGAGCCCGACACTGGGAAAAAATCCTGGTGAGAACCCTGGGATATGTTGCCATAATCTCTCCAAGAACAGATCCTCCTTTTATTCATTTTATTTATTTATTATGGGTTCATACAGGATTCAGTTCCTGGAACAGGGGTACACATGCTTTATACTAGGGGTGGGAACCTAAGGGTACCTCACGATACGATACGCGATACAAAGCTCATGATAACGATTATATCACAATAACGATTATATCACGATATGACAATTATCGATATATTGGTCAGCAATATACCATATGCCAATATATGGCATACATAAAATAGAAAAATTTTAAGTGAAAAAATACACTTCATTTCATGATAAATGGAATGGAGATGCGTAATGTAGCCATATATTAAGTAATGATACTAATGGAAAAAATATATAAAATATATATATATATTTTTTTTTTTCAAAATCGATACTTGGCAAATGCATATCGATAATCGATCGCGGGAGAAAGTATCGCGATAAATCGAAAAATCTATCTATGTACACTCCTACTTTACACCAGTGGTCTCAAACATGGTTTTTGTAGCCCCCTAGTGGATATCAATCTTTAGTGTCAGCCCAGACTCGGTTACTGTGCAAATATGGCATGTTTTAAATTGTTTTAAAGCTAATTTTATCAAGAACAAAGTTTTGCTTCAATCCATGCAGCTGGACTCATTTTGTTTATAGAAATTTATAAATAAGAATTATATCAGAGCCATGTTCAATAAGTGATTATTTGGTCAAAATACCTTTATGATTACAAAATGTTGCCGACACAAACAATTAACTATAAAACTTTCCACAATTGCTTGATTCTTGGTTTTCCTGTTTTTCCCTAATGTTTACTTTCTCTACTGTTGGAAGATGCACAGTTTGAAATGTAGTGGTATTTATTACATTTCACCAAAAGCTAATATGCAGCCCCCACGTTGACCCAAGACTCAGACCTCATGCAGCCCCTGATAGATTGGTTTTAGACCTCTGCTTCACACAATGTACTGTGGTGTAAACAGACTCCTTTTTGATTCCATGTGCCGCATTTGTAACCGTCTGTTCCCCTCCTTTCCAGACGAGGGCAATGCGGAGCGAGAGCCAGGCGAGGTTGTGGACAGCCTGGTGGGCAAGCAGGTGGAGTACGCAAAAGAGGACGGAGGCAAACGCTCGGGGATGGTCATTCACCAGGTGGAAGCCAAGCCCTCGGTCTACTTCATCAAGTTCGACGATGATTTCCACATCTACGTGTACGACCTGGTCAAGACGTCGTAAAAACGAGGGAGTTGACGCGCAAAAAAACGGACTCCAGTACTTGAGCCCGCGCCAACCCCTGGACACGCCTCGTTAAAACAAAACAAAGGGGGCCTCTATTCTGCTTTTATTTACAAATGATTATAAACGCATATTTGTATTTTAATATGTAGCTTTGTGAATGACAGAAAGCAGCGAGGAAGAATGAAGCACAGTTTTAGTCGCGAAGCAGGTCCGAAGCGGAGCAGGCCCGTCACAGTAACGCGCAGTTAGAATAGCAGAAAGACGGGAACTGTTTAAAGCTGGGGCACCTAACTTTTAGACCTCAAATTGGAAGTGTAATAAAATCTACCTTAAGTCGTTCCAATCTCTCAAAGCTCTCAAAATTGATAGTTTTTGTGTTTGGGTCCGCTTTTTCGAGACAAAGGTCAAACAGAGCCGTATGAGTCACTATTCAACACCGTAGGCTCTGGACCACCCTCATTCGGCCAATCAGCTCAGTGAGGGTGCTCCTGAGCCCACAGTGTTGAATAGTGACTCACAGGGCTCTTCCTTACAAATATGCAACATGTTTTCTAATTTGACAAAGACTGCATGTTGTGGTCCGATTTGTTCAAGTTGGCGAAATTGTTGTGATGAACAAACAAAAAAGTTAGGTACCCTAGCTTTGTAATTGTGATTTGCAAACGGCATATCCAGTCTAGTCATAATTTTAGAGCCTTTTTACAATGTGTTCAGAAATGTAAGCCTTGGATTTGTTTTGGAGGTCATTCTCAAATTCTTGCTCAAACAATTCAAATGTGCACTTTGAGTTTTTGTAGTAATAATTGGATTTTTATCAGTTTCCAAAAGATTATTTTTTCAATGGTTTTACTTGATGAATGTAGATATATCTTGAGAAAGTTCTTGCTATTCAGAAATGTCTTTAAACCAGTGAAAAAGTCGTGGTCTCGAACGTAAAACACATACCAACAATCACATCAAGTGTTTATAATTACCAAGAAATGACTCATTTAACCCTATACCTCCTCACGATTGCAAAGAAATAGTACAGAGGAGACGATGATGATGATGAAGAATCCCGAAATAAAATGTACTGTAAATTGCCACACGTCTAAAAAGGCCATATCTCGTCTTTAATTCAGGTTATTATAAAAGTAGGTATTTATGACAAGAATAGATTAATTTGCTTATGTGACCCTGGATATGTCACTGGTTTGAGGACATTTAATCAAAAATAGAACTAAATCTTATTAAAATTGGGTCCAAAATAAAACTTAATTTGAAGACCTGTTTGGGGTTGTTGGTGCACATTGAAATCCTGGTTTATTGTTTATTTTGAACAGTTCATAGTTAATTATAATATTGATTTCAGTTAAGCAATATCAACTTAACCACATTCTGTAGCAGTTAGAATCTTTAATCATGTATCAATGTCACATTTGTGTACGAAACTAGTCAAACATGGTGAAGGAGACAAATTGAGCAAAGCATGGACCAAATCCAATCCCACAGCACATTAGTGAAGGCAATAAGCTACAAAGACATATCGATGCAACATTGATATGGTGTTAAATTGATATTCGATTGACTTTGAACTGGATCAACGGTTAAACCTTAATAAGGCCATATTGTGTCAGATTGAGCTTATCACAATACGTGTTTCTTTGTGACTATCAATGTGAGGTATAGTTTTTATACAAAACACTAGGCGTAAAATGGTTTTCTTTTTATTTGGATAACATCCACCCGCTCTCTCTGGTTTTAGTCTGTTGACCATTTCTGTTCAACTCCCAATGCAGTTTTAATTTCATTTTTTTTCAAATGTTTTTGTCCCATGAGTCTGTTACTTTCACTGATTCGAGGTTCTCTGGGAAACCGTCCTGTCTGGATTGGACGCAACTTTCCTCCTGAGACCCTACGCTAACTCGGCTCTGGACTTTTTGGGGTCTATGAAGGAACAAAACGGACCAAAAACTACAGTCTCCGCTGCTGCTGCTGCTCTGTCTACATTTCCCCTGAGCCCCGCCCTCGCTCTCCATGCCCCTGTATGAATCTTCCCTTGATTGTTTCCCTTGTTCATACCTATGTTTTAATGGTGCGTTTATCCATTTTGTCTTTTTATATGGAGATATTTTGACAATCTGTAATTTGGAGGTCTTTATTTTTCATCCTGTTTTGTGAAGAGATGTGGAAAATCCTTAATGGAGGAGACTGAAGTGGTGGCATTTGAAGAATCTGAGGGTGCAGTCACACTTGTTGCTCTGCGTCACGTTACCTGAACGTAATCTGCTGCACTTGGGGCCAGAAAGCTTTGTTTGGGGGTTTTTACATCCACAAATAAGTAAATGTGTGTCCACTTGTCACTTGACCAGTTATTAGATCTGTGAGGATTTTCCCCCCCAAGTAAATCAGTCTGGGTCCAGTTTAAGTGAACCCGATCAAGTGTGAATGCGCTATGAGATAATATCTATGATTTTGGATTTCCAGTTTAAAAGTGTTTGCTTTTCATTTACAATATATGAATAAAATTAACTTGACCAAAACAACATTTCTGAGTGTTGTCCAGTAACACTTAAAAAACAAAATGGAATATTGCCTTCTTAAAAAATGGTGTTTTGGTAATGGGTCTGATAAATTTATAAAATATACCTAAAATGCAAAGGCACATGTGCCTGGATCCCCAGGTTTTTCTATTAAAATATTTTTTTACAGCAGTTGCCTCCATTTACACATTTATATACATAAAATGTTCCATCGTTTGAAGGGTCTATATACCACAGGGTACAACTTTTATTTTAATCAAACTAAATACAAAGCCTTTTATCATCTGAGGGATAGGCAGAGATTGGCTTCGCTCCTTATTGTCCCCTTCAGTCGGTACATTTATCTTGTATTTTGTTTTTTTTTACCTTGAATCTGATCATCTTAATTATTTTACTATAATATTTCATGTGTAAAATCTCCAATCCAAAAATGTTGTGCTTTGAAATCTGAACTGCAGGTGTGTTTTGGTCCCAGTTTATTGGCCCTGACTTTGGTCCTGCTTTGGCTTGTTTCTCATTAAACTCCACCATCTCTTGTAGCAAAGTGCTGGAGCCTCATCCATTGCCTTCTTGATTCTGGTGAATTTGAATGGTCAGTGATTGGTGCGCTTGCATGCCTTTCTCTTGTATTTACTGTACATTGGTGCGCTGCATGTGTCGTCGGTTTTTTTGTCTCGTGGAGAAATATTTTATATCATTTGAATTGTTCATTTTGCTGTTTGTGACTGAAAATATGTTTATTGTCTTTAAAATGTGCCAAGTTCAAAAGTGTTGTACAGAAAAAATATTCACTAATAAAACTTTTTTCACAAAATGATTAATTTGCTGTTTGAGAGAGAGATAATTCCATACACACATCCATACATGTTATATAGATAAAAAACATTTACATTAGAAAAACAATGAATGAAATAAATACACAACATGTCACTAGTCTCCAATCGTCAGAGGCGACAATTGTAGCCGTTTTATAGCCATTTAAATTGTGTGTGTGTGTCAATCCGAACTCCACCGAGAGAGCTCCCATAATGCATTTCGCCCTCATCCCCCAAGCTTCTGCGTCTATCTCACTTATAAACAAACTAAACCTAAATTTATTACCGTCTTGTTTGGTGTGATGAGACTTTAGCGCAGTTTCCCCGATAGCGTCACAAACAGCGGGATTTTAAAGTTAAAAGGTTTAAAGTTCAGCACCATGAGTGAAGTGGGTACACGCGCATTATATAAAGCCTGGCGCCTTATTCTAATGTTCTGATCCTTCTCGGTCATACGAATGATGAATGGCGGTATCACAAATCTTTGTGAAAGGTACAGGCTTTCACTTGTTACGCATCTGTGCCTCAGCCCTTCTGACCCCGACTGAGAGTTGAAAAGTACGAAAGACTCAGTGACAATCAACTTCATGAACTTGATCAAGTAGTAAATATGCATCTATACTACATTTCTCTGGTCGTAAATCACAACCATCCATACCTTGGCCTCCCTCTCGATCTACGAGGAAAGGCAAGTTTATTTGTATAGGGGCAAAAAACGTGGTATTTATTTAAACTTCATATATGTATAATTTTTTTCTCAAATGGTTGTTAAATTGGCAACTACTTAGAAATACTCAATGCTATGGAAGTATGGAAGCCCGTTTCCGCCATGTAAAAAAAAAAAGAAAGCATTTAAAAGTCAAAATTTCGACTTTAAAAGTCAAAATTTCGACTTTAAAAGTCAACATTTCGACTTTAAAATTCAAAATTACGAGTTTTCAAATGCGCATGTGCAGTTGAAAACTTGTATGTGTTGTTGTCTGGAACGGTCTCTGGACGTCCTTCACCTGCAGATTATGTGAAGATATTGCCTACAGTGACCACTGCATCCTTGAAGTAGCCAGAAATAATGTTGTTTGATTGATTCTGTAAAACTTTCCTGTTTAAGCCCCAGACCGCGGTCGTAGGACGCAGGGGGGAGCTGTCTTTTTATTTATTTATGTTAAATTCAATTTACATATATACAACATTTAAATCAAACGACTTCTTATTTCGACATAGTAACAAATAATGTGAGCAATACGTTTTTATAATAAATCAAAGGAAAATGAGCCATCGAGACATTCCAATCCAATCTGCTGTAGACCACTCTGACCAGACGATGGCGCTGAGAGGGGCCTGCCTCTGTCTGTGGTTCACCTGCCTCTGTCTGTGGTTCACCTGCCTCTGTCTGTGGTTCACCTGCCTGCCTCTGTCTGTGGTTCTCCTGCCTCTGTCTGCGGACCTCTCTCACTATCCAGTAATCGCGAACGGTCTCTCTGTCAGTCACAATAATATTCACTGCATTTCTGGTGCATCCATCGATAGCAATGATACTGACCAGATGTCACCAGTTGATGCTCAATGACTTTGAACAGCCACATGTGTTTTATTATTAATCTTCCACAGTCCGTTTAGGATAAACTAAATAAAGGCTTCTGAAGCGGATTCTAATCATAAACGGAGAGACCGTTTGCGTTTTAACGCGATTACTACCACAACATTATTGCTGCTACTTCATGGATGTGGTCACTGTCTGTAGGCAAAATCTTCACATAATCTGCAGGTAGAGGATGACCCATGGTCATGGATCTATAACAGGGATGACCAGAGACCGTTCCAGACAACAACACATACGAGTTTTCAACTGCACATGCGCAGTTGAAAACTCGTAATTTTGACTTTTCATACAATGCCATGGTGTTGATCTAAAAAATAAAAACATTTTTATTGTTCAATATCCTTGTCACATTAATAACCATACAACATAGGTTTTGGTCGGTACTTTGTTTTGACAATCAAAAGACTGATCTTTAAACCATTCCATTGTATGAAATAGCTTTATTTCTGAACATTGTGCGGGTGGTATAAACTCCCATCAATTTAATTTTTTACAAGCTCTAAAAACTTTCCCATTGAAGAAAAGCAGCCACACAGCATGACGCTGCCACCACCAGGTTTGCCAAACAGTGATAGACTACTTTTTTCAGGTTGGTAAAAAATGTCTATTTTGGTCTCATCGAACCAAAAATGTAAGCCCTACTTGGCTTCTTGTGACTTATTTCAACACTGGCTTTTATATTTACCACTCGTACACAAAGAACAGAGTAGAGCCTTATGTACTGCATGTTTGATACTTACAAGTGACCATGGCCTCAGCAAAAGGGGAGTGGGAATACTTTTATGTTTTAATTTTTTATTTGCTAAAAATAAACTCTTGTCTCCTTATGCATTCACTTCGCGTTGTCAGTCACTTTATCACACTGAGAAAAAATATTGTGAATTAAATGTGGAAAAGAAACTACACATTCCTCCATCCTGTTGCCCATTTTTAAGTAATTGAGAAATTAATAGAAAATAAATATTTTTGATAATTAAATCGAAACTTAATATTGATTTAAATATGAGCTTTTTCCAAATGTTGTCATGCAATGTAATGATAAAAGTCGGGCAGTTACACAAAGTATTTATTGCCATGACGACAGAAGCAACACTGAGAAAATGAGTAAAATAATGGAGTCCATGTCTATCCATGTGTTTGAGTGACAGTCCGTCCTGGCCCCTGATTGGTTGGTTTTACGTGTTCCGGCTCTTAGGGGTAGGCTCAGTCTCTCGCTCATACTCTATCTCGACATACGCCCGTTTCCTCCGGGGGGCAGCACCATTGGCCGGACCTTTTCCCTTGGACGGTCTCTCCCTCTCTGGTTTTTGTCCAGAGTCTTTCTGTAGTTCTGTCTCCATTTCCTCCTCCTCTTCCTCACTCGATGCTTCCTCTTCTTCCTCTTCATCGCTGCTTGTTCGCAGTTTGTTCATTTCCTAAAACAACAGCGCAAAGTTAAAAGAATCAGTTAACCAGACATCATTTCACAATCAATCAGTCAAATTTTATTTATAAAGCGCTTTTCATACAAAAGATGCAACACAAAACAGACACAACCCAAAACCACATCTATATCACACACACACAGTTTTGCTCCTATTTTCATCTGAAAATGTAACAACTTTATGCATGCTAACAAACCCATTGTTCACAAATCTGTTTGAGTGAGCACTTATTCTTTGCTGGGACAATCCATCCCACCTCACAAGTGTGGCATGTTAAACGTATATGGGAGGATTTTCTTCTTCCGGGTGGATCGTCATATTGGTCCAACATATTTGATGTTACAAGAGTCACATAAAGAGTTTACCTCAAAGTCACTGAGGTCGCTCTCCTCCACGTCCTCATCTGCCACAAACTCCTTTTTCCCCACATCCTGAAAACAACAGTTTTTAAAACTAGAATTCATGTCTCCATCAACGTCCAGGGAAAGCCTCCGCAGATACTTATGTAGATTGGTTGTTTTCCGGAACAAAACAAGAACCGTTATGATTGAACCGGGCCACAAGGACAGCATGAATCATTTTCTGAACGATACTTCACCAAGCTACTCACAGCTTGGTCACTTGGAGTAAGGTATATGTTGCAGCTTTCCTGAGCTAATTAGCTTTAAAATGAGGTACAACATGCCATGTTAGCACATATTGACTGGATGAAAACAGGGTAAGGCTGATATTCATCCCACTTCTCACAAATGCAGCATGACAAAGATCTCATCAGTCAAAGCTTGTACACAGCTGGAGTAAACACCTCTTCCACAAATTCCTCCTCACCTCATCATCTTCCTCCTCCTCCTCCTCTTCCTCAGCCTCGCTCTCCTCGTCCTGTTGCTCCAGAGCTCTGTCAAAGGCGTGCACTGGGAAGTTGTAGATGTCTCCGTACTGAAAACACGCACACTTGTTTACGATCCGTCTCTGGTATAAAATGGACATTATTTCATCTTAGCTTCAGCCTTTGGTTCGTACCGTTCCCTGTTTGAGTCTCTCCAGCAGCTCCTTCTCGATGGCGTTGTCCAGTTGTGCTGCAATCAAGGCTTTTTCCTGAAACCGACCAAATTAAGTAAATAAATGCTAAAAATATAAAATAATTTTTTGTTATGGGTTGTGGCTCAAACCTCTTTTCTTTTCTCTCGCTGCTCCACTTTTCGGCTCAGCGGCACCAACTTCCTCCTGAGAAAGTTAAAAAAATTAATATGTTTAATGTTTTAAAGACACAATTTGTGCAGAATAAGAAACACACAAAGCATTGTGGGTAATTATTATTAATCTTTATTTCAGACTCAAGATAAAATTGGTCCATACAAAAAATAAAAATAAACAATAAAAGGGCAATGCTTTCAAATATATAGTATCATTTCCGGCAGATTTAAATATGATTAAGTGTATCTGTCCAGTGCTTTCTCAGAGCAGACGTGTAGCGACATGAGCTCATTCTACCGTTGGTCAGAGTCCGAATGATGCCGTTCTCAGAGTTCTCCAGACGTTCCTTGAACCGAAAGGTTAGATGACGTATCAGAGCCTCACAGGTGTGAATGTGGGCATTCACAAACAGTTCACTGGCACTGTGTCACCTGGGCACCCGGAGCAGCAGCCTGAAGGCATCATTGTATGCCACTGTGAGTCTGTGGAAGGACCTACGACTGTATTTGGTCCACAGAGGAGCTGTGTACAGCGGAGTGCAGTACGCTCGAAACAGAGTACATTTAACAGGATAAGAACACATGCTGAACCTCCTCATCAGTGTGTTCGCCTGGGCATAAAGTTTACAGCACTGTCTTTTAATGTCTCTGTCATCACGCCAGTCATCTGTGAGAAAGTGTCCCAGATACTTTGTCTCTTTGGAGACGGAAAGAGGCTGACCACAGAGCTGAAAGTCAGGGAAGGTCAAATGTTTATCCTCTCTGCTTCTCACAATCATCATGTTGCTCTTTGTTGGATTGTATTTTATGTCAAACGTCACACCATACGCTGAGCACACTTGTAGCAGTCCCTGCATGCCTGCACTGTAAGGGCTTATGATAACAAGATCGTCTGCATACATGAGATGGTTGATTACGGTGGTTCCCATGACACACCCTGTTTTACACATGTTCAATTCAGTGGACAAATCATCAACATATATATTAAATAAAAAAGGAGAAAGGAGGCCTCCTTGTCTAACACCATTACACACATAAAAACTTTTTGAAAGAGCATTGTCCCATTTCACACTCATGAGTTGATTAGCATACCAGAAAGCTAGAATCCTAATCAAGTAATTCGGCACTCCTCTATGTGCAAGTTTTAGGAACAGTTTGCAGTGGTTCACTCTATCAAAAGCCTTACTAGCATCAATAAAACATAAAAGTACAGATGAATTCAACTCCAGGTATTTACTGACAGTTTCTTTCAGTGCATAGATACAGTTATCAGTGCTGTGCCCTTTTTTAAATCCAAATTGATTGTCATTTGTTGTCAGGTAAATTTCAAGCCTAGCAATCAGGATGCGTTCTAGGATTTTAGACAGAACACTCGCAAGGGCAATAGGCCTGTAATTGTCCATACTATTTAGCTTAGCAGCCTTATCTTTAATTACAGGTACCAGAACAACAGAGATCATGGACTCTGGTAAAACTCCATGTATTAAGAGTCCACTAAAACACATAGACAGCAGAGGGCATATCTGCTTAGAGGAGTTCTTCAGGTGCTCAGCTGTGATTGTATCCAGACCACAGGCTTTGTTTTCACTTAGCTTTAATATAGCATCCTGGATTTCAGTTGACCGTATCAGCATGCCAGCCTCCATATCCACATGGCCAACAGGACAAATGTCACTTTTCACTGAATTAAATAAGTCAAAATAATGCTTCCTCCATAGCTCAGTAATATTTTGAGAACCACATATACCTTCAATGTTAGATGGCAATGGTGTTCTAGAGTTGTTCATTGATTTCACCTCCTTCCAGAATTTATAAAAATCCTTACATTGAAGTCCTCTGGCAAGCGAGTCAGCTCTTAACATATTTTCATTTCTTTTAATAAACCGTAGAGCATATTTAAATCTAGCTGTAGTTGCCTTTTTCGACTCAAACAGTGGTCCTTGTCTGGGCTTTCCTGCTGCATGCCAGAGTCCAAAAGCTTCTCTAGCAGCAGCATGATGATCAGCCACAATGTCATTCCACCCAGGTTTTACATGGGGGGATTTATGATTTTTCTGTTGCAGGCATTCACTACTGTCTTTCAATACTTGGATTATGTTTTCATAGAATATACAAAGCTCATGGCAGTGACTAGAATTATTACAGTTTGGATCAAGGCAAGTCAGTGCATCTATAGGCAGTGTCATGTTCTGCAACAGAACATCTGTCCTAGTTGTGTATTTTTCAATATTCTTTATACTTATTTTTGACCAGTCAATTCTGGCTGTGTGTTCAGCATTCGCATTTTCCAGTAGTTCTGGTACACTGTCCGTATCTAGGGATATAACTATAGGTATGTGATCAGAGGTGGCAAGTCCGTACATAATGTCCATGTTGCTCAGAGAAGCATGTGCATCTGCTGTGCAGACACAGTGATCCAGCCATGACGTAGAGTGCCAGGCATCACTGATATAAGTATAGCTGTTATCTGGTAAAAGCAGTTCACTTGATAAGATAAGATTATTGGGCCTCATTCACGAACGGTTCTTAGGAACAGATTTGTACGTAAATCCTACTTACGCGGTTTTTACGAAGAAAGTGGCATTCACGAATATTTCTCGTAACCAGAATTTCTCTTGGGCAAGTACAAATCCTACGAGTCCTCAGGAGCACTCGTACGCATTCAGTGCTGACATGTTCACACGCCGGGGTTGTCCTCTTTGGTGAAGTTGAATAAAAATACAACATTCCAGTGATATGTCCGTCATATCGATGTATGTATTTATTTATTTGTAGTAATCTTTATTAGTAATCTTTATTTATATACCGCCTTTTTCACTGCAGATCTGGCCTACTTTTTAATTCATTTTGAAATGAAATGTGCCAACGCTTTATCAAATACATTGGAAATCTTGCCGTGTATTAGTGACCCCTTCCTATTTATAGGGGGCATTTCTTTATCCACGGGCCACAGAACAACGGCATATATACTGCTGCAGGAGGTTACGGGGTCCGCGCTGAGTCTCTGCGCTGGTCTCTCCTATGGATCTATACAGGTCTGCACTGGTCTCTCCCATGGATCTAGACAGATCTGCACTGGTCTCTCCCATATACGGGTCTGCACTGGTCTCTCCCATGGATCTATACTGGTCTGCACTGGTCTCTCCCATGGATCTAGACAGATCTGCACTGGTCTCTCCCATGGATCTATACGGGTCTGCACTGGTCTCTCCCATATACGGGTCTGCACTGGTCTCTCTCCATACGGGTCCGTGCTGCATGCTCCTGGATCCATACGGGTCCGCGCTGGTCTCTCAAGTCTGGTCTATGCGGTCTATCTTCGGTCCGCGCTGGTCTCTGCGCACCGGTCTCTCCAGTCAGGTCACTCCAGTCTATGCGGTCTCTCCTATAGGTCCGCGCTGGTTTCTGTGTGCTGGTCACTCCAGTCTCTCCTCGGGTCTGCATTGGTCTCAGCGCTGGTCCGCGCTGGATCTCCTCCCAGGGTCCAAAATATTTTGAGATTAATCTCAAAACATTTTGAGATTCATCTTTAAAATAATACATAATATATTTTTAAATTAAGCTCATAACATTTTGAGATTAATCTCATCATATTCTTAGATTAATCTCATAATTTTGCTAGTTCGACTTTATTATCATAATATTTCGACTTTTAAGTCAACATTTTATAACTTTATTCTCAGTCTGGTAAAAGAAGAAAAAAGGGTGACTCTTTTGCTCCGTGTAACTCTTTGCTTTAGGCCTGTTGCTGTTTCCTCAGCCGTCTGCACACGGCCCTGCATCCCCTTATATGGGCATTAATGGGCGGTTACTTATGCTAAGTACCTATGCTAATGAAGCACCTGGCACGCGCGCTGTACTTACGAGGAAATGGGATTCATCAATCTGAGAGAACAGCTGCGAACAATTCAGCGGCTTACGAGTGCGTTGATGAATCCCACGTAGGGACTTCTTAGAAATCTACTTAAGGACAACTTGAGAAGAAAGTTGAGTAGTTTCTTACGAAGTTATTCGTGAATGAGGCCCATTGTCTTTACAAAACTGGACTAAAAGTTTTCCGAAAATAGATGATTTATCCGACAGGTCAGCATTAAAATCTCCAATAACAAACACACACGTTGTGCAGTTATCTTCAATAAAGGACTCTATGAATTCCAGTTTGTTTACAAACTCATCTTCCATTTGGTGTGACTCATATGGCATATATACATTTAGCACAGTGAATTTTTTATCATTGAGGCTTATTTCAATGCTAATAGCCCAATCAACATTGAGCCTTAAAACCTTGACAGCAGAGTCATATTTAGCATTCCACAGAATGGCAACACCTCCAGGTATTCTACCCCGAACTATTCTAGTGCTGAGGTCTGTTGTAGATTCCCCTACTCCATGGAAATCCTCATGCAAGGAGTTCAATTTATCCAAATCCTGTTTGGAAGCCCAGGTTTCTTGAATGCAAATAATATCACTGTCTTTTAAAAGAGTGTCCAATACAAGCCGGCTTGCCTTGTCAGCGCCACTGTTGCCGAGGCGCAGGCCACGCGCATTGTATGACGTAATCCGAATGTTTGCCATATTAAATAGTATTGTCTATTCCTTGCTGTCTTCATTGCCAGTCCCAACTTGGGCAACAGATGCGCTAGCGCGGCTAGGATCAGAGCTAACTGTAGCTGTAGCATTTTTCCTCCGTGGTTCATAGTATCTCCTTACGAAGACACCTGCTGGCCAGAGTTCGGGCACATACATCTCTGCTACTTCATTACATTCAGCCGTTATATGGAAAGAGCTGAATCTTCCGTACGCAGACTCAATTTTGCGGCATTTAACCTCCCGACCCAATTTGTCACTCAGATATCCCTTTAGCGTATCAGCCTCCAAACTTGGATCAAACTTTGTTGCAAAAACACTCACCAGTTTCGTCCTGATGGCGTGTATGTTTGATCCGGCGCCAGTTCCAACTATGCCAGGGGTTTTACGTTCGCGTCTAGAAGAAGGCATACGTGGCTTTGGACCACTATGCAGATGCTTTCTGTCGGCGTCCTTCCCGCACGACAAGGCTCCAAGCTGGGGAAGACGCCAGCCCAGCAGCTGGTGGCTCAGAGCGCGCCAGGCGCGCAGGAGGCACAGGGCGTGCAGGACTCCCCTGCTGTGCTCCACCGCTGATGATGGGTTCAGGGACACCACTGTGATTCTCCATTACAGAGATGCGGCTGTCCAAGCAGGCAGTAACCGCGCGTATGCTTTCAAAAGCGCTGGATTGCTCCTCCATGGACCTTTTCATGCACCCGAAGTCGGCGTTTAGTTGCTCCATTCGGGCCAGCAGTGCAGACGCATCAATGTGGTTAAATGAAACGGGGGGCAAGTCGTCCAGATAATGTGACACAAATCGTGGTATGTTGTCCCCACACTTGTTAAGCACTTTCATGCACAGTTTCACATTATTAATGTCCTTAAGAGCTCCTTTATGCATAACGCAGCGTTGCGAGGAGTTTGGGCAGACCTCGAACAAAACTTTCTTAGAAGATTCAATGCGCTCAGAGCTGAAATTGTTTGTAACCAGCATTACAATTTCATCATGACACATTGTCCTCATTTTCACCACTATAAAGTTCATCTTCAACGATGATTTTACCATCGTTGGTTTTGAATATCTCAGGTTTTAATCTTGAGAAGGCACCAGCCAAACGACGCGTCTCCTCCGCCGCCATTTCCTAAAGATCACACTAATGTGCCAGTGTGCACTAGTACTGCACGATTAATGGTTAGTCGTTAGTAGACGCAATTAGCGAAACGCAAAGACTTTCTGTATTTCAGTCCCTCACAGAAAAAAAAGTCTCAATCTCAGTGAGAAACTGTTTTCTTCTTCTTCCTCCAACTTCCATTGGCAAATCTACGGAATTATATTATTAGGAAAATAAGGTGGAAATTACACAGAAATATTATTGTAATTTCTTGGTAATTTCCATGTAATATCCAGGTTATCACCTGGTGGGAAATAATGAGACATTCAAGCATTACTTCACCAGTGCAGAGGTAGTTTTTTGGCATTGTATTCTTCTGGTTTAAACTTGTTTCAAGACTAGGGCTGGGATAAACTTTTTTTTTTTAAACGATTAATCTAACAATACATTTTTTCAGTTCGATTCGATTTCGATTGATTCAATTCTCTCCCCATTAATTGACTAATAGCAATGTATACATTAGGTGTTGATTTACATATCTGAATGAAAAAACATGAATTCCTTAACAAAATATATTTATTGCTCTTAAAATTCAAAAATTAGACATTCTTAGTCAAAGGTAGCATAAAACCTTGAAGCCTTGAAAATACATCTAGCTTACTGAAAAAAGTGCATCTTATTCTTCTCTCAGATGAAAATAACACTTCAGTTGCTCTACTTGTGTAGAGCAACTGAAATAATACAGTAACCAATGTAAACTTGAGGACTAAGCTAAAGAGAGGGCTTTTCTAGCAAAAAATAATGAAAATAAACATTTAGAATTCAACAGTTATGTTGAACATAGGCCTAGCTGACTGAAAAAATCATCTTCATTCACAAACAACAACTCTGACACTTTCCTTTCCCCTTAAAGTGGTTCTCACCCCCGCTCCTCGGAGCTTACGTCACTCATATTTCCTGTTCAAATCTTCCTCTAAATGGGCGTAGCCTGGAAAGGGGCGTGAAAGGGGGCGTGAAAGAGACTGGGCCGTTTATATAGCTCTGGGCGGGGGGCTGCTGACGTCAGGTCCAACTTGCAGACGTCAGGTCTTGCTGCCGTGCCAGTGTTGGCGCCTAATTCAAAATTCAAATGTAGTAATACAGGTCGCCAGCAGATGGCGCCTCACAGACGGTTTTAGGCAGAAAGTTTAACTTTCAACTAATTTGCACCAAAGTGACAGAATTATGACCAGGATATGTAGACAACACTATTGGACACCCATTTAAATCGTTTATTACCAAAAAAAAGTGGATTTGAGGGTGAGTTGTCCTTTAAGAATACTGTCTGTCTTTGTGTGTGTGCTTGTAGGCGTGTGACAATATATCGATACTTTTTCCCACAATATCCAGTGTTTCCCACACATAGACTAATCTGTGGCGCACCGCCACAGATTAGAGACCGCCCGCCACAAATTGCGTTTCGTATTATTATATATATATTTTTTTTGTTACGCTATTTAAAACATGCATCGTCTAGTGCCGCCGCAGCGGTCAATTTGACAGCGGGGAGGGGGGTTTAAAATGTGACGGCCCTTCGTAACTCTCACTCAAGCTACGCGTCTCTCCCACATACAGAGACCTACACACACACAGCCCCTCCCCTTCGTGCACACCGCGTGTCTCCGTCTCCATCAGCGATCATCGCTGTAAGCAGCTGTGTCTATTAATTTACCGCGGTAAAGTGGCCCGCATCTTTCAGCTCTATGAACATGCGGCCCGCATCGGGGAAAAGACGGTGCGCGTTTTGTTGAGAACTTACGGTAACAGCGGAACGTTCGGAGTTCCCCCCCCCCCCCGCATCTGCGCATGCGTCAGCCGGCGCAACTCCATTCATTTGAACGAGAGACTTCAAAAATTCACCACGAGTAAACTAGAGTGGACCAAAAAACTTCACCCCCCTCAGCATTGACACACATGTGGAACGGAGCTTTGGGTCAAGAGCCAGTTATGAATCCTGTAAAGACGTTTTTGAGAGGTCTGCCAATGCTATATGTTAGCATTGGCTAATTCTACTTCTGGGTCCACCCCCATCGGCCCGGGGTGATATTGCAAGCATGTCAGCGCACGTCATTTTGGCCACTTTTGAGCTGGGACCCGCCCCCACTGCTCTGGATACAGAGCCGCTGCAGAGCTGCAGTATTGGAGAAGAAATTTACACAAAAAGCCGCTAGCTTAAAGCCGCTAGCCCAGGACCATTGGTTTGAACTCCCCAAGCCTCTGTAATTTAGAGAATGTGCCTCTACTGCACGGTCTGAACACCCCATAAGACGGCACTCACGTACTACTGCTACTACGCGCTGCCCTCTTTGTTTTGAGTATGACGAATCGAGGCGCATATTTTGTAGACGTATTTTTTGCCTCGACGTCATCGATTACGCCTGTGCGTTGTCCCAGCCCTATTCAAGACAATTAACCCTAGCGTCCGCGTGTATCCAGGCCGTATAAACCATGTTCCTCCTCACCGTCTCTTGAGCTCCAGCTTTCGCATGCGGATGAGGTACTGTGTGATCTTGGTAAATCTCTGTTTGCACTTGTGTCGTATGAAGCGAGGCCAGTAGATCAGGTTCTCGTCAATCTGCTCCAGAGCCTTCTCATAGTTTCTGCTCAATTTCACCTGAAACACAGCATCAACAGAGAGTTTTACATCATAGCAATCCAAAGAGCCTTTAGTGTAACATTATAGTGGGGGCAACTCAAACATCTTTCCTGGTGACTATGGCAAGTGTCAAAAATATAATGTATAGTCCTTGTTTAGAGCTAATTTCTCTGTAATTCCATGTGCTACAAAATCATAAAATTGGTACATATCAACTATGGTCTAAATATCTTTTCATAAAAATTTGTTTACAAGCGGTGACAAATATACATTTTTTTTACATGAGGTCAACCAGTAGAAAGAACTTTAGGATATGGCTTGAAAAAAATAAACATACATTTTCTTTGTCAAAAAGTCTTAAAAAATTGGGTTTTTGGGTAAGTATTTTGCGTCTGAAAGTATCTATTAGTTTAGGGAGTTATTTAAATCCCAGAATTTGTTGTAAACTTCTTGATCTTCAAGCTGCAGATTTAGTTACATGTTGTGAAATATACAATAATGGTGTCTGACCTTCTCCCACATTTTGGCTGGAAACGCTGCCCTCTCAATCACCTTCATATACAGGAAACACTGACCTGAAGGAAAAGAAGTAAAGAAGATGCCTAAAATGCTTCAAGGAATGTGGCACTCCGATAGCACAGATAAGGGTTTCAAGTGTTAACCCTTTAAGCGCCAAAGTCGCAATATTGCGACAAGCAACATTGCTCACTTAAACAGGCTGTATGTAAAAATGTGGTGCAGAATCTTGTTAATACTTTTCACCAGGGGTTAGTGGACATGTGTGCCTGTAATATGAGCAGCATTTGTGGGTGTGGTTATATTGAAAGTTTTAGAGTAAATTGAGTTTGTAAAACACCTGCGGCGCTGCAGCGCGGAGGCGAAGCAGCAGCGGTAGAGCTGAGAGGAGCGAGAGCAGAGCAGAGGGAAAGAGTGTTTTTTATTTTACTCACGAGGTCTTCAGTACCAGAGAAGTACTTGGTCTGGTACTGGCTCACTCAGATTCAGAGGAGGAAGACACACAGGTGTCCAGTGAAGCAGACGCAGACATTATTAGTGACGGGGAGACCGCGCTCCATAGTCCACAATCAGCCCCTGTACAGCGGCTGCTTGTCCTCCGTGTGGCCGCGGTAGAAGCATTCTGTGAACGCCAAGCAGGGGCCGTGGTCGAGGGGACAGGGGCATCATAACACCGGGCATGTGGGAGAAAGTAGTGGGGGTAGACATCCACAGGGAACACAGGAGACGCGGGAGAAGTCGCGGGAAAAAAACACATCGCTAATCGCGTTCACTGCCTTTACCAACAGCGATGATGAGGATGAAGGCAGTTCTTGAGAGAAAATAATCCACAAAAGTGTTGAAGAGCCTGTTGTATGTTGTTGAGACGATCTGACAAGTTCTGAGCCCATTCATTTCATCTCTCTGTTTCTAAAGGGTAAATCCTGGAGCCTCATTTCCACTGAGAAAAATAGTAAGCCCACTACTTCTCTGAAAGGGAAATATTGAAACCAATCTCAAGATTTCATGACTGTAAACTATAAAGAGTGCTGTCTTGATCACTGAAGGTCTATGAAAATAATACAATTCCATATGGCCGCAAACCAGTGCTAAAACATTATCTATAATCTGGATCAGGGAATTTATTTCTATCCCAAATTCATTTCATACTAAAGATATTTCACATTGACTGTTTATAGTATTCCCTGATCTCAAATAACTCCCAAGCTACAGCTTTTTGAAGTCTTTATACAATAATTAACATTTTCCAAAATGCCCGCCACCTTGATGACGTCACAATATGCAAATTAGATGACGAATCAACTTCCATCCCAAAGTTTGGTTCAAACTGAAGATATTTCTAATTTACAGTATGCCTTTATCTCAAACCATTTTAAAGTTATAGCCTTTTGAAATCTTGAACTCAAAATTGTAGATTTTCTTGAAAAAACTCTGGCGCCTAAAGGGTTAAACAGAGAAATACAGGAGAGGGGAGATTGTATAAGAGTGGATATTTTAGACCGTTGTGAGACAGGTTAGTTTTACCCTACTGATGATGTGTTGTTGCAATAGTAATCCTGCTCCAGCAGCAGCAGAAATATGTACAAATATGGGATCAAAGCGGAACCATCTGATCCTAAAGTGTTGTGTCATGAGGGATAGGAAAATATTCTTTTGAAGTACCTTTCTCCTCCCTGATGGTGGCGTACTGACTGTTGGCAAGGGGGCAGGACGAGCGATTGCACAGTCCAGTGAGGCTGTACTCATTTCGGCAAAAATTCTGACTTTTGGTCCTGAAAATAACAAAACCACATTTTAAGAAAAAAATTATTAATTTTAATTAATTATACAATTTAAAAGACTCACTTGACTTTGTAAGAGCAGAATTGTTTGTTTCCGATAATGTCCCAAATAACCTGTAAATAAAACAAGACCTGGATTAGACCTGGTTCAGAAGATTTTGTTGGCCCGTAATAAATCAACATTTAGTTAGTTGTGAGATATATATATGTCTGATGTATATTTGTACCCGAGAACAATGATAAATGAATCATCTCTGTAGCAATTTTAGTAAATTTCTGATGGTTTAAAGAATAATGCCAAAGCTACTTAAAAATAATAATGACTCATTCTGGTAAATTACATACTAGAATGTGATATTAAATATTGCATCTACATTGGAGACAAACAAGACTTAAGTAGGATAAATGACAGGTCATATGTATCTGCGTAGACAGCCAAACCAAAACAAGAACTCAAGGTTTAAGGATTAAAACTAAAACACATTAACAAAATTCTGTAGTTTTAGATCGTATTGAGTAACATCCCAAGCTAAGAAATAATATCTCCATGGTGACACACCAATGCTGCACAATTAAATACTTTAAATCCTCCACATTGATTCAATGCTTCTTTCTATACTACATTAGTTACTCGCCAAGCGATTCTATACCCCCCAATCCAACTTAGCGGTTAAAGAAAAAGTCGCATACAACCTGAAAACAAGCAAAGCCGCCATTATATCGTTAAACCACATTTATAAGTTATCGAATAAATAAAAAAGTAGCCATCATGTGTTATAAGCATGCATGCATGATAATATCCTTGTAGTGAGTTAGCTTCACGCCGGTGTTAGCATTAGCATCAGCCATGTATCTTGTTTACGAGTGAAACTTACATCGTCGCACTGCATTATGGCAACCTGTTGTTTCTCCTTGAGCCTTCACCCAAAGAAAAATATCTAAATCTACACGTTGGCTAAAAATTCCTGGTGAATGTGTGCTTTTATGTACGCCGCGTGAGCCACATGAGGTTTTAGGGAGTCGCCATTTCTGTTTGCAATGGAGATCTCGGGGTACGTGGTAGTCTCGCGAGATGTAACAGTTTCCGTTGTTTTATTGATTTTATTGAACAAGACAAGAGCATTCCCAGACCAAGACCATCTACTACTACAACCTGATATAGTTATTTCTATTAATTACAATGAGATTTACATTAATATTTTCAAAAATTATGCAATGTTTTCAATGTTCCAACTTTTTTCTTCCAAGTCCTGAAGTATTTGCAGCAATGTTTTTTTTAATGTTAAGTTTGATTAATATGTATTTTTTTGTAATTGTGTGTAATCACTCACAATTACTTCAGCCATTATACAATTATAATATTTTTGTTGAATCTTAGAACATTTTCAACGTTGAACTAAAACATTGTGTACATGGTTTACCTGGAGAAAAACAAACTGGTTCTGTAAACATTCAGTGTGCATACGGGAAAAAACCTTTTCATGCTAGTATTTTTCACTAGAAGCTTCCGAGCACAAAGGATCGTTTGACCACATTGTCAAGTGAGGCCAAAATTATTCTTTAGTGAATGTTGTAAACACCAAAAATCAAACTGTTCATAAAACACTTTATTGGACAAAAAAGAGAAAACCAATACAAAACAAGAGTATTACCTTTAACAAAAATGGAATGTGATCCACAAACGTGTTTGGTGAATGAAATGTTAGTGAATGACATGTAAAACAAGCAAATACATCAGGCAGTTTCACACGGTCACTGACTCGAAGTACGGTTATTTTAAGGCAAAAAGTATAAAACTATCAGGACAATATCAGTAAAACATTTTGTTGTAGAAAGGTTGCTACAGTGTTGTAGATTTTGTGAAGTAAAATCACACATAAATTGTTCCCATTTATTTTTCAAATGGCGCGTGTTGTAGCGCACACATGACCCAAAATAATGTGTTATGTGTGCGTTATTGTGTTCCCTCGTCAGCAAACCTGTTTAGCTTTATCTACACTAGTTCACAGGACATTAGTTTAATTGTTTCATTCTTTTTAAATAAATGCATCTTGATCAAATTAGTCGTGAGTGTTACAATAACACAACCTAAATAGATCAACAAGTTCCAGTTTTAAATCGTGTGTATTGAGGGTTGTGAATCCAAATGACAGCATTAATGCTGCTGGTGGCTCTTTTATGACCATCCCAATATAAAAAGAAAAATCATATTTCAGGGTCCTAAAATGTAATGGTTGAACACACATTTAAATTAATTTGTATAAAGTGTGTAGCAACTGCAAGAGCTGTCTGTCGGCGCTGTGGGCCGATGTGAGCTCCATACCACCGTTCACAGGAGAGGCGCCCGGTTCAGCAGGATTTGAGACTCGTTCACAACGTCTGCACTCGGGCAGCGAACACCAGGACTCTCTTCTCCAGCTCTGAGTTGAGCTGTGCTTCTGTGGCTCCAGGATTCTGTTTAATGAAGTCTGCGATGCCCACAATGCACTCTTTCTGAAAGTAAACAAAGAGGTGAGCAAGAATGCTTCCCAAACAGAGCTACATGCAATCACTAAAGTATTGAATTTAACAGTTTAGTAGCTAAACAGTTAACTAGTTAATTCTAGTCACTGTAGTTTAGATCACAGAAGTAGCTAGGATGAATTATATTTAACGTATAGAAGCGTATTTAAGATCAAGATATCCTTTTTCAGTGTTGCATCACAAGTTACAGAACAGTAGGAGTGAGGAGCCCATAGCACAAGATGAACAATGAATATTATTAATAATAATAACTCTATACTAAAATTAGAGAAGCAGTATAAAATCTCTATCTTTAGCATAATAAGGAAAGATGTCTTTGATTTTGATCATTGTACAATTATTTTATCGCAACAGTTCAGAAAAAAAAAAATCTATGAATTGAGACTACTACTAATGTTCCAGCCTACTCTCTGCATGTGTACAAATGTACAACATCCAAAGAATCCCAAAAATAGAATATGATATTTGAGAAAGGCCAATTTAATATTAGTTTTCTTCTTTTAAGACCCCCCCAGAAACATTTTAAATGTGATACCAATGAAATAAGGTAGTTATTACCACAGATAAAGATATTAAAATACTGATGTAATTTTGAACACAATTTGTTTTTACTGCAAGCGGTAAATTAAAAAACTGCTCAAGAGATGTCCAATTTTGTCTAATTCAATTTTATTTCAATACTTGCTCAAGTAAGTAAGTTTGTGTACTTTGAAAGCTTCGATCTGGTCCTGTCCAGTGACGCGGTTATACAGCTCCGATGCCAAACGTACTCCAGTCACTGAAGCCAGATGTCCACGGTCCTCCTCCGACTGCGAGGTCAACCACCGCCACAGCGCCAACTGCAGCACAAGGACACAAGGGCAGGTCAGGCTTAGTCACAATTAGGACTTCATAAAAAAGTTAATGACAAACGAACTGCCATTTTTCAATAAAAGATATTGAATACATCCAGATGGGTTAGTCATAATTTTTCCCTTTTATGTTTGGATGTGGATGTGACAACTTTAATGTACTTTAAGAAGATTAATTTAATTAATTTTTTTTTTTTTTTTTTCAATATTTGATATTGAATAATTGAACAACTCAAAGATTACACCAGATAAACCATTGTATTATAGTTTAATATTGGTGTCCCTTTGTACTTAGATGTGCAAGAACCTGATGAAATTATGAGTCTAGAAAAAAGAATGCCGTTCTCCAGCTGCTTCAGATTTTTCTGAATCAAAGTTAGATACACATTGTAAACAACTAATTGATTATAGCCATTATTATTTACTAGATTAATCAATTATCAACATTTTCGTGAATACTGAGTTTAAAAACAGGGAGATCAGCTTTACTATTTGGGACACTCCCATCATTTAGACACATGTGATGTCATCAGTTGGAGTTGAGTTCAGGTGTGGGACCATGTGGGACCATAGGAGCACACAGATGTTACCTGCTGCAGAAAGAGAGTTTAATGTTCATGTATTGCTTTGTTTAATAAATTGATTTAATGTCTTCCCCAGGTCTTCAATGTCAGAGACTTTCACTTCTTCTCACTGTGGCTGTTTAAATGAGCCACTACAGTTGTTATTTTTGTTATTGTTAGCTGCAAATATTAAATATCCATTCATCTGCTGGTAGCAAGCTAACTAGCGCTTGCAACTCTATTCAATTTCTTACTTTTTCTTATAAACTTTAAAACCAGCCATATGTTAATTAAAATACATTTACCTTTGCTAATGCAGTCAATTATTGTGAAATCCATAGAGTATAATTTCATGATTGTTGCAATAACTAATGTTCTGTGTGTATTCCTAATGTGTCATGTGTGTTTGAGTCTTACAGGTGTCAGACTGTGTTGAAGGTGTTCAAAGGTAAGAATCACACTCTCACACATTGATTGTTGTTCTGTATTATTATGTTGTTTTTAGAATAAACCATTATTTGGTGTATTCTCTTTGAAAACATCTATCTTTTTCTCAGATTGTTCAGCAACTCACTCAAGATGAGCGAAAAGAGCAACAAGGGGAAAATGCCCCCTCGGAAATGCAACAGGGTAAGTAGCTTTCAGGGCTCATTTGTGTCCATGTGCAAAACAAATGCACATTTGCAATTGTTTTTTACATGGAATTACTCCAATGACCAAAGCCTTATCCCAAGTTTCTCAGACGGAGTGTCTTCCAGTGTCTCGAGCTAGTGCAGTGCCAAGGTTTGTATCACATGGTGATGGATCGAGTGGTTTGAGGCATTAATAGAAAGTTATGTGTTGTTATATCACTTTGCCACATTATGTTGAAACTGAACATGTTCCACATTTTCAGGTGCTGTGCTTGGACCTTATAATGAGACTGAAGACCAAGAGAGGACACATGTTGGAACCTCAACATTCAATAAATGCATTCTTCTGCCTTTCAGATTGTGTTTTTACATCTGGGGAACCTAGAGTGTAGCTTGTGCCTGTTTTAATACTGATCCAAACATAGGCGCTACAATCATGTTTTTTTACTTTGGCATGAACTGTTCAGTACAGTAGTGTTCATAACACTGTGCCCTGTGTGCTTTAACTTGTACTTTGATGTAGAGAAACATGATTTTTAATGCAGCTCCATTTGCAATAATGACTGATATCCTTCTACTACAGTTGTTCTAATGATTTTTGAATGCTGTGTTTATCGTTTATTGCCCAGAGTCAGAACTAAACATGATAAAGCTGCATTTCAGATTCACAAGGCTAAAATCTGGAACGGTCTTCCTGGAAATGTGAGACAGGCTTCTTCTTTGACAATGTTAAAATCCAGGTTTAAAACACTTCTGTTTCTGCTTCAACTGAGAGATTTTATGAGAGATTTTATTTGTTTCTTTTTAATTTACAGTCAATATTTATAATTGTAATGCCTTGTTTGATTGTTTCTATCTTTTGTTCAGTGCTTTGAGTTTCCTTTTGTTTTGACTGTGCTATACAAATAAACTTGCCTTGCCTATTGCAAAAAGTATGTCTCGACCAGTGAGTGATTCTGCAGAGGTTAAGTATGTCAATAGGACTGTAAATGGACGTCATATAAACGTCAATATTTTGGTCATATAAGACGTCGAGAGGACGTCGGACCCGACCGGTTCTGTACCACATTGCAACCTTGAATGAAGTGGCCGCGACGTCATTTGAACGTCCAGATAACGTCCAGATGACGTTGAAATGACATAGTTTTGACATCTGCTTGCTTAGTGGGAACAACGGAAAACGAACGTCATATGAAGGCAATATTTTGGTCATATAAGACGTTGATAGGACGTCGGACCCGACCGGTTCTGTACCACATTGCAACCTTGAATGAACGTCCAGATGACGTTGAAATGACATAGTTTTGACATCTGCTTGCTTAGTGGGAACGACTGAAAACGAACGTCATATAAACGTCAATATTTTGGTCATATGAGACGTTGATAGGACGTCAGACCCGACCGGTTCTGTACCACATTCAAACCTTGAATTGACGTGCCATCAACGTAACATTTGGAGGTTGAAGTGACGTCGGGAAACGACGTCGAGAAAACTTTCATTCTGCACCCACCAGTGACCTATATTCTACGTCGGACAACGACGTTCAAATTACGTTGATTCAACGTCGGCTTGCTTAGTGGGACGGAGCCTTATGCTGCGTTCAGACCAGTGGGGGCGGCATAAAAGTGGCCAAAATGACGTGCGCTGACATGCTTGCAATACCACCCCGGGCCGATGGGGGTGGACCCAGAATAAGAATTAGCCAATGCTAACATACAGCGTTGGCAGACCTCTCAAAAACTTCTTTACAGGATGGACCAAAAGTCGCTCTTGGCCCAAAGCTCCCTTCCACATGTGTGTCAATGCTAAGGGGGGTGAATTTTTTTGGTCCACTCGCTCTCGCCGGCTGACGCATGCGCAGATGCATTTTTTCACAATTTTCTTATGGGCGGGACCACTTCCGGCCATTTTGGATAGCTCCAGTAGAGCACATTTTTTGGCCCGTTAGTTAGAACGGCGGATAATTAATATATACAGTACAGTCTATAGTTCAGACCAAACGCGTCCAAAGCGTCGGGTTTGCATTGAAAATACATGGGGGACGTGCCTCGAGGAGCGTCGAGAGATCCCGCGGCGCGTCACGCAGGCTCATCTTTCACCGCACCTCCTCCAAGCAAGCTTATATGTGTTTGTTTTTTGGCCTTTATAAAGAAAATAATTTTTAATTAAATAAATAAAAAATGTTCTTTTACTTTAAGCCCACCATTATTACCTTTCATATCAATAAATCAATCAATCAATCAAGTTTATTTATAAAGCATAATTCATACAGAGTAACCCACTGTTACCCAAGTGCCTGCTTCACAGGCACTTGGGTCAATGATGTGACGCCCTCTTTTTTTGGCCACACTGTTAAAATACATTTAAAAATAATACATTCTTAAAATAACAATCATCCATCCATCCATCCATTTTCTTCCGCTTTATCCGTTGCCGGGTCGCGGGGGCAGCAGTCTAAGCAGAGACGCCCAGACTTCCCTATCCACACACACCTCCTCCAGTTCGTCCGGGGGGACTCCAAGGCGTTCCCAGGCCAGCTGAGAGACATAGTCCCTCCAGCGTGTCCTGGGTCTTCCGCGGGGCCTCCTCCCGGTGGGACGTGCCCGGAACACCTCCCCAGGGAGGCGTCCAGGAGGCATCCGGAACAGATGCCTGAGCCACCTCAACTGGTTCCTCTCGACGTGGAGAAGCAGCGGCTCTACTCCGAGCTCCTCCCGTGTGACTGAGCTCCTCACCCTATCTCTAAGGGAGCGCCCAGCCACTCTGCGGAGGAAGCTCATTTCGACCGCTTGTATCCGCGATCTCGTTCTTTCGGTCATTACCCACAGCTCATGACCATAGGTGAGGGAGGGAACAAAGATTGACCGGTAAATCGAGAGCTTTGCCTTTCGGCTCAGCTCCCTCTTTACCACAACGGTCCGATACAGCGACCGCATCACTGCGCACGCTGCACCGATCCGCCTGTCAATCTCACGCTCCATTCTTCCCTCACTCGTGAACAAGACCCCGAGATACTTGAACTCCTCCACTTGAGGAAGGACCTCTCCACCCACCTGAAGACGGCAAGGCACCTTTTTCCGGTCGAGCACCATGGCCTCGGATTTGGAGGTGCTGATTTTCATCCCAGCCGCTTCACACTCGGCTGCAAACCGCCCCAGTGCATGCTGCAGGTCCTGGTTCATTGGAGCCAACAGGACAACATCGTCCGCAAACAGCAGAGATGAAATCCTGTGGTCTCCGAACCGGACCCCCTCCGACCCCTGGCTGCGCCTAGAAATTCTGTCCATAAATACAGTGAACAGAACCGGTGACAAAGGGCAGCCCTGTCGGAGGCCAACATTCACCGGCAACAGGTCTGACTTACTGCCGGCAATGCGAACACAGCTCTGGCTCCGGTCATACAGGGATCGGATGGCCCTCAGCAGAGGACCTCCGACCCCGTACTCCCGGAGAACCCCCCAAAGGACACCCCGGGGAACACAGTCGAACGCCTTCTCCAAATCCACAAAGCACATGTGGACAGGTTGGGCGAACTCCCATGAACCCTCGAGTATCCGATGGAGAGTATAGAGCTGGTCCAGTGTTCCGCGGAACACAAAATAATAATCAAAGTCGGTTTAATAAAACATAGTCTAATTGCCTAGGATGTATCGTTTCTATTTGCATCTCTTTTGGGTGAACAATATGGTTTTTTAGGCAAAAATGTATAAGTGGTGTAACCCAAAAAAAATTTGCAAAAAACTTACCCTTACTTAAAAATGGCTAACAGTCTGGCGTAATATTTCATTATTTATAATAATGATTGATGTAAACATATTCTTCCGTTTGGTTAGACTGGATTGTCTGAATCCGGGCATTTTTAAAGTCAAGCGTAC